ACAAATTAGTTTTTCTCCATCCAGTGCTGTGTGAAGAGTTTTTCCAAGAATACGGGAAATTCTAAGAAAGAGAAACGCAGTGACCTTACACCGACGCTGAAAACATTAAGCGACCTTTCAATTTATTTTTTCTGCTGACGTCAAATAAAACTTATGAACTTTCAAATCTATCACTATATAAAAAAAAAATTCTTGACTATTATAGATCGCATGGTTTACAACATTGCTTCTTTTGGTCCTAGAATGAGTTAAATGTCCTAAAATTCTAGCATTTGTGCGAGAAAAATTAGAAATTTTGTCCCCGTTCGTCGAAAAAATGGTAAGAGTAGTGCCGTTTAGTATTCAGTTGCGAAATTAAATTTAAAAGCATCGAAAGAAAAATGATAAAATTTTACTTTTTAGCGAGTTTTGGGCAGGACTGAGGGTTCAACATTTTCAAGCCGCACGAGGTGTTCCCGCGTCTTTGTGTCGAGGTTATTCGATACGGTGCCGGACGTGTTTCGAGCAAGACCACATGGAACAGCTGTCTAACACGTGCTGAACACATGGCGTTCTAGGTTTCATTGTCGTGGAAACTTAACGTGGAGTAAATAAATACATTTTAGTGTCTGGTACACTTGTTTCATTGTTGATTTAAAGCATCGCTTTGTTAAAATGTTGAAAAGAAAGTATTTTTCGTGCTTTCATTGCTAATCCTATAAAAATATAACTGGCTCAAGTGGACAACTAATTAAATAATACTCGAATTCGGAGAAATTGTGCATTCTTGGCCTCTGTAATTCTGAGTATTTTGATCTGCATTCGTTTAGTACAGTGGTAGAATTTTTTTTCCAGCCAAACGTTACACGGTGCTGCTGCTAGGAATTGTGGATTCGCCAACATCCGCGTGTGGCCTGTGCATCTCGACTTTTCCCGCGCTTACTTTTGGCGGGAAGTTGTTATGCGGGTGAACTGTTGACACGGAAAATATAAAAAAAACACTCTTTCGTTAATTAAGATTCTTGAGGTTTTGAAATGTTAGAAGCAATATCCCAATATCTTAGTCTTAAATGCAGATAATTCCTAACATGTTTACTTCTTAAACCGGACATAGATAGGAAGTAAATGTCTTTTTTACTTAAGTCTACTGAACACAATTCTTTAGGATCTGAGACACATTCTTGCAAATTACAATACTGGCTTTGCATAAGTACCGTGAGAAAACGGATCTAAAAATTCCTAAACAGGAATAAAACTTAGTTGCCCGCAAGGGCCCGCGATAAGAATGGAATTCTTTGCATTTTATTACAATTATGAAAACACAGTAAGAAGTTACAATTATCATACTATATATTTGAAACATTTCAAGATTTTGACCTCAGGTAGGATACCACACACGAACTGGCAAATTCTTAATTCATTTTCCCGTAAATTTGTGGGCTTTCTAGGTCTTTAAAGAAGGGGTGTGTTTCTCATTACAGTGCTACACTCGGGTCATCTTTCTACGACGCCGACTCTTTGATGTGCTTTTTAAAAATAATTTGTTTTACAAAAGATTTAAGTGCCCTTAGCGAAGTTCAGGGCTACGCTTGACATGTTCCAATTGTCCAGCAATGTAAATAATACAGTTTTCGATAAACAGTGAAAAAAATAATATTTTTTTAACTTGAACTAACTCTCGGCTCCTTTCCAATATGCACCGTACATAAGGAATAACAACTTTTGTTGTGGTTTTCCGAGTGCCATTGTTACAATGGCGGTAGAGTGAAGACATTTCTTATCTTCGAAGGAACCCAAAGTATGCCCCTCAAGAATTGTCCTAAAATGAATGGAATGGAAACGCTTTCAGATTACTCAATCATTGTCACCAGAACGAATTGGATGTTTTACTGTCTTTCAATTTCATTTGAGAGACATTTGCCAAATTCTTAAAATTTCTTAAGCCGAACTCTCAATCCTGAAAGCATCAAAAGCTCTAGCGTGACTAAATGAAGAGTACGCCACACATTTTGCCGTGATGTAACACAACGCCGCTCTGTTTGTGTAACGCAACGCATTCGTGCTCACTGAAAGACAACAAAATAATCACAAGTTACCGGTATGATATGGGTTTACTTCCTTTACTTTAGGGTTTATGTATCGTGGGAGCCACCCGCAATAACGTGTAACGCACATGAATGGTGTAACTTTCAAAAATAGTGTCTTCCCTTTTCATCTCGTGTTAGGAATTAACCTTTTCGAAAATTTACTACAAAATAGCTGAATATAATTCAAGCCGCTCGACCGCTCAATCTTTTTTTTTTCTATGGCTCTCATGCTGCTAGTTTATCGGTGTTGTTTGTTCAATTGCAAGTCAGCGAGAATAACAACCTCAACATACAAGGCGCAAGCCGCAAAGAGGTGCCACGATCTTTTATCACTGCCAATATTGCTCTAGCGGCGAACTCAATGCGTTTGTCAGACTCCGTTGAGGCTACAGACGAAACATGGAATAAATTGAAATGGTTAATTCCATCGACCAGCCAAGTATGTAATGAATATATTAACCTCGGCTCCCTCTTTTTCCAAGCCAGCATTTTTTCACATGACTCATACAACACTAATGTTCGAAATGGCAACAACGTGATGAATTCGCCCACATAGAATGGTGCCATAGGGAAATCTTAACACCCTTGCCCTTGTGACTATCAAACTTTTGACTAACTGGTCACGATTTTGACAAAGTCCAGCAATAAAAAGGCGGGAGGGGGAGGGGTTGGCAAGGACGATTTACAGACCTCTCGAACATTGAGCCTTACAGACTCACATTGCCTCACGATTTCCCCTAAAATAATTGTTCATCAGGAGATACTTGAAATTTTATGAGTTCCCCTTCGAACGCCTTTTCCGAATGCCCTTGCTGTCAAAGTACAATCCTGTAATAACCTCTGTATTGTGCCAGTTTAAATAGGGTTGTTTTTCTTGGAGCAAAAATAGTTTGTTTTGAGAAGAACGATTACCTGGTATTGGCTTTGAAAAAAAACATTTTTCTTTCAGTGGAAAGGAATGCCTTGTATCGATGTCCCCATGAAACCGCGAGAAGCAAATTGGATCTTCAGTGTTGCAATCAGCAGAACTCTACGGGGGCATCTTTTTTTTCGTGATCGGAAGTGTCACTGCTGGGGTTGAGGCGAGGAATGCGTGATGCTTGGCACGTGATGAAATCGACCACAGTCGCAAGGGCGACGAAAATAGGGCAGATAACGAATGCCAACATACATGGATTCACCGCAATAACACTATTAAATTAGCCAAATACCATCATGTTCTGTCAACAATGAAATAGATCCATCGTCGTAACAGGCGTAATAAAAATTGCATCGTTCAGTTTTAAACGTGGTTTTCACCGCACTGCACTGACAAAACGACCTTTAGATCGGAAACATGTCTCACGTGAAAGTGACTCACAACAAGGAGCAACTGTAATCTGCAACTAGAGCTAGCCTGGGCGTTTTATTTACAAGTTTATGCCAATGAGGACATAAGCTGTGAATAATGAAATCATAGTTGCATAACCCTTAACCCCCTGGCTATGGGAGAAAGTTTCAATTCGTCTACGCAATAAATTTCACCCCAAAATTCCTATATTTTTTATTGCGACTATCTTTTTAAGACACACACACACACAAAAAAAACCAGTTTTATTGAGCACGATAGCATCATGGCAACATTTAGTCTGTCGACAAATCATCACAAATTAAGTGCTAATAAAAAATTGTGTTCGTTTCACAACGGTTCGTTTCATAACATCGATCGTTCAAAGTTCGACTTGCACTTAGTTATTTTTTTTACAATTGTGTCGCTTGCATCATACTTACACCGCAGTTATTTCCATTCGACTCGAAATTATTATGGATAAAATTTGACAAAACGGCGAATCTAAAATTTGCATTTTTCAGGCGTTTAACCACTGATTAATTAACGCAAACTTCGAAATAAGATTGTTGAGAAATGTTCAAAACACGACCACATTTTGGCCCTTTCCTGCCTCTACAAAATATTTAGGAGCGATTCATCTCGACGTGAAATAGATTTTAACTTTAATATATTCACAATTTATCTTTTTAGACCAAATGGTCGAACGGAAGACTTTGGGACGGAACTTTGCACTATAAAAGACACAGAGGGAATTGTTGCTTATTCCTTGTCTCGATTACGTCACATATTTATTGTATTAAAGCCGTGTTTACTCCCGCCCATTTCAGTAAAATTTCAATTCAGGTGTGTGAGAAAAAGACTAGATTAAAATTTTGACCCCCCTACGAAGTAAAGTTGCTCAATCGACAATCAAAATAATTTTTGACCGGTATGTAATGTTCTGTTCCCGCCGTTATCACGAACAAGTTCGTTTCTTTTCTCCAACCAGTATTTTGGTATCGCTGTTCCGTGTAATGGATCCTAACTTCAACGCGATTTCGAGTGAGACTAATTTAATCGATCCAGCCCCACTCAAAAGAATATCGAGAAAAAGATAAAATCATACAATCGTTAGAATATCACGCAGCGATCGAGAGAAAAGCTCCGAAGAAAAATGTGCAGTCGGACCGTTTGAATCTCTCTGCGAAGAATTTCGCTCACGCAGAACATTTACACGGTTTTATTGAGTTGTCAAACGAAAATTACCTCCTTTGTTTGCAGTTTGGCACTTCTTTTGATGCACAAAACGTTTTCTCCTTTGTGTATTTCAATCTGTCTGCCCCAGCACCACCCCACTTCGGCATTTTGTTATACCTCACACCCATAACTTTGCCAACCTAAGCAACAACGCACGTGATTGGTTTGTGAATTTAAGACAACTTTCGATTGGCCAATATTTTGACAATACCGTCAATTTATAAACTTGAAACGTGCTAATAACGCGTGGTGCTCAAGTAAGCTAAAGGTCATTGTTGGGCTTGGCCTTAGTTGGCTACAGAAAGGCGTTGTAGCTGATCGAAGCCTTGATCATTGAGCATAACTTTTGCTGATTTCGAAGCGTAAGGATGGCGACAGAAGTTGAATCACCGCCTGTGGATATTGAGATCGATCCGATCGAAACGAAAACCGAAGAGGTCGAAAAACCCGAAGAGAATCATGTCGAGGAGAAGAATGAGGAGCAGGCAAATGAAAACAAGCCGGACGAGGAGAATGCGGTCGTCGACGGCGAAAAACAAGAAGATGCTAATGGAGCCGTACCGCCAAAAGTTTTACTGTATCAACATCCACCGTGGAATGCTATTCCCTCGCCCCTCCCCGCCTGTATTAAAGTTGAAACGTATTGCCGTATGCTGAAGATCCCTTACGAAAACGTTTACAAACCTGGTACTGATCAGAAGTTACCGTACATCGAATATCAAGGCGAGACAAAGAAACAAGACCTCATAGGCTTCCTTAATTCCAAGTTCGGAGTGGACCCCGATGCAAATTTGAGTGATATGGACAAAGCTTGCTCGCGAGCTTTTCAAAGTATGGTCGAGGAAAACACGTTCTGGAGTCTGATGTATTACCGATGGGTGGATAACTTCGCAGAAACCAAGAAATACTTCAAAGGGCTTGATGTTGTCAGAAAGAATGTACGCCCGAAGCTCGATCAAGGCAAGTGCGTGAAGTGCTTAGAAGCGCACGAAATTGGCAAGCATAACAAAGAAGAAATTTATGCTATCGGCGAGAAGGATCTTCGTGCGCTATCAGCGTTCCTGGGCGACAAAGAGTTCTTCATGGGTTCAGAGCCCACTACTATCGATTGCACGGTGTTTGGCCTGCTGTCATGCTTGTTGCACACGGCCGAAAACTCGCCCCTGGCCAAAGTTGTGAATGAAGATTTGAAAAATCTAGTCGATTTCTGCCACCAGATGAAGAATAATTATTGGCTAGACTGGAATGATCTTTCCTCTGAGGAGCAAGTCGAAGAAACACGACCCAAATCAAGGCTAAGTGTCAAAAAGAAAAAGAGGACCAAGTCCCAAGAGCCAGCAGCCGAGAGCAAAGAAGGCGAAGCCAGCGGAGAAAAAGAAACCGAAGAAAAGAAAGAAGGAGAGGGAGGAGAAAAGAATGGAGAGGAGCCCGTGGTAAATGGAGATGCAACGGAAGAGGCAGCCAACGAAGAACCAAAGGAACAAGCGGAGGAATCAAAAGAGGAGGAGGCCAAGGAATCAGAAGAAAAGAAAGAGGAAGAAACTCCCGTGGTCAACGGCGATGGAGGTGAGGAACCTAAACCCGAGGAAGCCGCTCAGGAATAAACCGTAAGCTTTTCAAATTCGTTTTATGTGAACTTTGAGCAAACAAAATGCTTCTATAACCTAACCGAATACTAATGAATTACTTTAGGCGTTCAATCTAGGGACGTAGGTTCCTTTTTGTAAGTATTATTTTTCCTTGCTTACCTGCGAGACGTGCACAGATTTTTTTGCTCGGAGAGAGAGAGAGAGAGGTTGTGTGTTATGCCTGGATCATTCATTGAATCGCTGCTCACTCGCCGTTGCGAGGGAAATTTGAGTAGTTCAACGCGCGATCGATTCGTGACTGTAAATCCATTCTCGATTCTTCCTGATTATTATTCACTATTCCTCTATTTCATTGCCAGTATTTGACCGTTAAAATCGAGACAAAAGTTGGTCATTTCGATAGAAGCAGCCCCGTTGAGATGGAATTCGGTTGAAAACCCGAAATCGGTGTAATTTTGCGAAGGTGTGTCATTCTCACAATTTAGGTGGGGCTTCAGAAGATAGCGATTTTCGAATTAAGTAGCAGCGATCTCGCTCGGTTACATCAGTACAAAGACATTAATTTTTTATTATAATATTTTGATTGTTATGAGAAACTTGAAAGTAGTGTAATAATACTCACGAAGCAATATTCATCGCTCTGGTACCTGCGCTATAAATTTCGTCTAGTCGTAGTGGATATTAATTTTGAGACACAACATTGACTAGTCGTGAGTTATGTGGTAACAAATTGAATCGCAGATTATAGGCAAAGGAACCACGGTATTTATGTAAGGTTAAGTATAAGCTCTTTCTTTGAATTCTCGACAATAAATATCTATATTCATTTATTATGCTGGAATTTGAAGTTATTTAGTAGAACCCCTTTAACTCGTCTGCTCTCACTCGAACGTTATACCACATTCGGTAAATATTTACAGAAGTATGTTCTAATCTTGTTCGAGTCTTTCCTATTTCGAACAGGATTAAAATTAGCTGCTTTCTTTTGCGATTCAGTAGTGATGTTCTATGTAAACTGTGAAAACTTGCACAAATGACGAGAATCGATAAATACGTGGACGTGAGAGCAAAGATATGCTTTGGACAATCTAATTGGGATTTAATATCTAATTTTGTTGTGGGGGGTTAAACCCTCCCGATTTTCACGATGCTTTCGCCTTCCGTAGATTTTACACGTGTTTGTGATGTTTATTATGGCAAGTGGATTGAGTATCCCTTACTAACTTAAGGCTAACCCGAAGCGTGTGTTAATTTTTCTTTTTACTCGAGAAGACGAACCGAGAACGTCTAAGACTTGCTAAGAGGATAATAGTTTTTTTGGTAAAGTTTGGAGTCAACACCAAGCGACATTACAATAATAAATCTAAAGAAGTAGAGTAATTTATATGTTCATATCGTAGTGTATTAGTTTTTGTTTTGCATGCATCCGTTTTGTTTGGAAGGCCTTTTTAGTGCCTTGCCGCAAATTTGTCTTAAAATTTTGGTATTGTAGCACAAATTGCATGCTGTTCTATTGCTGATTGTAGAGACAAAAATACTTTAATTTTTCCCCCCTGCATATTATTGCAAATTGTAGTAGTGAATTAAGTCTAAGCCGTAATTATTTAGTGTTCCCTCATTAAAGACAAATTTTTGGGAGCAGAAAGGCCTAAAGATACAATTATTTTCCATTTATTTTTTAATTCTTGATCACAAAGTGAAACAGTTTGTTGATAGCTGGAACTACAGAGAGGCAAGAAAATTGAAAAAAGGTTGCTACCCTTCTAATTTGCATAGTATTATTGTGATATTGGTATCTTGCCACCATTTGAAGTGGCCTTGTGAAACTCACAAGTTGATATACATGTAAACAATAATGTCCTGATACCTCAGTTTTACACTTCACTTTCCAAAATATTTTTTCAGACCTTATTGTTAAAATGCTATGGAATTCGAAAGGTGTAGCATTGTATTTTCGTTTAGAAATGGTGTGCTGTACATGATAGTTAGGTCTAACAGAGTCAGAGTGAATGTTGTCTCAATGGAATTAAAGTGTTTTGAGTATGTAGACATTAAGAGACTGTCTCCTGTAAAATGTATTGTTAAATTATACTTAAGAGTTGAAATTAAAACTGAGCAATCATATGAGTGTTGGTTTATTTTGCATGTGTGGCTTGCATTACTCATTCTAGTTGCCAAGGGGTTAAACTTGGAGAGAAAAATTGTCAAAATCACTTGAAAAAATTAATGCAAAAATTAGCATGTCTCCAGAAGACTTTGCACCTTTAAAAATGGAACATATTGTTGTGCCCTGTCTAGTTGGAACCTGTTATAAAGGGTTAAAACAAAGTGAAGTGGATGGTATCATGCTTTACATATTAAGTGTGATTATATTTAGAAGGATTTGTGAAATGAGAAGACCTCTTGTGAGGTTCTGTATGATATTGGTTCAGAAAAGGTGTTAAGTAATATTCATGCAGTGAGTTTGAAGGTGTTCCAACATTTTTTTAATCAAAAGAACTAGAATTTTTTCAAAGGAAAAGAGTAGTTTTCTTAGTGTGGTTTTCTATGTGTGGCCTGGCAAATTGGAGCCAGAATGGGGTAGACATGAAACTAAGTGGGTTTGTGATACATGGCAATATCTGTTAATTTTTATCCGTCAGAATTGAAAATTGATAATCTTTTTTGTCAACAGTACTCTGATTAACAATATTAAAGTTTAGTCAAGTGTCACTGAAGAATGTCAACAAAAATTTAAAGGTTCCCTCTAAACATCAGAAAGTGGTCTAAAATAATGTATTGTGCTAGACTGGAAGGTGAGAAACATATTGACCCAATTATTTGGGGTAACAGAGTAAGGCTTTATTTCTGCTTCCCTTTTTGTAAAATTTGGTGGTGTTACACCAGCCTTCCCTTGTACAATGTTTGTTCTGAGAGGAATATGAAGTGAAACATCAGTTGGAAACATCTGCAATGCATTTTTTTGGGAGTGGGAATTTGACTGCCTGAGGTTGCATGTTCTTTTCCAACGATATGAAAGGAAATGAGAAGAGAATAATTTGGTAAGACTTTGTTGAAAGTGACCACCTTTTGGTTTTTGCCAGTTAATTATGATCAATTTGAGCTCCACTTTCAGCTCTTGCCCTCAACAAAGGGGGAATTATTGGAAATCTGAAAGAAATTGTAGAAGGAAAGGTGCCAATGTTACTCTAGGTCATTTTCCCTAAAGAAATATTGCATGCAAGGGTCCCTCCTGATCAGTGATTAAATTCTTGGGTTTTCAATTTGGATATAATTAAACTGCCATCACTTTTGGATTGAACATAGCATGCAAGATATGGTGGTCCAAAATCAACACACTCTACTCCCTATTTACCCAGTGTTTCTGTTTTGAAAGGGTATCAACAGTTTGAGTTGTGATCTTTTCTTTTGCCCCAAATGTTTTCATTGTGAAGGAATCTGGTGTTTGGCTAGTACATTTTTCAATTGTAGAGTAGTGCAATTAGCAAAGTAGGTTCCATCTTGACTGCAGTGGTTTTTAGTGTTATGGAAGGACCAACACCCTCTTGCACAAGGGGTTTCTCTCACTGATCCTCTTGCATAGTCACTGTAATTTGTTTTCATCATGCAGTGCTCTTTCTCCTCTTCTTGGGAGAAGTAATAATTTCATTTGTATAACCCTCAGTGACCTTAACCAAGGCCCACATGAGAGGCTGAACGGTGAAAGTTGTCTGCACCTGGGGATCTTGTGAGCCAGTAACACCTGTTTCATTGGCTGTTGAAGAGGTATTGCTCTCTGTCCAAAGTTACAGATCTATTTTTTGTCAAGAGCTTTCATCTGACAGAGATAATGTGTACAGCAAAGACAAAAGGATTATTGGGTCCAGAAAATGAAAATTATGTTTCCTGATTTAGGAGCTTCACTGTTTATTGAGCAGTGAAAATTTAGTCACATTTTCAAGCCTAAACTTAGGAATGGTACAAAGTGCAAAGTTCTTCATTTTGGGGGGATAATTTACAGGGATCATTTGGGTACATTTTGGGTTAATAATGGCTTTGATTTTTTTTTAATCTGGTCATGTGAACAGGAAATAGCAGGATAGCTTTGATCTGTAACAAAGTCTCAAATCAGGCACTTTAAACCCTAGGACTCACATGTGAAAAATGCTTCATTGAATTTTATCAATATCCTACTTTCAAGGATGAATGGAATGAGAGAGCACATAAAAATGAAATAGAATGTGCCAGTATACTGATTTCCGACTTTTTTGCTGTGGACCCTCCATGCTCTAATTTTATTACTATGAAATGTAATATTACAACCAAGTTGACAATGTAAATTGACCACTGTAGAGAGTTTCAAAGCTGATGTTTCAAGTCCTAGCCCTTCATCAGAGCGAATGTACTCTGAATTATGATTATTTATGTTCTCTAAATTATTAAGCTGAATTTTGACCCTTTCACTCCCTGCAGTGACCAAGGAGCAAGTTCTCCTAAAAACAGCTACAAAATGTTTTGCATGTTGGAAATGAGAGGAAAGAAATATATACACAAATTATCTGAGCTGAAATTAGAAGAACTGTGCAGAGAATTGATGTTTAGTTCTGAGAAGGAGGGAAGGGTTTCCCAATAAAGTAAAAGCTTTCACTGGTCTTTGTGTACTTTGTCCGGTGCATGCCTGAATGCACAAAGTCAAAGAGCAGGCTTTTTGAGATACCAAAGATTCAAAATTCTGCTCTCAAGCTGCCTTCCAGCAAGTTTGGAATGACAAACAAGGGAAACTTGACAAGCATGTTAATTCATTTTTCATTTTTTATGAACTTTGAGCTTTACCACTGAGCTGAATTCTAATAAAATGAAAGGTGCCTGACAAAATTGTGAGGAGATGTGGGCTAGGGGTGGGAGGTGGGGGTGTGTGCGTGGAGGGATGGTTGTTGCCATTATATGAATCAAAACTTGGAGTGGATATGCCCATGCGTACTTTTTAGATTCATATCACTGCTTATGAAGTCTAAATAGCCCTGGAATTGCAGACCTAATTCAAGAATTCAAGACAAAATTTTTCATCCACAAGAACCATAAATGCAGGATGAAGTAATTTCCAGGCAATTACATAATATTAAGAGTGGTGAGAAAATTCTACATAATCTTTGTGTGGGGTTTCATTAAGCTGTCTGTTCATCTGTTATCTGTTTTAAGTGGGAAGGGAAGGGGGGGGGTGGGGTTAATCAGATTATATTCAACTCATAATCCGTCACCACTCTTACCATCCTTGCCTTGTCATGTCAAGCCCTCTAAGGAAGGTCAGCGGTAATGTCCTTTATTTCAAAATGGCGGACGACATGTCAACGAAGTTGTTAGTGAGACATTTGCCCTCTCAGCTCAGTGTGCACGAGAAAACGGATTTACTGAAACATTTCGGAGCTAAAGAAGTAATATGTATGGAAAGGAGAGGAAAACTGGTGAGTATTAAATAATTTCTGTGTTAAATTTTGACTCATATATGGAACAGAAACCTGAAACGATTGTTGAGAATGATCGAGGCAAGCTTGACATGCTCTCACACTAGCGTTTTAACAGCCAAAAGTTATTTACTGACACATGAAAGATTTCCTGTATACTGTTAAGATCAACCAATGAATTTATTTTTTGTAACTGGAGATGATACTTTCTTGAAAACGGGGTGTCTATTTAATGGGCCTAGGTGGAAGAATTCGAAGATTAAAAATGCTTTATTTTCTTGTTTTGCTCTAAATATCGATGTCGTGAATTTCTGAAAATTGAGCAAAATATTATGTTTAGTGATGCAAGACAGCGAAAATTTTACAGATAAGTCAAACACTGACGGATAGATAATCAATGTCTGGGTTTACTGATCTTCATTTTCAGAGAGATGCTGCTTTTGCTGAATTTTCCACCCAAGCACAAGCTGCGCAGGTAGGTTTCTTTTCGTATTTATTTAACCCTTTACACCATAACATCAGTAGGCATATTCTCCATACTGTTCTCTATGCACTTCCTAGGATACTGACAAGGAGAATTTGTTTGATAATCAAGAGCTTCACTGATTTTTTACCATTCTCTTTATTGTCGTGACCCTATTGTGTGATTCAGCAGAGATACTGTAGGGAGAAATTACATGCAAGTCAACCCTTAGGGTTAAACAGTGATGCAGTTGTTCCTGGACAAGTCTGTTGAGTGGCAGAGGGCATAAATAGTTCTTTTACAGTCCATGTGAAACATTAACCTGTGAAAAAAAGGCTAGACCATGACACTGGAATCTTTGAGTTCTAATATGTTCTAGACTTGGCTGGGTTATTGTGTCGTGTTCTTAGGCAAAACACTTAACTTTTACATTGCCTCTTCCCACGCTGGAGTGTAAATGAGTACTAGTGAATTGTCAGGAAAACTTGATGAAATGTTGGGGGGGGGGGCAGCACAGCAGAACTGCACTTTAAACTGCATGTATTATCTCTAAATATGAAGGGGAGAGAAGACTGGGTTTTGTTAATGGTGGTGCAGTTTGAAAGGAGGATTGTTCTTACAGCTTGCAGTGTCTTAGTAACTTTATACCTGGTTGTGTCAGATTACTAATTCCTGCTAGAATAAAATGCCAGTTGGTACTACAACCCAGCAAATGCTATACATTTTTATACTTCACAGGCTATTTCTCAGTTACACCAGTCTGAGGTTCTTGGCAGCCGATTGACAGTAGAGTACGCTAAACCTCATCATGAACATCTTGCAGCTCAACAGTGTAGCAGGTAAATTGTGCTATTTGGAATTTCTGTGTTGTATTAAGTTACAGTCATGATAATATATAGAACATTTTTGACCCTCCCACCAGCAGACGCACTTTGACCTGATCCACCAAAACTTGTCCTTGTAAAATCCAGAAAAACAAATAGCTGCAAAAATATCCCACCTTCAGACTTACAAAAACTCACCTTGTATCCCTTGTAATTGAAAATTAATTCTTGGTCAGAATGATTTTAGGCCGATTTGATTTGCATTTTCCTTTTAATCTTTTCACTTTTATCATGACTGTGGTTAAACAAAGAAAAATATACAGAAAACTGGTATGAATTTAATGTATTGGTGTATGATAGTCTCCTTAGCCCTCCCCTCTGTTATTCAATAATTTGAAAAAATTTGGCAATCAGCTTTTTGTCCTTTTTGTTCTTTTGCTTGATTAAACTAAAAACAAATTTAAAAAAATTAAAGCTCCCTGCAAAAACTTGTGGTACAGTGTATATCCCGAAAAAGTTTTTCAGCATAGGACAAAAAGCAGCCAAAGTGCAAAATTTAACTCTTGTAAAATTTTGGTGCCTCACAGTATGATGTTGTCTGAATCAAAGAGGTTTTAAGTAATATAATATATGGCACTGTCTTTGTTTCATTATAATGATCATGATGAAATAAAACGAAGGGAAGGGTAAGTGAATCTTTTGTGGAAAATAAATGAATACTATGGAAACTGCAAACTACTTTATCCTCTCAAACTTGTAAATTGAACATTGCTAGATACAAACTTAACCCTCTATACCCTAACATCAGAATGCATATTCTCCATACTGTTCTCTATACATTCCTAATGTGCTGATAGGGAGAATTTGTCTAACAATCAAGAGGTTCTTTAGTTGATTATCATTTCTTTTCTTCTCTTGACCTTAACATGCGATTCAGGGGTGTTATTGTAAGGAGAATTGAGATGCTCGTCACTCTTAGGGGTTAAAGGGTTAAACTGTTTTATTGACTGTGTAATTTTAAGGGTCACCCCTTCAATTGCACTGGATGAAAACAAAAATGAGGACGAAGAAACAAGAAAATTGGAGACAGAACAAGCTGGTAGCAAAGTTAAAGTGAAGTCTGGTGACACACAAGGCATGGCACCAAGTTTAGGGTATGACAAACCTAGTAAATATTATGCTAATCAGAATTTCTCAGTCACTATTTTTTGATTGTTGGTTCAGTAGTAATCAGTGATGAATTTGCCTTGTTCCCAACATGTGGCTGTAATTTAGCTTAGTTGGTAGCAAGACCCAACTGGTATGTTAGAGGCACGGATTCAAATCCTGTCCAAGCCTAAATTTTACTGTAGGCTTCATTTCTGCAATTGCTAATTAAAAATTGCAGCTCAGCTGCTAAGATAATGGCTTAAATATTTGATTTACATGTTAATTAAACCTTTTTTTTCTTATTGATGTTACAAATGTACATGTCTCCGCATGATTGTTGGTACACAGACAGTTTGGCTTTCATTTGTACAGAATAAGCGACAGAGGTGAAATTTAAAGTTTTATGCTTTAGTAGCTAGGACAACAGAGATAAAAGCAATGAATGCAACCTGTCAAGGCTGATATATTGTTTACAGTCACCTTTTCACTTTTTGACACTTAAATGGTCATCTGTAATTTTTTTTTTCATTTGATTGTCAATTTTCGAACAAAAACGATAATGGAAGATAGCCTAGGGAGCCATTATGTCCAAAGTTATTAGTGATCATTAATCTGAACCAATCCTGAATATATAAAAAAAAGGCCATTAAGAGTAATTGTATTTATGTTTTTATGGATGATCCTTTTGTTGGTTTTTATCATAACCAGGAACTCTCTTTAGGTTATTTAAGATGCACGTACGTGTCTGGCTTCTAATTACTAGTCTATTATCAATTCCTGTATGTTTAATTCATGGAGGATACTGTTCCAGACATATTGTTTAAAACAATTTCCATCTGGTGTGCTCTTTTTTTCAAATAATATTTTTATTCTCTTAGTTTTCAAGAAAGCTCTCTCATCAAAAAGCACAATTTGTTTTTTTTAAATGTTTCTGAACAAAGACTTCACTAGTAAGTTTTTTTCACTTTATTTTATTGACCTTTTGTCAAAATTCTTTTTTATTATTGATGCAGACATTAGTTTGTTAGAATGATTTATTTTTAGTATCGTAGATTTTTTAAAAGTTGATATTGATAAATTGCAGAGGCTTTTAAGCATTAAAACTATACTTCTTACATGTGTATGTGAAAGTTGGTATGCTTTTGTCAAATGACAGTCATTATTACCTTTTTTTTACTTTTTTTGGAGCTATTAATTAAACCTAAATGTTCATGTTTCACACTTTCTTATTTAAGCTAAATTTTTCTTCCTGATTGTATGGAGGGAAATCATAGACTTAGTATTCAATGTTGTGGTACAAATAGAGGTTTGAATATATTTTTTGAACATTATTTCAGTGTCTAGAAATTCAGTTTGAATTATTAAATTGATGTTTCATTATTACGAGCTGAGTGGGCTTGTTTGATGTGCCTTGGCTTTAAAGTATTTTAAAATAACTAAATTATAGTTCTTTTGTTCCAGAATTAAGTACAATTGCAACCCAAGTCTTCACTATGTCTACCCTCCTGTAAACACTGCAATTCTCACCAACATCGCCCACACATTGGCATGTGTTCCAAAATTTTATGTCCAGGTATGAGTATCAAATTATATTGTAAGCTACATTTGATTGGTTCTTTGTTATGAAGTAATGAAGGACAAAGTGTTTTTTTCTTTGATGTATAAAACAAATAGATTCCATGTTGTCATGGGTCTGTTGATTAAAATTTCACAGAAGATGTCAATGTGGCAAGAACCGCTGCAGTAACACATCTCTTTTGTTTCTTAAAACAATTGAGCATCATCTGTAACCTATTATTGAACAGAGGCACAGCAGCATGCAATCTATTTCTTAACCTTTTAGTGCCCAAGATCTCATGAGTAATTCTCCTTACTGTCTGCCATACAATTCTTATGATGCTAGTTCTGAGAATTTGGTACTGGATCTACTAGAAAATCCTCAAACTTATATTTTTCTTTATTCTCATCACCTGTCTGCTTGATATTGTATTGATTTTGTAAGGAGAAATTCTCTCTTGGTCACTCATGGGAGTTAAAGGATTGATTAGCAGTTAACTCTTCCATTGTTGCCATAACTTCTGGAAAAATGATATTGTGATATTTAATTGTTTTCCCAAGCATCATTGTTTATTAGTTTTAAATTTATGCTTCAAAGTTTTCTCAATTTGATTTTGCTTTGTTCTAAACTTAAGTTTGTACCATCTGGGAGGCTGAATTAGATGTAAATTTTCAAGCTTCAGTTCGACTGTTGAGTGTGAGTTGCCACTTTTTCTTGTTGTTTAGGGGAGTAAGTATTCATTTTTAATATATTTGTTCCTAGGTTTTGCATCTGATGAACAAAATGAATCTTCCTGCTCCATTTGGACAAATTACCCCCACCCCACCCTTTGTAAGTATCTACAGTGCTGCATGTGAGTTTCTCTTGACTCCCCTTATGTAAAAATTATTTCTTTGACATAGAGGCTAGCGTCCAGTCTCTGTCAATTTAAGTACAATAAATTTATTAATTAGAGTTAACTACTTAAGATTCTCTTGGCTCCCCTTATGAGAAATCATTTCTTTAATGAAGAAGTAAAAGTCCAGTCTATGTCAATTAAAGATTAGTGAATGTATTTATTGGAACTTAATACAGCATTTTAGTTGTAGGGAAAGCTTTTGGAAAGTCTGAAACTCCAAAAAGCAAACAAACAAAGAAACAAGTTTACCTCAAGGAAAAAATAGCTTTGTCAATTACTTTGAAACTCAGCAGTCATGGGCTTCCTGTTGTTTTTCAAGTTAGGTGAAGTACCAGAAGCACCGCAGGTGGCTTCATCAGATGACGACAGATCTATGTCCAGCGACGAGTCCGAGTTAGAGAGCGATGAAGAAGAAAGGCAGAAAAGGTTATATGTAGTTGCTGTTTTTGTGGGATGTGGTGTAAGACTAAGTCGTGCATTTGTGTTTTGAAGCTACGCAATTTTTCACAAAAAGTCTGTTCCACACCGATAACTTGGGTCATTTAGTGGGTTGGTGGTCAGAGTGATGGACTCTGAAATGAAAGATCTAAGTCAAGTCCTCAGTACATGTATACTAGGCCAATATGTTGTGCCCATGGGCAGGACATTTTACTCTCACAGGGCTTATCTCCCTGTGAGAATAAATGGGTCTTGGTGAAGCTAAAGGGAAGCGTATGAAAATAGGGGAGGGGGTATAACGCTACAGTAGACTTGAATCTCATGCGGGGATTATAAGTGAACATTCTCCTACATGCAAGATATTTTGGCGACTTTAGTTTCCGCTCCCTTTGGTGTTAATCTGTGGGAATTGTGGAAAAAGATGAGATGCAAACAGCAGCCAGAAGGCAATGCGCACTCTTACTAAGACATACTTCTTACCAACCGAGTTCGAGGTTCGTATTTCAAGTTACAGACCGAGTTTTTTTCCGTTCGAATGTATGCCCAAGCGCGAAGTGAGCGGGCAATAAATGTAAGCGGAAAAAACAAGGTTCCATAAGTTACAATACGGACCGAGAAAACGAGTTTAGTGAAAGATTAATTACATCTCTGGGTTCAAGCAGAGGGGGAAGATTTGAATTCAACCTAAATGTTGAATTTAGCGCACCGTACTGTGAAATACGGCCTGCTAAATTGACCAATCATAGCGCACGCACTAACTGAGAAATGTCATAACAATCAGTCAGAGAGCCCCTGTTTAGAGCTAAGCTAGTCGCCGCAGACAATAGTTCCTTAGCGTGCGCTAGAGAAAGAACCTGTCAGATGTACGGAGATGCGTATTTCAGTTTCTTTTGGGTCATTAAGGACTTTTTTGCAATTTTAGAGCGAAAGAAAGGGCTGAACATGCCCAAAGAATGTCTGCTTCCAAACCAGGCAAAAGTGCCCAGAAAAGACCCAAAGTAAACCTTCCAACATCAAAACCACCAGCCAAGAAAGTCAAGGCAAGTTCTTCAACCAAACAAATACCTGTAGAGAAAGCATTTGAACAGCCTTCCGGCCAACCAAAGAGGATTGAGTTCAAGCTCATAGAGGCCATCTCAAATATATTTGAATCTGCAGCATATACTGAGGCTACAGGTATTATGCAAGTTTCTCGTTTGATGTGTTCAAGAAGGGGATTTTTAGTGAATAGGCCCAATTATTCGATATATAGTTAAATGGTTTGAACAAGGGGGTAACATTTGATCGTGTACTCTGATCGTACGGGTGAGAGTAGTCAGTTCTGAAAAGGACTATTTTCGATATAGTGACATAATGATTGGTCGTTGCGATTACTTTGGTTTCGGCTTTACGACAGTCATTCGGAATACGCTGACTAGTGGCTGCGAGTGAATTAGTCCACGATCTTTTAGTTAGCTATGAAATTACTTGATCAGAGACCCACCCAGTTTGTTACTTGTTACATGCCCTTGACTTCCGTCCACAGCTGTTGCGCCTCCAGAGGCAGAAGGGTTTGGTAGATTTGAGCCTCCAGCGGATCTTGAAGATGACAAGGACGAACTTGAAGAAGAAGAAGAGGAAGAGGAGTCTGTTTCTGAGGAAAGTAGCGAATTTATCTCATCCGCCGAACTGCGCAGAAACAGAATAAGTACCAAAGGTAAAAAAATCAAGTTTTAGTTGATGTTTACACGCTCTCACCTGTGATACATGTGACGTTCATCTTTGTAAGGATTGGTAATTTATAATAATTTAACAACCTGACATACCTTGAAATTCCAGTTAGAAAATTGGGGGGGGGAGGGGACATGCCCCCTCCCGTTTCCCCCTCTCCTCCCTCCTCATCAACACTACTTCTGTAAACTCCTTCTTACGTCTCTGTGTGTCTAATGACTTTATTTTGGTTTTATTGCGCAGAAATGCCGGAGATTTCTGCTTTCAAGAATTATACACCCGGAGATCCGACATGCAGGCTTTACATTAAAAATCTGGCAAAAACAGTCGAAGAGAAGGTAAGGGATTCGCCTGTTCATTAAAGTTGATATTTATGGGCATTTATCGCCACTTTTAATCAAGCACGCTCATGAATTGCCGAATGTCGACTCTCTCTTTTAATTACTGCGTAAATACATAAAGAAAGATCCCAGGTATTTCAACTAAAGTTTATTGCTCTTGTCTGTTTAACCCTTTAACTCCCAAGATCTCATTAGTAATTCTCCTTACTGTCTGCCAAATGATTCTCTTTATGTTATTTTGGAGAATTTGGTATCAGATCAATTAGTAATCCCATAATTGATATTTTTCCTCATTCTCATCACTTGTCTGCATGATATTGTATAGATATAGTAAGGAAAAATTCCGTCTTGGTCACTCACGAGAGTCAAAGGGTTAAGAGCAGTTTTCAATTGAGTGTAAAAGTTGTCTTCGTACTTCATCCTCTCAACCAATCAGATAGAATCCCAACACCAAATGTAACTCTGCTTCAGGCCGTTTGCGTATTTTTACTGGATTTCTTATTGGATCTTTGTGTTATTTCCTTTCTTTTTGGCTGTTGTGATAAATGTTGGTCTCCATTTCACAATTCTTGTCCTCAAAGCTTAGATTTGGCTTCTTCAGTTTTTTCTATAGCTAATAATGAAACGTGAGGCGAAATATAATTACATTTGGTTTCCGCGACAGATTTTAATTTTCTTGTCCATGTTTTAGAATCAACTGAGTGTTAAGGTGAATTAATTTTGTTTCTAGGATCTCAAGTACATTTTTGGTCGATACATAGATATCAATATGGAGGAAGAGAGAGACAGGTATTGAATGGAAATGAAACTTCTTATGTACGTGAGAATATGTAGAAATGGCTGAGAGAGGTTATCTCTTAGGGTCAGACTTTGTTTGTTATTCTCACACTTAACCCTTGAAGTATGTCTTGGGTCGGCTGGGCGATCATTTTCCTCAGTAAATTTTACTATACTAGATGTAAACTCTGTCTCAATGAAATTACAGTAATCGACCAGATCAGTAATCTTTTGTTGGATTCCTCGATTACAGCCTTTGAGAAATCACTGTTGACCATTGATTTTTTTTCCTTGCTCTTTTGATAAAGTTGCGGTAGAGTAACAGAGTAATCAGGAATTTCACTTCGTTCTGTGATTGCTCTAAAGATATCGCGCCACCCTCTCAACCAATCACAATCAAAACTAAAACTAATAGGGACTTGGTCACTCGCGTTTTCCTGTGCTTTAGGCAGGTTACTTGTTTTTTTGTTTGTGTTTTTCTTTTAAATCCTCGTTGGCTCGTAACCTTTTTTTTTTGTTCAAAGTGGCTGCTTTTGTTCTGATTCTAGACCCTCAATCGAAATGAAATGACGTTGAATTATTCAGAGTAGGAAAGATAACGCCACGTATTCTGCTCCACCCTCTGTTAATACTAGTATGAAGTTTGTTTTTTTTATGTGGATCAAAACTGCTCTGTTTTGCTGTAGATTTGACATCCGGCTGATGAAAGAAGGTCGCATGAAGGGCCAAGCTTTTGTTACATTACCGAGTGAAGAGAAGGCAAAAAAGGCTCTCAGAGATGCACACGGTTACATCTTGCAGGGGAAACCCATGGTTATCGTATCCTTTTGTATAGAGCTTGCATGGAATAAGCAGCGGCTTCCTATTTAAGCGTTTTGAGATCACTATGTTGAGCGAGTGGAAACAACCGACGCAGAGCGCGAGTGACTGGTGACGAACGCAACGCGCGAGGGACCATAGGAAGAAGGAACATGAGCCTCTTTAACCATACCTTCACTTCTCTGCGCTCTTGATTCATTTCCGTTAAGAGGCGTCTCAAGGTTAAGATAGGATCTTTGGGTGGGAGCCGGGTCCTCCTTAGTACCACGGGTAGGGGATGAAGATTAGGAGGGTAGTGTCTGAACGTCGTCTGAAATGCTGTACTGATCTGTGAAGTACGCTTCCTCTCTCTCTATACCACATAAGTGGTGTGGACAATTTCCAAGAACCTAACGGTTTATTTTTAATTAAAAGCCCAGATTTGATAAAGGGACTGTACTGTTTAAAATGCTCTTTGGCTCCCTAACCCTACCCCCCCCCCCCACTCTCCATTAAAACAACAACAACATTATCCTGAAGGTGGGGCATTCCTCCTTAACTGGGGCGTGGCCTATAATTCACTCTTCACTTTCGTTGTCATTTAACCGCATTAGTTTACTTATTTGCTTGTAGTCCTTAACAGTGTTTTACAGCAATTTGCACGATCAGCGAAAGCAAAGGACTGAGGACGTATTCGCGGCAAGTTCGAGAAGTTAAGCAGTCACAGAACCCAAACGCAACGTAGTAGGAGCTGGACGTAGTGATAATCGCCAAATGTCACAAAAGGAAGTAAGGTTTTGCTGTTACACGATTCGTCCCTTCAGTATTACGCCGTGCAAAATAGCGCGTGATCAAGTGTAGACCCGGACGAGTTTGGTCTGGTACCAAGATCTCTCCGGGCCGAGAGGTGATTCGCACAAGTATGGTCTTGGCTCTCTATCAGGATGACCTGAAGAACGGACTTGATGAAAGCAAATGGCGCACCTTGAGAAATCTTGCACTGGTATTGTCTTTCTTTGTTCTCTCAATTCAACATCTGCAAGGACGCGCAGCATTTAATCCGTAAAATTTCATTTAGGTGACGTAATGGTGGAGAGAGAATTATTTGTTGTTAGTGGTTGGTTGATGCTTCAACCAATCAGAGACAAGTATCGAAATTCAGCGCGTCATTAGTGTAATACATGACAGGAAGAGCCTGATGTTCAACTATTATTTTTATTTACTAATATATATCAATCAACAAGGGTTTGGATTTGAATTTCATAAATAAATAAAACAAATCCCACATTCCTGTGGGATCACTCATACTGAGCTATGATCATTTTAGAATACAACTATCTCTTTACTACAAAGTGTGTATCTATCAATTTCTGCTAGTGTTTTGGCGCGTTGTTTAGTCTGTTCACCAGCTCTCCGCGGCCCTGTATCTTGTTTCTCTCCAACTAACGAAGTACTCGAAGACTGGCCAGAATCCAACAAAGTCACGGAGGCCTGGGTTTTGAGCTTCTGTGTCGAGGCTTGGTTACTGTGTTGTCTGTTGTTAGTTTCCAGGTCCTGTTTCTGTTTCACGTACTGAGTTGCTTTGCCGAGAAATATAATGCTGTTTAACACTTTCACTGACGTAAGGCTGTCAATGGAAAATTAGATGACAAGTTAGATCAAGCTTTCGATCAAAAATATATTTGCTCCTAAGAAAAACTATTTTAATTTGTCTCTTAAAAAGAGAGGATGTAAGGGGTTAAGGCGGATAGCTGCGCCCTCGACGTTATAGGGAATGACTTGGTGGTCGTCTACTTGTCCGTTTGAATAGAGCAGATTCTACCATTGTGCAAAAATCGTTGACACCAGTTTTCAGTCGCGAAGCAGAACACCTCACCATGGACATTTACGTTTCTACAGTATTTTGTTATGATAGTAAGAGCCATGTCGATTGTACAACATTACTTACAAGACAAATGTGGCCAACATGAGAACAATTCCACCCAAGCCATGTATCTTGACAGACTGGGCCACCTCCTTAATAACCTGAAAACATCATCACAAGAAACTGTCAAATACCAACAAGCCTTCATAGAGTCCTTACGTAGTCAGGACGGCAACGACAAGGCAAACGTCCTTAAAAAAATGAATTAATTTGTTTTTGCTAGAATTCCGCAAATAGCTGAAAGTGGTTACCGTCCCTTACGGAGCCACACGTCACCTTCAGCATGATGTATGGGAGAGGTGTTAAGAAAACTTAATGTATGTGAGAGGCGTTAAGAAAACTTAAATAATTTGCCATCAGGGTTTGCGATCTCGGATTTCATGTTATAGTTTCGGGGGGGGGTGGGTGGGTGTGGGTGTGGGTGGTTAACACTTTCACTCCCAGATCAGATTTGTAATTCTCCTTATTGTCAACCATGAAATTCTTATGTTAGTTCAGAGAATTTAGCATTGGATCAACTTATTATCCCCAAATTGAAATTTTCTTTATTCTCATCACTTATCTGGTTGATAATCTATTGATATTATAAGGAGAAATTCTGTCTTAGTCACTCATGGGAGTTGAAGGGTTAAGAAATGAAAAAAAGGTTTTTAAACGCACGTGCTAAACTATTGTTCTACTCATTAGATATTTTATTTTGCCAAATCCTCATCGCCTTCGTGATTTGTTTAAGGTGCCTAATGTCCCGGTTCTTACGACAACAGTTTTTCCCCTTTTTTTTGACACGACAAAGAGTACTTCAATTCGAAAGGGTCACTACCTTACCTTACCCCAAAATCCATAAACCAAAATCCTTTCAAGCGTCTTTCATTGCACGCTCTCTGATTACCACAAAAACTCGGGGTTCAACATGCGCCTTAAAGATTTACATGAGAAACTGGAACCTTGGGATCAGCAGAACGACTGGCCCCACCCTGTCGGCTATAAAAAGGGAGTATCCCTACCTTACCCTCCCTTTACCCTTCTCTTTGAAGCTACTCACCAGAGATCCCAGTGGAAGAGGAATAAAACCCATTCGACGAGAAACAAGATCGAAATGATCGTTGTGAGCCTTTTAAAATAAAAAGATAAATGTATAGCGTTGTAGGAGGTGTTTTCATGCAAAGCAAAAAAAAAACCTCTACCAACCTGAGTAACTAACCAAAACCAAAACTTTAGTAATCATAACAGCTAATCAGAACACAGGAAAAAAAGACTGAAGAACTAATAGGAACTCAGAGTAAAAAGAACAAACTGATTCAAGCGAGGGAAAATGCGATTGACTGATTGGTTTTAGTTTGACTCTGATTGGTCGAGAAAGTGGCGCGTGTTTTCTGGACCAATCATAGAGCGAAGTAAAGCAAACCAATCCAATCACGGTTTACTTTCGACATTCAATTGAAAATTACTCTACAGTCCTCAAAGTAAATTCTTCAAGCGGATCCTTTATAAGTTTTTAGGAAACTTTTAAAACAAACAAACAAACAAACAAAACAAACGTTTTCTTACGTTCTTCTGTCGACTTGAGGTCGCATCTTCAGCAAGGAGAGCTCTATATTCGCAGTAAACCTAAAAGTAAGTAAGTGAAGATAAAGACTAAGTAACACAGAAGTTAAGTTTCCGTTCTCATCGACAACTGCTGGCTTACCACTAGCTTGAACCGACTGTTACTCTCCCTGGGTAGGATGAAAGTTCAATGTGGGTCACCCTTCCCCACCTTGTTAGAATCCAAAACACTTTAACAGAAAAGAAACTTGTAAAGGGCACCCGTTAAAGTGCGGAAAAATGCCCATGTTACGGCTGTTGTTTTTCATTTCATCTCATTGGTTGACTAACTACTCAGACTGCAAGTTTTTTGTAACCAATCACACAAAGCAATGTAGCAAATCACTCAAATGCCGGACTGTTGACAAAAAATTGGAAAAAACTGTGCACGTGACATACCTCTACAGGAATACTATTGAATTTTGTGATAAAAGCGTGTTTGATCCAATCCACAAAATACTCCGAAGACAACACAGCCAACAGATATGGACAGATAACATATAAGTGTTCTGAAAATAACAATAGGTACTAAGTGGTTGGAAAGATGAAAAAAGCTCTAACCTCTTCATAATATATACCTTTAGGCAAATGTTTAAATCTTAGTCTATAAAAATTGAGTGTCAATTCAATTAGATGAATTCTGCTGTCTTAATGCTCAGAGAAGTAGAGATATTGACAGAGATATCTCTAGTCTACACAAGGAAGGACAATAAACAGTAAACGCAAGCACTTTGAAAATCTGTAACTTTTGCAAATGGTTGAAATGAAACACCTTGTCTTCTCCACCATCAGACTGAATTTAGCTCTCTTCCAGCACATCATTAGCCAGAGTTGCCATTTGGTGCCTTTCTTTTGAGACACCTCCATGTAAGGGACCCCAAATTTGGTCGTGACTGAAATGTTCACATGAAACTTACATCTACTACCTAAGTTGGAGGGGCATCTCTATTCAGGGGACACTTTTTCTACTCCCCAACATGTTCCTTTCAATGAGATTCCATAACACTCACCAGCATTCCAATTAAATTCTGTTAAATTCCTAAGCGTGACAATCACCACCAACACAATGTAGTAAAATCTTTCTCTAATATCTGCGTATGGAGAAAAGGTAATCTTAGAAAAACAACTCAATAAGGAGTGCAAAAAAACCTTCAGAGACATCTATCCAAATGGTCAAAAGGGAACAACAGTTGAATGTTATTCCAACTATAGTATGAATTAAAGAGAGCTCTTCACTGGAGAGCCATGGAACCAAAAATAAGTAATCAAAGATTAATACCACCAAGGAGCTTACATATGAGAATTCAAATAAATACATGTAAACAACCTCCAGCAAGGGATAACTAAGCTTCAGTTTTGTAACTAACTGGTTGAAAACTCAGGATTGTGCATATTTCCCAGCTTAATTATTGTTTGGCACTTATTTATCTATTTAAATTACCAGGTGAGCAGATGGCAATTTCAAACACCTACCACTACATGCCATTTGGAACAAGTTGTTCTTCTCAAACCTCTTGAAAACACTTCCTTTCAGTTCAACAAACTATAACAATCAAGAAGATTAAATGTCAGCAAAGGCTTTGTTGAGAGGAAAAACTGCAGCCACCAAGTTAAGTTTCTCTTGCTATTTCTGGTCATCAATTAGCCTGCTAGGGCCTTGGACTCTAAAGCAAGGTTCAAAAGTATGTGTAAATTTTTTACACAGGAGGCAAATGATGATCACCCTCTTTGTTTCAATTGCCTTGTGGCACAACTGGGTCCCTAAAAAGTTTGATTCATAAAAATTGGCCCTCACAGCAAAAACTAAAATGCAACAGTATCAAGACCTTTGATACCTCTGCTTCTTTGACTAAAACATATAGCTGCTCCTGAACGATCACCAGTTGAGTTATGAAAAGACTTTCAGTAAGTCGTCTGCTTACAACTAGCATTGTTGTCAACAATCAATTCTTGATCTCATTTGTGTTTAGCTGATCCCAATCGTGTGCTTAATATCAAACCACTTCATTTTCCATAACAACAATCTTAAGAACTACACCAATAATGCTCTTACTTGGTTTGACACCATGATTACTAACAAAGCTTTGTTGTGTGAGTTCACAGCGACATTGAGACAGATGGCCTGGAACAGTACCAACACAGCATGGAAAACTAAAAGAATTAAGGCAAACAGCTACAAACGGTTGTGTGTCTTTGATCTGAAACAGCACATATTGTCATGTGGTCCTTTGCTGACCTACATACTGGTTCATATTCCTAGAGATAAACTTGATTGGCCCCTGGCCTACATGCTGCACCTGGCTAGCTGTTGACTGTCATTTGGTTGCCATATGACCACTTTATTTGGGCCGTTCCATCATTCCAGATGTGTCTTTACCTTCCTCCTTCCCCAAGGGGGCTTTCATTTAGCCCTTTGGGGCTCCTTGTTTCCTCATTAAAAATGCCCAGAGAGATTCTTTGTCTTATTTGTTTAAGAGGGGTGTGGCAGGGGATAATTATAAAGTAAGAGAGCCCTAATAAATCCACTGAGAAAAAAATTTGTGATCCATGTGAAGGATACACACATAAACTACAGCCATTGCAAAATGTGGAATTATCCCAATATGTTCTCTTCTCCGGTCTCTTGGTTCTGTCGCAGTCCAGAAGAGAGCATCTAATATGTCTTGACCCACAGACGAAAAGAGCCTGTCTGCAATCTGTGGTTACAAATATGAGAAGAATGTTACTATCCCTTTACAATGAACTTTGCTAGAAGCAAATTGGCATTCTAATCCATGCCTGCATCAGTATCTTCTGTACTTTTTTTGTGGCAAAAGAACTGAAAACCTGAAAAGTTTCACCTACTTTCCCTTTTTTTTTATATTCTTTAAACAAATTGTAAAATCAAATCTTACATCAAGAATGAGTCAGGCTAACCTTGATTCCAAAAGTAGTACTAATCTACAAGCACTCTCTCCTTTTCTGCAAAGTCAATTGCCCAAATCACAAAAAAATCAGTGAAAAAAATTGTTGTCAGCATAGAGAGCGGAACTCTCTTCTTTTTATATGCCTCACACCCACATTTCTGTGCTGTGCACTAGCATCAATTTTTTTTCATTGATTTTTTTCTGACCTGCATGATGGATTTTGCCAAAAATAAGGGACTGCTTGTAGTCTTAAGTAGTGCCTATCAGAATAACTATGACGATTTTTATTAACTGCACCTCTAACATGTTGTAAATGACATAAAGTTTGATGACTGATTGTCCACGGACAGTGTGATACAACACTGAAAAGTCCACATGGGTCAGAAGCAACCAACATGTCACGAGAATCGATCCTGTAAATGATTCAGACTCATATAAGGAGATGTTTTCGTCAGATGCACAATATACATTAAGTAAAAAGACATAAATTAGCCATAGAAATAAAATGAGGACTTGCCTTTTAACAAATCGCATATCTGGACAGGCTGTAGCATCCGTGATCTGTGCATTGAAAATATCAAGAATGGCAACCTGTGAGATGAGCACAGCTAAAAGTTTGACGGATATTGTTTAAAGAAGATATGCAACAGCTTGTGAATCAAATTAAGGCTAAATTTTTCAATTTCTCTCAGGTGTAGTCATTTTTGATGTGGCTCACTCATGTGCTTATATGAAACTGCTATGAACTGATTTTTTCATTCACCAACATGAAAGGTAAATAAGCATAGCTCTTATCTTACGTTCTACAAAATAACAGCCCTGTAATGATCTTGTACAGAGCAACAACCAAACGAACTGGAAGAAATGTAAACATGAACAGGAAACAATCCAAGCACAGCATGAAACCAAACACCATCAACTGCAAAAAGAAAAATAGAAAATTGGACTTATAGTAAAATCAAGTTGTTATGATGAATCAGGTGAGGATCTGTATATATAGAACCACTCTTATTGCAAAAATCTAGGCCTAGTCTTCACTCAAATTTCACATGAAAAACTAGATATACTCATTTAATTTTCCATGTGTAAAGTTGTGTGAAAAGCAACTTTATCTGAAAAAACTTAAATAATGCAAGTACCTTGGATCCTTGAGTGGAATTTATGACTTAATACAAACTACTCCAGACTTCAAACACAGGCAATTCCAGAATTAAATCAATATTTTTGCCATTGGTGATTGAATATTTTTGTTTCAATCACCAAATGGAACAGTTGTGGTTGATGAAAAAATCTGATTTATAAAATTGTCGCCTTAAAGTAAAATACAAACTTGCAAAGCTTAAAGTCAGTTGTCAACTACATGTAGTCACTAACTAATTCTGGTTGACGACTATCAATTTTCAACTGCACTGGCAAACAGCTGTTGTTGAATCTGACCCTGTACTCTGTTGAATGATACCTGCCACAATTCTTTCAGGCTTTCCTGCTAGTCTGACAAATTTTTTTGACTACCAGGTAGAGAGAGGTACCATGAAAGCAAAGATTCTTTCCCAAAGACATGACATAATGATCATGTGCTGCTTTAATTTGCATTTTACCTTCTCAAATTCCCTTGGAATCTTCATGAACGTGTACACTTTCTGGCGTCTTTCAGTGTATTTCTCTTCTTCAAGCTCCATCAGCTTTCCACTAAAAACTTCTGCTGTGAAGTATCTCATGAATGACAGCTCTGAAATTAAATTGTAGATTTTTTTAAAATTTCTTTCATATTCTGAGAGAATCAGCTTGAGAAATAATTAGATGCTTTAGACTTACTTTTCAAACCATCATTAAGTTTCTCCTCTGAGGAAGCTTTCGTGATTTGTGGAACATCTCCATGCGGGTCTTTTGGGTATGATCGCATTTCTGATTCCATTGTTTTTAAGGATTGAAAGTTACTTTTTGGTATTCTAGTGTCTTCATTCGAATAGCCCACCCTCTCTTGTCGTTGTAGTTGTTTTTGTTGTACTTGGTACTGCTGTTCTTCTTGTTGTGAAAATCTGTGTCTGAATTCTATCTCTTGTGTCTTCTCATCATTGTCAAATCCTACTGATGTTATCGTATCTTCACGTTGAACTCCTTCCTCGAAATCTAACAACACTCTCTTAACAATCCCTTCCTTATTCTCGTATTTCTCATCAACACCAGCAGCATATTCGACAGACTCTATGTGATCCTGTTCTTCAACACTCAAGGTATTAACCAAATTTTCGAAGCCATGTTCGGTTTTTTTCTCCAATTCCGTACTGATTCTATCATCTGGATTCGACCATGAGTCCAAAACATCTCTGTGAATAACGACCTCGGTGTCTGAATCTTTAGGAGACGCTGCTGAAGACGAAAAATCAAAATTTTCCTGTCCTTCTGAGAGATCAGCCATGTTGTTCACGTATTATCGTTCCCAGAGCTACTCGTTTGTGCTAAGTAAATAGAGCGCAGGAGCGCATGTAATTGTAAGTACTTTCCGCTGACTAATAGTGTATCGTGGTGTCACAAAATATAGTCCCCAGTATTTCGCGGATTTAGTTACCATGACACCTCTGAAAACTTTTGCATGGCGGCATTTTCCGTCGATCTCTAAAGTGTTTTCACATTCATCAGCAACAGTACTGATGTTGTGATATCATTTGAGGGAAAAAACTATTTAAGAAAAATGTCGAGGGCACAAGCTGAGAGTGTCATAAAAAACATAATACGCGAAATCGCTCAAGAATGCGCCAACAAAGGGCAAGCAGTTTCGGAAACGCTCGTAGCATTTATGGTCGGTACTTTGATGTTGACAAAATATCGGCCCTGTTTTACTTCCTTTTTATCCAATCAGTTGAGTTAAACGCTTCCTTCTATTCTTGATTGTATTGTATTTTTTTCATTCCAGGTTAAAGCGGTAGTCTTAGATCCAGACAATGAATTTAACGTGGACAGAACTTTGACCAAAGATGATGTACAAAAACTCATTATGGTAGGTAAAAGATGGCGACAAGATAATATCACAATGTATTGTCTACATATAATAGTTTAGCTGTGGTTAAAGTGCTCTGGTTTGCTCTTTTTCTTATCTTATCACTGATGTTTATGGTGTAACTTTTATAAATCTGGGATTAGAAAAATCACAAGAAATTCTCATCAGATCTTTTCCTATTTTAACATACAATTTGTAGTAAGTAGTTTATCTTCTTTCCACAATCTCATGGAGATATAGTGGGACCTGGGGGGGGGGGGGGGGGTTTGGGGCTGACGCAATTTTCACTCTATTTAGCACCGCCTTCCTGGGGAATTTTTTTTTGTTTCCCACAAACATTTTTCAGAACCTCAATTTATTTTGTGCTTTGAGTGTATAGTAATTTAGGGCAAGGAGGTGTTTAAACTTTAAAGGTGGGGTAAATCTCTAATGTAACTACCCAAGTACTGCAAATCTCATTTAAAAAATGGAATCCGAGTAAAGGAAACTATGAGTGACATTTGATAAAATTCAGTGGTTCTCATCAAATGAATTATGGGCGCCTACAGTTTAAAAAGTCAAAGGTGTTATCAAGTTTTATTTGTATTGATACTAGCTATGTTTGGTCCCATGAGTGACCAAGACAAAATTTCTCCTTTCATTATCAATGCAATATCAACCAGATAATTGATGAGAATAAAGAAAAATATCAATTTGGGATAATTAGTTGATCCAATCCAAAACTTCTCTGAACTAACCTTATAACGATTGTATGGTTGACAGTAACAAGAATTACAAATTTGGTCTGGGGAGTCAAAGGGTTAAGTTAAGGCCTGAGTTTTCCACTTGATCATTCAGTTTATATGAATGGGACTTACAATACTTGACTGACAACAAATCTCACCTCATTTGACTCTAATGCTGACTTTGGTCATGACTACAAACAACAGTCCTTCTCAAGTCAGTTGTCTTGTATAAAATTGGATTACACATTCAAATGTCACTCTTGGCTGCATGGGTTCAAGCCATTTACTGTAAATGATTTGGTTTTATAAACTAAGTTTATAATGTTAATAACCCATAGTATAGCATATTTGACAACGTGCAGCTTAGAAACTCGTAATGGTGGTCAATTTACATGATCAATTCAGTTGATAAAACCAAATTATCCTTTTATACTTCCCCACCAATGCAGCACCAAAGTTTCTTTAGCAACTTATTTCCTCAATTCATTTGCTGTAAAGTTTTTTAGATTTCAGTTAAACGAAAACAACAGCAATAACATTGATTGTGGTAATGGTTAAAAAGCAACGAGAGAGGTGATTGTTTGAGATGTCAGCGGAAGTGAGATGTCATTCAAATAAGGAAACAAACGTGTTGATATACCCTTTTCCAAATGTTGGAGAGTGTCAAAGTTCTTTTTAATTAATAGAAAATTTGTGCATTATTATCAATGGTGCGTTTAAATTTTTAGCTGCTATTTTGGACAAGTGTCCATGCCTTGGTGTATCTCAGTCTTCACATATTTGTTTTGTTAATAGTTGTGTGTAGATAGACTGTTGGACTCACAATCTCCATCTTTGGATACAGTCAAGATGCAGGTTTATTTTGACATGAATTACACCAGTCGAGGTATGCACAAATTTTATATTAAAATTGCTCTGAAAAATTTGTTGTCTAATTAATTGCTCCTTTCTGTCCCTCAGAGGGATAGGGCCTGCCCTTCCCTTCCCTCCTCCCCTGCCAAAAAAAACAACAAAACAAATTGCAACCGATAGGGTGTGTACAAACAAATTGAGACTGGGACAACATGACGCATTTGAATTGCTATGCCATGTATTTTTACTTGACTGTACTTTTTTGTCTGTATCTCTGAGCATGAGCTCTTTGACCCCTAAGAGTGACTAGCATCTAATTTCTCCCTTCATTATCACCCCTGAATCACACATTCGGGTCACGAGAATAAAGGAAATGATCACCAACTAAAGCAGCTCTTGATTGTTAAACAAATTCCCCTTCTCAGCATCTTAGGAAATGTATAAAGAACAGTATGGAGAATATGCATACTGATGTTAGGGTGTAAAGGGTTAACCCTTTTGCTTTCCAGAGGATATTAACATGTAACTTCTCCCTATAATGTCCAAACATTACCCAGCAAACAAGTAATGAGAATAATGGAACTTATCAAGTAGCAGTTACTACCTTGATCTAACAACAACTTCTCGTAACTAATTTACAAGGAAATGTGTTGTAGCTAGAGGAGAGAATTAATATTCAGATCTTGGGAGTTTAAGGGTGAAAAATTCTGCTCAACTTTGTCTCAGGCATTCAGACATTATTGGTTCTTTCTTTTTTAGTCAGGTTGATTTAATATTTAGGTGAATATGATTCATATCCTTGAATTGAATTCATGTTAATGGATATCGCAATAAAACTTGTGGATCTCTTTTCTTTTGAACCTCGCAGCTGACTTCCTGGAAGAGCATAGGAGAGTTCTTGATCAACGACTCCAACCAGTTATAAGAGAGATAACTGACAGTCGTGCAAGGACAAGAGATGAACTGGAGGGTCTGTACTATTGATTATTAATAGAACTTTGCATTTTTTGTCAAAGCTCTCTTGGGGATAAAATTTAGATGACCAAAAATGAGCCCAAAAATCGGATATTTTTCTGCTTAGTGGTCAGGCTAGTTGGAATGGGGGTTATAAAGTAAGGCTTCTCTTCAATGGTCTTGGTTTTCCCTAGGATTAATGTTTTTCATTTGGCTGGAGAATTGGGCTTAGCTAGTCCCTTACAGAACTAATTTTATATAACTTGTGGATTCCAAGGATAGGGCTCTTCTGATTTCTTGTATTAGGGGACAGTTGTTTTGTAAAGTTAAAAGGTATTGTCTGCACTCAAGCTAAGTAACCCATCCAGCCAGCAGTCATCTAGTAAGTAACCCATCCAGCCAGCAGTTATCTAGGTTTCTATGTCATGAAATTTGTAGAGGTGTTTCTACATCCCCTGATTGGTATGCCAGTCCATTGCAGGTTACACCCCCACAATTTTGTCAGGCCTCCTACTGCACACCCATTTGTACTCCTGTGTTGAGAGAGGCACTGTAAGGGTGGAGTGTTTTTGATTATGAACACAACATGATGACTCGGCCAGACCTCTTAACCCAGAGTATAGTATGCTAACAGTGAAACAATTTCATCTCCCCAATTTTTTCTGGTGCATTGTAAATTATCTATTGATTCATTAAATTTTACTTTGTGTCTAGGTTTGTACAGGAGAATAGTGTCTTGTGTATTGCTGCGGTCTGGTCTGGGTTCTCCAACCGACATTGCTGTTGTGAGAGAAGCCACAGGTATTAAATAAGCTTCGGATAAGAATCCTTTCTATCTAATACTTAAATTTTGTCAATCAAACATCACAAGCCTTTGAGGACTACAAGTTTACAGAGAAAATTTACGTACACAATGCTAAGCTTAATTAAGTAATTGCTGACAGCAGCCCATCAAAGCAATGTGGCAAATAACACAAGGAAATGACAGTACAAATTATAAACAACTAGATACTCTGATTTTACAGGGTGCTTCTGAAACTTTAACAGAAGCTAAGAGGATAACCAAATTTTGACTTTTGATGAAGATTTAATTGCTTTAATTGCTTTAAACTAGACTTCAACTTGGGTTAGCACTGGTCATAGCATCTCTTATTTCACTCTTTCTGCCAGCTCAATAACTAATACATGAACTGGTTATAGACTGTGCTGCAGGATTACCTTGCTGCATCATCCAAAAATCTGTTAATACAAGTATCTTAATAGAGAATGTATCTAACTGTATCTTGAATTCATAACACAATGCAATATGACTTTTTTCAAGTTGTGTTATTCTTGTTGTTGCAGCTGCTTTGCAAAGTGTATTTCCACAAACAGAGCTGGGAACTTTCATGTCTCTAACAAAGCGCGACAAGGAACGACAGCTTAACGAACTGACACTGATTGTGACTGGAATCAGACTTTTTAATCGTGAATGTGGCAAAGGAGGAGAAGGAATTGATGACTGTAAGTTTTTAGTACTGAACAAATAGTTTCTATAGTGCCGTGTCTGTTCAGCAATTTTTCTTCGTTGAGGAAATTCGTGGAAATTCAGAAAATCCCTGAAACTGAATTGCATATTCCTTAATTTCAAATACGTCTTTGTACGTGTTGGTACCCCTTTGGAAAAAGGTACTGATTGTATTTTACCTTTCTTTTCTATAGTGCCTGCCATATTAAGTGAAGCTGTCCCAGCCACGACACAAAATGTTCAAACAGAAATTCAAAATACAACCAAACTGGCGTTTAGATATACAGGTGAGTGTTCAACCTCAGGCTAATTTGAACTTGCAATTTTAACGTTATGTGTACTTTCGGTTATTTAGATAGTAAAGTAAATGGTTTGAAAAATCTTAAAATTTTGTTTTTAAAGGCACATTTTAATTGAATGTCAAAATCAAAATTCACAATCACCACGGCCAATCAAAACAAAGGGAAATATCACAAAGAGCCAATGAGAACACGACATAAAAACGCGACTGCCGCCTAAAGCGTGGGAAAACGCGAGTGGCTAAATAGTGTTTTCGATTTGGATTGGTTGAGATGGTAGCGTGAGTTTATTAGACCAATCACAGATTGATGTAAACCAGAACAATGCAGTTCTGACTTTCTTTGATTCTGATTGGTTGAGATGGTGACGTGTCAGCTTTCTATGCCAATCACTAAACGAAGGAAAACAAACCAAAGCAAAAAAAGCTTGATTTGGACACTCCAGTGAAAATTGCCTTAAGTTTGTCGTTTTTTCTTCAGCTGTAACACAGTTAGCTGTAAGTAATGACTATTTTTTATTACCTGCAGCGCTAATTGAAGACGTCGTCGCTAACAAGAAATCACTGGAAGGATTGAATTTAAACTTGGTAAAAGAAGCTTTAATTAACACACGGCAGCATGAAGCGTTTCTTTCCATCTTATTGGTGAGTTCCTTATGCTCAATATGGAAATTTAATATCTTACTTTCTTCTTGAGAGGTCTGTTTGTCTAAGTATTGTGTTTTCATATTAGCTATGACTGAAATCTTCCATTGTGGAAAGATTCATCTTCTTAAAGATTTACGTCACTTCCAACATGTCGCTTCAGCTAAGCTGATGGTTTAGTTCCCTGGAGAAACTGTCATCAAGCTGGAAATACGAGCAATTTTCACTGCTTCACTGGTTTTACTCTCCTTCATTAGGGAGTTAAAGAAACGACGACGGCAACGCGGTGGACAACATCGGTTAAAAAATGAACTTATGTTTTACCTACGAATCTCTTGACACTCTAAAGTCATTTAGTTTTTACTTCACTGTCGAAATATCTCGAAACTGAATATGGAACACAGCGTTAAATTAGAAATAGGAATTTAGAAAAACTAGCCGTCATCATTCACGTTCTCCGGACAACGCAAAGTTTGGTCATTTCGCCTTGTTGTGTTGCAGAGGACGCAAATAAATTTACAAAGATTTATAACGCACGTGCACAGCCATTGTTCTGCTCGTTTAACCTTTTGTTTAGTGACGTTCCCGTTGCCGTTGCCGTCGTGGTTTTCTTAAACTCCCTATTGTGTGATAGGCAGAGGAAGCTAAGTTGCCACTATTCTAACCAATCAGATTCAAAGGCTATCCGAAATGGAATGGATTGGCTTACTTTTTAGTCTAGGAAACTCGTGCCACCCTCTCAACCAATCAGGTGCAATGATAAAACCAATCGTGCCTTGGTCTCTTGCGAATTCTCGCGCTTGAAGCCTGTCTCGTAGAATTACCCCGATTTCCGGTTGGCTTATTGTGATCTCTTCCCTCTTCTCTTCTTCTTTGGCCGTTGTTACATCTCGTTTTGGTTTTATGATGCCCATTTGAAAGGTACCTTCTCAGTACAGTTGTGCTTTGAACAAAAATTTCGTTTGGGTTTCCGACTAAACTTGTTCTTGTCTTTGTCTTTTAATGTGTTATCTTTATAATCGTTTCAAATCTCTTTCTACAGAATGATGTGGTTGGCTGTGCACAACAGGTAGAAGCTCTTGAATCTCAGTTTTCAGCCAGAATGGAAGCCTTGAAAAACACAGTGCAGTCCAAAACTGCTGTGCCAACGGCACAAGTTTATGTAAGTACTCTATACAAGAAAAAGTAAACCGACCATAACATCCTATTGTTCTATGTTAACGTTAATTTTAACTAGAATAATATGCAGGTAAAGCTTATAAAAAGGAACTGCATTTTCATTAAGCACGTTCAACGTTAAGTCTGTGCTGTGTATAATCGCTTTACTTTTTATCATTTATTACGCTTAGCCCCAGTTTATCACACTGGCACATTTGTGGACTGGATTTCAAGATGAAATGGTCCTTTTAAGTGTTCTTAGTAACATCTTAGCGAGTTTGGAACCTTTCACTAAGGTAAGGGGAGTGTATGCATTTTGTGTCGATGTATAAAGACACAATTTAATAGCCGATCTATGTAACAAAGAGTGTGTCACTGATGTTCTTACCACATTTTTACGTCTTTTGTTATCTATTACTGAACAGACCCACAACAACATGGAATTTATTTGTTTTATATGATTAAAAAAAGCAGAATGTGGTTGATGGTGACGCTGTGTATGAGTATGTTCTCCAATAGATCTCACGTGAGAGCCAATCAAAATGCCCTGCGTAATTCAACTTAATATATAATTTGTTCTTTTGCTATTTGAGACACTGTTGTGAAGTGGAGTTTTTACACGAATTTCTTTTCTGTTTTAAGATACATAGGGAAGTGTTAACAGAAGAAGTTCTACAGCCATACATTGATGGATTAGAAATCAGAACTGATGATCAAAGACTGGCAGATGTAAGTGGTGATCTTACTTGAGAATAATGACATGGAAATATAGATGGAAATGTAGTAATGGACATTCCACGAGGTGGCTCTTCATGTTTACTGTTTTCAGGTCAAATTGGAAAAGGGAATGTTGGTATTTTCAGAGGGAGAAAAACCGGAGGACCCGGAGGAAATCCCTCGGAGCAAGGACGAGAACCATCAACAAACTCAACTCACATGTAACGTCAGGTCCGGGAATCGAACCCAGGCCACAGTGGTGGGAGGCTAGAGCTCTCGCCACTGCGCCATCCACGCTCTAAATTACCCTGGCTTTCAGTGGTCTAGAATATTTCATTATTCTCGGGTTAATAATGGTGATTTGTTTCCATCAGAGTTCTTCAGACGATGATAGAATTGATGGCAAAGAAATCGATAATCCCAAGATTGAACTACTGTTTCACGAGACTACAAAGAACTTTGACAAGCTACCAATACAGTACCGGGTCAGTATGTAACAATATTACACTCCCCTTCCCGGCCAGTGTAGTCCATCGCATTAGTCGATGGAAGTCAGCGAAAAAGAAAACTTAGTCAGTATCGCGTGACTTAAACACGCACTGCGCGTAGATCGCTTCAACAGTTACGCATTACTTAGTTTTTTTTCTTCGGCCGATTTCTATTCACTCCCGCGACAGACTATGAACGTGGTCTATGGAAATGTAAATTTGCAAGCTTAATCAAACAAGTTAAGAAACTTTCGTCATATCAAAGGCAATAAGTGCTGATAAATGGTCTTGGCTAGCGATATCGATGTAAGGTCATGTAATCCTTTAGAGCCGTGTCGCATGCAGTTTGTTCATCTTTAAAAATTTAGCCAAAATTTTGTCTAGTTTTGTCTTTTACTATCCGTTTAAATCTCAACTGTATTTGTTCCTCTTTGGTTTATTTTGACGTCTTTGTAGCTTGTCTAGCCTGGCAAATGATTATTTCAAAGTTTTTACTTTTATTTCGGTTTAACGTAATTTGATACGCATTTTTTCATTTTGATATTTCTCTCTTTCAGGGTTTTTGTGGTTGGTCGCTTGTGGTATATGATCGTTTATTAATCCCGTCCAACCCAGGGATCGGTGTTCTACGTTATAAAGACAATTACTACGCCTTCTGTGACAAACAAGCTGCCTACGAGTTCTCCAATGCTCCTGAAAGGTATATAGGCCTCTTCTTTCGCGCTGTTTTCTTTGCATTTTTGTTTCTACTAGAGAGCAATTTTAAACTGTCTCGTTAGTAATTATCCGTTGCCTTGATTTTGCTTCACCTCGCTCGGCAATTGGTGTGGAGAATGCCGAATGTATTCGGTAAATGAACGTTGTTGAGTGAATGTGACTTGTGTTATTAACACCCTCTTTCTCTGTTTTGTTGAAGTTACATTAATGGAGTTGCAGAAGCGGCTAAGAAATCTCCCGAACTTATTCAGCTGCTGGAGCTTCATACACAGTTTGCCTCCATCACACCTTACGCCCAGGTAAACTATTGATTACTTTGTGTCTATTTACAGACATTTACGGGTTCGTGTAATTTTGTCGTCTTTCAAAAATTTACTCGAGTTAATTGACATCAAATTGCACTCGAAATCATGTTGTTACCTATACTTACTAAACAATGTGAGTATTAAATAGTTACTTATCCGTCAGTAGTTTTCATAATTGGACTCCCCTTCTCCCCCTATCAAATCCCCCTATCAAGAATTCCTGGACCCCTTTCCCCCCCCCGGTCTAATCATACTATAACTTAGAAACAAGTTCCCTTGAAGTTATGAAATTCAAGAAGAATTTTAACTTTGATCTTGTGCATTAGGGTAAAGAACCTGGACGGATGATCGAGGCGCCTGTTACTAAGTGTGACAGTGGAACACAAACAGACACTCACTTCATGGAGACAAATATTGTCAAGTCTTACGAGTGGAATGAATGGGAACTGAGGAGGAAAGCTCTTAAATTGGTGGGTTGGAAGAAGGACGCATTGTATCATCAAGTTTTCTTGTGCAATATCTCTTAATCTTGCAGCGTTGGCGTATTATAGGTGTAGAATTGGAAAGCTTCTTGTCAAATTATCTAAATTTGGATGACAATTTTTTTATTGACAAATCAAGGCTAGGAAACTTGTCAAGACACAACTTTTCGAGGAAAATTAGTCTAATTGTGGCTTTGGGGAAAGATTTCTAAATGTACTTGACACGTTTCGTTTCTTTAGCTTGTCTCTTCCGTTTAAGTAAGAGAAAGTACAACTCTATTTGTTTCAACAGGCAAATCTCCGCACCAAGATCACTCATTCAGTGCAGACGAATCTGAGTAACTTTAGAAGGGACAACGACTCACAAGTGTACCTCCCTAAGTAAGTATTGTTATAATTTGATCAACTTTTCACGAGCCTTTTCGTAATTTTCATCGTCACAAGTTGAAGTTTTGACGATCTTTGAAATGATGTTTGCAACTTGTTCACTTACCTGGGAGATTAGGAAAGAATGGTTCTCAGTTTTTTCGAAGAAGATGGAGAAAAAGAAGACACCAAGAATGTGTTACCGACCAAAACTTAAGGCGTTGATTCTTTTGCGTTAACCGCGAGAATTATTGGCGTCATAATAACATTTGCTGACGTTAGAGGTTTCTGCGCGTGGAAAAAAAAAACCAAACTGATATAAAGGGAAGGTGAACATTCGCGTGAGAATTGAATCATTGCGCTTTGGTGAAAACTTGTTTTTGAACAACAGAAGGAAAGTTTGTATTATGTTAGATTAAAAAAAGGAAGTTTATCGCATTTAAATAGCGCACGCGAATGGCATGCCAGTGAAACCTGAACGAGGCGCGCGCGCGCTCGTGCTTTTACAAGCTTATCGCATTTTAATTGGGCGCGCGCTATGAAACTTGCGCGAGGCGCGCGCGATTCTGTCCTTATTTCGTGTCGCTTCTCAGAGGTACTGAGACTACCTTTATTGTTTTTTACAGGAATGTGGAAACACAAACCAAGCGAGAGTCATCAACAAATGTTCCGAAGCCGTCCACGTTCGTAGCTGGCTTGCGAGGCTGCAACTCCACCAAAACAACAATGAATGTTGTGGATCTTACTCTCGATGTTGATCAGACTTGAGATACTTCGTGTGCATGTACACAGCGACTTGTTCGTCACAAACACTTTGTAAATAATATTTCGCATAGCAAAATTCTTTGTTCATTTTTGTACAAATAAAATCAGTGTATTGTTATCAGTGATTTACAGCTTGAAGACTCGTTGACTGGAGCTGAGCCGCAAAGGTGTTCAGAAACTAATTCTAAACAGCAGGAGTCCCGCAGGTCCGTCAAACGTTTTCGTGGCAAAAAGGCCTGATTTGAGCTCGAAGGGCAAAAACATAATTATCCTCAATCCCTTTGGACAAAAGAGGAAGAACTGCACAAACTGCGCAACCTCAAAGCAAGGCAAAGGAATCAAGCGTATAATTTCCCCACCCTCTAGGGAAATCCATCAGTGCAAATGCCACTAATGCCAACCCCTAACAAGGGGGGGGGGGGTTGAGGCAAAGACAGAAAAAGATCCCCCTAAAAAAGTACGTAGTAGAACGCAAAAGAAAAAACGACATCGAGTAAATGGGTAAAATAACCCGTATTTTCAGATGTCTTCCTAAAAAATAGAACAAGCGAAACATATTTGAGAAATAAGAAATTCTTCTATCCGCCAAATTCCCCACCATCCCCTTCCCCTATCACTTAACTAATGGTGCACCCCTCCCCTTGTTACCGAGGGAATCTGTTTACCTTGGCGCAAACAAAGAATCGAAGAACCTTGTAATACTAAGAAAGCTTTATTCCCGAAAGACACTTGAGGTAGATCGATTTGAAGCAAAAGAACATCATGGAATTCCCACTACACAGTGAAGTTATACTTAACACTGGTCTTGAAGCCGTGGAAAACTGTTTAAAAGCGGGAGAAGATCCTAACAAGAGAGATGATTATGGCAGCGCACCTCTGCACTGCATTAATTTTTACGACGACGAGGCCTACAGAATGGTACAGCTTCTCCTAAACTATGGCGCGGATATGTTCAGTAGAGACGGCCTAGGAAGACTGCCATTTCAACATGCTTTAGAGCATGCTAATAAAAAAGCATGCCAAACTTTCGTAGACAGGGGATTTTCCCTGCAAAAGCCCGATCGTATGCGAAATGGAACCTACGAACTGCTTCATAGTTTGGAGCTGTTTCAATCAGATGCTGTTGAGGTTCTTCAAGTCCTTGTAGATCTTGGAGTCGATTTATCTGCTACACTATCCTCAACGGGTGAAACCCTCCTGCATAAGGCGGTCGAAACAGGGGCTTCTTTAGAGACCGTGCAGTTTCTGATCTCAACAGGAATATCGGTGAACAGCAGTAACTCTTTAGGAATGACACCTTTGCATATGTTGAGATATCTAGACTGCAGCAACCCAACAGATAAATATGACGAGGAGAAATCGCGGCATTCAAAATTAGTGAAACTCTTTGTGATGGAAGGTCATAAAATCAACAGTCAAGACATCTTTGGTCGAGCTCTCGTACATTATGTGATATCCGAAATGCGACAGAGCTCTCTCTTGCAGTTCCTTGTTAGGCATGGGGCTGACTTAGGCATCAAAGACAGAAATGGTGTTACCCCATTACACTTGGCGTGCTCCTGGGACAATACAGCAAATTTAAGGGAGCTAATCGGGAATGGCTGTGTGGTTGATATCGAGGACAAGAATGGAGCAACAGTTCTTCACTACGCAGTTTTCTACAACAATGCCATTGCACTGAAATGTTTATTGAGTCGATGTGAATCTTGTTTAGTGTCAAAGCCAGATAATTCTGGGAAAACCCCAATCCACTGGGCAAGGTACTTTGGATATGTACAACTAATCGATATTTTGGAAGATTATTTTTTGTGTTTGGACAATGGTTTTCAACGCGGAGAACTACCTGATTTGTTTCCACTCAAAGATGAATTCAATGACATCAAAAAGCAAGAGGATGTCGAAAAGATGCAGTCAAAGGACTTCTCTCTAAATGGACACCCAAACAGAACTCTGAAAAAACTATTGACTTCACCAGTCATTGGCAGACTACAAGTAATTCCAGAGAGCCAAGAAATTAAATTTGCAGTGAATAAAGTTATTCAGCAGGTGGCAGGAATTGTTTCAAAAGCTTATCCCCTGTTTACGTTTGTCCCTGAGATCTCTGGTAGTGTCAGTGAAGGCACCAAGTGTGGATTTCCTGATGAATTTGACTTCTTATGTACAATGGTGAAACTTGGGAAGCATTTCCAGGAGCCAAACATGGAATCCAGTCCCCCAATGTTTTGTCAACTGCAACTGAAACCTGATTTGCGCCTGTCAGCTTCTCATGAGATTATGCAATATGTGGATGAAAACAACAGTTTAAGGAGTGCAAAGTTGATCAATGACTTCAGTGGTCATTTAAACCATGCCTTTTTTGAGGAGGAAATCTGGAATGGTCTCCCCTCTCTAGCACCAGTTAGTGTCTGTGTAATGGGTGCAAATGCTACAAAAATTACTCTCAAGTGGTCAGGTCAAGTTTACAGAGATCTGCTGATCAGTGTTGATCTTGTCCCTGCAGTACACTTCCCCTTGTTTTGGCCTCCAAATATTTGTGAAACCCCTTTGTTGCATCCCAAATTGAAAGAAAAAGGTGTTCACGTTGTGATGGCCCTACATGGTGAATGTTTTTTCAAACATGGAGAAAAGCACTTTCGTCTCTCTTTTTCTACAGCAGAAACTGCAATATTCCAGGCTCTTCCAGAGCATGTACATTCCAGTTACATTCTAGCAAAGGCTGTGAGAAGTACTTATGTGTGTTCAAAAATTGCACCAGGAATTCAAACCACTCAAGAGCTACCAAGCAGTTCTGATGAAGAAAGAAATAATGAAAGTGATACTGAACAATCATCACACAAAGAAACTGAGGTAGCAGTAAATCTGCCAGAAGATAACAATGTCTGGGCAGATAAAGTTATCTCTAGTTACTTCTTGAAAAATGCACTTTATCTGCTAGTTGATAAATCTTGCCAGAAAGAAATTGACCTTGATATACAGAACACTTCAGAAGACCAGGTGATTGCCTGGGGGGAGGCTATCTATGACTTCCTTGATGATTGTCTTCAGCAAGGAAATCTGCCATCTTTCTTTATGCCAAACCTAAACTTGCTTGAAAAGAATTATGATTCAGAACAGCATGAGAGAGTATTTTATGGTGGACTGGAATTCCATCCAATGGATGAAGATCTGATGCAAGATCTAGATGATGCACTGGAAGGAACAAGGGAGGATGTGGAACATTTGAGAAAACCCTTTATCAAAATGTTAAAGGGGATTATTCATTCCAGTTGGTAGTAAAACATGTGCATATTCATGTACCTTCAGATCAATTACTCTCCCCTGCCAACCCATTTCTCTACCTAGCAAAACATGCAACACACATCTTTGGAAATATCTGCAAAATATTCCTGAATGTTTGCATTTCTCTGGATGACCTTGTTCTCTATGAAACTGCCAGTACTAGCTGTCAAATTTTCCACCTTCTTAGTGAGTATATAAATACACTGTTTATATGCGAGAAATTACTTATTGAAGGAAGCAATTTACTGGACCTAGATGGATAAATTCAAATTAACTTTCTTTGAAAATAACTCCCAAACTAACATGGATGAACTTCAGTGGGACTATCAGCTAATTGTATTGTCTGCGTAAGTATAACACTGAAAAGGATTACTATTTTTTCACTGGTAGTCACAGAAGTCAGAACTCCTTTTTTTGTGAAATGTTTTGAGTCTTTTTCATGAAACTGATAAGTCCATTTTCTGTCATGTTACTGGCTGTAAAAAACAAGGAGAGTTTTCAATCTAGACAAGTTAAGTTTGTTACACTTGGTTGCACCATCTGCAACTAATTTTGATTTCAACAGTTTCCAATTACAATCCCTTTAAGTAACATGCAAACTTTGAGGCTAAGAACTAAACTGAAGATTCAGTTTTGTGCTTCTGTCAATCATTGCCATAGCAAGCATCAAAGGCAGACACAAACAAAAAGGATTGGAATCCTCCACTCGCAGCTCAAAATCATGACATTCAATTTTGAACTCGCTTGAATGTTTCCCAAGAGGTCTGCCACATGATTGACAGTAGCTTGGAAAGAACTTTTAATAATGTTTCTCCAACTACACAATTTGAATGTTATCAAAATTTTCAGCACCCCACAACAGCAACCCTTTTTTTAATTCAATGAAATCAGTATTGAGAACTATGGATCCAATAAATGCCTCTGAGAATTTCAGTTCTGTAAATTTGAGGCTAACTTCATTTTGAACTCATAATAAATTTGGGTAACAGGTATAAGATCCAAAAGCAGCCTTTAGCAAGTATGCATTTGGAATAGTGCTTCTGTCAGAAGGGATTGGATTATGAATAAGGTGTTATCTTCCTTAAATTCCAGTTGTAGTGATAATTTTTTGTGTCCATCACTGAGTTGAGAGTTAAAAAGAATTACCATAACATTGATTTCATTGAGAACGTGTAGTGATGAAACAGTGTAATCTATATGACTTCTGCTCAGGTTGTCGAAACGTCAGTCACCACTACCGACATCAGTCCTTCTCAGGACTACACTCACCTGGACAATCAAACTACATTATAACAAATAATATTTCCTTTCTTTCACCAGCCAAATCTTTTGGGAATAGTGATTTGCTTTTAAGAAATAGCATCAATAACACAATTAACTGTACCATAGACCTTTATTACTTTAATATGTTCTTCATTCCATTAGTTTTAACCTTAAATCAAGAACTCCACTGAAAAGTAAAACTCACTGATAGTAACAGCACCTTAAATATTGGGATTGTGTCCCTGTGTTTTTTCTTGTAAAAGTCATAAATAAAAATTTATTGTCACAATATGTGACAGAATAAACACAGAAGCTTAATGTTAAGATTTGATTGATACCGGAGAATCAATTTAAAAGGGTATCAAACTCATTTATTGTCTCTCACGAAAGCTTCATTGGAACCATTTGGATGTTAGCCATGTTGACAATGTGAAATAAAATATAATCTTTGGGAGGTTGAAAGTCACTTGCCAGCTCCTTTGAGACGGTTGCGAACTCTCTGTAGAAAGATTAGAGAATAAAAACTGGAATAAGAAAATCAAACACTGTTTTGATTGTTACTTACAACTAATTTTAACAAATTCAGGTTAAGCCTTTATTTTAGACAACATGGGATGCTTTTGATACTGTTGATGCTAACCACAATAAATGAGTGCAGGAGGGTTGTCACATATGAACCAAGGCGATGGCAACTATAGCTGACTGGTTTGGCAGCTAACCATTTATGCCGAGGGCCAATGGCTTTATTCTCCTCATCCTTCTGTCCCTCTAACAATAGGCACCGACTGCACCCCCACATTCCCTACCCCTACATACTAGGGCTTACATGTGTGTGAATGCATTTTCCTAATTGATGGTTCTTGTGTTGTTGCACAAGTGCACATAGAGACCCTTTCAGTTGGGTGTCAAATGTTGTCTGAGATGTTTAGTTTTGTGTCTCTTCACTCAGTGATTGGTCCAGAAAACTCACGCCAGTCTCTCAGCCAATCAAAAGTAAGACTAACTTGGGCACTGGTGTTTTCCCATGCTTCAGTTGCAAGCAGGTTGCCTGTTTTCACTTTGACTAACTGCTTTAATATGAATGCTACAATGTATTAACAAACAAATAAACTCACTTTGTCATAAAGTTGGGCACGTAATCTATTTGTTCGATAAAAAGCTAAGCGCTTCTGCTGTTCATTCTTTGCTTTCACCTCTGGTAAATTCTTGTAAAGTCTGAACAAAGGAAAAAAAAGGATAAATACCAGGATGAAAAAATAAAACTCCTATCAAAAATGGGACAATAGTGTCTAAATTCAGATACATATGTCCACAATGGGACAATAGCATCTGAAATCAAACAGTGTTCAAAATCCAGACACTTGTTTGCCCAATCTTGAATATTTTACATAAAAAAATTCAGTGTCAAGTTTTATTTTCTCTGTATGCTTTCTACCGATTGAGATTCTGCTCTGAATTGATTGTGATGATGCAACTTTTTGGAAAGACAGTCCCGTGAATAGAGCTGCATACTAAAGAAGGATCTTTATTCAAAGTGAATAAGTGTAATTTTAGTATCATTCTTCAATGTATAAGTGAGGTAATTTGTTCTCCTTCAAAAACCAACCATCCAAAACCAATACCAAGTTTATATATGACTCGTAAAGTAAGAAGTAAACAGCTGTAGGACCGTTAGGTATTGGAGAAAAAAGTAGCTGGCTTTACCTCTTATTTAATTCTTTCATCTCAGCCCGGGTCATCTGCCGTGGTTTTGGTCCAGAAAATTGGTCTAAAGTAGAAAACAAAAACAGTTAATACTCAAAAAAGGAAAAAAAACTTCTTGCGTGCTCTTTCTTAAAATAACCGGTATTAGGTTTGATAAGCTGTCTTTTCGCCTACGAGTTGTTTCGCTAACGACAAGTTTACTAACGTTTTAGGTCGTTTTTCCAATATCTCGGGGCAGTTTGCAACGCCTCATACGTCGTTTCTCTGACGTACACTCTTATTTTCTTATAAGAACCTATATAAGAACCTTTTTTTTATAAGAACGTTCAACCTGAGATTGACCAAAATCTTAAGAACGTACTAAGAACATATCCAGGCTGAGAGTAAGTGAAAATTCTAAACAGAGGAAAAAGAAACGTAAAACTGTAGTCTCACAGGAGAACTAACATAAATACTTAGGGGCCTTTTTTAACTTTAAAGATGCGGTTTTCTTATTGCACGATACACTGAAAAACAACTCAGTTTGTAATCGAACTTAGTCTGGTTACGTCCGAATCGAATTATTGAAATACTATATCTCAAAACTTTAATATGTCAAGGACACTTTTAGGCTCAAATAGCGAAAAAAAAAGAACTTTCAGCCTCAGCCCCAAAATAAGACGTTCTTATAAGAAAAAGGGGGTATTTACGAAACGTTTCGTGACTCCTTCGGCAGAACTTGATCAACTGCTAATCGAAGGGGAGTTAGGTCGTTTCAATACAAACTGAAAGCCGCCGATAAACGTCAATTCAAGACGAAATGAAGTCGACTCGAAACATTACGAGAGTCGATTCGATACATTTGTCGCGCTTCAAAGAAAACAAAACTAAAAGAGACGTTAGCAAAACAACTTACAACGTTAGCGAAACGACCCAAGAGACGCCAGCAAACTGCTCGTTGGCAAAACGACCGCAATTCCTGGGTTGGAGCGAATTTCGATTGAGTGTAGTAGAAACAAAACCGAATTAATCACAACAACCAAGGAGACCAAGGAAAACATCACAAGGAGCAAATGAAATATCAAAGTGTAAACAACAATAATGGCCGAAGTACGGGAATAAAGAAAAATCGAGAGACCAAGTCACGATTGAGTTTAGTTTTGCATCTCATTAGCCGCGAAAATGGCGCGAGTTTTCCAGACCAATCGAAGAGCAAACTTATAAAAACTAAAAGAGTCTCCAATAACTGTCGACACTCAATCGAAAATTGCTCCTAGAGGGATTTCACACAACCCGACCCAGGACTCCTGACGTGAACTAACCATTTCTCGAGACACGAGGCTTAGTTTTCTGTGGAACAGGCGGACTTCTTGCTCTTCGTAACTCAGCCTCTTCTCTTTTCTTTTCTTCATCCACAGTCTGAGTAAGCATCCTACGTCTTTCTTTCTCTTGTGCGGCTTGCTCAATTTGAGCAACTCTGTCCTGCGAACGCTTTACAAATTTAGGCCTAGCATAGAGGAATGCTTCTTGAAGACTCAGCTGCTGTAGTGTGCTGGAAGGATTAACTGAAGCCTCAAACATGTCTGCTCGTAGTTCGTCTCTTGTGCGACTTTTATTCAGGCTACTGCTTATCTCTGAGGTAGCTTTTGGTTCGGGTTGCGGTTTGCCCTTCAGAGGATAAAACCACGCAGGCTCCTGTACCCTGTTTCTCCAGTCAGGGCTTATTCTAACACGATGATCCGGTGAATTTTGACTCGGTACTAAACGTTCTTTAGGTTTATGTCGAGTTTCTCGCTGCTCCATCTGGTAATAAAGATCTAACTTTTTAGGCGAAGGTTGAGAGATAACACCACGTTCTTCAACATTTGAAAGCTGTTCGTATCTTTTACTCTTCACTGACTTACGCGGTAATTTTTCAGGTTCACAATCAACTTTTCTTTCCACTCTTCGTCCACCACCAACTTCGTCCGTCTGAGTACTAGCATCTTCCAACAGAACGCGTGACACCTCATCTTCAACGGGCGATGGGTCCCTTGTCATAACTGGTGTGGGACAGTTCACACCAACATCGCGCTTTTCAATTTTTCTTCCATCACCCTCTCTACGGCTTCGGAACGCCCCTGATGATGTTGCTCGTGTAACAGCCTTTGGCGCGCGAGCGCAAGTACATCTTGGACCATTCGTTGGCTGTTGTGGGGAGTACATCGCAGCAGGCTTTTGTGCAGCATCTGATCGTAAAGGCTCCATCACTACAGGCTCAGGCTCCTTTTCGGCACTTACCCCGTCGTTGCTGGACAATCCTGAGGTAGACTCAGGAGAAGTGCTATCTCGAGTTCTACGGACTATAGGGGAAAGGTCATGTGACTTCACAGACCTCAGCAGCTCTCTTAATTTTATTTTCTGTCCAATGGACGTCCGGAGACGAGGCTCGAAGAAAGCGTAGTTGAAATATTCAGAAACGTCAGACGATTCACTAGTTGAGGAAGCCAGCTTTGCCTTTTTACTTTTTGAACTTGGTCTTCTTGAAGACGTTGTGGTTGACGCAAGAGAGGAGGAGGAAATGCTCTCCTCTAATGACTTTGTTATCAACGAAGTCAGCCTTGAAATGTTAGCATCCATTCTGGAGGTTTTTGGATCACGAGAAAAGCTTTTATCACGCGAAGAATGGCCACCCTTGGCATTTGGTATCCTTGAATCGTCTTTTCTATTTTCAGATGTCTCTAGCCTTGACCGCTGAGATAAAATTGCACGATCATCTTCAGTATATCTCGTCTTTGATTTTCCAGCTCTGGAAGATCTCTTACCGTGACCTAAAGAATGACTGGCAACATTTGGATCAAGTGTGTCCATATACTGTGAAGGTGGCTGTCGTGATCTGGCATAAGAATGACGCGATGGTTCTCTTTCATCCTCTGGTGAATCACCACTGATAGTGGATTCTTTGCTGGAAGTGTTGCTCAACCGATTTCGACGTGGATGACCGGGTTTACTCTTCTCGCGAACCAGGCCTTCCTCTATGCGTGTATCTTGATAATCTCGTTTCCCAATCATCTCTCGATCTTTTTTGCTCTTTCGACCCTCTTTTTCCATTTTAGAGTCTTTTGTTTTTGGCGGCTTCTTAAGTTCCTCATTCCTGTGGAACCTCTCGTCTTCGTGTAGTTTGTCTGGGCGTCGTTCGTCATGAGAAGAATGTCTTCCAGGGAGAGTTTCTTCTCTCCTCAAGAACCTATCTCTCCCACCACGCACACTACTTGGCGTAGAGCTTCCTGATATATAAACCATGCCAGTCCCCTCCTGACTGACGCTATCCCTTGCAGGGTTGGGTTGAAGACCCAAGGCCTTCCTACGTCTGTTTGTACTACCAGGGCCCGAGGACTTTCGTATGTCGTAAATGCCATAGGGTGAGGCCTCGACTGCACTCTCGTCTGGGTGGTTTTCCTTATCTGCTGCAGCATCCCTGTATAAAACTGGTCTGTACATCTCATCGGAAGAGGAGACTTCCGTGATGGAATGACTTCGATGTTGTTTCATCAAAGCTGCATCTCGATCCTCGCTGTAAGCTGTGGTGTCCTCTTCTTGGAGACTCTGCTCTTGAAGGGCACCAACCCCAAGGACACTTGAACGCTCTAGAGCTGGACCCACCGGCGTTGACGATCCTTCGTGCTGAGAATCGCTCTGAGCTACGCTATCGTATGATATGGGAGAAATAGTACCAGCGCCTAAGGACCAGTGCAAAGCCTTAATCTGACTGTCATCCTGATCAGCAGGGGTACTTTGGATGCCCTCCAGTGCTTCCATTGAAGGAGGAGGTAGTTCCTGGCCAGGTTTCCGTTTGGCAAATTCAGACGGTCTCGCAGGTAACCAGCTTTCCCTTTGGTCCATTGCAACAACTCGCTGTTGAGCATGTTTAGTTCGCTTTTGCATTTGCAAGTATTGACGATCGCCTTCCAGTACTGGCTCATATGTCAATAGATCGTCTGTATCATCTGATGATACGCTTACATCACTTGTTCGTCTCCTAACGTGGTTTTCTTCCGTTCTGTTCAAATCTTTAGCTCTCTCCGTTTCACCGGAAGCAGTGACCCCAGAGGCGTTTGTTCCATCTGGAGGAACAGAGCTTATCTGACCTGGGAATTCTAAATTGTCTGCCGGAATAACACCGGACATCTCTTCAGAAGCATCACCAAGTGACGGCTCTCTGCTGTTAGGACCCATGGGTAATGTTGGTTCTCGCCAAGCAGCTCTGAGAGTGTGAACGCTTCCTCCAGTGGAACTATGACAACTTATCTCGTGTAAACGTTCTCTGGATGCAAGTGCTCTTGATGGAAGCACTACATTATCAGATATGTCTCTACGATGAGGAAGTTCCTTTGTATCTGTAACCGGAACTGAATGATCTCCCCATGCTATCCGTGAGCTCCTAAGACTGTCCTCTACTGAGCTACGGGGACGAAGCTCAGTGGAATATCTACTTGATAACTGAGGTTGAGAAATAATATGATCAGTGTCATGATGAGACATCAAGTTTCCATTTCCTAAGAAAGAACGAACATCTTTATCTAAAATCCTTGCGTTTTTAGTACTACTGTCGGCTGAACTGCGTCCTTCTGTGGCATTCATGGCAGGAGGTACGATTGAGTTTAGGAACGCCTCAGCAGGACTCATTCCACTTGCATCACGATGGGATGGCTTGGCATTTGTCCAGCTCGATGTAAGTCCAGTATCCCATGACTTCCTGAAGGTGTCGATAGCACTTCGGCGAGCTTCATCCTCTGATTGTCTATCACGGTGTCGTTTCTCAGCGTGTGGTAAGATTGCCCCTTCAGATAGTCTTGAATAATTTAACTCAAGACTGGTTACTGCATCAGCTGTGGGTTTCGTCATTTTAATTTCTGTTTCAAGTCCAAAATTTCCCTCTGTCCCATGAGTTGTTGAAACAGTACTCCCCAATGAATGCTGGCTCTCCTCTCTCAAAGACTGCTGTTCAGACACTGAGTGTTCTGCTTCATCGCTGACACCTCCAGTGAGCCTGTCTTGCTTGAGTCTGTTCAACACTTGCTGAACTGCACGGAAGTTTGGGCCGAGTAGCTTCGACACTGGGCTCTCAGTATCACTGTCACTGTTCAGCTGAGGGGCGTGTCTTCGCCTCAACTCACTAACGAAGGCTGCACCTCTTGGAGCAGGAGGAACACTCCTGGTGATAATTTCCAGTGGTGTGGCGTTGTCATTCCGTGGTTGTGAGAGGACAGATGTATCACTACCACTGTCTGTCGCCTCAGCTGAGCCACTGGGCACAGGTTTTTTCTGGACAGGAGGGGTGACTGTCTGCTGCGTACTTGTAAATGTGCTCCTGACCCAAGGAGGTCTCTTGAGATCTGGCCCATCTCTTCCATCTGGTTGGGATCTCTCAGGAGGTGACTGCTTTGCATCATCATCGGACCAAGCTGGTGGAACATTCTGAGGTGGTTCACCGCTTGATGGCTGAAAAGCTGCACTTGTAGTGTAGGCCACCTGATTAGTTTCCTCATCATCCTCCCCAACAGCACTTGGCCTCAGTGGGAACCACTGGCTTCTTAATCCATTGTCTTCAACACCAGACCCATTAACACTGAAGGAGGTACCACTATCGCGCGAATCATCCTCCACATCCTCTTCGCCTCCTGCTTCTTGAGCTGCCTCTGGCGTACAACAATGACAACAGTTCAACAGCTACATTCACAAATGTGAGTTTAGGATAAATAAATGTCCAACAACAAAAGAAACAAATTACGGTGAAATCGCACCATGGTTAGATCGCTCCGACCAAAAGTTAGACCGCTCCACTCGAAAGTTAGATCGCTCCATCGAATAAGTTACATCGCTCCTAACATAAGTAACTTCGCTCCATGTGGAAAACTAAGGTAAAGGTAGCAAAACTAAGGTATCTAAATTGATAGTTCATTAAATGACGTACATATCTAACCGAACAATCGATTAATATCGTTCGCGCGCGCATGAAATAAATCCGAGCTACGCAGAAAGAACAAATAAAGCCTCATGAAAGGGACTCACGAAGTGTAATCTACTTTATTAATTAAAGATGGCGGATATCAGTTTCCTTACATCGTAAAGCAAAAAAGGCCACACTGGATAGTATTGGTATTTGAATGACCTTTTTCAATACACTTCAGACTACAACGTTGTAATTTATTTCACGATCATTTATTCCATCATCGCTATACATCATACATCGGTAGCTCGGTTTCTAATCTGAAAGACAAAGTGAGTACGATGTACTCGAATCGTTGCAAGGCACATCATTACCTATAAACTTTAAAGATCATTGGTAAGTAATACTTCACTTTACAACATGGAGCGAACCAACTTATTTTGGCGGCGAAGTAACTTATTTGATGGAGCGATCTAACTTTCGAGTGGAGCGATCTAACGTTTGGTTGGAGCGATCTAACTGGGAGCGATCTAACCATGGTGCGATCTAACCGGCTACCAAAGAATCTAGACTGGAAAAACAAAAACAAGTTCCCCAGAAGTTAGTAAAAGTAATCATATTCCTTAAAGTATAGCAAACATTCTACATAAAATTAAGAAAGGGAAATACATGTAGAAAGCTGAAAAACTCTTGCTAAGATGCTCCACTGTTTACTTTACTGACTCTAACCACACATCCAATTCGCCATTTGGCAACCTTAACTAACTCATAACATTATCTCCAGAAATAAAATTTCTGATGCGAGAAAATTAACCTAAAAAGGAAATTTTGTGCAACTTCTCCATGTTTTGTGCAAAATATAAATCTTACCATTACTTGCAACCATAAACACTGTATCACAAAAATTTAACAGCTTGTTACACAACTGCTAAACACAAGTTGCCTCATAGGAAACTTTTGTTGCAAATCTAGTTCCTGGAAATTTTCCTTCTCCCCAAGTAACAGCTGGAGGTGCTGATGGCAGTACATACTGAACATTGTACACCTCAATTTTCAGGATGTCTCAAATAAAGTATGAAATAATTCTTGCCAAAAGTTCATTCAATTTTGGGGATAGATCTACTGCATTAGCTCATGGGTTGAGTTACTCACAACTGATGTACTGAGCGCATTGGACTACAGAGAAGTTAAGCAACAAGCATATTTTCAGTATAACTAAAGATTATAAATACTTTTAAGTATTAAATTAAAATTTTGTAACCTACCCTCCCCAGCTCTTCCTTCCTGTGGCACAGCATCTATCTCTTCAAGTCCAACTTCTTCAAGTGTTTCAACACTCAGTGAACCACTGCTTAACCCACTGGCTACAGTTTCATTGAGCTGGGGTGACTGTGGCAAACCTGCCACTTGACTCAAAGATCGTACACTCTGCTTTAGTTGCTCTAACTCAAACCACTGCTCTGCATAAGGGGATAACTGTTGGACAAAACAAAGTCCAATTATGTCTTATAATCAAAATGGTTAAATAATCATCATTCTTGTATTAAATGGAAGAGTGACACGTGAAATATGTAGACACAGACTTGCATTCTTGTCACACCAACCTGTTTTGCAGTCTCTCCCTCTCGTTCCTGTTCAGTACCAGAGATGTTCTCCTTTCCTCCAACATTTTTATTGTCAGAGGTGTTCTCCTGGTCAGCCCCAACTGGGTCCTCGCCAAGAATAAACCATTCTTCAGTGCCTTCCTGTAGGAGTCAGGAGAGAGTAAAACATGTTAAGGGCATGTACAGATTGATAGGCGTGTTGCTCCACCACCTTTAATATGATAAAAAGCATAAAATCAACTTCACTTCCAAAATGCCCCCCCTAACCCTTTCCATCACAACATCAGTATGCATATTCTCCCTACTTTACTCATGTCTTAAGGTGTAGACAAGGGGAATTTGTCTAACAATCAACTGCTTCTTCAGTTGGTGATCATTTCCTTTATTCTCATGACCTTAAAGTGTGATTCAGGGGTGATATTGTAAGGAGAAATTAGATATCAGTCACTTTTAGGGGTTGAAGAGCTAAAAACAAACCTTTTCTTGTTGATTAACAGTAGATTCAGCGTCTTCTTTATTAGCATTTGAAGTTGTGCTGTTGTTAAAAGATACCACTGAGTCTTGCCTGCTTTCAGATTGTCCTTCTGATCCCAACTCAGATTGTAAATTTTCCAGTATATGCCATTGTTCCTGGTATTGCTGAAAGTACAACACATATTCTAAGCTATGATCAATTTTGAAACCAAACTAATAAACCCTTTTCAGAGAAACAGATCAAAATTATTGTTATAATTTTCTACCAGTTATTATGTTAGCCAAATAAATTATTTGCTTTTTATAAAGTTAAGCAGCAAATATAAACAAATGACAAGGTGGTTTTGATTGAATTTTAAGCTAATGCCTTGAGCCGCATATAAGAGTCTTATCCAAGTCCAGGCTGTTGTGTTTCATTCTTTGGCAAATGGGCAATTTCCTGTCACAGTGCTCCTTTCAGAAGTATAAATTGGTACCAACTGAACAGTTTTAATTGTCAGATCAACAATGTTCTATTGAAAAGCTTTTCTACAAATCATGACCTGCACAAAAGCATATTTGTTGACAAATGTCACAAGTGCCTTGTTTTTATTTGTTGTTTTTGTAATCCATGAACAAAATACAGTATAGCATTTCCCAACAAATATTAAATTTAATGTTGCACTTAAGTTGAAACTTTCATTATCCATAGCCTCTGTTAGAAAGAAGTAAACAAGCATTTTCTGTAACTAAGTACAAGTAAACTTCATGCAAAACAGTGAACTTTGTAACAATGTTGGAAGTAAAAAAAGGTAGAAATCTGAAGAAGAAAGTAAAAACAGATTTTTGTTATTACCTGTTCAATATTTTGGAATGTTGAATTATTTGGTGGGATTGGCCCGTTTGCTGTCTCTGAGCTAACTTCAGAAACTGGTACGGACTGTTCCATCATAGAACACTGACATCACAACTGAAACAGAGAGTAAAATGGAGGGGTTAGTTTTTTGGTGGCTTCACCATTTGGCCTTGCCAGAGCTGTGATGTAATGAAAATGGATTGTCGAATGGAGAGATTAGTTTTTTAGTGACCTTACATTGTCTACAAAGCCATGATCTTCTGAAAGCAGACTGGAAAATTGAAGTGTTGGCCTTTTTGGGGCCTTGTCTGCTCTACAGAGCAGTGATCTTCTGAAAACTGACTGGAATATTAGAAGTGTTAGCTCTTCTTTGGCCTTGCCTATCGTCTACAGGGTGTGATCTTCTGAAAACAGACTCTGAGTTGACCTTTTGGTGACCTTGCCTTGCCTACTGAGCTGTGATTGTTTGGCTAATGCTTTATATAAAAAAATTCAAGAAGAAATGCTTTCAGTCTACCTTTTATGCAGGTGTTTTCTACCTCTGTTTTGTTGTTTGCTAGTAGAATAAAATTTTGCTAGTCCATCAGATTCATAGCGATCTTATTAGCTAAAGCCACACAGATAATTGCAGAATATGGTAATCAGAAACACAGCAGTATGGTCGATTACCTAGAAGTTTCTTTTAAAAATATCGTCACAAAAACAATTTTCACGAAGGTCTGATCGAGAGAATTTTCTACATACCACGATCGAATGAGAACGACGACAAATTTAGATTTTCCTAAAGACCTCCGGACGATGAACATTTAAATTCCACATATGAAAAGCAAATCACTGGTTTGATATACATGCGCATTTAGTTATATATTCACCACAGATCAACATCGATCGTATTTGCAAATCAACACAGCGAGGAAAAGCATGATGGACAAAAGTATAACATAAAATTGTATAAAATTTCAAATCTAAAAGGCTATGAAGAAATATTTCCCATTTTTTTTACAGCTGATTTAAAACAGAAAGTTCCTGAAAACCTTTCCACGGGCATTAAATAATCATTGGTTGGCAAGTTCAACAAAGCGCAGTATGTAACCTCATACCCCATTTTCGTGACCGTAAAATCATTATAAACCGAAGACAAGAAAAGCACTGGAAAAGCATAAGGCAAGAATTGTTTCATTAAAGCCATTTAACACATCAGCCCAAGATTCTAGACGATCTATAAAGAGAAATTATTATTAAAATCACCTTACCTCGTTTTCCGTTGCTTTCAAAAGGCGGTCAAAAACAAACAGGCAGTCATAATCGGTACCAGTTCTAACTGCGCGATCGAATTCCTAATGAATCCCCGCCCCTTCCCCTGTAAAAGGATCCAGTTTACTCACTCATAAGATTTTTTCCCGCAAGGTAAGGCTCTTTTATCGGTGTTTATGGATAAAATAAAGGAGAAATGTTTGAGAGGATAATTTCACTGACTTACTTTGACTCATCCATCTTTTACAGTTATTCTGGCTTTATCTTGTGTAATTTCTAGATAAACTCACACTGTAAAAAAAAAAAATTATTCTCTAACATCTTAGTAAAAGAAGAGACAGCTTCCTTAAGATTAGCAGGATTAATTGTTAAAAGAATCAGCAGACAGTTCCACTTTGCTGAAAATCAAGATAGCAGTGATGGAATTGGTGGAGTACCAACCAGCATCTACTGCCAGAGCCTGGTTAGACGATACTGTTGGTTATTCACCTTTTCCAATAGGGTTTTTCTCTAAGTTTTTCTTTTTCATTCCTCCAAAAAACTGAAACACAGTCATACTCCCAATCTATCAGAACATAATGGATGAGAGCAGCTCATGGATTTACCATCACCAAATTAAATTTATCTAGGTCATAGTTTCTTTGTGTATTCATGTATAAAATTATTTGTTGCTATTGCAGGTTGTCTTGTTTGGGACTGGGAGACAAGGTTTTTTCCACACTATAATACATCATGAAGTTTATTTCTTTATTAAGAAACATGACAGCAAATTAAGGTAAAATATTTCAATTCCTATGAAAAATTATCTTAGGTAAAGACCAGTATAACTAAATTTGAGCAGCACTTTAAAACCAAGATCATAACCATCAAATATTTTCAGTCGGACAGAGGAAAAGTTATACTCTTTAAAAAAACAACTTGTAGAGACAAGAGGCAATAGGCTGAGGAACATTCTGCTACAATGTACACCACAGAAAAAAAAAATTTTTCAGTCAATGCCAATGATAGTTATCAAAGATCTGGCCAAATCTCTGTAGTACTATCCACATTTTGATGAACCATGATCTTATTGCTAGTAGAGACACACCAGCAAACCATTCACCCTTTAAATTTTGTTTTAACACTTAAACTGTCAGTGCTATTTATTTGAGGAAATATTTTTCTTTATCTATGTAACACTCTCCGTCTAGTACGCTTGTATTTCCACAAGCCCTGTTTGCCAGATGTTGCATTCAAAAAAATGAGGAAAAGCTGTAGTGATCACTTCAAAGAATTTATGACTTAACTTCAAGTAAATGGAAACTGTATTTATAGTACTTCATTATGTGAAATGTCTCTTTTGACCTTTAGTAAAAGGCTATCAAAACCAGACTGTATTTCCAGGGTGATAAACAAAAAGATAAATACTAAGCTCTTGTTAAGGCCAGAAGAAAAGGGCCAAAAAGATTAATTATGACAAGTTCAGGTTAACTCTTTCACTCCCAAGATCTGATTAGTAATTCTCCTTACTATCTGCCATACAATTCTTATGATGTTAGTTCAGAGAATTTGGTATTGAATCAACTAATAATCCCATGATTGGTATTCTTCTCTATTCTCATCACCTGCCTGCTTGATATTGTATTGATATTGTAAGGAGAAATTCTGTGTTGGTCACTCATGGGAGTTAAAGGATTAAGCAAGAAATAACAAATTTCTATAAGGTAATAACAAAAGTGAAATCAAAAGTATTTAAATCCATGTGATGTTGTCTTCAAGCCTCTTTGATGAATTTTATCATCTTGAGATAATAGAAAGCCATGCAAATGATATCCACATAAGGAGCAGGCAGTAAAAGAGAGCCCAATGGATCCTGTCCTTCAGCCCAAATTAAAACAACTTGTATAATTTCTTTAAACTAGTTTCTTTGCTTCAAAGAATCCCTTTAGATGACGCATCTGCCAGAATCCAGTGACAAGGAGTATCAAAGTTTGTGCCAAAGCCCACCACAGTACACGCTGGTTGGTACTTTCACTGGTTGCTCTAAACCGCTCCTCACGAAACTGTGATCAAAGAAAACAAAATCATTAAGAATAAAATAAGGAAATTCATCACTATGGAAAAAAAGGTATATCCTCATATTAAGTTATAATCCTACAGTAAGTTTTCAAAAGTTTGTTAAAGCTGCATGCTCCAATTGTAACACTTGATGTAGTTTGACCATTGCTTTTAGCATTGTTATAGGATTTTGAGAAAATATACATGGATTGCATTAACTATTGGAATTTTCTGTGAAAAAAATTTTTTTTTTCTATAATTGTTTTATAAATCTTCTTCAAAATTTAAACAGGTGTTCTGTTACCCTTACCCTCTGATAGTTCTGCTCTTTGCTTATCTGTTCTACTTGGTCTAACAGCTGACGAATACGAAGCTGGAGTTCTGTAAGTTTGTCTTTGGCAGCAATTTCTTGATAATCATTGGCATGTTCACCCACTTGAATATCCAAATGAATGCGCTGAAAAAGATATCAATAAAACCCATACTTAGAAATGACAACCACTAAAAATTCCCAGCTTATTTCTTGAAAGTCCAAAGTGAGGACATTATACATCTCAAAGTTGAGAAAGAGTTCACTTCTAACTATAAGTGTGCTCAATCTGACATACCAGCTTTCCTCCTGCCCACAAAGACCATCGAGTAGAATTTGAGTGAAGACAGATAAGGTGTTCACCGGGTGAATGTGAGGTGAAAGTGAATCTTCCCTCTGATGCATAATATTTAGATAGAATAACTTTCATGTTGGGATCTTTCACTTCCACATGCATTCCTATACCAGGACTGGATGGAAGGAAATCTTTGATGTTTTCATCGTATAACTGTGTCTTGTATTTACCTGTTGAATTGTCACGATAACATTAGTTCAGGGAAGGCAATACCACTTAAGTTAATTTTGAAATAAGGTCACAAGAGAATCCTGTCAGGACTTATATACTTATATGTTAAATACTGACAGGTCTGGATTAACTGCCATCCAGTAGATATCTGTTGACCAAACAAGCTAAACTATTACAATTATTCCATGAGTGAGCATCTTATATGAGATGGTAAATAGTGAACAAGGCATGTAGTATCAAATTGGCTATAACCAATCTCATATACAACAAGTGCAAATGGAATATTTATTTTATCAAATTAAAATATCCACAATGCACGGGAGAAGCAACTGTTTCCAGCCAAAAGTAAATCCAGTTTAGCAAAACTTGAGCAAATCATTTCCCATAAAGATTGATTTGGTGTATGAGCTGATAAGCAGAGCTGTGTGAACCAATCAGAACACTGAAAATGCATCATCTGGAGTTTGAAATTGAATAAATATTGTCTAGTGTTTGAACAACTTAGGACTGGAGGGATGGAAGTTTGATTATTTTGTTAGAGAGATATACTCTGTAGTAACTACTACATTGAAACTCAACATTAAGTAAGAGAAATTTAGCTTAACCATTAGTTTGCGTTAAGTATTTAAAGATCAGAGATTGGTGTTATATAGTTGTGTACCCAAAGTTGTAAAATGCCAATATGGTAATTTGAAGGTCTTAAATAACTCTAAATTGCTCTTAATTTCCTTCTCTACCCGCTTAACCTTGTTTCTAACGTTATTTTCTGGTAAATGACTCATAGTAAAGCATGCGTGCTTCTTCAGTAACTGGTATATTTGCCTTTTGAAGTAAAGATGCATGCAACATGCTGGCTATTATACGATTAAACTAAATACACATTTTCAGATTCGAAACAGTATGCTACTTTACCAAGAAAATAGTTTAAGTGGGAATTTTTTTAACAACCAGAACTACCAGAGATCTGCTCGTCATTCGAAAAGCCTAACCCATAAAAATCAAGTGGCTTTAGAACAAACGCTAATTTAGGTACTATTATTCCAAAATTGCGTTACATTAAGGGATGTCTCAACTAACCGATAACCATTGTTTCGTCTGGAATTTCCTCTATGAAACACTTCTTTTCTGTTTCTCCCATGTGGAAATAGAGGCTCTGGGCTAAATCTAACCCGAAAAAGACTAAAATTACCGATGCCCACGAAACGACCGCCATCTTTCTTTGTATGCCTGGCGCTCGCCACGTCAGTCTGAGTTTCAAAACCCAGCAGGCACTGCGAGTATATGTGGTGCTCAGTCTTCTTGAAGCCTTTTCGAAAGAAGCGGAAGAGGGCTTGTGACAAACAGCGGTTGCAGCTGTCACGTCGGGAAACTTCTTTTCTATGCCCCATTTTAAGGTTTTTTTTCCACTGACCAAGATCCTAAAAAACAAGCTTATCTGCCTTTTGCCGGTACAAAAGTACACTTGGTCATTTTCTTCTTTTGATATCTCATTAAGGGGGGGGGGGGTTATTTCCACACAGCTGCACATGGTAACAAGTCCTATCACTTCTACCAACTAGTTCCCGGTTGGGGAAACATCAGGGACCGCCCAGCGGGAAGGGCTGGGGGGGGCTTTACCCCCCACTTTTTCGAAAAAATAAAAATAAATTAGACAAAAATAACGGAGCCAAAAATAGCCCCCCAACCAAAAACTTGTTGCGCGGTCCCTAAACATGCCCCTCAAACTTCCGGGGTCACCTTTTTGCTGGATCCTGAATGAGATTTTAGGTTGCCACACTCCTGAAATACAAGGATTTGTAAGGATGCTTAACGTCTCTTTCGCTGTTCAAGCTCATTTTACTAACGATTAGGTTTTATTTTTTTTTCCTTCACTCCACTGCATTGGACATCCAAGATTCCTCGTTCCCCTCGTCCTTCTTTAAAGGGCAAGATTCCTAATAGTCTTTCTCGTCTCTTTCAACCCCACAAGGAGAAGAATGCCAGAATCCCTTTGTGTTTTTTTTTTTACACTTCCTTAGCCTCTTTTTTGATAACAGGTGATCAGTCGTTGGTTTTTCTGTTTAAGAAATTACGGACTTAGAGACTCACACTTTTGAGTCTTACCCCTCCCCTCTCCTCCCCCTCTCAATATGCGATAACCACAACGGTTATAAGCACAAAAAACGCACGCTCACAGGCTAATGAACCGAATTAGAAAGAAAACAAATCTTCAATCCCGAAGATCTGTCATAACTAACTATATCTAGTTAGACTATCTATATAAAAAAGTCGGCTAGCATTTCTTCTAAAGAACTTTATATCACCATCATTTTGCCCAAATAAAATATCTTATCATTCTATTGACTTCCTTTTTAGCTCTAGCTTGTTAAGTTCTTACTGTTATTGTTGTAAAATAATTTTTATCGTAACAATTAATAGTTTTTCCTTTTAACACCGAATAAACATAACTTAATGCATGACCCTCTTTATTAAATTCGAATGGACTTTTCCTTTTTAATTCGCGGCGTTTTGATATTTTACTTTTCCATCCCAAAAGGGAATGTAACTTATCCCTATAATATCCATTCATTACCCAGCAAAAGGGTAATAAGAATACTCAAACTTGGCAGAAGTTGTTATCTTGATCTAACACCAAATTTCTTGTAACTAATTTACAAGGAATTGTGTAGCAGCTAGAGGGGGTTAACAATCAGATCATCGGAGTTAAATGGGTATAAAGAAATGTAGTGAAGAAAGCGTCGCGTTCAAACGCTCGTCCTAGCGGCCGTTCACCGTAAGGACGTAATTGTTATGTAAGACCAAGGGTCAAATCCAAGAAACCAATCAAAATTTTAAAAAACATTTGAGTCTTGTAAGCTGCATGAATGTAAAACTAGCACAGAAGCAATGACTAAACTTAAAGAAAATTCGGCTTTTTGTGAGTAAAAACACATTCATGCAATTCCTTCTGTCAAACTTTACTATATGACATGTTTTAATTTTTTCTCCAAACTTTGCCTATAAAATGAATATTACATCGCTTGGAGAAAAATTTAGTTTTTCCAATAGGTGTGTCATCGAAAAAAGGAAGACATTTTATTCGGGCTCTATGTATTTATTGGAGATTATTAAAACTAGGCATTAGCTAGCTATAAGTCGAAAATGTAACTGACGTATTAAAAACCTCTCTTGTCCGTTTAACTTTAAAAATATTTGACAATTATTTTTATCCAGGCTTGGGTTAAATTGTTCTTTTCCTTTAGCGAGTAGAAGTCATTTTGGCGAAGTAACTATTTTGCATCCTTGTGGGCAGAGAACACAAATTACAGGTACACACGTACAAAAAGAAAAAAACAGCTAGCTCATCTCATAAATTAAAATTCTTCCAGACGACACAGAATATTTCTCAGTCATAAAGTATTCAAAGAAAAATCATTAGGCCGTTGACGTATTGTTTTGAAAAACCATTCATCGGAAGAAAAAGCAACATTGATTACAAGATGGAGCGAATCAAATCTTGTTTCGATAATGCTATTTAGTACGAATCAGTAAGGAGCCAATTCAAGTTATGTCGACCATGCCATGTAGGCATCAAATGTATCAATTCTTTCCTTTTCGTTATCGCCTTTAAATTCGATTCTTTCAGACCTTTTGCGATAATTTAATTTCTCGGGGTAATATTTGTGGTTTTCTGATACCGCAGATAGAACAAAGAACCTCAAACAATGAATACAAGGGAACATGCGACATTAAAGATTTAAGGTTTCCCTAAATCACTGACACGTGTTAAAAAAGACTAACAACATTGCTTTTCCCACTTCAAGCTCTCAACCACGAAATCGAGGAAAGAATTGGTTTTCATTCGAAGCGTTGAAAAAACCGCTGAAAGGTGGAGGGCATTTTAATGGCGACTGCGTCAACTTCATCGACTCATGAAGTTATTGTGGAAAACCCGAGAACCAGCGAAACAAACACTCGTGAAAATCCAAGATTTCGCGGAGTAGTAGATGCGTTACTTGAAGTCTGTTATAAACTCGATGTGGTTCTGTGCTGTGGTTTACATTTCTGTGCACGTTGTTTTCGCCCTCGAGTTCGTCTTCGCCAGTCAATCTTCACCCGAATGTCTTACATTGGACTTTTGTTAGGGGCTTCCTTGCTCTGTTGTTTTTTGCTAACACCGCGAACAAGACACATTCTTGGCGATGAATTTTGCCAAACTGTCTCCTACTTTTTCTGTGACACATTACTTAGCTACGCCTCCGTGTACAGAGTTCTTTTCATGCTAGCCATCTTTTATTTTGTCCAGAGCTTGGCTTTATATGGCGTGTTATCGAGTCGTGACAGCCGAGCACGGATCAACAATGGCTTTTGGGGAGTCAAGATTTTAGTTTTATCGTTACTAACGTTTTTATTTTTGCTTATACCGCATTCGGAATACACTGGCGAAGTATGGACATTCTTTGGCTTAAACGGAGGCTTTGCTTTTATAATTTTGCAATTTGTGCTGTTAATTGACTTTGTACACTCGTGGAATGTTAGCTGTGTAGAGAGACTCGAAGCCTCTACATCTTATACACAGCTGAACTTATGGTATATGATTCTGTGGATACCAACCATAACACTTTACGCAATCTCCATTATTTCAATCATTTCCTTCTATATTCTTTACGCATGGGCGCCTGGCTGTCATAATAACATGTTTTTTATAACGTTTAATGTTTATCTCTGTGTTGCTGCCACTTACATTTCTGTTAATCCTGTCGTCCAAGATGCGCGCCCGCGTTCGGGACTCCTTCAAGCAGCGGTCGCCACCTCTTACAATACCTTCATCACGTGGTTAGCATTGTCAAATGAACCTGATGAAGTTTGTAACCCATCACGTGACTATCTCTTCCCTGGAACTCCATTTAGTAACATTCAAATACTGTTAAGTTTAGGATTCATGTTCTTTGTGTTAATCTACGCCTGTTTACGCGATGTTCGCGCTCCGCAGTACGGCAAACTACAACAAGGACACGTTACACGCAAGCAAACACAGGAAACTCGCGAGGTACACGATAGAGAGGACGCTAGAGTGCGTGTAGACGTTTTCGAGGAAGGGGGTTGCGTATTTGATGATGAGCGTGACGGCGTGGCCTACAGTTATTCGTTTTTCCAAGTGCTTTTTTGTTTAGCTGCTCTCTATTCCATGATGACATTAACTAGCTGGTACCGGCCAGAAGAGGCTCAACATTTTAGTGTCAAGTTAGTCTGCGGATGGGGAGCGGTATGGATTCGACTCTCTGCTGCTATTTTCAGCACGTTCATCTATATCTGGACATTGATAGCGCCTGTTATCTTTCCCGACTCGTACAGGGATTTAGTTTTCTTTCAATTTATGCTAAGCGCGCAGAAACCGATGCGGACAGTACGAAGACCAACAAGCTGAGATAAAATATTTTACAACTCTTTACCGAAATGAAGTGGCTATTAGTGAATATTTAATGAGCTGCGAAGAAGCGAGGTAAATGATTACGGCCAGCCAGCTCCACTTTGCTGAACTGTTCTGTTACATACTAAACCAGTGAGGTAATAAAGAACAAAAATATGATTTTAATTCATCTATTCCTGCTACGATGACAATATTTCCGCAAATCCCGCAGGCGTTGCTCAGAGGTGAATCAGTAAAGGATATTTGTAGTTTGAGTAGCCAACCAGAACACGCTTTCAACGCTATCGACCGCTTACGCATATACTAGGTGCTTGGGTCAAGACCGGTTACTACAGAGTAGAGCGCATTACAAGGCATAGTTGGTTCAAACGTTCATAGAATTTTGTGAGGTAACTTGTTGTCATGATTTCTTCTCTTTTTATACAATAATCAGGCATCAGCGACCTGTTTTAGTAGTTAAACGAGAAAGTACGAATCAAGGGCGCGAGACCTAATGCGGGGCGTAAAAGCCATCGTTGCTCAGTATAATATCTCTCGCGATCTAGAAGATTATCTCAGAGACCATAGACAGTCAGTGAACGTACTAACCGCGTGTAAAAAGACTGTTAATTGCCTCAACAATTGCTACGATATGAAAGGGAAAATACAGCCCTAAAGAACCATTTCAAAACCTTCATTTGAGACGGTAAAATTTAGATACTCTCAATGCGCTAAATACTGTATATTTAACACAAACTCAACAACAGTGAATTAAAGCTATTTTGAAAATTACATTTGTGAGTGAAGAACATGTTGTGCAGTTCCCTCATTGTGCGAGAAAGAATTCGGAAAGTGGATGGGAAATGCTTTTTTAAATTACAGAATGTAACGCGGTTAATCTAACTGTTAGGTACTCTACAGAAATATTTCCTCCACAACACCTGTAGTGTTTATGGCGGTAACGACGTCTCTCGCTATCACTGGTAACCCACGATCCAGGACGATTAACAGTCTACGGACCAGGCTTCAATTTTGTTATCGCGTTTTTAGGCGCTTAACTAGCAGGGGGCAAGCGTGAAGCAATCGGGAGAGGCGAGACACGCACAACTGAGGGAGCGCTCTTCTTCTCTTCTTAGCCACGCGCTTACATCGCACGCCCGCCTTAGAGTGGCAATTTAAAGAGGAAAAAAATTGATACTTGTCCCTCAAGCTATACGATTCATCTTAGAGGTTGTCTCTGATGAATACACAGAGAAAAAATTGATGATGATTCATCTTAGAGGTCGTCGCTAATGAGTAGACAGTTGTCAATGGGTCTGGTAATAAACGGAGTGTTGAAGTCTTTTAACCTGGGATGCCGAAGTTCTATGGGAGGGGGGGCAAATTGATATTATTATTTCGCGACGAAACCAAACAAGGTTGGCAAACGAGACTACCACCAGGTTTGACTCTGCCTCTGCTTTGAGATCCAGGATGGAGGCCTTCAATCACAAACAATACGTCTGCAACGCTAGCTTGAGGCTTACGGGGTGTGTTACTTAGCATTTAAAGGAAAATAAATTCCTTTAAAGCGTAAGGCTATGACACAAAATACTTTTTAATTGCGAGAATATTGATATGTGGATTCACTTCTAGGTTTCAATTGACAAATGGATGTCTTCATTACGGATTACATTGCCTACTCTACCACTGAAGATCAGAATTTACCTTCACCTCAATATTGTCAACAGAAATGAACTTCTTTGTGCAGTTTACAACACTAGGCACATATTCAAAAGCCATGGGATACTCCCATGTAAAAATAAAGCGGGGTTTTTTCCTCTTAGGAGTAAAATAAACAGATTGGTGCCCCTGAAGGTGCCTTAAGCTAACATAAAATTTCCACATTTAAGAATTCCTTGTGTTTTCAGAAATACAAAAGAATAGCGAGCCGTCCTTGACTTCTGGCGAACTGAAAAGAACCCGATAAGTGAAGGAGGAAGGATTTGGTGCAGAACCACTGTGCTTCCGTTTACGCTGAGGTATAGCCAAATTGAGATGTCCTTTTCGCTAAATTGCTTTCGGAACCGGTCGGTTGGTTGCCTCTTCTTGTTCGTTGGGCCTTCACGCTTTCCTCGAAATTTAATTACTTCCACGATATAGTTGCAATAGATTTAAAAATAGATGTATGGCGTTTTGACGTTTCTTATCTGCCTTGGAAATCTTCTCCTCTTCTTTTCTTCCCCGTGTCCTCTCTGGATTGGAAAGGAATAATATTAAAGTCATTTCAACGTGAGTGTCACAAGTAATCTGGAACTGTATTGAATTTTACTTCAGAGCGTTTTACGATTGACTGTCGTAAAACCCGAAACAAAGTAATCACAGCAGCCAATCAGAAGAAAGGAAAATACCTTTAAGAGCCAATGAGAACTCAAAGTAAAGACAACCAAACTACCTAAAGCGCGGGAAAAACGCCGGCGACCAAGTTGCAGTTAGTTTTGGTTCTGCATCTGATTGGTTGCGAAAGTGGCGCGAGTTTTCTTGACCAATCACAGAGCGAAGTAGGGTAAAACCAAAGCAATCCTTTATCACTCTCGACCCTCAATTGAAAATTGCACTTTAACTCTCAAATGAAAAGCGCTTCATGGTAAGGAATAGATTTCATGAGTAGTTCACTGGCTTGAAAAAACTCGTCAAAGACACGTCAATAACGGTTCTTGAATCCTTACACTGCTATACTCCTTTTGGACAAAGGAATTTGCCAGGGAAAAAACTCAGTTGGTTACAGGAAAACAAGTCGAATTAGAATCTGTGTAGAAAAGCTTGCTGTTTGGAGCACTTTCCGATGAATATCTTAAACTAAAGTTAAAGTAGTCAGGACTCCCTCTCAAAACAAAGATAGCTATTGCAATAAGAACAAAAAGCATTTACACGAAACCAGCTTAAAAAGGCGGGAAACGACAGAGAAGAAATCGTGTCAGTCGCGACTGGTTTTTAGTTTAGAATCTGATTGGTTGAGAAGTGACTCCAGTTTTCTAACCCAATCACAAGGCTCAGTCACGCAAACCAAAACAATCTTGGACAACTTACGTCACGCTACACAAAACACCTCTTACCTTGAAAAGCCCTGGCTCGTCACCAGGTCCTCCTGTAACAAGCGGTCCTCTTGAATTAGACTTGGTAGCTGGTCACATTGTGTTGGTGGTAAAATGTTGGGAATAAATCGGGCGAAGAGCATTGGATTGCGTTCAGAAAACTCTGCAAAAAGGATTATGTTATATCTCTGTATGAAATCAATCAGAGATGGGGAAATCAAGTGAGTAATATACAAACCTGGTTTGAGTGAATAAAGTCCTTTAATTACGGACATCATTATCTGTGGGTTGACGCCAAATGGCTTGGATGAAACCTCATCAATCACTCCTAAGAGGAAACAGATCCTTTAGAGAGAACTTCACCTACATTATATTGGATTATCAGCACAAAGGAAGTTTTAAATGTATGCAATTTATCACTCAGTCAATAAGTTGATCAGTCAGTCAGTCGATCAGTCAGTGTTTAGTTCATCAGTTAGTCAGTCCATCAATGTCTTGGACTATCAGTAAATCAGTGAGCCAGCAAGTTATTTAGAAGATCAGTAAGTCAGTCAGTCTTCAGTTCATCAGTCAGCCAATCAGTCAGCCAGCTACATGTAGTCTGCCGGCCAGTCAGTCAGTCAGTCAATCAGTCAGTCTGCCAGTCAGTTGGTCAGTCAATGTTCAGTCCATCAGTCAGTCAGTCAGTTCATCAGTCAATAAGTCAGTCGGCCAGCCATGGAGCCAGTCAGTATTTAGTCCACCAGTCAGTCAGCCAATCAGTATGTCAACCAGTCAGTCAATTGGTCTGCATTTCTCCCAAGTCTTTCAATAGTTTGTTAATTGGTTGGTCATTTTCTAGCCCCCTTCACATGATTAATTTTTTTTCTTTGTGAAAAAGAAACCAGATACTTTTTCATACCTTGACAGTATAGATCAAATAGTGGTAAATTTTCAACATGGAAAAATTGGTTGACTTACTGAACAGGAGTGGATTGTCAGCTACAAGTTCCGTGAAGACTTTCCACAATTCTGCTTTCAAATCAGTATGAAGTTTTGGTGACACATAAAATCGGTTCTATAAGAAAAAAGAAAGATTACAATAAAAGTAATTTCTTTCTGTCTATGATTTAATTGATTTCCATTTTGTTCCATAGTGCTCTTGTGTTTTTTTTGCAATCTTTCCACTGAACAGTCATTACTTTCCATCCATGACTTAAGCGGTTTTGCTTCTTTTTTCCATAGCTGTGTTTTGTGGAAGTCTTCCACAGGCCAAAGATTTAAAGGTCTAGGGGGAATTTTGCAAAATTGAAATCTTACAACATCAATCTTACCCCTTCTATTCCTAATATCAGTACATTAATTCTCCCCAACTGCTTCAATGCAGTTTCTAGTGTGGGAAATTTAGATTTTACATTTCTAAGTCAAGGGAACTTTCTCCAGCTAACAAGTTTGTGAATTCTTTTAATTCTTCATAACATATTACAATTATGTGGAGAACTTATAGGTGGATCACTTCAATAATAACTTCAATAATAACTATCATCAATAATTTGAAGATAATATTATTAATAATCAAAATATTATTGATAGTAAATATTCCTCGTTATTTATGCAAGCAAAGTTTCTCTCCCAGAAGTAATAAATTGTTCATTTTTACTGTATGAATGGATCTCACCATATAACTAAAGATGGCTACTATTCCACTAACTGCTTGGAAGAACTGTGCCATTGCAAAATTAAACTTCTCAAGATAAGCTTCTGCTGGGGTTACCTGGCAATTTCAACAAGCAAAATAAATCTTAACAACAAGCTTAAAAAAATGGCCCTTCTTGAGTGAAGAACAGTTCTTGGGAATTCCAATGATATGGAACACATAATGATGACAACACATTGACTGACTATAGAGGAAATATTTTGTTGGTCAGTCAGCTAAAAAACCATGAGAGTATTCTTATCTGTTTTGCATGATCAGGTTCAAAAAAAAAAAAGTAACCCTTTATACCCTGACGTTAGTGTGTACATTCTCCATAGAACTCTCTAAATACATTTCCCATGGTGCTGACACAGAGAATTAGTCTAATGATCAAGAACTTCATTACTTGGTGTTCATTTCTATTATTCTCAAGACCTTAACAAAGGATTCTGCAGGGATACTGAGAAGAGAAATTAGCTGCTGGTCACTCCTAGGGGTAATTAAAAGGGTTATGTTGATAAAAACATATCATAAAAAGATCTGTTGTATTTCCTGACCAGTCAACCATAACTAACAGTACTAAGCATACCTGCAGTTCTTCAGCAACACGTCTGAGATAGGAAGTCACAAGTTCCATCAGATTGTTGTACATTCTATCAGAATACTGCTGGCATACACATTTATATACAGTGCTGAGAAGATAATCACGCAAGAAAAGTGAACTTGAGAAAGTAGCCTTCTCATTGAAACAGCTTGCAGAGCATACAGGGTTTTCCTCAAGAAATGTAGTCGCTGCCCACTAGCATGAAGATTTATGCTTAACTCAATCCTTAGAGTCTACATGGACTGTTAGGAAGGAAAATGACTGTAGATAGGAAAATTAAGGGATGCTGAGAGTAAAACAAATACTTGTTCATTTCAGAAAATTTCCTAGTCAACTTTTATTTTGTCAAATTGTAACATGGCGAATGTTTTAGTCGTCATCGCGTCGTTGCAATTACTATGGCGAATAACACAAGGAGGAAAAATAGTCCTAAAGCATTTAAATATAAGTTTAAGCTTACGCAAATATTGTTAATGAATGTTTCTGTATATCTACGCCAAACGTACACTTACCTGTACATTTCTTCATACGAAATCGGAATAAATTCTCCAGGATTTTGTTGTAAAATTAACAAAATCGCACCTTTCAGTTTCGGCCAATAATGAGATGTATATTCTTCATCATTAACTGTTGTAACTAATGCAAAAATACAGGAAAAATGTCGTACTGAGTTAAACAGATATGAGATCGCATTAGTTCTATTGTTAGTTACTAGCCAATTCTATACTGCAAGAATTTAGCTCATTTTACCTCTTGACAGCCCAAGGAGCGAGCTTTCTGCAACACTTTCAGTTGTCATGTCCACTATATTTTCCAAAATTCCCAAGAATTGCCTGCAAAAACATGACAAACTTGCTTGCTCACTCTACTGTCACTCCGCCATTTTGTTTTTTCTCAGCGCAGGAGGAATGGGTCGAGACTCTTTTTAATTTTATTTATTTTTTAAACAGACTACGTCATGTTAAGCACATCTGTTGTCTCCTTCAAGATGGCGGATTCCTCTTCGGATTCGGACGACGTCGGGGAAAAGTCTTTGCAAAAGGGCGAGAAAAGAAGGCAAGAAGAAAGCGATGAAGATTCTGACGAAGATTCCTCATCAGAAGTAAATACGGATGGCTCAGATGAAAGCTTTGATGAAAATATGGTGAGAGCAGACCATTTCTATTTCGCAGACGTCCTTCTAACCAAGTTTTTTTGAAGCACGTGCAAACTTACGTTTATCGAGGAGATGGAGGCTTGCGTCTCTGCCGATCGAGGCTTGTGCGTATATTAAGAAAATGCAAGTGATACTTGTGTCATTCCATGGTATACCACCAGGAAGCGTTGCAGAACTATAACAAACCTCTTAGTAAATCGTCTGTTTAATATGAATTTCTACACATTAAAGTACAAGCTACACAAATGTAAGTCACAGTGCATCCGAATAATCAAAGCTTTAGTCCCAAAGGAAATAAAATTTTGCCGGTGTTTTCTTCTAGCAAAGAAGTGTATGCATAGTGAAGTATAGGGTCATCATGTTTTCCGTAAGGGTTGCACATGTAAATAAAAGCTGGCACAGATCAAACTCTAAATTTTGTAATAATACGAAATCACTGGTGTTCTTCATATTATTGGAAAGGAGATTTTGGAATAGCAAACATTATGGTATATTGTACCGATTGAGTTTTCAGGAGATTCCAGTTGAATTTGAAGCATTTCCTCCAAATGAAGAAGATTTCAGCGGAATAAGGTGCCTGTTACAACAAGTGAGTCGATGATAAAACTTAGCTTGAGCGACTAAGGCCCAGTTCAGACATCGTACTTATGCTGTGCTGAACCTTATTGCAATTATGTTTGACCATAGCATGGCGGAAAAACAACTCTGATTCAGACGTTGTGTTAATGTTGTGTGAAATTCAGCTTTTACTGAAGCACCTTTAGTGCATCCTCCCCAATGGTAATGCAATCCCACCGAAGTGCATTAATTAATTTATAAATTTTGCTTGGCATGACAGGGGTACAATGTCTGAATCAGTGTTGTGCTAGAGTCATGAAGCAGGGTAGAGCTTGTCGCACTTAACTGCTCTGTGGAACTTAATGAAAAAGTTTAATGCTTTTGTCAAACTTAATTCCTGAATTAATTTAATGCAGTTAATACCACCCTTGATTACTGTTACTGCAAATGGAAGGAAAATAACTGATAAATGCTATCCATGGTTGAATGCCACCTTAGTTGGTGGATTGCAGCATCTACAGGTGGATCATAATTGGAAAATTTCCAGTATTTCCTGTATTTACAGCTAAAATCAGTAATCTACACCATTCTTGTTGTAAATATGGTCTATCAGACATTTGTGCTTCTATCTCAGCAAAAAGTCAGACACAGATAGTGTAAAAAGGTTTTTGTTTTTCGTGTTATTTACAAATAAGTTGTAAGTTGTTATTGGCAGTGACTAACATTATGACTAACTGTTGTATCTAGATGCTAAAAAATTTGTGGCAGGGGCTGGCATTTAATTCAGCTAATTTGGTTGGATTTTGAAGGTTGCTTGCTTAAAAGCATCTGTTAAAGCTTATTTCCATTGTAGTTGTATCAACTAGCGCTTTTGTGGCTGACTTTCATTTGTGGCTTTATAATCAACAGTTGTTCTTAAAAAGTACTTTGGATCTATCAAAACTCAGTGATCTGATCATTTCTCAACCGGAAGTAACCACTCTGATTAAGGTAGGTCAGGTAATAAAGTAGTAATAATGTTGTCCATCTTGTGAAAATAAACTTATCTTGTAAAACTTGTCGGTATGAAAAAATAAGCTCCCATTCTGTTAAATTATAATGGTCAAAATTATAAAAATTAATTGTTTCCTGAAATCAGTGTTTCTAAGCTTAAGAAAATGAACAATTTCATTAGGATAGTGCAAATAATTTGCATGCTATTGCACATTGAACATTAGTCTCACAAACCTCTGAATCATCCTCAACTAAGATGCCATGGTTTTAAGGAAGGAGCATGAATCATTTTTCATTTCATTGTCCCTCTGACTCCTAGGTTGTGAATGATGATGATCAAGAAAACAATGGTGAAGCCAAAACTGATAATGATGATGAATCAGAAGATGGTGTTTTTGGACTGACAACTGTGATTGACTTAAAAAAGCATAAGGTTAATGAGAGAGAGTTTTTTAAAATTTTTTCATTGATTGTTTCACACTGAGATCAAGAAAACTGTGCAATGTCATCTATTACAGGTATGAAAAGATCTGTCTTCAAAATGTTGTAGTTTATAAAATATTCTAGGGCAGAAAAATCCACAACTGCCTGTAGTTTGATTTTCACCCTGTTCCCATTAGATGACCATATTCTTCAACATGCAGGAATAATTTCAGAAAAATATTAATAAGTGAATAATTTTTTTAAAAAAAATTTCACTTGACAGTCTCAGGGCCTAAATAAGAAATGTATGGCAGGCAAAAGGGGATAATTGAAGTCTAGATTTTGGAAATGAAAGGGTTAATTTATTTAAACCTGAATGGTTTATATGCTTTGTGACTGATTCTCAATCATGAGCTATCAGTAGACAGATGAATAGATGACATCACCAGTACCAATATTTTGCTCTTTTTTTATACCAAACAAATAGATTCCTTGTTATTGTGGGTCTGTTCAGGAACAGATTATAAAAGATCTCAAAATGTGATTTAAGGAGAATCAGTGACAAACTCAGTTTGAGCCTTCTTTGCCACTTTTTGGTCATAACACATGTTGACATCATTTGTGATCTATTGCTGATCAGATACATGAATACATGGAATCAATTTTTTAATTTGACAACTTCCCAGACTGTCAATTAATCTATTGCTCTGATGAAGGGCTAATGCTGGAAACGTCAGGCTTTTAACTCTTTACGGTGGCCAATTTACATTTTCAACTCAGTTGTTAACACTAAATTACCTGCTATACTCTCCCAGTGACACAGCATCACAGTTTCTTTAGAAACTTACCCCCTTTATCCATTTGTCAATTATATTGTTTGTATTACTCAGGAAAGTGATGTTGTAAAGCAACTTAAAAAACTATTGACTGATAAATGCCAGGAGCTGGCTTCAAAAGAAGATAAAACAGAATTTACTGAGGTGATGGAAGGACAACATTCTGTAGGATTTCTCATCAGTGAACGTTTCATCAATATTCCACCTCAGATAGCAGTGCCTGTTTACAAAACGTTACGGTATGAGTAATCTCAAATTGTGTCTTTGTTTTAAGTTGTACATGGTGTATATGTTCAAGGGAAGTTTCTCAAAATAGATGATTGTTTTTTTTTTATCAAACTCAAACAGTGTTAGGTCATAGATCATTATTTTAAAATTATGGTTATTGTACAATAGTTGAGGTTAAAGTGTTTAGTGAGAGGGTTTTATTGAAAATATGAGAAATTATTTTTCTTAAGAATTACTATGAAAACTATAATTGGTCAAGAGCATATAGTCAATATACAATAATGTGTGAAGTTGACATGATATCTCAATACCTGCAGTGGATAATGTAGTTTTTCATGAATGGGTTGAAGTCTGCCCAGTTTCCAAGCCCCTCATCAGTGTGGTGTCCACAAAACTTTGCAAACTCAGAGAAAAGTGTCTTCATTTGCAGGTTGTTTATAAAAACGTACAACAAAACAATCAGTGAATTTGGTTTTCACACAATGTCATAAATTATTGGTGTTGGGGGGGGTAAATTGGGGGGGTGGGGGTGGAGTGTGTTGATTCTGTTTTTTATTGAAATGACATTTAGTCTTTCCTTTTTCTTATCATTCTAAATTGAAAGTTTTTCATTTGTTAGATCTGAACTGAAAAAGGTCCATAAAAAGGTATGCCATTTATTACCAACTAAGTCTGATACATTTGAAAGTTACCTTTTGCCAGTGATTACACCTATCTGCAAAGACAAGTACCCTCTAGTGCTCTGCTTGGACTGCTACAGGCATTTTTTAATTATGGAAGGAAATCTAAGCTTGATTTTTATAAACCTCAACAATTTTATCTCTATCTGCCCACTGATTTTAATTTGGATTGAGAATGTATTCTCTTTAACCCTGTGCAATCCAGTAACCCAGATGCTTTGAAGCTTGTCAAAAATAAAGTGCTATATCTGGCATATCTTAGGAGGTGTATAGAGAACAGTATGGAGAATATGCATGTATACAGATGTTAGAGTGTGGCATATTGGAGAATTCTCAGGCCACTACGAAGAATTCTCTGGCAAATTTTTGCTGCATTTTTTCCTTAGACAGAGGGATAATGCTTCTGTTATGTTACAATATTCTTCTGCTTGTACAATTTTGACAAAAATGATGTGTGTCAATTTGAACTTTTAGAAATTACTCTTGGTAGGGTGAAGATGCTCCAATCTCCTACTTTGTAATGATTTGCAAGACTTACAAAGACAATGAGACCAAAATGCATAAAAAGTCTAAGAAGGTCAAGATGCAAGAGTCAGGGAGTTCACTGAGTTTTATTAATGTGGAGGATGAAGTGTTCCAAAGGGTAAAAATGGAATCTTAAATTTATTCCCTTAGATTAGATTGATAGAGCGTAGTATTTTTAACACTCCAGTATTCCCCTCTCTCTAGTAGCATATTGAATATAAATTCCCATGCATTTATTGGAGGTTACATGAATGCTGGTGTAATTGGGATTTTATGTGTAAGAATGTTTTGGAAATTTTTGCATCATGCAAGCTGTAGCTAAAAGAAATTAAAACCACTTTCTTACCATGAACAGCAACCATGAATCACAGAATGCACAAGTCAGTTTGCAACTTTTTTTTATCCCACTCTCAATTTTAAAAAGTTGATTTCAAATGCTACCTTGTTTGTTTCTCGTTGCATATCACCTGAGACATTTTTCCAAAATTCCAAATTGCCTGTTTCTGCTCTTTTAATTGATCATTATTTACCCTGTGGAAATTGTGTTTCATTCCTCAGCCCAGTTATAAATTTAGTCATTGGTCAGTCAGGAGCAAGACGCTTTGTTGTAGAGGGCATATAGTCTATCATATAATAAGCATCAATCTGTAGTTTTTCTTGGTGCAGCATGTTTGACAACAGTTTCCCTTGTGAATGTGGTTTTCCTTGCAGGAAAGTCAATTGTCCTTCAGTTATGCAGCCAGTGCAGATGTTGATGAAACTCTTGTAGCTGGAAGATGGGCTTCAAGTGATTGTGAATTAAAACCTTACCGAACTGTGCTAGTGCTTCCTGCTGATAAGTTTGATAAAGCACTCGAGGGAATACACAATATGCTAACACAGTAGTGACCTCTATTTGAATGTCTCTACACAAGTACCATATGTAACTGTACATTCCACAAAAAATTGTGTAGGTTTTTAGCTTAAACATCAGCAAACTGTGAAAGTGAGGGGTGGATGTGTATATTTATCATTTGTTCATCTGCGCCTCGAGTCCTTGAAGTTGTTTATGTCTCTTTGAAAGAAACCAAGATTAATCATGACAGTAGCAACTCCCATGAACAACTTTGCCTATAAGCTTTCATTATGGTTCCTGTTATGAAAAAATCCTCTGGCAGGGGTTCCAAGCTAAGCTAGTTCCTTGCGATCTACTGTTGTTTACAAGGCCTCTTGCTGCTACATGAATAATTGAACATGTATGGCATCTGCCTACTCCACCATTGGCAGACACTGGTAAAATGCCATTACAACCCCTGCTCTGGTACCCCAAGGTAGTTCCTTTTAACACATCTATTAATCAACACTGTCATTATACAGTACCATCCACAAATTGAAAAAAAGGAATTTTATCATTGATTTTACTCATGTACAGTCTAAGCATGTTAATCCAGCTATTAAACAAGTTTGAAAGATCTATCAATCTCTAATTTCCATATGGTTAATTGATAAAGTTTGAGAAACAAGTATATGAATGGTTCTCTATTACTATTACTATTACTATACAAGAGATATGCAAATAGTACCCTGGTGACCATGATAGATTTCAAGTTTTATGACCAGTATGTGTACACCCAAATCCATCCCACGTGTACCTCATTTTCTGTGAGATGTACTGATATACCAAAAATGGTGAATTGTACTTAAAAGAGAAAAACAAAGAAACCCAGAAATTCTAAAAACAACACACTTCCTTTAGTCTCAAAAGATTTTTATTGAGTTTCGTTTGAGATGTAAAATGAACTGATTGGTAGCATTTCTTCAGCAATCCATCTAAAAAAGGGAAGAATAAGAGAAAAACAATCAACTGAGTAGAAGTCAAACACATCTGACATAAAACATTGATATGGTTTTCAGCCTCTGTTACATTTACAATGACAATATTTAATCACATTTGTTTGAACAGGTCACCTTAAATGTGAGGGGGCAGTTTAGTTCCCAACACTTGATCCTGGAATTTAGAATGGCAGCTTACATTTTAGCAATTCTTTAGATTGGAATCATTAGATAACATACCCAAGTATGCTGTAATTCAAAACTATTTCAAGTTAAAATGAATTCAAACTGGTTTGATTTGTGTTTTTCTTTTACAGAGCAAAGGGAAATCCAAATCAAAGAAGCTTCAAACCATTTCAGCATGACATTCATTTCAACCTACACTACATCCAAAAAAAAATATCAGTATGTCTCAATATGCTCAGTGAAAAACCATCACTCTGTAACTACCCTCCCTAACAAATTTCCCTGCCTGTCTAGTGTTACAAAGGTTTATGCCTGTTCATTTAGTGAAAGGAAGTAATAAACGTACTTTTGGTTCATATTCCAAAAGACAATTTACAACAAGATTAATACAAGAGCCACTATACTGTCTGTTAGCGTCTCTATTGTCTATCTCTTCCCCATTTTCTTTCAGACTATACTAAACAAGTGTGTTGTAACACCTTTTGGGGTACTCATTCTCCTGGGCACCCCTTTCTTGAAATAATGCTCCCTAAAATTGAAGAAGAGGACCCACTGAGTCCTCGTTGGCCAATTTCTAAAATAAACCCTGCTCAATGTACATAGCAATTCTAATTACCATAGTTGCAATATTACCGACATTTGTTATATGCATGTCAAAGTGAGAAAAAAGTCCTTGGGTGCTGGGTTTCGTTTGAAGAATACATAACTCAATATTAACATGAAAGGAGACAAATCGGATATTATGCCGTCCTCGAAAGAAAAAATCTGCGAACTAGACTGAGCCAATGTGAATCGTCTGTAAAACTCAAACATGTAAGGTAGTGAACTTCTAATGAACTTTTTTGTAATTAGCTTGCCATATTTATCTCTACTGGTGACCTTGTCAGAATAAAATTGATCCCAAAAAATTTTACTTACTTATTCTGTTGACATGGCTTGCACCTCTTCCTCTGTGTGCTTTCCTTTCTCGGCCAACTTTGATCTGTTCTTTCTCTCCAAGATCTTCTTGCGATCTTTATCAAGCTTCAACTTGATAATCTCCACTTTGCTTGGGTGAATGCCCACGCTGACAGTGGCTCCGTTAGCTTTTTCTCTTTGGATTCTTTCAATGTGAATGATCCATTTCTTGCGGTAGACTTGGATCACTTTTCCAACTTGTTGGCTCTTAAAATGGCCACGTGTGACCTGAACCTCGTCGTCTTTTCGGATCGGCATTGAGCGGACATTGTATTTTTGGCGAAGCTCCTTGGACAGAGGTGCACTCATAAGTTTTCTTCGTACACTGGAAGGCGCAGAAAAGTGGGCCTTACGGTTTTTTCTCCTCGAGGATGTCACTTTGCTGTTCAGCTTCATTTTTGAAGATCAACCATGCACTAGAAGCAGAGTAAAAGGAAGAATCTAGAGTTGGGGGGTGTATTAAATCTAACTTGATTAATTGCACGACCCCTAAAGCCGCTGACGGTAGGTATTGCGGCGTGGTTCTAATGCAGCAAAACAGCTCCAATATTTCGCACCAACATGGAGCGTAAATGTCAAACTTGGGACATCTTGTGGCGATCTTTTCTTACTTTTACTCTTTTCGCAACCACAAATTCCATTGCATTTCGTCTAGACGACAGTCAAAGTGCAGTGAAACTAATTCCGCTGACAAGAGTGAACCACAATGGCGGTTTCCGATTCCATCGAGGGAACAACTTTCAATTTGAAAGAGAAATCAAAGAGTTGAATGAGTTACGATACAGATTTCGGCGAAGTACCGGGGGTTCTGTCCGTGTTCACAATAACACGAGGATATCAGAGGAGTTTGAACTCGACGGAGACAATCATACTGTGGCTTTCTTACACTGGTCGGGAAAAGACAGTTCGGTGAGTTTTATAGCGTGCTACAATGCAACATGCTATGGCGCGCATAGTGAATTTTAATTTTGCTTAGTCATGCTCTTCTGTTCTGATATAAACTCCAAGCTGATATAGCTCAAGCTTACATGAAACTTTATTCCAATAATCCAAAATCGATTTCGAGTACACTTTGAATGCCACCAATGACATTAAACGCCTGAAAGTAGTTTAATAAACTGCGGAAATAAATGTGAATTTTAGAACAAAAAAAAATTTTTAATTTAAAATTTAAAAAAATATATCGTGATAAACACAGTAGCTTAACGTTGACATAGAGCCTCTCTCAGCCACCTTATAATATTCCACTTCTAATCCTTGTTCCAAAGTACTTTTTTATTTGTTTTTTCCTAAGGAGCAAACCATTTCAGATGTCAAAGTGTTGAACACAGTTGTCATGTATCAAGAATCGGAAGAATTAGTTAGAGATCTAATTTCAGTTTCCGTTTTTTTTTTTTCAAAAGCAACACATGTTGACCTGAAATAATAAAAGTTCAATTGCCAGAAAAAGGCAAACTAGTTTGTTTTTACAAGTTCATGCAGCATCTCCCAGCTTGATACTTTGACTACCAAGAAGAAAGATGCAAATTTTTACATAAGAAAATAATCAAGCAATATTGATATGTTATTCAAAGTTTCATCTGAGTGTAATTGTAGTCATTGAACACTATTTAGTAAACACATTTTGTGCGTTTTGTCATTTCGTATTTAGTAAATGCATTTTAAACACATTTTTAGTAAACACATTTAAACACATTTGCACCTTATGAGTGCACCTATGTCCAAAGAACTTTGCTAACATGATCATAGCTCTGAACACTGATAGCTGGTGGTGAAAGGTTTGTGGGGGAATGACTAGGTTTTGGGAGGGTGATTTAAGCATCACTGTTGATGGAAAAAAGAAGCATGTGAAAGTATTCTATCTGTTGTTACGTTAGAGTATGGGTTAATATTAGCTGTTATTCTTGAGGAAGAAAAAGGAAAGTTTTGTCAATTTTTAACAACCCAAAGATATTTTTATCTGTCTACTTCCTGCATACTTCACAGCAGAAAAGGCTTTCACTGAGGATCCCTCATTTTTCTCCTGCTGTAGGCCACACCTCATTCGAGGATTTCTATCCTAATGTAGTTCCTTTCTTTTTTATCAGTGCCATTTTAGTTAGCCAGCAAGGCTCTGCTGCATCAAAAGTTTTTTTGGGGGTTTCCTGTGTTCTCTTGAGGTTTCTTTTTTTTATTTTTTTTTTTGGGTGTGTAAAGATAAAGAAGAAAATCCTCATGAAAAAATTGTTAAGAAAATCTGAATTTAGACTCCTTGTGACAATGCTATGAATTTTTTTGTAGGTTATTTACATATACACCTGTGGAAAAGTCAATCAAACTGAAAGTGGAAATTTTATCTGTGAGGATGGTTTTTTTTGGAGGTTAGTTCACCTGTTGATTGTGTGTCATTTGAATGCGGTCATGATATTTTTGATATCTGGCTCATCTGTTTTGTCATCAATGTGTTCTCATAATGATATGGTGGGTTGAAATAAAAATTGGTGACTTCTACACACATGGGTATTCATCAAGAATTTATTGTAGAACTTAACTATGTTTTTAGGCAATTTTTGTCTTAGTTATACAACCTGTAGGAACTTAAGTACCCTGTCTCTTAAAGACTTTTAAAAAAACTTTTTTTTAAATAGTCGTAGGTCTAGTTTTATTTAAATAATAATTTGTACTTTTTGTAGATATTTAGTTTACTTTTTGTTCTGCCCTTAAAAACCACTTTGAGTGATGGAGTAGTTCTTAAAATACATACTTTAATATCATCATCATTATTATTATTATTAGTCCAGGTCAAAAAGGCAATCATTTGGTCACATGCTATAAATGTGAGTGGATTTAAAAAGAAAAAAAAAAAAACAGCCAGCTTTCTTTAAGTTACTGACTTAAATGTTTTTAAAATTGGACATGATAGATATACCCAGTGGGTTTGAAATCAAGGTCAAATTGGCAATCATTTTGTCACATGAAATGAATGTGAGTGGATTAAAAAAAAAAGGGAGCAAAGGTAAACAGCTACGTGTAACTTTCTTGAAGTTAATTAACGAGAGGGAGCGATATATATATTTATATAATAAGCTCAATTATGCACGCATTCTGATTGGTTCTCACTTATGATCTATAGGAGGACAGACGTATAGATGATGTCATCATTAAAACTTTTTGAAATTCTTTATTATATAAAACAAATAGATTCCAAGTTGCCGTGTGTCTGTTCAGTAATAGATCACAGAGGACGTCAAAATGTGGTAAGAACATCAGTGACACACTCGGCTGCGCCTCGTGTGCCACTTTTTTGTCCTTACCACATTTTGACGTCATCTGTGATCTATTACTGAACAGACGCATGGCAACTTGGAATCTATTTGTTAAGTGTCATTTCTTAAATATTGTAGTAGGTCAGCTTATTTTAAAATATTACAATATTTACTCTTGAATTCCATTATATAAATAGAGAATTAATGGTTCTGATTGTATTAGATAACACCGTAAAAAAATACATTTACAAAAAAAGAGGTGAGAGTGCAAACTCTGTAGGAAATATATATTGAACTTGCTCAATGAGCCACAACATTTGCCTGAAATAAAAACTCAAAACTTCTTACAAAATTCCAAACAAAGGAGTAACAAATTTACATGAACAAAGTCTCAAAAACAACGAACTAAAACTCCCAGGAAAAAAACTAAAAAGTACTCAAAAAATGTCTGCGTCAGTTTCCAATGTCAAGGGAAGAGCTCTTTGACATGATTGGCTAATTTGTGAAATCATGCGTGCCGTGCGTGAATACAAAAAGAATGCAAAGGGGGAGAGGAAGAGAAAAGTTGTTGCTTGAAATTTAAAAGCATAAGAGATTTTCTGCCAATGCCATGCAATTGATAAATTGCTATCCAGAAGATAAGTGTGCACAAAATGTACTGTGTTATCCACTATTTAGAGATTTATCCAGTGGATAGCATTACTCAGCCTTCTGGGTCTAATTTAATATGTATGTATGCTAAGGCCAGTTGGATTTCCAGTATCCATTCAAGATATGGCTCACACAATACTCATCCTAACGTAACAACAACAACAACAACATACTTTATTGACTTTCCCCAAGGGGGCTTTTCAAAGACAATGTTATAAAAATAATCCTATTACAATTAAAAAATCCTATTTACAATTAAAGATGTTTTAAAATCTGAACGTCCTTTAATGAGCATTTTGATTCACCTTTATTTTTATAATCTTACATTTTTTTCAGATCCACAGACTATGGAACCACTTTCAAACATGAAGATTATAAATTTAAAAATCAACCCACCAATAACATTGATTTTTGCTCAAGCAATTACACGATGGTTAGTTATTTGGCTGTAGACATCCTATCCTCAATCAGTCTTCTACCCTCTTGAGAAAGCAATTTTTCTTCTTGTCATACTGGTGTAATTTCTCATTGGTAAATTGTAGCAGAGTCAAAGAAAATCTTTTCAGTGTTCTCATGTGCTTTCCATTTTATTTTTGGTGAAAATTCATTGTGCAAAATAATTTTACTTCAATTCAAAAATGAGTCTGATAAATGATAAGTTCTGTAAATTATGTAACATTACAATTTTTGGAGGCTGTAGTGTCTAAAACAGTAATTTGGATAATTTTCCAGAAACATTTTTAGTTTTATGCAGTATTTTGCCTGCCAATAATAAATTCCAACCAGCATTTGACTAGTTACTTGCTGCTAAGGGCATTTGCTGCAATAGTGTTAAGTCTCTACACATTTGAAGATTGGGCATAGGTTCTGTTCACAGGCTTTTTCAAAGTCACTGCTTGGCGATCTAGAATCATAAATGTTGGCCAGGAATCAACATCTTAGTTGCCAGAAAAGAAAAAAATGTGCTATATAACTGGTCCTACCACATGTATATGCTTATATCTTTGAACTAAGCAATACCCCTGGAAACTGTTTTCAAAGGTTCTAGCATCATCTCAGACAACTTAAGAGGAAGAGGTGGTATCATATATAAGAGCATGACTAGTATTTATTTTAATAATACACTGTGCCAACTTTCATTTCACCTTTAATTTAGATCACAAACATGTTGCAGCCTCTTACAGAACTGAGGAAGATGTGTCATTAAATTGACAAACTTTTTCGGTGCAAATTTACATGTTATAATTTGTGTGAACAGTTGTGAACAGCTGTGGCTTGGACTGGACTGGACCGCTTGGTCTTTGTGGACAATTAGTTTCTCAATCAAAAATTTTTTTTCAGATATCTGCTTTTGACTGAGAATTCTTTTTGTTCATTTTTGTTTTTAGGTTATGGTCAGTGTCTCAGTACCTAAAAAAAGTTATCTGTACGTCTCATATGATGAAGGAAAAACATTTGCATCTCAGCCCTTGTCTTTTACACCTCATGTGGTTTCATGTAGTCCTGTATCATATAAAGTTTTGGTTGCTCAAGATCAGGACACCAAAAAGGTTTGTGGAATTAGCTATTCTCTCTTAAAGGTAACTGAGCCTCAAAGGATCTGAATAAAGAGGGTAAATTTCCGAAGGAATTGGGGTATTGTGTTGGCAGTCTACAGCCTTTCCCTTCATCTAGGCAGCACAGAAAGCCACAAAACAAAAGAAATTATCTTTCCAATTGGCACTCATACACTTTGTTCTTGCCTGGCCCCTTTTTCTCTTTGTAAACCACACACAACCCACAATTGCTCCACTCACTCTAAAAATTAAAAGGCTAATTCTTGAAATGTCAGTATTACAAATCTCTTTATGGTGACCAAAACTTAATTGTTTATCAACCCAGTTTATTAAAACCAAATTTCTTCATCTGAGCCTTGGTGTATGATAGTTTTGGACTGTGTTTGGTTTTCTTTTGAGCTGTGTCTTTTCGTTCTGTTTCAGATTTATTACATGAATGATGGTGAACGATGGATACATCTAGCAGATACTGTCTTGAGACATTATTGGTGAGAATATCATAATGTTGATTGACATCCAATTTCTCCTTTTGCGTCCTCAAATTGAATATAAAGCTCAAGAAAAAAATGGAAATGATCACCAATTTAAAGAAGGTCTTGATTGTTAAACAAATTCTCCTTGTCGGTACTATAGGAAATGTGACAAAAACAGTGAAGAGAATTTGAATACTGATGTTAGGGTGTAAATGGTTGAAGGAAGCATATCTAAATATCATATTTGAATCGGAGGTCAAAGATGTGATAGTTAGAGGAAAGATCATCTCAGGTATGAATACAACCTCAATGGTTGTGAAATTAAAGCCTGAAAAAAAAAATTCAGACTTGAACTGAGATACTAGTGCAGAGCTAGAATTAACTAGAATTTTTGAGGGTGCCACTGAAAAATGCCTCAGCAAGTTGGTTTCCTTCATTAATTATTATTATAATATTATTATTATTATTATTATTATTATTACTATTACTATTATTATGTTGCACTGATTTGTGAAGCCAGTAAAGAGCTGGAACTAGTTGTTAGAGGGGTGTATTCACTGAAAAATCTCTATCCTGTGGAAAGCGCAGTACACGTACAGTGTACAGTATATTTTGTTAAAACAATAATCCACTGGATAAGGATTTATCTATTGGATAGTGTAATCTCCTCTGTGAACAACTGGTTCCTGGCCGTTATGAGAGCTCTTAAGAACACATTGAAGGATGAGTATGCAAAACAAGGGACAAAACATTGAAAAAGTTGAAATCTCCAATTTTATATATCAACATATGTTCCAGATCAGTTGTCTCTGATTTGCTGAATTTCTGATTGATTTTAAAAAAAATTATACAGGGCACCAAATCAAGGTGGCAAGAAGTCAGAGTTACTCCTTGAGGTTCAGAACCCAAATAAGTATCGTAAGTTACTCTTCTTCATCTCTTTTTCTGTCAAAAACTTGTCAAGCTCAATTGATAGATCACTTGTTTTAAAATCACATTTGATACAGAGAGATCTGCACGTGTTTGTGTTATATTAACCTCAGACTGAGATATTTATCAAATACCACAATTTCTTTCAAAATAAATTGTGTTTATTAATTGTTGTTTATTAATTTGAACAAGTAAAAGTTATTTTCAACCGTGGAAGAACACTTTCAAAGCTATTTCACTGTCTCTCATGAAACAAGAACTGAGTATTTTACGTACAGGAAGATGAGCTCAGGTTTTAAATTTGTTGTGTTTGCAGCCAATCTTTGCCAAGACTGTATTACTTGTGAGTAAATGAAGTGAAGTCCATTTTGTATCGTAGAACCTCTTTGGAAGAAAACAAATTATATTTCTCGGAATCACTTCACTGTTTTTAAATTAATTAGTATTTCTTCCAAACTCACTAAATCATGAAAACCTGAACTGTGTCTAGATTGCTATTTCATTATGAATGACCCATGGAAGGGCAGAACACAATTTTAATGAATACTAATTGAATATTAATTTGATATAAATCTACTTCAATATTACTTCTGAACTTGCAAATTGTCAGTAAGAGCTCCTAATAATAATAATAATAATAATAATAATAATAATAATAATAATAATAATAATAATGATAATAATAATAATGATAATAATAATAATGATAATAATAATAATAAGCTTTATTTGAAATTCAAAATAATGGATCAGATAGACTAAAAAGACTCTCTGGTATTAACCCATGTGCACATATGTAGTATAAAATCTGTATATAATAAAATTATAATAAATACGTAAAAAAGGACTAAAAATATCATGATACAAAATAGTAAAAATAAGAATTTATAAGAATAAATAAATTATCCTTGCCTAACTCAGATTGAGGGTTTTGTCAATACTGTGCAACAAGTTAGAATTACACAAAAATTATTTGACTTAAACATGTAACTTCCTCTGACCTGAAAAAAATCCTGAAAACTAGCTTGTAAGTGTTTCTCATCATGTGTATTTGTACAATAAACCAGCAGGTATGTTTGTATTTATGCATTTATGTTTTCAGCCAAGGGAGACTGACAGTATTTTTGTTCTTGGGTGGGATGCTTTATTCCCACCATGTTCCTCTTAACCGAAAAGAAGGGATTGTCACAATTTTTAATGAAATTAATTCCATTTGACCTGGGAATGAAAATCAGGCAAAGAAATGATCTGGGCAGGTTGACAGCAATTTAAGTAATTGCAGAAAATAAATTTTAAAAAAATTTAGCCAGTGATAGGATTCAAATGCCTTCCTCACAGGTTTGTACCTTAGCTAGTTTAATACTCAACTGGTATCAGCAAAGTACAAGTTTGAATCCTGTCAAAGCTTGAATTGTGAAGGATGACCCATGCATACATACATACATGCATTTTTTATTACTTTCTAATACCAATTTACAAGTTTTTATGTGCCTTACAGTAGCTTGAGTGCTGTTCTGGGGTGGTTTTATGTTTCAGGTAAACTATTACAACTGCATTAACAATTGAAAGTACTTATTCAGCCTTTATTAGTGCAGGATTTTAGGGTAACATCTGAAGGGACAAGGCACCCTTAAATGGTCTTCTGTACACTTCCCTGGAAAATGTAAATGCTTATACAACTGTAACTTTTTTTTCCACTGCAGATACATCATTTTTAAAGCATGCTTTCTTGCCTTGTGATAAAGATTGTTTGAAGGATTTTGATAAATTTCTGGGACCATTCTCATCTCATTCCTTAAAGGTGGAGGGGAAATATGTGTTTGTTGAGGTAAGAGAACCTATTTTGGGGAAGACAAAACCAACAGACCCTTGTGTTACTGTGATGGGTTGAACCCTCAGAACCATCCTTTGGTGTGGGTGAATCCTTCTTCCATGATCTGATGAGGAAATCTCTCGTCCAAGGACTTTTTATTTCACTACAGACAATTTGTGATCAGTTATCTGTTAAATAATTTGCTAACTTAAGAATGCAGCATTATCCATGAAATTGAACTTTTTTTTGACATAAAGGACCCTCTTGGTTATTCTTATTTGTTGAAAATTTTGGTCATTTGTGACTGTGGAAACATTGACTTTTCACTTGATTTTGATCAGCTGTTGTGCTTTTTTTTTTTTTCTCAAAACACAATTATGTTGTTGACTTAAATTATATTTTTGGTATTGTCTGTCACACCAATTATATTGATTCAGAAGCCTGTACCAACATAAAATGCCAATTGAATGCAATCATTTTTGTACAGCTTGTTCAAATAATATAGAGATTAAAGAATTGGTGTGAAGTAGAGGTGTTTAGAGAGATTAAGTCAGTAAGTAAGAGACTTTATTTTGTGAGGGTAACACTTGACAGTGATTGAAATAATTGACAAAGTTGTGGCCCCTGAGTGAGTCGAAGATTTTTAAAGGGGTACCAAGTCAACTAATGAGTCTGAGATCTTTTGATATTGCAGAAATATACCTACAACACAGACTTGTATGTTTTCTACAAAAGCAACTCCAGCAAAAATTTTTTCCAAAAGGCACAGTTCCCTCCTGATATTGAGAAAAAGGTAGGCTTATTTGCAAAATTATATAATTAGATACTTGTGGAAATAATCCTGCAATTTGTTACTTCTCGTACAGAAGGCAATTAATCCAATGCAAGGAAAATTATGAGGAAATGGATCTTTATGTTTTAATAAAGGAAATGTAGTTTTTGAAGATTTTAACATTTTTTTTCTAGATTTCACTTTTACATTTATAAATCATATCAGTCTGCTTTATTGAGGTAGTCTTGGTTATTACAAGTTTTTTTCTACTAGAGGCATATCCAAGTTAAACATTTTAACTGCATATTTTCTACTGACCTAGTTGACCTAGTTGTCAAAATATTCTGGGCTTTCCTTTTTTTTTAGGACGACGTAGCATTGCAAGCTCCGATCGTTTATTCGGCCTGCCATGTTTGATTTGGAGTGGACGGTGGGGAGGGGACTGGATTTCTATTGTCCCATCCTCTCCTCTCTCCTTCCTTTTGACCGTCACTCACCCCCCTTGGTACAAATTTCATTCTCTCCCCAGCCTTCCGCTGCTGTAAAAATAAAAGATGGCAGGTATAATTTCATCAAGAAAATACTGATAACTCGCTCGCCAAAATCACGCCAGCTCTGCAGGCTAAGGCTTTCCTGATCTTATATTGTTTGATAAAACTCTAATATCGACTAAGAAGGTGGATGTCAGTACCACTGATGTAAGTTTCTTTTTTTTTTTTCACAGTCGTACACTATTGTTGATGCTAATGAAGGAGAAGTGATGGTTGTTGTAAGACATGAAAAAGAACACGATGGTCGGGATTATTACAACTTGTATGTATCAGATCTCACTGGAGTGAAGTATTCTCTGTCTTTGGAAAATATCCTCAGTGACAGGACTCCAATTTGGGGAAAAAATACAACACTAGTGGATCTTCACAGGGTTAGTAACATAAACGCTTATCATTTTGCAACCCATCAAGTACATAGAGTAATTTTCAATTGAATTTCCAAGGTAATCCATGATTACATTTAAACTCACGCTGCTCTCTCAACCAATCAGATGCAAATTTAAAACCATCGTGACTTGGTCGCATTTTCCTGCGCCTACGGACAGTTGATTGTTTTACTTTGAGTTTTCATTAGCTCTTCAAAGTAAGGCATAACTAAGCTCACTGTCTGAAGCGCGGGATAACGCGGGTGACCGAGTTACGACTGGTTCTTGTTTTGAATCTGATTGGTTGAGAAAGTGGGTTTTCTGGAGCAAGCAAACGCGAAAGTAAGGCAAAAGCAAGGAAACTGCTAGACGCGCAAGAAAAGGCGGGTGACCGAGCAACAATCGGTCTTAGTTTTGAATCTATTGGTTGAGAAAGTGGCTTGAGGTTTTTTGGACCAATCAAACACCACAGGAAAGCAAAACCAAAGCTATATCGGTTTACTTTTGACACTCAATTTAAACTTGCTCTGTCACAAATATTTTTTTGTTACTGGTTTTTTGTAGGTTAAAAGTCTCAATGGAACGTACCTCGCGAATGTGTTCATCCCAGATGGTGATGGAGGAAGTAATGTAAAATTTAGATCTGTGATTACATTTAACAAGGGAGGTGAATGGTTTCCACTGAAAGCCCCATTAGTTGACCATAGAGGAAACCCTACAAACTGCCACCCGGTGTGTTTGCATGACTTTTTTATGATTTTTATGATTAAAAACTATATGCGTTAAATGTTCAGTTTCAGCTTTACTCCAATATCTGTCTCTTTATCAACCCTTTACACCCTAATATTACTATTCATATTCTCCAAACTCCTCTCTAATCCCATGGAGCTGACAAGGAGAATTACCTGAACAATCAGGAGCTTCTTAAACTGGTGATCGTTTCCCTTATTGTCGTGACCTTTCCATTTGGTTCAGGATGATACTGCGAGAAGAAATTCGTGGACCAATCACATAACTAAGTGAAGTGAACCCAAAGCAATCTTGGATTATTTTCAGCACTCATCTGAATATTTCTCTTCCTGACTAGATCAGCTAAGTAATTCTCCCCTCTATCTGCCGTAAAATTCCATGTCGACTAGCTAAGAGAATGTGGCTTTGTATGAGTTGGTAAAATTGTCGATTCTCGTCATCTGTTTGCTGGTCATCGTAAGAAAATTGCTATGAGAAGTTTCTTGTTCACCTTTTTTGATAGTTGAAGTGTTATTATTCAGTATTATATATTGAAATGTTGTATGCAACATTTCCAAAGGTTTTGAATTTTGGTAGGCTAGGAATTGAACCAGTTTTTGTAAAAATCTCTCTGCAGCCCAAATGTTCTCTACACGTTCATATGGTGCTGGGCCGATGGTATTTGTACATCCCTCCTGTTCTGTCATCTTCCTCAGCCGTGGGAATCATTGTGGCTCAAGGTAATGTACTTTCTACAGATTCAGAATTCAAGCACAATTCAGTAATTACAATGGAGTGAAATAAAGGAGAAGAAGGATGGTTAGTTTTTGAGCTAGAGAGGTGGTGAAATTTTGAACGAAAGAAATGGTAAATTTTTTAACAAGAGAAATGACAAAATTTTGAACAAGAGAGATAGTAAATTTTTGAGCAAGAGAGATGGTAACTTCTTGAACAGGAGAGTCGTTAAATTTTTGAAGAAGAAAGAATGTTAAATATTGAACTCGAGTGATGCTGGATTTTTGAATAAGAAAGATAGTTCATTTCTGAAGGAGAGGAATGATAGATTTGATATGAAGTGAAGTGGTTAAATTTTAAATGAGAGAAATGGTAAATTTTTTAATTTTAGCGATCGTTCATGTTCCAATCATTAAGGTGATAAATTGTTTAACCAGACAATGAAAGGATTAAAGAGATTTTGTTCACTAATATGAAAACTGTTTTAAAACAAATGATTCAATATTCACCCTCAGGTAACTTAGGCAGTGGTTTAGGTGAAAGATCGGTTGGCCTTTATCTATCAAGGGACGGAGGATTATCATGGACCAAGGTGAGAGAACGAGTCATTGGAGAAGAGGCCTTCTCTGAAATGGCGATCGAAGTGAAAATGATTTCAGAAGGAATTAAGCAATTGAGATAATGAAAAGTATAAGATCATACATTTTCGTGGCTGATACAACACTCTATGACGCGGCCAATATTCTGAGTTCCCGCGTGTATATATATTTTTTTTTTTGTTAACTCTTTTTCGAGGCTGGATATGCAAGGCCAATGGTTTTTATCCTCAGAGACTCAAATTAACTGTTTTTTTTTTCTATATGGAGAGTTTCCCAATGATCAGCCGTCGTTTTGAACATGGATATATTTGTTCCGTCAGTAAAGGCCTCATGTAATTTATTTTACTCATTTGAAGTGGTAATTTTCGACAGGAATTTGACGGCTACCATGATTTTGTTATCGGAGATCATGGTGGTATTTTGGCAGCAGTCCCGCTCGTACGGAACGCTGACACAGTGTGGTAAGGTCTTCGTTTTATGATGCACATGATTGTCAGCCCGAAATGCTCGACCTTTGACCACCCTGTTCCTTGGAGCCGCGCATATAATTTTCTTTCTGGATACCGGTGGCTACCATTGTTTTGTGTTTAACCTCATGTAAATCACAAAATAATTCTTTTGCAGGTATAGTTGCACTGAAGGACAGGCTTGGAAAAATGTTTCTCTAGGAAAGGACCCAGTGACTGTTTTTGGCATGGTCACTGAGCCGGGAGGAACAACTCTTATAATCAAGTAAGGAATTCCTATATCTATGCAGTTTAAATATGCTCCGAAACAAAACAGAGGTGAATGACGCTCTTATTGCAAACGTTTAAATTTCATTCCATTGCATTTTTTGCGGTTGGTGCAAATAATCAAAGTAAAAGATCTTGTTCACTTTGTTGTTTCGGTGTCTAAATCATGTTGCACCTTAAGCAGGATTAAATTCTGATTGTTTCATGTTCGCTCATATTTTCCGCCTTTGGGGCCTGGATATCGGTGCCTACCGTGAGTTGTCATTGGTTCCTTCGGTAATTCTTCTTTAATCTGATTGGTTTGATTTGATTTTGCGGTACCCAATCGGAATGCGCACTGGTGGGTTTGTTGTCACGCTCCTTGAAAACTGCTCAGACTAGCAATGTAGAAACCGTCCCTCGCAGGAAAACAGAAACTAAATCAACGAACGCAATGATCCCCGCAAGTGGACTGTCATTTCAGCAACTGCAGAAAATAGTCTGAGAAAATTCAGGCTTCGATGAGATTCGAACCCGTGGTTCCCAGATACCAATTTGGCGCTACTATCAACTTTAACTTTAAGAGTTAATTCGTAAAGCTGTGAAAGAGAAATTAAATCGTATTTCCATTTTGAATTTACCAGTGTATTTGGTCAGCATACAGGCCGCACATTTAAATGGCTCTCGGTAAAACTGAACTTCACGTCAGTTCTCAACCAGAAGTGCCAAGCAGATAACTATACAACTTGGTCTCCCAACGATGAGGTAACAACTAAGAATTATCGTCCTTAGAGCGGTTTTCTATTGAGTGTTGAAAAATTTTGCCGAGAGTTATCTGGGAATGCTTTGGTTTTCTTCATTTTGCACCGTGATTGGTTCAGAAAACTCATGCCATCTTCTCAACCAATCAGAAGCAAATCTGATACCAATCGCGTCTAGGTCACTCTCATTTTCCCGCGCTTTTTTTTTGTTGTTTGTTTTCTGTTTTCAGTTTGCTCTTTTTTCTTCTCGTTTGCTCCTTGTGTTATTTTTTCCTTTGGCATTATGGTTTTTACACTCAATGGAACTGCGCTCTAGGACAATCTAGGTAGTGTTATACCGCCTCAAGTGAAGAGAAGAACAACTTTTAGGTAAATTAGATAATATTTAATGTATTATAATGTAGTCCAGAAAAATTGATTTAAGCTGACGAACTAAAACTTCAAAAGCATAAATGCAAAAGCCAGTTTCTCCAATGAACTGCTGCCATTTACAGAGCTTTAATTTGAAGTAATCATTGTAAGTAGTAATTGCACTAAATCATAACAGCCGAACGGTTCCGAAGTTTTTTCGAGGTTTTTTTTTCTTTTCTCTTTTTTATCCCCTTTCATGGAAGGAAAACTTACTGAAGCAAAAATATTGTGCTGTTACTTTGAAGCAAATGGTGTAGTACCCAAAAGGATACATCCGTATTATGATTAACAAATAGATTCCAAGTTGCTGTGCGTCTGTTCAGTGATAGATCACAGCTGACATCAAAATGTGGTAAGAACAAAAAAGTGGCACACGAGGCGCAGCCGAGTGTCACTGATGTTCTTACCACATTTTGACGTCCTCTGTGATCTATTACTGAGCAGACGCACGGCAACTTGGAATCTATTTGTTTTATATGATAAAGAATTTTTTAAAAAAAATCAATGAGACGTCATCTATACGTCTGTCTTTTAAGAGATCATAAATGAGAACCAATCAGAATGCGTGCATAACTGAGCTTATTATATAATATTGTATCGTAAAGGGTGGAATTTGTGAGACGGCCATTGCAACTTTTTTCCAAAATGTTTCGCAGGTCTTGTCTTTAAGTAATAATAGTGATACTGACCAGAACGATAACATTAACGATTGCAATAAGGTGAGTGATAATGTTAGCAATAATAATTGTGATAACGGTTTTAATGATAGGGAGTGAAACAGTTATCTAGCGATTCTATTTTGTTGAATAGATCGCGGTTATCCCACTGCAATTTTCCTCCACTTAAGGCCATCCTGATTTTTCCTTTCGTTTTTTCTCTTGTAGCGTATTGACGGGGAATGTTTACTGGGTCAGCACTTTGTATATGAACGTCGCAAAAGCGGAGATTGCTGCTTCAACGGAAAGGAATACGAGAGAGAAATCAATATTACAACTTGCGCCTGTGAAGAAGACGATTTTGAATGGTGAGTCACAAACGCAGTGCAGAATTTGATTCTGTATGGGTTCAAGTAAAAGGTTTATACTGTCTTTTATTTCGCGGATTTTTTTTCCGGCTGGCAGATTTTTCTCGCGGGTGAAGGTTTAACGCCTAAATACTCAGAATTGTCATACCACTTGGTGGACACTACTCGTTTTACTCTAACACGAATTTTACAATAAACTGAACGATACATACATTTTGGTTAGGTTCTTAACCTGATCTTTAGGAGTACAAATGTGTAGAAGAAGTCGCAATTAGCAACATTGTGCTACTTTATTATAAACTCATGTTGCCGTAAGTCTGTACAGTAAGAGATCACAGAGGAAGTCATGATCTGTTAGGAACATAAGGGACACGATCAGTTCTACCTCATCTGCCACCTTTTTGTTTTTACCACATTTTGACGTCAGCAGACGCGCGGCAACGGACGGCGACTGGTGTAGCCAATCAGATTGCAGCATAAAGTCTAATAAGTTTATAGTAATATTTTATATTTTTGTTTTTAAATAAGTGACTTTGGCTACGAACACTCAGAGCTCTCTAAAGTGTGTGAGCCCACGGCCGACGCAGCTCCAGTGCCAGCTCATTGCCCAGAGGGAAAAACGTATCCGCACAGTCGTGGGTAAGATTGATAAACAACATGAGAAGTTCCCTTTAGTTACTAATTAAAGAAAAATAATCACAACGACCATCAGATTAAAAGAAAATATGACCAATTAAGGAGAAATCAAAGTAAAAAAAACAAAGAAAGGCAGAAGCAAAACTAATGGAACAAGTAGTTATTTTCGACACTGAATGGGAAATTTCTCTATTAGTACAACAATGGATAATGGAAGGGGACGATGAAAAACCCGTTGAATGAAGTAAGGTCCATGTTGTGAGTGGCACACGTTGAAACCTCAATTTTATCTCAAAGAAAAACTTTTCCATGTTTTTGAACGGACTGTAGTGGAACGCTCCAGTATATTTTTGGTGGTGTTAAGGTTTCTTCGTTCTATTACAGTTACAGGAAAGTTGTCGGAGATCGCTGCAAGGGTGGGCGCGAAGATAAGTTAATGCCAGAGATAAGGAATTGTCCAATTAAAGGTATGTGAACGCCGAGATGAATTCTCTTTGTACTCGCAGTCGCATCGTTGATTCTGAAGAGGACGTGTTGCTACGATTTATGGTAGTTGTATTAAGGCACAGTCAGGAGATATAGTTGAATTGTACATGTAGCTCGGTATTGACGAATAAAACGCTTTCCGGTTGAGTGTCGTGAAACCAAAAGCAAAGTTATCTCTAGGGCCAATCGCAACAAAGGAGAGTATTACAAGGAGTCAATGAAAACCGAGAATAGAAACAAACAAACCGCTTGAAGCGCGGGAAAACGCGGGTGACGTCGACGCGGCTGGTTTCAGTTTTGCATCTGATTGGTGGATTAGGCGGCGCGATTATTCTAGACTAATGACGAGCGAAGGAAAACAATGCGATCCTCGATTACTTCCGACACTTTATTGAAAATTTCTCTCCATGATAGCTATTTTTATGACTTCTTAGGATACTGAGAATTGTAAAGATCATTAACAGCTTCTCCTGCACCACTGATCCATAGTTTTTAAACCATTGCACTAACAAATAAATTAGAGCAGAATCCCATAAGCGTTAAACCACTTTCGCCGGCAGATCATCTGTGATGTGATCATTATACCACCGTTTTACATTTCACTTGATAGCCTTCGTTTTCTTTCACGAATGATGATTGCTAACAAACATTTTGCCTTCTTCAGCACCTTCAGGTCTCAAAATCACGTTTGGAAAATTGTACGTGGAAACAAACACAAAAGTGACCTTCTCTCTTGCTCAGGGACAGGTAGGGGGGAATTTTAAATTATGTAAATAATTGAGCAGGTTAAATCTCACTGGGCCCCGCTCCAGCAACAGCGACCACCTCGGAAGTATTTCCAAGACGAAGTATTCAATTTTTTTCACGCCAATTTTTCCGTTGGTCATAGGTGTGACTAATTAGAAGCTATTCAAACAAGGAGTCTTGACTCGAGTAATAATTTTTTTGGATCAATGTCAGTATCTGAGCAACTGCGCCCCTACCCCTCCCCTCCCCTAACCCGACAACAGTCGGCTGATTACAAGTTCGGATTAATATTGGGTTAGGGGAGGGGTAGCTGTACAAGTGCTCAGATTCTGACTTTGATCTAATTTTGTTGTTGTTGCGATGACCAGAACAACACCGTGTGGAGGGTCTCCGTGTACGGCCAGGTTACTTAGAACTCAAAATGGTGGCGTCCATGTTCAAAGTGTCCATACATATGAACTGTATTTGAACTAAGAGATTACTCTTCGGAATCTTAAGATGCGAATAGTGGTAATTTGTTAAAGATATCTTCTAATAGTCTACGTCTACTTTAACATCCAGGGCTCCACAGAATCCACGTGGTATGAATGGAACTTTGGAGATGGCAGTAAAAGAAAGAACATCACTGGACTTAGCAATGCTGAAAACATCTCCCACATTTTCCCTCATCATGGCACCTACAATGTAAGCGTGGCTGCTGGAAACACTGCTGGCCAAGATAACGGAACCACAGAAGTTATAGTCCTAGGTAAGACGTAGATAAAACTTAAAACAGTTTCGACATCCCTCAGAAAGAAGAGAAACAAGAATTCTACTATAAGCTTATCACACAGCAGTTATCACTTTTAGAAATTTCTCGGAATTGCTTCCTCCTTATGCCTTGCCTCTTGACACTGTTTAGATTGTAAAAAGGTTTGCTAGTGCCAAGAAATAAAGCAGTAGCCATTTCGGGAAACGGGTTACGTTTGGCTTGGAGTACGATAAGGCTTTCACGTTCTATAACAGCCCCCTACCCTCTGAAGGTAGCCACATTACTGGTCACCTCGTGCTGCAGAAATTGCAAAATCCCTCGACATCATCGGGTTGCTTTGGTATTAAGGCTCCAAGTGTCTGGGTGGTTCGATTATTAAACCGCTTTGGAGAGAGTAATATCTGCTTTTAAGTCATATCCCTTGCTGATTCTCATAAGCTCCTTCAAATTAAGTTTACCGGGGATGTTTAACTGTCTTATCTGCCTCTCTCCACTCAGGAGTTAAAATGAGCACCGGCAAAGTGCTAGAACACTCTTGTACTGCAGTTGTGAGAGCAGATGCTTACTGCAATGGTTTTGCGTTCGGTCCTTAACGAGAGGCTATGCCAGTTGTACTTTCACGTTTGTCTTTTTTGTTTTACTCGCGATTCATGATAATTTTGCCTTTTCTCTTTGTCTGTAGATCTTATTAAAGAAGTCGATATCGAACCGCCTCACGCAGTGGTAGTTGGCGTTGAGGCGTGGTTCAACGCCACTCTGCACTGCACTGCCTGGGCTCAACAGCAAACATCAAGCCCAAATTTTGGCTTAACACATTACATGTGGACATTTGACCAGAACGACAAAAACACGCTTCCTTTATTGACTTGGGAGAGCGAGGTGCACTACGTATACAACAAAGCAGGCAGCTATAAAGTGTCTGTCCAAGCCAGTAATGGGATTGGACAGACAACTGGCAGTACAACAATAACTGTGTATGGTAAGTGAACCCTTAAACCCCTCAGAGTGATTGACATCCTTGAATCAAGTGTAAAGGTCATGAGAATAAAGGAAATGATCGCCAATGTTAGAAGCTCCTGATTGTAAAACAAATTCTCCTTGCCATTACCGTAGGAAATATGAAGATTACTGTGTGGAGAATATGGATACTAATGTTTTGGTGTAATAGGTCTACAAGGATCCGCTCGGGGTGGGGTGGGGGGGGGGGAGAGAGGAGGGGGCGTTTGCATCTTCTCTTCCTCCAATGTGTAATCCGTTGGCGGCGCCCCACATAAAGGATGTCCCCCCGTGTTAGACCAGAATTTCTTGATAGGCTGTTAGTCTTAGGGTGTTTTGCAAGGTTCTGACGGAAGTTCAATATTTTTCGGAGACTTCTCTGGAAATCGCTCAGTCATCACCAAAATCCTTTTTTGCCTTTCCTTCCTTGGGAGAAAGTCAAAATAAGCAGGACTTCTTCAAGGCATGTCTTCTCAAGTCGTCCATTTCTGATAAATATCTTTACAATAAAGGGTGGAAGAAGACAAGTAAGATATTTTTCAACACTATGAGTTTTTACAATTGAACCAAACAATAATTGTTGAATGACTACTTTAGTTAACATTTCTGTGAAATAGCCGGTAACATTTACTCGGGCAGCTGTTAAAACAAGAACCCTGTTTACCCAAGCTTCTGCCATGCTTTGCTAGAGGTACCTAGATCGGGGTGTTGGGGGGGGGGGTGTTTTGAATAGGTAGGTTGCACATCACAGTTTTACGGAGTATAACGGGAAAAATCTCTCTTTTTTTCAAACTGAAGTAGCACATACGCCCAAAACACTCACTTCTCGAACGTATTTTAACCCTTGTCATTTATGTCGTGTACGAGCTTAGTTTTCAACAAAATGCCTTTCGTGCTGCGTGCAAGTGCGAAAGCGAAAGGTCTCTGGAAAAAGTTGCCTAATCGGTTTTTTTTTTTTTTGTTTTTTTTTTTTTTTTTTTTTTTATAACTTCAGATAATCTTCTCACTGTGCGTCTCTTATTCGACGCGGTGTTGGATGAAAGCAATGACAAAACATGGCAATGGAGAGATTTTTTCGCCAACCGTCTAGCAACCGCTCTTTCTAAGGTAATACTCCGTAAAGACACTCCCCAAGCCATTTGGAGGCGGGAGATCTCAGACAAACTTCTAATTTACATTGAGGGAAACGTCAGGATCTTTTAGTATTATTATTATCTTCATTATGATCATTAGTAGTATTATTTTAGCTTTTAGAATTATTTTTGTGATTATTGTTTATAGATAAACTAATTTTTCACAGAGAAAGAGATGGGGGTTTGCATTTAACTCGTGACCTTTCCCCCCGGTTTGCATTTAACTCGTGACCTTTCCCCCCGGAATCATCCACGTCCTTCAAGAGTTTGTTCTTGAGTGGTTTGGTTCTTAAAATTTTGGCTGTCAGGGTTTTATTTTGGTGTATTTCTGTTTCCTTTCTCTTTAGAGAAATTTTCCCTTGGATACGTTATGTAAGGAAATAGGGAAAGCGCAGACCCTTAGAAAGGTTTTGTTTGCTTTTTATTGTAAACTCCAAACAAAACACGACGAGGAGTTAACTATAGATATTTTTCATAATCGTGTAATCTTTTGCTGTCTTTTTTAGATTCTGGATGTCGACCCTAAACGCCTTGAAGTTTTTGTGTTACGCGGGCTGCCGACTAGAAGTGATGTGTCTATAGTTCCTGCTCAAACCAACACTAGCAAATCAGCAGATGAGGTAAGTGTTTGTAATTTCATTATTCCACCTTCGATATAGGAGGACGCTCGTTAGAAAATTTGGATCGAGGCTTACTGGCAAACGACCTTCGAAGAATGAATATAGATGCGAACTACAGTGCCAAGTAACGTCTGCGCATGTCACATGTTGCCTGCTTATCCATGGCAATAGTATTATACAATCGTTAAAATGTGGAATTCCATCCAATCACAGCTAATCACAACAGCATATAAGTAACGCGTACTCAATCCACCTCATCGCCTGAAGAAGACTAGCTGTATGCAGTCGAAACGCTGCGATCCACATCCGAAGTGACCACATCAAAAGGGACAAAGTTATAATTAAATTTCTTTTTTTTTTTTTAAGGAAAACTGTTTGTTATTAAAATTTGATCTCAGTACTATTGGTAAACAAATTTCAGTCTCTTCTCTATACAGACAGCAAAACAGTCCCATTTTCCTTCGGATTAAGACTCCTAAGATTTGGCATCGTAGGCCAGATCCTTTTGGAAAAAATACACCAGACAAAACGGTTTTTTTTAGCGTTACCTTCCAGTTTCGCCCCCCACCGGTTTGCAGTTTTGTCTCTACGTTGTTTTGTTTTGTGTCAATATTTTGTACCGCCCGCCCCCTCCCCTCTCCCCCTTTTTTTCAGCTAAAGATGTACAAGGGTACTTTTTATAATTTTTGCCAGAGATCATTTTCTTCTTTTGAAGATGTCTAAGTGATCAACGTGGTACAAGACTTGACTTGTCTTTGCTTCCTCAGATTGTGGATTTACTGAAGTATAAGGTGGAGATGGGTTCGGTCAAGATCCGGCTGCCTAAGGATTTGACTGTCAGAGTCACACACGTCGAGGTGCTACCAAATAGAGGTACCTTGATCTGTGATACTGTATCCAATGCATGCAACGAAGGAGAGAAGCTTCTTGCATTCATATGAGATATCATTTATGAGATGAGGAACTTGAGTTTTGCCTTTAACCCTTCAACTCCCAGGACTTATGAACATGTAACTTCTCCCTTTAATATCCATACATTAGCAAGCAAACAGGTAACGAGAATACGCCAACTGATCAGGTAGAGGTTTTCTTGATCCAACACCATATTCTCGAAACTGAGGGCAGAAACCGTGAAGGCGACTTATCAGGGACTTTGAGAAAACCACGACGGCGACGGCAACAAGAACGTAGCGAGACAAAGGATCTTATAAGCAAAACAATAGCGAGGCTTAGCAACAAAACCTCGACAGCAATCTAGTCCCGGTTTTAGATTGAACTCAACATTAAATTTACATGTCATGCCGAAGTGAAGATGATTATGGTCAGAAACGATTGAGGTATCGAGCTAGAGGCGAAAATCTTGGAGGAAAATTAATTCCGTTTTTCGACCTTTTTACCACACGTCGCTGTTATAACATCTTAATCTCCCAATTTAACTTTCCTCAAGTTTTTTTTTATGTCTTTTGCTTAAGTTGAGGTGTGGCACCGCCGGAGACGTTGTACATATGAAGCACGCTCGTAGTTTTTAATTTTATTATACAGTATATTTTTTGTGCATTACGATTTGCAAGACGGTGAGAACCTTCGTTATTCTTGTTGTTTCACAGACTATGGTGGCGGTGGTTTGTTTCCAACAAAGTCTTCCGATTCCGGCTCAGGAACGCAGTTGGCCATTGGTGTTGGCGTCGCTGCCGCGCTCGTGGTTGTGTTTCTCGTTGGGACTCTGGTGTATTTCCTCAGGTTTGTGAATGTTATGATGGAGCAACAAGGTTATTAAAATGACTTTTATTTTGACCTGCGCATGAAGTTGAGTGAAGTAATGATCCCCGCAGCGAAACAATTTTTTGTGAGTTCTTTGTTCCCGTAGAGAAATATGATCATCATTTTAATGCTGTTGATGGACCACGCGCAGTCCTACCTCAGTGTTGGCGAGGTCCAAAAATAGAATCGATGTTAAATGAATCGTGAATCGTAGAATCGTGCTAAACGAGTTCAAATCCAGGAGACAGGAAAAAGGACTAGTTCTCGAGATAACTTTATTGCAAGTGTATCAACGTAACCACTCCGGCACGCTATCTTTTGCGATATTTCTATAAAAGGTATCTCTAAGGATTGAGCATCAACTTCTCATTAGTAGCTAACAACGAGATGTATTTTCATTAGTTGGGAGAATTCGGCCTCTGATCTTGAGAGTTAAAGGCTCCATCTTTCTTGATATCTCAAGGCCCAGAACTCGGGACCGATTTCAGTCTGTGGCTAACAACTCCCTTGTACTCCTTTTTCAGACGCTACAACCTTTTACGAAGCCGCTACACTCACCTCCGCTTATACAGTGACGGTGCACAACTGAGGGACCCCCTGGTAGAAAGCGATGACTGTGAGAATGAAGAGTCTTTGCATCCGCAGCCAGGGGGGTCGTTGCGTTATGTACCCTTACCCACCAGTGCAGCACCAGACGCCGACAGTGATGAAGAACTAATAGACAACTTCGGGACGGGTAAGTAAGCAAAAGGCATGAACACAGTAGACCCCGCTGGCCGTAAATGAGCATTAGTAATTTATAAAGTATGAAACGGGACGGGAAATGTTTTAAAGTCAGCTATCGAGCTAAGTGGCCCGTCTGGCCGCCGATTACCGCCAATTGGTTTCCGTAACATGAACTGAAAACAAGTTTAGCCACTCCCTCCTGGGTGAGTCTGCTAGTACCCATTTTTACTCCTGGGTGGAGAGAGAGAGGTACTGTGATAGTTGAGTGTTTTGCCTAAGAAAACAGCATAATGACTCGGCCAAGTCCTGCATCAAACCCTCTTGATTCCCAGCACCATTTGCTACGGCACCGCTTCTCCTGCTGCTGTATGGTACAAAATTGGAAATCTTTCTCAAAAAATTATGCCGGGATCGTTTAAAGTTCCCTACAATTGCTGCTGTACTTGTTCTTGTTGCTTATACGCGTAATCCGCCATTGTTAAACTAGTCCTATCCGTGAGATACAAAGCGCGCACCATATGTACAGGGCTGTGGGCCTGTTACTTATTGTCTTGTTCGTATAAACTTCTTACGACCACAGTCATTAGTAGGTCGCCTAATTTAACGGTCAGTCGACAAGATCGAGTCGTGCTGCTATAGTTTATCATATAGTTTACCGATACGAAATCTGTTCTTTTCATTTCAGGATCTTTAGCTCTTTTGCCTCACAGTCAAAATGATCCAGGCCATGGAGGAAATACTAACAACTGATTAATAATGATAAGAAATAATCCAATTAGTAAATAGAGACACGTGCAGTGGTACTTGTTGTTCCAGGAAATAAGCCACTACACTACTCAGTAGATTGTAGACTTAAAGTAACCAGTCAACCCATAGAAGAGTCATTTAAAGGGGTCTTGGATGGGATGAGGTGGGGGGAGGGGGGGGGCTCAGATACCATGTTTACACTCCCCCCCTCCCATCCAAAGATTTTCATATCATTTAGTTTGGTGTTAGGACTAATTGTCAAGTATTGGGACTAAAACATTCTACTCCCACTTCACACCTCCAAGGCCATCTTCCTTTTTAATTTTCCGTCCCCGTTTACTCAGTGAACGAGAATTTGCTAACAGAATAAGTAACGTTATGCAGTTCCGTTGTATTTAATCTTCCGAGAAGGACAGTCTTTTAAGTAAAATGACTGTTCATACTAATATCTTACGAGAGAGACAGTAACAAGGTTAGGCAATTAAATAACTTTTTGACAAAATTGTTCCTTTGAGACGAATGGTGACCTCTACCTCCTAGATGGTCGTTGTTATTTTAAGCATGCGCATTAGTAGACTCTCAGGTAAGCAACGGTTTAGAGGTTACATGTGATGGATCTTTTTAATTGACTATCGAAATTGTTCTTGGTTCGTTTCGTTCTACTACATTGTTCTGTGACTGGTCAGAAGAAAAATTGCACCATCTTCTCAATCAATCGAATACTTGACCACTTGATACGTTGTTCTCACCTGAAGGCTTTGAATTTCAGTTCACTTCCGATAATCAGATTTGCCGCTTTCATTACTTTGCTATTGTTTTGTTTTGTGTTTATGATACAGTCATTCGAAAAGCGCTTGAACCTCTCAAATGAAAAAGAAAAACTGCTGTCGGCTGCTGCTTATTTTCCTTGATTGTGGACGGAGGCCCGATTGTTTTGGTCATGTGTAAGGGCACATTTTAAATTTTCTTACACCAGTGCCTAAAAGGAAAGTTCGTCTCTCAGGGTACTTTTTTTTCTCGTACTTGTGATAGATATTTCACGTAAAAATCATTAGTTAAATCAATTTTGTAAGTGAAGGCTGTTGTTATACATGCAGTAACCTGAAGCGTCCGTCTGACTAACATCAAAATGCACTGTAGCTTGTAAATAATTTTGTGAACATGACCTGGAATTCTTTTTTTTGTGCATTTGATTTGAAAATAAATTAGTGTGCTCGCTAGCTGTTGCTTAGTTATTGTAAGTTGACTTGCTTTACAATCTCAACAACTTTATTTTCAATTAGAGAGGTGGGGGGGGGGTACTTATTTAAGAAGGACCAGTATTTTCTTATTTTACCAAGATGGTAGGTGTCTATTTCGGGAAAGGTGCTTATTAAGACGTGGATCTTTTTTTGGGTAACTATCCAATGGTTCACTGGGTTCTTTGGGTTCATTATTACAACAACCTAACCGAATTTTTTGATCTTTTTGCCGGTGAAAAGCACCCATGGTACATTTGAGAAACAATGAATGAGAGAATGAAAGAATGAACGAGTGAATGAATAAACTTATGAAACCAGCCGTAATATATCACCACGGTGGAACACATGCGTTGTTGAAAATTATCATGTGAGGACCAAGGCCTGCACGCGCTCGAAACTAAACCACGTAAGGGATTAGGGGAACTGAGCCACGAAGTATACACCCTACCACTTCCCCCTCCCCTCTTTCAACGGCCGCTTCAGTCGAAGCCAATTCCTCCTCGGCCCTTCCAACAGGAGACTGCGTTTTCAAGCCGTCGGAGGGAGGCACGAGAGGAGAGTGGCAGGTGTGAGACATTTGTACCGTTGCACTAATGTCCTCTTATTGCAGATATGTCCTCTGACGTAATGTGATACAGTGGCCAATCATATCCTGCGATCTATCGAGCGACACGCGGCTTGGGACTGGTTAAGAGACTTTGTTGTAGTTATGTCTTCAAGCAAAAGTACTCATTCAAGGGGGTCGGGATAAGTGGAAAATTTGACCAGTATTTTCCGGTAACTGATCTCAGGAAAACATGCTGTTCGCATGATCACTGCGAACCGGATCATTGGCCTCTCATATTGCTTTCCTTGAAGTTCAATCGTTCGTTAACGCAGAGTGATCGCATCGTTGTTATAACCTAAACTTGGAAGAACAATTTGCTGCGCGTGAATAAGAAAGCGACTTTCGACCAAAGGATGCGTTATTGTTCACGTTTTATTTGCAGCCTTGCTTTATTTACAGTCTTCATTGCTCGACTTGCGACTTCAATGACAACATTTTAGCCACAAGCTAAGACAAAAGCACAATGTGGCGTCATATCACAATTGCTTTATTTTCTTTAATAGTTGAAGATCATAGATTATGGTTCGTCGACATAAAATTATATATTTTTGACACTTCACCTGATCTGCCGGAGGTGAGATCGACTGAGAAGTCCAAGTTGTGATTATTTGTCTGCGTCACGAAGTCTTCCTTCAATCACAGAAGTTTGGCCTTCAGTTGTTTATTTTGAGTACTGTTGGTTTTTGCCGTATCGCACTAAGCCCTCCGTTAAAAAAATTGAAGTAGTAGATTTTATTGCGGTTCCGCTGATTTTAGCTGTTTTTTTTTTTAGTACTGTTTCTAAATTATTGTAGGATTTATGGCACTTTTGGGTGGATTTGTCCTATTTTACCCTGTTTATGACAAATTCACACAATGATTAAATCGAAAATGGGGCTAAAGGTGGCTATGGCAAGTCAATAGGACAGAATCCACCTAAAGGATGAATTTCACAGAATTTATCCCGTTTTTCTAGAATTCATTGGAAAAAAAATGGAAAATCGGGTTTTGCTTTGCATCCCTCCCCAAGATGGGAAGTGACACGCAGAAGACACGATCACAACGCACTTTGATTGGAAGAAGTAAAACTGCATTGTATTGGTTATAATGTGTGAGGACATAACCACAACGGAAGACACGACTGCAACGCTACACATACTTCGTCCACCATTTTAAAAATTTCTCTTCTAGCTAGGTAGCCTCTCCTCCTGTTTTCCGAGTTGGAATACAATACATTTTCCCGGGTTTTTTAAAAAAATGTCGGATGACAGAAAGAACTGTCAGCATGAATATGCAAAAGTAGTTGAGTTCAGTAAACCGGAGCTTATACCCCGTTCACACCAAAGCTTAAACATGTTTAAAATTTGTTTGATAAACAGATTTAATAATGATATGCAGCTAAATTTTTGGAGACGAAACCAATTTTCGCCCTGGAAATACCCTATCCATTGCAAAAAGAATGGCATAGAATTATCACTAAGGACCCTCTAAGAAAACCTCGCAAGTTTTCCCTGGCCTACAGCTTGTGTTAGATTACGATGCTCCGTTGGAAGGAGCAATTAGGGACCATGCATTGCGGTAATTATAAATTCATTCTCCGCATGCTAGGTTTAAATGGAGCAACAGCTAACTATGCACGTGCATGGTGTTAAATCCAAAAGGATGATAGATGGAAAACAGATCAGCATGTTAGTTATTTCAATTCAAAGCCACTTTCAAGGTCTTTACAAGAATTGAAAGAAATGTCCAAAAAATCAAAAGATGATTATGGCTGTTGTAAGGAACCCCTTCTGGACATTGAATTGGATCATATAATTGTTGATGAACTTCACCTCCTTTTAAGAATAACTGATAAGTGTTAACTGCCAATTTAATAACAGAAGTCAATGATTGGGATATTGAGGAGAGTATTGGAAACCTGATCAACAAACAGGCACACCTAAATAAGTAATAAGTTCATTCACAGTAGAAGGTCTTGTGGAGTGTCTTTTGATGTCTGGGAAAGAAAAATGCAAATGACAAAGAAAGTTGTGTTCACGAATGGATAAGTCTCATAAGAAATGATAAGAAAATAATGCTGTATCACCTTCCAGAGAAAATGAATGATTTCTTGAGGCCTAAAACTGCTGAAAAGATCATAAAAATACAGGTGTACTTAGCAGCCCTGTAAAAATCTCAGTAATTGGCAACCGAATACCAGCCCCACAGAGTTTTGGTTGAAAGCAAAACAATAGGTGAGTGATTTCATTTCTCTCAAAGGATTAAGGGAAGGTTAAGAGTGAAAGAGAGTTACCCAATACCTTCATATTATGGTTTCCCATATATCCCATGGTTTTTCCAAATGTACCAAGTAGTAACAACATTTACAGGGCAAGGAGTTGAAAGGAACATTGATGGGTCCACTGTTTTCTGGAAATTCAACAAGTGGGACTCTATTAGAGATGTTCTTCATCAAGAGTCATGCTAATGGCACTTAAGAAAAAGGGAATGGGAACCCAAATCCTATCAGAAACAAACTAGAGTACTGGGAAGAGGACATATTCCGAAAAAGAAAAAACTGTACCGTCTGAAATTGCTACACCTCTATCTAATCTGCAAAGTGGTTAAAGTACTGTTGCATCTCAAACTCACTCTGCTGTGCCTTTGAGCTCAGTTGACTTTACAAAAATGACAGTTCCTCAGCTTAAAGAAGAATTAAAGGAAAGAGGAAGCAAAGACATTGCTAAGAAAACAAAGCATTAGCTTGTAAGCTTACTGAAGAGCATTACTGACAAAGAAAACCAGTCAACCTCTATTTAAAAAGAAATGACATTGTCTTTAGATGCAGATTGTAAAGTGGCATAGCATATAGCATTTGGCCTGCTGCAGGTGTAATAGCTGTACCTGTTGTAATAATGACCTGTTAATATCCTGATAGGTGCAGATAAACTCAACAGGTTTCTTTAATCTACACCAGCACCATGTTACAGTACCATGATTCTTTTCACACCGATAAATCCATATAACAGTAACGAAATGTCTAGACTACACCCATCCCACTTTATAAGAAAGTCAATCTGAGAAATCAAAATTATTCATTTTACTGCAAAACACAAACGTTCTTTAAATCTTAAACTTACATCAGATAGACTTATCAACAATAAAATCAAGGGAACTTCATGTGTTCTTCATAGTGTTTAATGAGCTGGGATTCACTGCTCAGTTCCTCCTGACAAATCCAACAAGTAAATGTTTCATCATGCTGTCCAGAGTGCAATTTTTCATGTCTTTGTAGTTTTCCCTTCTGAGTAAACCACTTGTCACAAGCTTTGCACTGGTATGGCTTCTCTCCAGTGTGGGATCTTTCATGTCTATGTAGATTTCTTTTATGACTAAACCACTTGTCACAGCTTTTACACTGGTATGGCTTCTCTCCAGTGTGGGATCTTTCATGTAATGTTAGATCACCCTTTTGTGCAAACCCTTTGTCACAAGTTTTGCACTGGTATGGCCTCTCTCCAGTGTGGGATCTTTCATGTCTATGTAGATTTCTTTTATAACTAAACCACTTGTCACAGCTTTTACACTGGTATGGCTTCTCTCCAGTGTGGGATCTTTCATGTAATGTTAGATGACCCTTTTGTGCAAACCCTTTGTCACAAGTTTTGCACTGGTATGGCTTCTCTCCAGTGTGGGATCTTTCGTGTACTGTTAGATGACTTTTTTGTGCAAACCACTTGTCACAAGTTTTGCACTGGTATGGCTTCTCTCCAGTGTGGAATCTTTCATGTACTGTTAGATCACCCTTTTGTGCAAAGCACTTGTCACAAGTTTTGCACTGGTATGGCTTCTCTCCAGTGTGGGATCTCATATGTGCTTTTAGAGTTTCTTTTCGTGTAAACCACTTATCACATGTCTTACACTGGTATGGTTTCTCTCCAGTGTGGGATCTTTCATGTCTATGTAGATTTGTTTTATCACTAAACCACTTGTCACAGCTTTTACACTGGTATGGCTTCTCTCCTGTGTGGGATCTTTCATGTAATGTTAGATTACGCTTTTGTGCAAACCCTTTGTCACAAGTTTTGCACTGGTATGGCTTCTCTCCAGTGTGGGATCTTTCGTGTACTGTTAGATGACTTTTTTGTGCAAACCACTTGTCACAAGTTTTGCACTGGTATGGCTTCTCTCCAGTGTGGAATCTTTCATGTACTGTTAGATCACCCTTTTGTGCAAAGCACTTGTCACAAGTTTTGCACTGGTATGGCTTCTCTCCAGTGTGGGATCTCTCATGAACCTCTAGATCTCTTTGTCTATGAAAGCACTTGTCACAGGTTTTGCACTGGTATGGCTTTCCTCTAGTGTGAGATCTCTCATGTCTTTGTAGATTTCCTTTTTTTACAAAATACTGGTTACAAGTTTTGCACTGATATGGCTTTTTCCCAGAAGTGGACATTTTTTTTGCCATGCAAAGTGTTCTAAAATGGAAGCATACAAAAAAAAAAAGAGATTTACTCAACCAGATGCACATATTTGACAGGGTTTCAGAAGCAATGTCTTAAGTTTGAATAAACAAAGAAATTGGATGGTGAGTTGGGTAAAATATGTTTCAAACAGTAATACTCTTCCAGGAAAGGAAGTTCTACTATAACAATTGTCACTAACAAAGGGATTCACAGACAGTGCAATTTCTGGCAAAAGCCCTGAAAGAAAAACCTTCACATGAGTAAGGACCTACAAAGAGAAGTGCATTTCCAACAAGTCCCTTTACATAGCCTCACACAACCAGTTCACACAATCTACATGTTGTCCTTGTGATGTTAAACTTTAATCTATAGTTGTCACTGTGTGAAAAATTTATTCAATGAACTTGTCTAAACGGAAAAGTCACTCCACCTGTCACTATCAAGTGGAGCAACCCAAAGTACAAAAACTGGACAAAAGAAATTTCCAGTGGACACTACAAAAGAGATTCCCAATAGACTTTAATAGAGAATCCAGTTAAAAGGTAAGACAATGATAAAAATCACAAAAAAGGAGTTTAACACCTCATGCGGCTACTGATATAGCACAATTTGTATAAAGTATCAAAAAGAATTCAAGATTGTCTAATGATACTAGAAGGTAGTGTTGCACAAGATTTCTCTCTGGTGCAGAAAGCCAACTGCACCCCACCTATTTACAAGTACCCTGTTCCACAAGTGAAAGATGATTCAAGAATATACTGATTACAATAATATTAACAATATTAAACATAATAATGTTAACAACAGTAATAGTTACGATAATTTATATCTGCTAGCTCAAAAAGCTCACCGTTCCTCTATCAGTCTATCCTCTAGGCCCAAATAATGATTAAACTATGCTCCTTTTGTTTTTATTCTGTTGATTAAAATTAATTTTCCCTTTTCCACATGCTAAACTCAAGGTATCTTAGTTAAGACATCGCTTCCCTTCTCAAATTTGGCAGCTCTTTTGGGTATAAATTGCTGATTGAAATGGTAAAATGCTCCCTCTTCAAATAAATAAAATTAGGCTTCAGAGCTTGTATGACTAAGAGGTCACCTTTCCAGATATTTATGCCATGAACAGTCTTGTCATCAAATACGTGCCTGAGACACCAGTGTAAAATTATTTTCAGAGATTTTATCATCATGTGTAGTGTCACGGCAAGGACTTAAAAAAAACCTTTACTTTCCAATCTACTGGGCATAATTTCCTAATCCAAGCATTAAAATGCTTTCTCTTGATAGAAAGTAAATTCCTCTATGTGCCCCAATCACACCTTTTAAGATATTTCTGCAAGGAAAAGCTTAGATTTTTTACGCACCATACTGAGATGATTTTAAGATGTTTATCGTCTTCTTTAGTGCTCTGAAATAAACAATCAGTAGCACCAGGAAACTACTAACTCACTGACTCATTTCAACGACATGTGTGGCTTTGCCTCCTATATGAGGTATTAGCCATAAAAATAAAAAAAATTAACTTCTTTCATCAACACTCCTACATCCAATCCTCTCAATAAGTATAAACGTTTCCTAACTGTATAATTTTACCTGTTTTTAATCTTCAAGTTATTGGTCTTTCACTCGAAGTAAAGCCATAACTTTCAGGGTTGAAAATAATTCTTCAGCTTTTAGCGTGAATTTGTAGGCTTTTGTCAAGGCTCATTGTTTTCTTAACTGTCAATAATAAATGAGCAGTCAGCACATGTCTTCAACACTCAACATGATTTATTAACAGTACTGAAAGGAATAATTACCTTAAATTGCTTAAAATAATTTCAGCATCAGAATCTTTATTTTGATCACCATGTTTTGTGGCAGCAATTCCTTTTCTAAGAAAACGTTGCAAACGGCTCAATTTTTCGGTGTTTCTTCAAGCGTGAAATATACAATTTCGTCGAGACAAACTGTCGCGCTTCTCCATGGGAAATCCGTACTGTACAGTACCGACTTTAATTTGAACGTGTAAGAAGGCTTTGCAAACGACATTGAACAGCATTTGGCACAAAATAAATCTTGATTAAAGGTAGTATGTAAGTGCAGAAACGTAAATGCGATAATGTGACGGTGTTTACACAAACTTGCATGTTTCGCGCTCCAACAAATACGTGGAAAGCTGAATACTGTAAACAAAAATACTCCCTGTAGCACGCTTCGAATTTCGAAACTTTATACTCGTTTACGTTTCCGAAAAGCTTTAAGCGTATTTCTTGGCTGCTTAATTGCCTAACATGAAAAGTTCATCATAGCATGGCAGCGACTTTTACTTCAGTTGGACGATCAGTAAGCGTAATATTTTGCTATGAAATTCTAGTTCTTCGGTGAAAAATCGCTGATAAGTGCGCTAAAAGTTGCGGCTGCCGCCGGCAGCCGGCTGTTATTTTGAACCTTGCTTTCATCTAAGTACATTCATCTATTTTATTCCAAATTTTCTGTTACCCAAATAACTTATTAAGTGTAAAATTTCTTTAGTAAGGAAACTCTCTCATATGCTTTTGGCTGACAAAGGGACAGCCATCTCAAAAGGAGAAGGATTTGCTAACTATTCATCCATTCAAACTTTCCATGGTGCATTCACGAAAAATTCTTCAGTTGGTAGAATTTGGGAAGCACAGGTTTGAATGAAGTCAAAACCTATATTTTTGCCTTCCTTTTCTACAATTGCTTAAATTGCAGTTTACCGGAGAGCATCACTGCTGAAACATTGGTTTCATTGAGATATCCATTTGGTTCAAGATATGCTTAATGGCAATGGAAACATTTTAACAGTTGAGACATTCCAATGTAAATTTAAAATGAAAACAAACTACTGAAGTTCTTTTAATTGATAGCGGTAACTCCGTTGAATTTGAAAAGGAAACCCAGATGAATATAAAATATATAGGTATATACCCAACCACTACTACCATCGTGGGAAATAAGCTAAATTTAACATTGTACTCATACCTTACAAGTTTTTCTGTTTCCCAAAGCGATTCACCCTTGTCTTCTCATTAAACTGATGTTATCTGCCGTTAACTGCCGCCTCACTTACAGGTTCCCCAAGGTTGTTTATTTGAACAGGGAAGAGAGGACACTGGGAACAAGATTGAGCATTAGGACTAGGAGCTTCCTCACGCATCATACCTACCTACGCTGCCTGTATATCATTTTATTTTAAGAACAGTCTTAGTTTTCAAAATTCCCCCGATATACTCTGTTCTCACCACGTCCGCGAGAGTATCACAATCAGAAGTTTGACTGTCTTCACTCGATGAACGTTTCTCGTAATCGCGTGTGACAGAGCGTCGTTACACAATAATTTCATTTGCTACGATTAGCCAGCACACCGCAACCTCTGGTTAGGTTCTCAAATGAAGAAAAAATACGGGCAAAGGAAGTCTCCAAGGGTTTATATGGGATGTGAGAGTTCCAGTTGATATGTTCCTGGGTGGACATTAATACTCTAGTATGGTTGTATATGTTATTGAATAGACTATAATGATCGGTATCACATGTAAAAATTTTAATCCAATGAAAAGGTAAGAAGAACCTAATTTGAGATTGAGCGCCGCTGGGCAAAATGATTAATTTCGGATCCTTCGCTCAACGGAACACGTTGGATCAATGATCCAATGATTCGTCTTTAGGTCACGAAGATCAGTGATCCGATGAATTCTTGTCCAGAGTGGATTTGATAGACCACTGATCTGAAAATGGATTTGCTCGAAAGGAACGCCACAGATCAGAAATCCAGATCCGGATTCTCCCAAAGGAACGCACCCTCAAAAAACTGAAAACATCTTATTGTAAAACAAGAATCTATGCTATGAATATCAAAGTTACTTTTCCATTGATACCTACTCATAATTTCCGAAAAAAGTTTTTTATCACATAAACTGCGGTGTTAAACAGGGATTTCCGGCCCTGAGAAAAGCCGTAACAACACTCGTGAAAAAATTTCGTATTTTTTCACGTGTGTTGATATAGCCAATCAGCTGCTGACACGTCACTCGCCTTTAGCGCCACTCGGACAATTTGATAAATGATCGGCAAAGCCTTCCCGGTTCTCAATATAAGGTAGTTTGTCGGAACGTTCTCGGATTGTGGCGGCTAAAACACTGAAAAATCCGTATTACTGATAGATAGTGAGGTTCAAACTTTTCTAGAAGGGGAAAAACCAATATACAAAAAAAAAGAAAGTTATGTATTTAATAGCTTTGGTGTTGGCATTTCTCGCGGCTGAGAATGAAAATCGTCAACTGGAAGATTTGCCACTGGCCGATTTCGGCCGTTTACCTTAAAGACTTCTTCTGTCGGTAAGGACAAAGTCAATAAATGAGATTTTTTCAGTTGAAAATTACGACCAGTGTTGTTTTTGTAATCGTGATTCAACGCATTTTTCCATCCTTAGAGTTAGTGCTAACGCACTCTACGATTGTTATTCGGGGATTTTCGTTTCATTTATTTTCATTCATGAATGAAGTCGGCTTTTCTTGTCAGTAAAGGGCTATTGTGTTTATATGATAAGCAAAATAATACGTGGTTGTTTGTAGACATGGAATTTCTCTTCAAGTGTTCAACTCGACATCTGACTTGTGCGCTGCGCTCACTCGTGAGCTATCGAGCTAAACACTCGAAGAGAAATTCCATATCTATGCGCGCCCATGTAGTACTCTCTATTTATCTTGATGCTGAAGTCCCTCCCTGTCCAGAAAAGGGGGGGAGGGGGTGGGGGTGAAGAGGGAGTGTCTCCCTCGCGCGTTGACCGTTTAGATTTGCCCAGTCCATCTCATGTACTTAGAAATGGATGAAGCCTGGAAACGACAACTTCAGCACCTCCTCCGGGAAAACTTGTTTCGTTGAAAGTTTGACTTTTTAGGCTGTAACTCGCAGACTTAATAGAGTAACTGTTTATGGCTGCATTACAGAGGGTTATGGATCACTTTTACTCTACCTAGCGTTTGAAAGCTTTAAAAAGGTTGTAATGTCTTCCAGTACTCGACGAAGGTTAGAAGAAGCCTTGAACGCTGGGAAAGATATCGCGAAGAGCATCTCCAGGTAAAGTAAGGAATGAGTACTCAACTTACGACGCTTTGAATCGTTTGAAGCTTGGTATATACAGATCTCAAGCAAAATTGCGGCATAACTTTTATCTTAAGTAGATTGACGAATGGTTTTACTACGTTAATATCAGTTAACAGGAAAATCTGCATGCATGCAGTTGAGACGCTGGTTGACCTTTGAGAGGAAATTGGCAGCATCAAACTGGAAATTAGCACCATTAAATTTGAAAATAAGAGGGACTAAGAAGTTGCATGTTATCACAAAAACAGGAATCTTTCCTAAATTTCAGCTTTGTTTTATAAAAAAGTTTCATATCGCAGTGTCCATTCAAAATGACATTTAAATTAAAAAAATGACTGGCAAGAGTGTAAATCTTTGAAATGAGGTCATGACCCATTGAACCTAGAGAGATGTTGCACCATTTACTGAATGGCTCCCTAATATGATTGCCAGCAGCATAAGATTTATTTTTAATGATCAATTTGGAACTTTATGAATCTCATGGTATGGAATGTGCAATAACCAAGGTTTAATTTAAAAGTAAAACTTTCTGTGTAATGCTTTAACTCCCAAGATCTGATTGTTAATTCTCCCCTCTAGCTGCTATACATTTCCATGTAAATTAGTTATGAGAACTTGGTGCTAGATCAAGATAGCAGCTTCTACCTGATAAGTTTGAATATTCTCATTACCTGTTTGCAGAATAATGTATAGATATTGTGGGGAGAATTTTTATGTGAATCACTTCTGGGAGTTAAAGGGTTAACTGAATGAAAATCCAAAACAGAGAACTGAAAACCTGAATTCTCCATTTTACTATTAAGTAGTCACCAACCTGTATCTTCAATGTGTTAAATCTTAAGTCAATAAACATCGGTTTAAGCAGTTTCTATGAGGAAAACAAATTAACATCGTTTTAACAAAACAGCTTTAAAACATGTTTAACCCTTTAACTCTCATGATTGACCAAGACAGAGTCTCTCCTTTCACTATCAATACAGTGTCAACCAGGTAAGTTATGAGAATAAAGAAAATTGTCAATTTAGGGATAATTAATTGATCCAACACTAAATTCTCTGAACTAACATTATAAGAATTGTGTGGTCAACAGTAAGGAGGATGACAAATTTAAACTGGGAGTTAAAGGGTTAAGCCCTTGGTGCGAATGGTTTATTAATTGGTTGCAGTTTACAAGGTCTGATTTTTTTTGCTGGGTTGATATTTTGTATTGCAGTGATTCTGTGACCAATGGAGATAACTCATTGGTTCAAGTAGATTTTGATGATGTTATGGGAGTTTACAGTGTCAAGTTTTCTCCCAAGCAGCAGTATTTAGTTGTTGGTTGTGGCAATGGTGCAATTCAGGTAAACAAATAATACATTACCTTGTGTCAGAAATGTGCATTTTTTTTCTTTGAAATGGGTATAAAAGATTTGTCACTATCCACAATCTTCAGTTTAGAGAATTTGCTTTCTGATCTAGAGAGCAAGGTATGAATAGGTGGGCAAATTAAGATGGGAGAAAGGGGAAGACACGACTGAAAGACTATCAAATTAATCTGAAACGATTAAGTCAATTTTTGCGAATATTTTTGTAAAGACACAGGTGTATTGAGAAAGTTCAGCTTTAAATTTCTTCTCTCCTTATCAGTGTAATTTCTTGATGTGAGGTCATGAGAATCAAGGAAGTAATCAGCAAAGCAAAACTGTTGTTATCTTAAACAAATTTTCACATTTTTTTATGGTATTATAAGAAAAACATGGAAATCAAGAAGGAGAATTTACATTTTGACCATCAGGCTGATTTATGTTTAAAGAAATCTCTATTGACAACAACAACAGATTAAAAATATTTTATTGCCTGCAAAAGGGATATTGTGGACAGTGAAATGGTATGAAAATTAAATATGATTTGGAGGCAATTTTTAAAAGCATGCTTTGATCATTACTGAAATCATGAGGTTTGCGAGCTAGCCCCTAATTGGTGATTGCTGCCCTAACTACCCTTAATGCTCTACTTCTGACAGAAACACAGAAATCAGAGAGTTTGCTTGGTATGATCCATGGCTCTGTAGATGGTAAATCTTAATATTTTCTGTTCCTGCATATGTATCATGTTTATTGTAACAGGTGTATGAGTGTAACACAGGAAGAAGGAAACTGCTAAAACATGGCTCTTTGCATGGTTTACCTACCACATCTGTCAAATTTTTTCCATTTAAAGACAATGAGTTGATCACAGCAGGTAATAATGTCATTTTTCCTCAAACAATATTTGGTACACTATCAGTAATTTTGTTTTAATTTTAAGTATCAAAAAATTTCTGTTTTCTAATTTTTGGTCACAGATTGGCCACTTTGAAAAAGCTTTTAGCTTGGAGCACTCTGGTATACTATCTTTAATTTTCTTCATGTTTAAAAGTCAAACAATTTCTGGCAGCTGTTTTCTGATTTTTGGCCACAGAATGGCAACTTTGAAAGAGCCTTGAGCTTGTAGCGCTCAGTTACCATACATATCCATGTAAATTGATTAAGAGGTTTTGGTGGTCGATCAGGATAACAAACTCCAGCTGATGAAGTATTAAGCAATGGCAGATTCATGGAATGTACTGTCCACTATATATTTGCATTTAGTTGGAGACATTATCTTTTCAAAGAATCTACCAAGGTGAGGTGGATATTCCACCATATTTTCTGAGCTGTAGATTTTACTCAGCTGATGATTGTTATTACTAGATGGTTGCAAATGTAACCTCAAATATAAAATTGCTCAACAGATAAAATAGCTGAAGCCCTGAAATTATTCAAATTGTACTGACAATAATTATGTAATAGTTATTATAACAGTTTATAATAGATTGCAATACTTCAACTTTTACATAAGGTGCTGATGGAATGATGACATGTTGGGACTTGGAAACATGGAATTCCTTTAAGAAAATTGAGGAGCCTCACAATGAAATAAGTGCTCTGGATTTCTCACATGATGGCAGGATCTTTGCAACTGCTGGCAAGGTAGGTCATGAAACCTGCAACATTATTATCACCCATGGAATGTCAAGGTTTGTTTTACATTGGGTGTTGGAAGAATCAGGGTGACACCATGGTGAATGTGTGGATGTGCTGTGCAGAGTATAATTAGAAAAAAAGATTGATGGTAGTAAAGGTCATTGATCCTGTGTTTCCAAGAAACAGAATTAAGCCATCGTCTGCAAATAGATCCTCCCCAATAGATTCACCATGCTTAACATTCAGGTGGCCATTTTTTAAGATGCATGCTCTCCCATGACTCTAAAGGCCATGCCAATACCTTAACTGGGACTTTACAGCAATAATCATAATGGTTGCGCTGATTACAGTCTTCTCTTTCACTGCAACAAACATGTTTTCATTTTTGATAGCATTTAGTATTTCAATGAGATTTGATTTTAACCCTCAAACTCCCAGAAGTGATTAACATTTATCTTCTCCCTATAATATCCATACATTATTGAGCAAACAGGTAATGAGAAAACTCAAACATAGATAAGTAGAAGTTGTTATCTTGATCTATCACCAAATTCTTGTAACCAATTTACCAGGGAATGAGTAGAAGTAAGGGGGAGATATAACAATCAGATCTTGGGGGTTAAAGGGTTAAGGTGATCTTCAGGGTAAAGGTGTGGATTCATTGCAACTAAAAAAGGAGCACAGAATCGTTTCTAAGCAGCGTTAAGTGTGATTTATCCTCAGCATTTTGTTAATCATTGATAACCTGTTGATGTGATTTGCGTCAGTCTATCTGTGGTAGAAATAACTGTTGTCTTTTTTTTTCATAACATCCTTTTCCCCCTTCCAAATGAAGGACAAAGACATACGAGTTTATGACTCAAGCACACTAAAACTGAAGCGTACATTTGGAGGAACAGGTCATCTTGATGAAACAGAGTGAGGTTTTTATGTTTGATCATTTTACTTACTGGTACTTATCAGTAAGAACTAAAATAATGATACAATACATTAAGTGGGCTACATACAAGTATGGCTGACAGAGGGTACCTTACTTTTTATGGCATAGGGAAACTAACAGTATTTAAGCTACCCCACATAGTGCTAGATGGGACTACAACTACTACAGCTTTGGATGAATCTGCCAATTTGATGAATAAGTGTAAACATTGGTGGATGTGCACATAAACAAGGCAGGGAGTGGGAGGGGAGAGGGAGGGGGAGAAGAAGAGGGAGGGGAGGGGAGGGGGGGAGGGGAGGGAGGGGGCTGCAAGGATGAAGTGTTCAGTGACTCTGAGAGTCAAGGACCAGGGGGACTGGTGTTGGACTTCAGATTGAGAGGTATGGGTGTTAAAGCGTGGATGGGGCTTTTGTTGTGTTCTTGAACAAAACCCTTTTCCCCAGAAGTATTAATGGCTGCCATAAAACTATCACGGCAACTTGATGTAACAGCCTTGACAGCACATCCCCTCATGAAGTTCCCTATAAATGTTGTCCCCTTCCCCCCCCTCTTGGGTTGTATGTTTAGATTACGCACTAAACTGTCATTTTCTTCATGACTTTGTACTTGTTATTGAATTTCCAGAGAGGAAGACATTTTTGCCCCGGGAGTAGGCCATGGAAGAAAAGTTTTCGCTGTGAAATTTCACCCTTTTAATGACAACGTCTTTCTGACTGGAGGCTGGGACAGATGTTTGAAGGTCAGTCACGAACTGAATCCTCTTCCAGTTTTCATGAGAGGCCCATGTCCCTGAGTTTCCTAAAAGTCAAAACAAAGTCCAGTCAGAACAAAGGAAATTTATTTTTGTCTTATGGTAGGTGTGGGATGTACGAGTAGATCAAGTGGTTCGCTCTATCCACGGGCCGTACATCTGTGGTGATGGAATTGACATGTGGGAAGACTCAATTTTGACGGCTTCTTGGGTGGCCCGTAATGCACTACAGGTAATATGAAAAGTAGTTTGCGCGACATTGGATGAAGCGAGATCTTGGGGACGAGGTTGACAGCGTTTCAGATAGGCGCAATGTGATTGGAGCATGTGTGTGACATCTTACGCGCACGTGTGATTTCTTTCTCGCGGGTGTGACTTCTCTTCGCGCGTGTTACTTCTCTTGTCGTGCCGGTTTAAGTAACTTGCTCCAAATTAAAATTTCGTGCGCTTGTTACGAAGGCAATCCTAAAAGTATAACAGAGTAGTGGACAATCAAGAAGAATTTAAGGTAAAAAAAGTTACAGAGGGAAGCTAGGAAGCCAATGAATTGTTTCGAAGATCAAAGAAACACCATGTAAATTACCATGAGGAAATTGCTCCATATCTGATGAAAAATTGTACCGGCTCTGGTAACCGTAACGAAGATCGAGAAGAGCTATTCTTTTTCAAACAACAATTTAGTTTTGTTGCGATACGATAAAAATTACGGGACGTGACGTAGTTAGAACTTCTTTCACCATCTTGGGGTTTTAAAGAGACTCATCCTCGGCAGTCCTTGCCAACTGCTATTTATTTCCGGATTTTGTTGGTCAAGAGAATTTGGAATTTTAGTAAAATAAACTGATTAACTTGTTTTTCGAATGTATGTTGTTTGACCGAAACCAAAATTGTCATAAAAGCCTACCAGAAATGTCTCTGGGAACCAATTGGAACACAAACTACAAACAAGCGCAGGGCTCGAAGCGCGGGAAAATGTGAGTTAATAAGTCACCAGTTGTTTAAGTTTATCATCTGATTGGTTGAGAGGGTGGTGTGAGTTTTCTGGACCAAACGTTGTTAAACAGAACCATAGCGTACTCGGATTATTTTCGAGACTCATTAGGAATTTGAAAGGTAATATTTTGGTGGATTCTTATCCACTGTTTGCACTGTTTACTCGACGAGGTATTAATATAGTGGATAGAAGTTACAATTTAATTTTAAATATGTCGTAGGTGTGGGACTATGGCAGCGGCGAGCTGATAGAATCAATTCCATTTCCGTGTCAGCTTGAGCACGGGGAGTTCCTGTACGTGGCCCGGTTTTGTTCTAGTTATGATCTTATCGCTGCAGGAGGAAGTGGAACCAATGATCTGAAAATCATCAACAGAAGTGAAAACAAGGTGCTCAACACAGTTTCCTCAACCTCTGACCCTTAAGATACTAACATCTCCGTACAATATCACCCCTGAATTACACATTGAGGTCGCACTCTTAATAATCAGTATGCATATTCTCCATACTGTTCTCTTCAAATTCTAAAGATGCTGACATGGAGAATTTTTTTAACAATCTGTTTTTTTAGTTGGTGATCATTCCCTTTATTCTCATGGCCCTTATGTTTGCTTCAGGGGTGATATTGTAGGGAGAAATTACATGCTGATCACTCTTAGGGGTTGAAGAGTTAATGTAATGGGCTATCACTTGCAAATTATTTATCAAGTCATTTTGTGATTTATTTATTGTTTTTCTTAAACAGGTAATTGCTAGTGTGGAAGGGGAGGGTAAACCCATTCAAGCCTTAGACGTGTCACTTGACGGAACTCAGCTGGTGATTGGCAGCACTGGAGATAGTGTTCATATCAAGACACTTACATGACCATGTGGTCATGTAAGTGTCAAACGAGAAGACGGAGTTGTTTTTCATATTATTTAATTAAGCTTCTTTGGTTTGCTGTATGAATTTTTATAAACTGTATTCAAAACGTGAGAAGTTAAAATTTTCTTACCTAGTCCTTAATAAGGCAAACTGAAGTTATATGAATGATTGCGAAACATGCATTTTACGACTTTCCAAAGTTTACGTACGTCGAAAAGTTTAAAAACGCCACATCCACTTGTAAAGCTAAAGTATTTTCAGATTAAAACATACTTACGCATTTCTGAATAACAGCTGCATACTGTGAGTGTTTACAAGGGTTAACCCAGCAGACCACGTACTTACCAAGAGTTCACTTAGTGAAAAATCACGATGAGATTCTGCGTTTGTTTTATTAGCTAGTCAGATTTCAGGAAAACGAAGCGTGGCGTGGGCCTAAACGGTCGTGGGTCTGGGAATGAGGTTAGCTTTGCGCGAGCCTATTAAAATGCCAATGTTACGTCACTATGTGACGTAATCTCTATGATGTAATGATATAATTTGTCATCGCTGAAAGAAAAACTGCTTTTAGCAGTGGCAGTGTTACCTCGTGTTTCACGCTTGTGTTTGGTGTCAACATAAAGAAAAAATGGTGACGAAAAATCTGTTCTCGTCTAAAACGTCTCCGGTCCGAAAATGACGACACCTGTGGAAGTTGAATCTGGTGAAGAAGGTAACATTTCCGAGAGGAGATATATATATATAAACTACAGTAGCACTTTCTTGTCGTCTAGGTTTGTGAATTTGGTAATACCTTTTAATTTAGGGCTTCTGGTGAGATTGAAATTCTTAGATTTGATCTTAAATCAGTTACTGTCAAAAAAAAACACAAACAAACTAAAAATACGGAAAAATACGATAAACGAGTAGATTGCATTGAAAAAAACATTACACCATTACGGAAATATTTCGAAAACTGAAAGCCGCTGAACATCTAAAATCTTTGGGTAGCATAGATGAAGTGAGCAAGTTGCCTAAAGAAAGGTTCCTAGCCATGAAACAACGCGCTTCCTGTTTCAAATTCTTCACCGATTAGCGCACTAGGATCTAAGACAATGAGCTCAGCTCATGTTCTTTTGGTGTCATTAATCAAAAACTGTCGCAGACAGTAAAGACTATGCGCAAGCTGTCAATGTTAATGCTGCTGGATGCGCGTTTCTGTGTTCTTCTGTGCGTTTCCGCGCGTTTCTTCGCTCGAGAAAAGATTTGAGATGAAACGTTTACTGAGAGGTCTAGCACCAATAAGGCGGATCTCTCGAGGGCTCGCGTTACTCAAGGCCTCTTAGAAGAATAAATGAGGGCCTGGAAAATATCTGGGAACTCGAAGAAGTTGATAGGTTAGAGACACTTCACGTTCTAATTCTACCCGAAGAGTTGGAAAGAACAACAAAACAGTGCCTTGTTAACTGCACTTTATGTTTATCATGATGAGGTCTATTTCTTTTTTCATTATATGGTTTAATTAGAAACTACAACAGAAGAGTATGAATCAACGGACACTTCACGACCTAATGTGGAAAGACCGCAGCCAAAAGCGGTCACTCGGTTTCGCCCTTACTTCACATTCGCAGTTTCCTTGACACAGTTGTTTATGTTGATCTGGTTGTGCTACACGACAACTTTCACTGAAATAGGCTTGTCACCAAGGACCTATTACAGAATAGGTAAGTTACAGTCAATATCTGTATTACGGAGGGGACGTCATTTAGTGAACCCCTAAAAATGGGGTAGTCATCAGTGAAAGTGAAGTCAGAAACTAATAGCTGGTTTGAATAACAGGCGAAGGAGTTGTGATTGTCCATGAGAGCTATGACGGAGCCGTTTGTTCAGGGGAGGGGTTGGGGGCGTTGGGCGACATTGTGATTGAGTTCAATCCTGGACATAAGCTGATTTAAAACTTAACTCATAGAATTTAAATCATGCAGTTCTGTCGAAGGATTCAATGCACTAGGACCTGAACTCTACATTTCATTTCTTTTGTCAGAGCCTTTCACGTTTCGTGGTAATGTCACTGTTACTCACAGTGAACGACCGAACCCCTTGATTGGCCCCCCAGGAGCACAGTTGATATCCCTGGGGGCGCTCTACCCGCCGTGCATCAGGGAAGATTACGCGTTTAACGTCTACATGGTTCACGCTTTGCAGCTGCACGTTGGGGAAGGTGGAGAAAAACTGGGCTGCTGTGAGGTAGAGGAAGTGAACGCAGCAGGGACAACAACGAAGGTAAAATGTTCGGATTCAAAATGGAATCCAGTGCTTTTGATCAGTTCTTATTGTGCGCCGCATGCCTAGCTATACCCTGCAAATTTTTTTCCTTTTTTTTTTGAGAATGTATTGAATAAACATTTAATGGAGGGAGTATCTTCGTTTCGAAGTTCTTTCCACGACAAAACTAATTAATATCCCCGGCGGCTCCATTTGCCGTCTGCTTTCCCTCAGAACATATATGAGATCGAGGTTGACGCTGATGTGAACGTCTCAGAAAACAAACCTCTATTCCCGACATAATCTAAAAGCATCTTTGGTGGAATTGACATATCGCAAGGCCTGCATTACGTATGAATAACGAGCCAATTCTTTTTGTGCCGTGTAACCTCGAAAATACAAACATGAACTCAGTGCAGTGATTTTTTTTCTACAGGGAGAATGTAGCATTCTCTCAAACAACAAAGCGACTTGGAGGGAAGTACGTTGTAGTCAGCGGTCTTCACCACAATCGGCTGTCAAGCATATCTTGCGACCTTGCTGTAAAGAAGATGGGCAGTGTACGCTGATCAGTCCGCAGCATTGTTGGTTTATGAATGGTCGAGTTCATCTTCACTTTGACCACTGCACACAGGTACAGAGGGCTCTCTTGAAACACAACAACCTTACCGATTACATACAGATCGACTCTTAGGAGAGGATGTCATCACATGCGCACGATTCACGACCCTGTGCAATATCCAGTTATTTGTACCTATAAATCTAACAATCGCGTCGTGCACACTCAAAAATGAATCAACAAGAAATAGTTAGGAAAGGTTGGGCGGCAACAGGAATAAAAGCGTGGTATGGACTCCATGTAAAAGTAAAGGGGTCTTTTGAAGATGGATGCTCTGTATATGCAGAGACCTAACTTACATAAACGTGTTTGCAATAGTGCTCACCATTTAAATCATTGGCTTAATGGTTGAAAATTAGCTCATGTTGTATTAAAATTTGGTGTGAATCATTTGTTGAATTTTATGACCGATATACTTCTTGACTCATTATTTGTCAGGTCGACTGTCTAAGGCAGCTTTGCATTCTGGGCAGTGATATTGCAGCTGACAATTACGTCACACAATTCGCTCCACGTCGAGGCAATCAATGGTGGCGATTCGTGACGTCACTTTATCTACATCATGGTATTCTAGACTACCTACTGATCACGTTTATACAAATAAGGTTGTGCTGGGGACAGGAAAACGTTATGGGATGGTTGCGCATGACAATGGTGTATCATACTGCTGGCGTGGGCGGACAATTGGTAGGGCTCATGCCTTATTCAGTAGTTATTGAGGTTGATTTTAGATTCTCTAAGCAGCTAGATTCTAGATTAAGAGTAACTAGGAGTGAGTAAAAGCCTGTTATGCTCCAGAATTTTTTAAAGAAAATTTCGTAGTTAAAATAAGCTGATTTAATGCCCAAAGTTTGATTAAGATTATACTGTTGCATCTGTTGTAACAACTATACAAAATGTTCGCACTTTGCAGTTTTCATCATTTTTGGTCCTCTCTTTTTTCAGATTGGCTCCTTATTTACAAAGCATGACTCGCCCCAGGCCGGAGCAGGTCCAGCCGTCGGCGGTATCACGGGCCTGGCTCTGGTTGAACACGTGATACGCAGACGAACGATAAAGAATCCTGGGCGAAGGCTTACTTTCTTAATTGGCTCGCTCTTTGCTCTTATTTTTCTTGGCACCCTTCCACAAGTTAACAGCTTTTCTCTGTTGACCGGTTTACCTTACGGTTGCTTGAGTGCATTGGTTTTTTGGAGTCGAATCGTGTTTCCACGGAAATTTGTCTTATGTCAATTTATAGTTATGTTTACAATAGTCATGATATTTTTGTTTAGCCTCGCTCTTTTCTACGGATTGCAGCAGATAAGCTTAAGTTCCTTCATGCGGTTTGTAAATTGCATCCCGTATGCGAGAGGTTTGTGCGATTAATCGTGTTTTGGAGTAGAGGGAGGAGACGAAGGAGAGGACGATGAGGAAGCAAAGGAAAAAGAATGAGCAGAGGAAGAGGGGAAGGAGAAATAGCAGATAGGGAAGAGGAAGGATAGGGAGCAGAAAAAGGAATGAAAAGAGAGAGCAGTGGAAGGAGATGAAGGAGATGAAGGAGAGGGAACGGAAGAAGAAGAGGTTCAGAGGAAGGGGAAGGGGCTGTTGAAACATAGGAAGGACAGGAGAGCAACGGGAGGAGAGAGAAGTGAAGGAAAAGAGAAAGAAACGGAAAGACAATGCAGAGGAAGGGAATAAAGGAGGTGAGACAGAGGTATAAGAGGAAAGGGGAGGAAGGAGGGGGAACAGAGGAGCCAGAGGAATCAGAGAAAGGATAGAAAGGACCCTGAGAAGGCAAAAGGAGAAGACGAAGGAGAGGGCGAGGGTAAAGAAAAGAAGGAGAGAAAGAGATGGGCAGATGAAGGAAAGGGAGCAGAGGAAGAAAAAGATGAAGAAGGGACAGATTATGGGGAGGGACAGAGAAAGAAGAGGTAACAGAGGAAGAGGAGGAAGGAATGGTGGTAGAGAACATCGCTGAGGATATGAAAGGGTTCGAATAGTGATACAAACAAACATTTACTCAATTATAGTAGCTTGCATTTTTGCATTTTGTTTCTTTGTTCTTACATGCAGATTTTGAGATTAATCAGTAAATAATAATTTAAAGTTGAACATGTATGCCCGTCCTTTTTTTTTTTCAAACGGGGGGAGGTTGAGGAGGTGACCATCAATTCTTTTAAAGGCACATTTAGAGGGGTTAGAATCATTTTTCTTTTCCTTAGAACCTTAGTTCCTCAGAACGTTTTATTTTACTTTCTTAAAGATGTTACCGGTGTAACGATGTCACTGTGTTTTTAATAGCCTCTAGGGACTTGCGCACTACAATGAGAACTAATATATCCCGGATGTATGCACACGTCTTACGGTCAGATTAAATCGTTGTGTTATCTAGCTGTATTAATTAGTGCAACCAGTCCGCTCCCTGGAACGAATTATGAATGATTCCTTATGGGATTTCAAGTTCTCTTATCACTTCTATCAAAATTTATTTCAATGTTTTGGACGCCGCTGAAAAGTTGGACAGAATCGAAAGAATAGCTCACTCTTCAAAACAGAAGAAGAAAAAGGAAAGCAAAATTATCGAAATCTCACAAGTGACCAGCGGCAACTGTAACACGATCGTCATCGTCTCGATCTGTCACGCGCTTTTCATAGAGAAACTAAAATTACGAACGTCCTCTTACGGAAGTATCTTTCCTCACAAAGCTTAAGTAATGGGAAACTGTAATCCAAGAGCGTTATTTGCACTGGCCTGTACGTCTTCTTTGGCGGCAGAGATTTGCTTTTTAACGGTGAATTTCCTGGAGGCGGAAGTAGGCAAAGCGAATGCCAGTCAGTCATGTTGGTCAAATTTCGAATCTACTGGTTCGTCGAGCGATGTAAACTGCCCCTTTTTCGTGTTGTTCCTGGTGATGATCGTGAATGGATTACTGATTCTATTTACGACATCCTTCCTGATAGCAATGATGCTTGGGAGCCGAGAGTGTTCGTTAAAGAGGATTCCATTTTGTCGCTTCATTCTCCGCTACAGCTCATTCTTCACCAATGTTTTCTTAACTCTTCTCTTGTTTACCTTTATCGCCCTAGTCATTGACTTGAGGTCGACGAAAAATTACTCTGGTCACATACTAAAAAAACCACACCGGGTGTACTTTATTTTAGTAATTGCTGGGCTAATTTTGGTCTTAATTTCGGCGGTTACGACGGGCTTGCTCGCATTTCAGCGTCGCAGAAACCCTAGGGATGACGACTTGGAGGAATCTTTCAACCGCAGCTACTCCGATCGCGGAAGTTTTCATGATATCAACTAACTCATTGTTATAATGAATTGTGTGAGAGGTAAATGAAGACACTTTCGGCGAACTGTCTCTAAGACCTTGAGGTTGTCATTTTGATTAATTTTATTATTTTACATAATTATTTTATTAATATTGATATTATTATTATTGTCATCTAATTTTCAGGTCGGCTGTATGTTTAGGTAACATGTGACCAACATTCAACCTCCAAGCCCCCCACCCCCCTCCCCATACTTCAACTCATTTTTCCCTCCCTGGGGTCACTCCAAAAAGGAACTATTTAGAAATACGTGTTGTCCAGTCAGGACTTAACTTTGGCACTCCAGATCTAGAAAGGAGTTTCCAATTGTTGACACTTTCTTTGCAAAGGCATAATATTTTATATTTACTAAGGCATCAAATTATCAGTGGCCATTAGAAGTTATTTATAGACATGAATAGTTGACAAACTATACTCTATGCTGTACAAGGTAGACTTAATACTTTAATTACTAATAATCTGAATAACATGTGCATGGTTCTGTGAGGGATTAGTTTTGCAAATGTGGTATAATTTTAAGTGAAAAGTTAAAAGCCCAAACTTGAGAACCCCTCCCAGACAGAGACCCCTCTGGTCCTCCTTCATCCTTTGCATAATGATGTGTACTAGAAACATCATTTGAGTTTACAGCTAAAAAAATCTGCGGGATGTGTGCTTGTTTCAGGATACATTGATATTTTTGTTTATGTATTTTCTTTGATAATAGACCTTCCATCAGTGTGTAGCGAAGATGGAATACCTATAACTGTCATGGTTTAATTTTAAAATGACTGATCATCACTGTTTTTGCATGAGTTAACTTCAGTTTCATCAGCCCATCCCTTGGGGTAACATCAATTTTTTTAAAAACTTTTAATGTCATTGTTGATGTCAGCATGATCTTTAAATGCTAATCAAGGAAAACCATGAGAAGCAACTTAATCTAGAAAATCATCACCAATTTTGAGATTAGCTGGGTGTAAATACCAGCTGGTGTTTATAAATAGTAAGTAATATATTTGATAGTGAAAGAGGACATAAAAAATGGAGGTTTTCCTCAAACAAAAATAAAGTTGTTTACTGTTTTATTGACTCACTTCGTGCTTGAAACATGAAAAATTTTTGCCCATATGATCTGTTACAATCATAGTCTATTGGAGAACATAGAATGTATTCATATGTTGCTATGGTTTAAATCGATTCAATTCCTAATCTTTTGTCCTTCATCTATCACCAAACTCCTAAAATAACAACAAAACAAGTCAGAACAAGAAATGAATTGAACAATTAAAAAAAAAGAAAAGAAACATCATCAGCATCATATAGCTCTTTACTTCACTTAAATATATATATATATATATATATATATATATATATATATATATATTTTTTTTTTTTTTTTTCATTGTGTTGTGCACATTAAATGCGCAATTTCAGTAAATATGATTGCAATAATATTGTATTGACAACATGTAACTGTGTTGGAAATTCCAAAGGTACTTTTGGTCAACCCACAGTGGTTTTAAACACTTTATTGAAGGCCTTCTGTTACAGTCAATTATCGAAATAATTGAGCTGGTTGCAGGACTTATCATTTCACCTACATGACATATATTTCTTTTGACGTAGCGCAGAGAGCGATGGGATCTTTATTTTTAACCAATCAGAATTCAGCTGAATATATTCGCGCCAAAATGTGTCGCTCCGCCATGATTTTCATTCAGCCCTACACTTAATTTTTCACTAAATTTTGCTACTTGGAGCCTTCAAGCAACGGGACAGTTATGTACATTAAGCAGGTAAGGCATTTTTCTTATCTTTGGTCTGTTTCGCTAGCGTTTAACTGAATGTTGGACGCTGAGAAATTGGTGAAGGTCTTGATACGAACGTGTAGCTGTCAAACTTGTGAATGTCACGCTTAGCAGATCGTTGAAAAGTATTAACATCCAGACTTGCCTTTGATCATGGCTAACATCAGAAACTGAAAATTTTCATTATTTCCTTGTGAGAATTTTGTTTGTTGAAATAATTGCCGAAGCCCCTCTGTAGAGAAAGGAGGAAAATCGTGTAGTTTCTGTTGTTCGGTTAATTAAGCTAGTTAACGTGTCACACCATCATCATAACAAATGTGGAAGCTTGGGTTAAATTAGTTCTTTCAAATATCGCAGTACTGATTTTTCTTGTCTTGACGCGTTTTTCTATCGTTTTTAAGTGGTATGCCATCGTTTTGATCGATTTATTGCCAGAGTGATTTATAATTCAATCGAAAAGAAAATGGTAATAATTCAGAGAAATATGATAAACGTACAAAAAGAAATAAAATTTACGTAAGAGTACTTTGCAAAATTACTGTCCACGGGTAACAATTGATTGATAAATGCATTGTAGTATTTTCAATTTGCCTATGCCAATCTTTTTACAACATTGTGACAAAACACTTGTATGATTTTGTTCCTCTAGCAATTAATGATTCATGGTTGATAAATAGAACACTAAAATCCCATGATATACTAGTTAAATGCCCTGTATTTCTCCACAGCTTGCTTAATTCTAAAGCTTTTTTTGCAGTTAAAATCTCTTTTTTCATTGCCAATAAATTATTGTTCTCAACATGCCCGTATTCTTCAAAATCTGTTTATAAACATGCAGACAGCTGAACCACAATTTCAGAATGACCACAACAAAATTTTCCCTACAGTACTGATATGATAACTAGCAGACAAGCAATGAGAATAAAGAAAAAATATTAATAAGGAGTTGATCCAATACCAAATTCTCTGAACTAATGTCATAAGAATGGTGTGGCATATAATAAGGACAATTACTTATGAGATATTGGGAGTGGTAATGGGGTTAACACGCTTGATAAGAGGTATCTGGAAGCCTAATTGTATATAAATCTTGATATAACAATAAGATATAGATATTTTATGGTGGAGTACAAATTGTACTGCTCATACTTTCTAAATTTCGCTTTCTTTTGTTTTTCCTGATCATGCAGGTTATTATTCAAGGATTTAGAAGCTATCGTGATCAAACCATCATAGAACCCTTCAGTCCTAAGCACAATATTATTGGTAAGGATTCTATGTTACAAGATCCATGTTTTCAAAAATGACAGTGATAAATAGATTTTCTCTAGATCTGAAGTTTCATTGTTGATATCTGTCATAAATCTCCTCTATTTCATGTAATTTTTTTCATTAAAATTTTAAGAGTTTTCATTTGGTCAAGTCATGAGGATTAGTATGCCTTTTGGTTGGATTTTGCTTACATCTGAATCTTTAATTTTCTGTTCTCGCAGTTGGCAGGAATGGTTCAGGAAAAAGTAATTTCTTTTTTGGTAAGTTTGTCTGTTTTTTCAATACAGTTATACAGTGTTTGTAAATAAACCAATAATTTCAACTTTTCCTTATAGCAATACAGTTTGTCCTCAGCGCTGATGAATTCAGTAATCTTCGACAAGAAGAGCGACAGGCCCTTCTCCATGTAAGTGAACTTTCACATGAAATATACCAATAGATTTGTTTGTCAGCAAAATGAAATTGGGGTTTAAATGAAACAGAAACAGTTGTAGAAATACAACACAAGAGACTCTGCTACTATTAGATTTCTTAATATTCAAATGGATACATTTCCCCTGTAACATCAAAATTTTGTTGGAGTTTTAACTTATTTGGCAGATTAACAATTTTATTTGTTTTGTAGAAACTAATTTTTTTATGTTTTGAGGAAACCAAAGTTTCTGATAAAAACTATTTTATTTTATGATTCTTTGTCTAAGCGGCAGTTAAAGAACAAGGAACAGGAATGTAATCTTTTCAAATTTTCAAACTTGTTGATTGATGTGGAGGACATTTTGAGTGAATTTCATAGAAAGACTTATACAATATAATTGCACACAGAGTTTCTCATTTTTCTGGATAAAGTAAAATTTTTGCTGCATCTTATGTTGCATTTTAGCCAGAATTTACTTTTTCACATTGAGAATGATCTGCAAAATTAAAACCTGTAAAATTTTCATGCAATATGCTAATGTAAATTTATGGAAATGCACTCAGTCTAAATTTCCTAACTGTAGGAGGGTACTGGACCACGTGTGTTGTCAGCTTATGTGGAACTCATCTTTGATAATACAGATAACAGAATACCAGTAAGTGTCAATCAAGTTTTAGTTATATTTTCCTTTGTGTAGAAAATATGTAAACTTATATGGAACAGAGGGAAAACAAGTTTATATCAACCCTTTCACTCCCAGCAACGATAAAAAAAGGAATTTCTGCAAACAAAATCAGTTCATCTTTAAGCTTAAAATAGATGAAAAAGAAAAAAACAAATATGCAAATAAAGGATATTGTATAATTATTCTTTTCACCAAATTTTTGGAGCTGAAATTATCAGGCATGTGTAGCAGACAGTGCAGAGAACTGACCACATTGTCCACCTCTTGAACAACTGGGCCCTGATGTTTAGATCTCAAAAGAGAAAGGCTTAAGTGTCATCTGTACTTGATTGATTGAAACCAATGTCATTCCACAGGGTTTTTACACTGACACTGATATAAACATCTAGTGAACAATAACAGTTGCTGTGGATTAGAATGATCTTTACTTGCATTTCCTATTCTTTTTCCTTGTAGATTGAGAAAGAGGAAGTATCCTTGCGACGGGTGATTGGTTCCAAAAAGGACCAATATTTTTTGGATAAAAAGAATGTCACCAAGAGTGATGTGATGAATCTGCTGGAGAGTGCAGGTTTTTCTCGGAGTAATCCGTACTACATAGTCAAACAAGGAAGGGTAAGGAAAAAGTCAGAGGTTCTCAGATAATTTGTCATGTTCTCATAGGACTGGCTTTCATTTATTTAGTACTACAGGTAGTTAATATCATTGAATTAAGTTTGATTTCTTGTGTTTTTTAGCTTGTTAGTTGACTGTACCTACTTTGTTGCATATGGTACTCCCCCTTGTGGTTATGCCTTAGGCTACCTGACTGAACACAAATATCACTAATGACAGTAGTATTAAATTTGTTATCATTTGCACCAGAGAAATTTTGCAAGGCCAAAGTGTTATTTTGAAGCCCTTAGATCTTCTAGCTTTCCTGTTCACTTTGAAGCTTGATGATGAAGATTTTGTAAATGTTTTGATATGTTTCAGTAGCTTGATACTTGTTATTTTTTTACAGATCAATCAGCTAGCTGTGGCAAAAGATCATGAAAGACTAAAACTATTGCGAGAAGTTGCAGGAACCAGAGTTTATGATGAAAGAAAGGAAGAAAGCAAGACTATTCTTAAAGACACTGGTATTATCACCGTTTGATAAATATAATGTCACACAAATGTTTATTGACTCCGTAAGGTCAGGCTGGAAAAAAAAAAACATGGATTTAAGTCATGATGCAGGAATTGTGCTGTGCTTGGTCTGTAGGTCACTGCCTTGAGCTAAATATTTTCCTCTCTGCCTTCCCACCCAGTCATCAAGTACAAACTACAATCATTCAGTTTGATTGCAATGGCTTCCCATTCCTTTTTTTCTGAATTTGATTTGTAGAGGGGAAAAAAGAAAAGATTGATGAGCTTTTGAAAGAGATTGACGAACGTCTGGAGACACTGGATGAAGAGAAAGAAGAACTCAAAGCATATCAGAAATGGGACAAAGAAAGAAGGTAAATTCAACGCAACTCTAATAGAAATTGGTTAAATGAGTAGTAGAAAGACAATGATGTAAATGTTTTACTGTGATAATCATGTGACAGTAAGTTGTGCAATAAAATCGATCTTAAAAGTTAAATTCTTACCTCCCAGGTGCCTTGAGTACACAATCCATGACAAAGAGTTGCGGGAAACAAGGGAAAAACTGGATGCGGTGAGGAATACTGATTTGCTAAAAAAATTCCAATATAATTTTGTTTTTATTTCCATCATGAACTTGCAAAATAGAGAAGGTTTTTTTTCTAAAGTGAACATTTTTGTGTAGTTGTGAGTACTTGATCAATCAGCCTTGCAATTTAATGAAGTTGTCTCTTCATAGAAGGAAATAAGATATCACACAATGGCTGAGTTAAAACTGTGGAAGAACCAAAAGAACTAAAGAAAAAAAAGAATTATATAATTAGGTAGCCAAACTAGAGAATATTAAAGCAGATCAGCTGTGTTGATAGGAACACCATAAGTTTGTAAAAAAAAGGAAAAACATTGAATGTAATTTTACTAAAACCGTATTGGTGGAAGGCCAAGCACATGCAATCAGGTAATTATGTGGCAAAAGAGAGGATTTTAACACAGAACTAACATGAACCAAGTCCGCTAAAGTAGTAAAGGGAATGATTGATCCTGGGATCTGAAGATTTCAAATTCAGTTCTTTAAACTTCTTGCATTACCATTTTTTGAAAATAACTAAACCCAGCTAGAATGCCAATGCTGTCCTTTAAGCCAGTAGTGTCTTATTACACTGATTATTTAGCTATTTATTTGGTATTGATTCTTATTCAGTTGGAAAGTTCCAGACAACAGGAAACAGACAAAGCAAGTTCGCTCCAAAAGGAAATCAAAGATGCCAGTAACAAAGTCCAGGTTTGTTATTAACATAATTTATGCACATGTGTTATTATGTTCTTGTCATTAATACTTGCACTTACCAGAGTGGTCTGTATAGCAGTCAAATTATTTTTCTTTCTAAAGGCCCTGTCTCAGAGCCTGCGTGAAGTTATGGATCGCATGACAGCAGCAAACTCTGAGAGACAACAACTTGATGAAGAGTGCCAGGAACAAGTCAAACAAAGAACAAAACTGGAGCTGGACATTAAAGACCTGGAGAGGAATGTCAGAGAAGATAGTGCACAGAAGGTGATTCTTCCATTAAATAGTAATCTGATCTGAATGTCCCCCTTAGCCTCAGGCCCAAGCAAGTGCCTTCAGTTGCCAATCCAGGTTTTTAGTCAATCATGGTGAAGACTATGGGGTCAGCAAAAACCTAAAACAAAAATGTAACTACAGGAAAAAAGCTCAGTTTATTATTTCTGTTAGTAACAACTCTATTTGGTCTTAAGTGTGATTGTTCCAGTCCCAAGAAAGCCTTTTAAAAGTGCCAGTCATTGACTTGCACATTCTGACAATCTGTGAGTCATCTCTTGAATTTAATAAAGACTTGAGCTCAGGTTATCAAAACATCACTCTCTGTTGTTGAAGATAACTGTCTACATGTATAAGGACTTAGTTGCTCTTACTACACAATGGGCTGTTCAGCTGACCGAATGGAAAAACATTTTCTGTCATGATATCACAATGATTTTTTTATTGACAAGTTAATGAGCTAAGAGTCATGGACGAAAATAGCAGAAAATAAACATAAATTTGTGGTATTGTACAAAAGTAATGCAAACAGATTAAGACAAAGTTCCTCAATGAAGCTTTTTGAAGAAATTTTGCTCTGATTGAAATTCCTGCAATAGCAACAAACAGTGGGACAGAGAGACTCACTCAATTGCATGGATTAGTGAAGTTTTCTTTGGATCTTGAACACTTTTTGTTTTTCTCAGATTCAACACAGAGAACAACTAGAGAGATTGGAAGAAACAATCCAGTCAAAAGAGGAAGAACTAAGTGAACTTTTACCAAACTACATACGGCTCAAAACTGAAGAAGATGAATGTTCTGCAAGGTAGGAAATTGATTCCTAGATTTTACAAATATTTACACTATTGTAGATTTATTATTATTTTTTTTTTTTTGCATTGCAAGGTATGCTATTTTAATTGTTCCTAGCCACATTGAAAAAAAATTATTTTCATTGCAGAGGATGTATATGAACATTGTTTTAATGATGAATCTTTGCAGCAAGATGTTATTATATTTGTGACTTTGCATGCTCTAGTTTTCAGGTAACACTTACCATGAAATGTATGATTAATTACAAAATTGTGAATATTAAACTGATTTTCAGAGTGAAAGCCTGTGAAAGAAGACGTACAGAATTGTATGCCAAGCAAGGCCGTAAAAATCAGTTCAGAACTGCTGAAGAAAGAGATAGATGGATTACTGAGGTATCATGTTGAATGTTTAATATATGTTTTCTGTGTATCATTCATTACTTACATTGCAAATTAGGCAAAGTGCTTTTACAGCTTTATTTTATATATCAATCATCATGTGCTCACAATTACTTTTCTTTTACAGGAGAAAAGCTCCCTAGCAGAATCCATAGCCAACAAAGAGTCACAAGTAAGTAGCCTAGAGTGAATAAAAGTATTTGGGAGTCTGTTTTTTTTTTTTTTTTTTCTTTTTCTTTTTTTTAAACAAAGACAACTCTCCTTTTTCCTCTTTTTAACCTTGGCGTTCTGGTTTATATCCAGTGAGAATTCTTCTCCATTCAATTTTGTGCATGAACAAAGCAAGTCTTGAAGATATGAAATCCAAAATTGTTTAAGGGAGGGTACTATGGTGTAGTCAGTACTGAAATCAGGTGATAATAGTCATGTGATGCACATGATGATTTGTAGCTGTTTGTCTGGAAAAGATAGAACAGCTTGTGACATTCATCCTTATTTATTCAAGTAGATATTAGTATCACTTTGATGGTATGAGAAAGCACTCTTTTTTAATGGAAGTGGTGGTGTTCTTTTCTCATAGATTGCTGGTGTAAGAGCAGATGTTGAGAAACTAAGGAATGCAGTACAAGAACTAACAGTTGAAATACAGGTGAGAGCCAAATGAGTTAATTTATATATTTAAAATTCCTGGTTTCCTTTTACATTATTTTTACTAGATGGGCACCCTTGAGGGATACATGCACAATAAAACACTGTCATAACTTTGTCCAGACTAACTAACAAGTGATTGCATGGACATGATGGCAAGGAACAGCCATTAAGTGACAACTAAATTTCCTTATCATCCACACCTGAATAAAATAAGTTCAGGCCTGCAAAATTCAGCTGGAGAAGTTTGTTTAATATGTAGCATGAAAATTCGCTGATTTCCAATACCCCTTGACATCATGTTGTCAATAAATTGATTTATTTATCTTCTAATAGGAAGGTCCACCCCAATGATGTATACACATAGTTGTTGATTAGGAAAAAGTACAGTACCACTCGCATATATGTTAAACAAAAAACGCAAATAGAACATGCCAAAAATTGCATGCAATTGCAAATAAAAAAATCATGCACGTCAAAAAAACGGACGTACATGCATAAGCTTAAGACATCTGCCTCATTACAATGAATTAAGTAGTCCTTTTGTTTTTTCTATTGTTGGTTTATTGTTTTAAAGAATAGGCTACAATGTTACAGCACTGAAATACTACACAGCTACCAATAACATGCAAACTTGTTTGTTTGAACCGACCTTCCCAATATGCTGTTACCAATGCGACTTCGTAATGTACATGTATTTGGAGTTCATTTTTTTTTTTTGACGAGTTCAGTTTGCCATTATTTTAATGGGTAGAGCACCTTACTTTTCTTAGGAAAGAACAGACAATGTGGAAAAGAGAAGACAAGATATTGAAAAAGCAAACAAGAGACATGCAGAATTTAAAAAGACAAGAGATCACACTACAAACAGTAGAAAGTAAGAGGATTGTTTTTCATTTATGTTATGAAACTTTACCATGATGCTAATCCTCTCCAATTCATTAAACCTTTACACCCTAACATCAGTATCCATTTTCTTCATACTCTTCTTCATTCCTTTCCTTTGGTACTGACAAGGAGAATTTATTTAACAATTAAAGCTTCGTAGATTGGCAATCGTGTCCTTTGTTCTTGTGATCTTAATGAATGATTCTGCTTTATTACTGTAAGGAGAATTAGATGCAAGACGATGTTAAAAGGGTGAAGAAAATCAGTGGTGGAGTAAAAGACTTAGATTTTGTTGCAACATCCATAGTGCATGTCTAAATGGGTACACATAGACAGGGTTAGTCATTGGCAACCGACATGATCTGGAGCTTGCAAAAGCTGTAATTACAATAATTGTGTAATATCTGTGGTGATAGTGAAATTATTACTATACAATAGGGAGTTATGGAGGGAAGAAGCTGCAATTGAACAAAGCATGCAGAACACACGGGAGGAACTTAGTAAAACTGAGAGGAATTTAAGGAGTACTGTCAGTAAAGTATGTATCTTTGAACATATAATTTTACATGTGCATTGTGCTGTTTTCTGGCCAAGTTATTTCTGCTTAAATTGTCAGTTCTTCATGATGCATGATTGTGAGTCATCAGTGAGAAACAATTTATCATGAAGCTATTCTGTAGCACTTGAAATCCAATTTGTGCTCCTCCATTTATTTTTTTTATGTGTGAGTATTGTTTCGTTTAATGTTTTTAAGAATTTCTGCAACATGCACACGCTTAGATTCATGATCATGCATTAACTTATGCTCATGGACACAGAGGCAGAGTGTGGGGTGGGGTGTTCAACTTTGAGGCCCATTGGTGAACTTGTGAGGAAAATTAAGAAAAGACAAAAAGTTTTTATTAATTGGTTAGGGTTAGGGTTAGTCTGAGTCTGAGGTTAATCTTTTTTAATTGGTTTTATTGAGTCTCATCACTCACCAAAACATTGGTGATAGGAACTTAGAAAAGGGAAGAAAACTCAAGTCAAAGAGCCAAAGAGAACTCTGTTAGCTTCTCTTATTTGATTTTTTGTTTTACTTTAAATCTTCAATTAGATTACTTAACACATTTTTGCATTTGACATCTGGGCATTATTGAGTTGAGGCCATTTGCTCTGGCACTGAGTTACTCCATGTCAGGTTATGTGTCTCATACTATGTGATTGTGTTTGGTTTTGATAGTGATTTTAAGAGTTTGATGTACTGCATGTAATCATGAACATGCATTTTAACTTCCTTGCATTACTTACCACATGATGTTCATGATTATTTTTATTACCACAGCATGTCAGTAATGGTATTGACACAGTGAAGAGGATTGTTCAAGAGAGAGGCATTGATGGAGTCCATGGCCCACTTATTGAGAATTTTCAATGTGATAAACAGTTCTTTACTGCGGTAGAAGTTACAGCTGGAAACAAGTAAGGATTTCCTGTGATCCTATGTTTGGTTATCTTAGGGTAATGAATGCACACTGTGCTTTAGCTACTTATAAATTTTGTTGATAAATAACATTTGGGACTGGGGAAACAAATACATGATGATCTAATATGTTTGGTTATCTTAGGATTAATGAATGCACTCCCCCCACTGATGCTTTAGCTACTTTTATAAATTTTGTTGACAGTTCAACATTTGGGACTCCAGGGGAGAGAGGTATTGTGAGAGTTAATTGGTTTTCCCAAGAACACATAGCTAGGTCTTGAACCTGTACTTCTTGTCTAGGACTCCAGCTCAGTAACAATTAGGTCACTGCATCTCACGTCATACATGTAGCTGAATGTCAGAGGCAGGCTAACATTATTCTCAATTTCTTTCCAACATTCAACTGATTTTGGCATATTTCTTATTTCTTTAAGTTGAAAAGCTATTTCTTATTCCTTTCTTAGATAAATTACTTCCTTGAATTAGCCCCACTCCCTCCCCCTTTAAAAATTGGTTTCATAAATATTTGTCTTTACTTTGTAGGCTCTTTCACATCTTGGTGGATTCAGATAAAACTGCTGCACAGATCTTGTCCATCATGAACAAACATAAATTACCTGGAGAAGTCACATTTATGCCACTCAACAGACTCCTCAGCAAGGAGCAACAGTACCCCAGCACGCCTGTTAGTAACCCTGAAGTACATTTTGAAAGAAATGATAAAATTAATCATAATTATTAACAACTAATTTATGATTACCTTTATATTCAAGACTTTCTTTAAGTTATATTGAGGGTTGTCTGATATCATCTTTGACAGTTGAGCTATATTGTACTCCTAACTGCACATTCACCTTATTCTTGAATGGAACAAAATACATCATTCTCTTGTTTCCATGTGAATTGCCCTGTTTTAAGTTAAAGGTTTGTTTGAGTTCTGAGGAGACAACACAGGAAAATGGGACTAGTTGTCATAAAAGTAAAACAAAAAAAAAAGGCACCTCTATATCTGGTCCAATGAATAGATGTCTTACTGTTTTAACAATTATTTTCAGCTTCTAAGAACTAGTAGGATAGACCTGAAAAAAATTGTCCATCAAGAGACATACTTTGTTGTGAAGCTATTTGGGTCCAGATAAACCTTAAATTGGTTTATTTTTGACCACTCTTCTTTTAGCTTTTATGTTGAGGTTGGGCTTTGGACCTGAATTTTTTCAGGTCCAGCAACTACAGTTTGTGTCTTAAATTCGTTTCTTCACTGCCATGTCAATATATGAATTTCATATATCTAAAATCATTAATTATTTTCAGGATGCCCTTCCAATGATTAACAAATTGAGGTTTGAGGAAGCTTTTAGACCAGCTATGCAGCTAGTCTTTGGTAAAACTCTTGTGTGCCGCAATCTTGAAGTTGCCTCACAGTTCTCCAAAAGTGAAAATATGGATTGTATTACTTTAGAAGGTACATACTGTAGTTTTTCCCATAACAATATTTTTTGCTCTAAGTTAAACCTTTAAGATTTTTAAATAGACATGTGCACATATGTTTCAGTTATTAAAGTTAGATTAATGATATTTGACAAAGTTGAGCTGTGAAAGTCTCTGGAGAAACTATGTTCCTTTTATATGTGTGTCAAAATGCTCTTTCTTTTCTGTTTTCTGAGCAGTGTAGCTTCTTCTATGCACAATACAACCATCTGAGTGATAAATGCTATCAGCAGTGGTATCTTAGCTGTAGATGTGCATGAACAATTTTGTATTTGTCCATAATGTTCACTTTGTAAAATGTATTCTATATACAAGGCTAAAAAAATTAAAATGTTTAAACCAAATGTTTTCCGCTGTTTGCCATCATCAGGATTAAAAAGACGACCGTCCGACGGTGATGACCAGACGGTCATTTTTTTTACCCTGATGATGGCAAACAGCCGAAAACGTTTGGTTTAAAAGCCTTGTATATAGAATACAATTTTGTATTTGTGTTTTTATGCTTTTATGTATTTGTCACAGGTGACCAAGTTAGTCGTAGGGGTGCCCTGACAGGTGGTTACTATGGGAACAGAAGGTCTCGCTTGGAGCTACAGGACAGTATTTGGAAATTACAAGAAAAAGTTGAAGGAGAAGAAACACGAAGAGATCAACTGAAGGCTGACTTAGAAAGTATCCTCTTGTAATGAAATTTACTTTTGGCACAAAATTATTTGTATTCTGTAAGAAAGGGTCTCTTGGAATTTTTGAAAAGTTTGGCAATTGATTAAGGTTACAAGTGATTGTGCAACTGTAATGTATACCTAACATAGTTTATCTTACACAAAGGGATCAGGAGTTACTTTTATTGAGATTGGATGCAAGGCCATTGCAGGCAACCTCCCCAACCCCCTCCCCCCACCGCATTTTTTGTCAGGTCTCTCTGACACTTCTCGGGAACTAACTTACTCTCCTGGGTTGAGAGAGGCACTGGAAGTGGAAGTCTTTTAAAACGGAATCTATTACACGAACCATTCAATAGCTGCATCCTTCATTGTAAAATCAACTTCATTTTTGTTATCATAAAGAAACATTGTTGAAATATCCTTAACTAAATCTCAGAACTTGATTCTGATGTAACAGTCGCACTCGGAGAATTACAAAAAGTAGAAACACAACAAGTGCAGCTAAGGTTAATATACATACATCGCGTTATTTGAGTTGATATTTGGCACTTTTTTGCACAGTCATTATTATTTAAATTACTCCACAATGATTCGCTCCTCAGAGAAACATACGAGAAACAGAAGATTGATGTGAAAGCTAAAACTCAAGAAAAGAAAACAGCTGAACGAACTCTGGAGTCAAAAGTAAGTGACTTTGGTACAAATGGTAACGTAGTTTGTTGTAATTTTGTAGTCCTTGTTTTTTGTTTCATTTTGAATTAAGGGTTTCAGTTGTAGATTCTCGTTAACACCATTCCTGTATAAGTATTATTGCCTTGTTTCTTTTTGTCTGTCTGTGTTTCTATCTCAAAACTCGAGCCTCGAAACTCGATTTTAATTCTCGAAAGTTTTGTGAATCGAGTTTCAAATCGACACCGTTTACTTAGAGCATCTTAAGCGGAACTGTTCATGTGTGTTTGTTATCTTTGCAGGAGCAAGGGCTGTTACACTTTGAAGGAGATCTGAAATCCATGCGTAGCACCATGAGAGCTTTAGAGGAGGAACTGGGAACTGCTCTTGTGTCACAACTTAGTTCGCAAGATCAAGAAGAGGTAGGGAATATATGACTTTGTACTGGCCATTCTTTTAGTACATTCTAATCCGTTTTTTCCTTTTTTTTTTTTTTTTTTTGTTTTTTTTGTCGATGGCCATGGGATAAAGGAGAACGATTACGTCAAAATCAAAAATACAGTTTTTCTCAACCTCGTTCTCTACTTTATGTGTTCATTACTTTGGTAGATCTCCACGTAAGGCTGAACACAATGTAACTCCGCTGTTTGAGAAAGCTTTCTTGCTTATATTTTACCTGTTATGTGATGTTGTTCTTTTGGATTTTTCCCAGGTGGATAATTTAAACGGTGAAATTATGGCTCTCCAAGAGAGGCTAAAAACCGCCCTGTCAAACAGAACGAAGGTAAAGATTCGCTTTTAATGCAGATAGCATGAGGAAGTGAATAATTTTTGGGTAGTAATTTGAGTTGAAATGCTAATGGCATAAATCTTCTGTAGATCTCTTTCATGAATGGCGGACTCAATTCCTATTTTATTACATAGAAGTAAATTAGCCTTTTTTCAGCCTTTACAGTACGTTTCAAAACGTGCCCGAAAGAAAGATAACCATGACCGCCACTAGGGAAGGGGTTTATGTCACTGCTTCGGGATTATTTGCTGCTAATAGCAAGGGCGTGTACCAAAAGTCTTGTTAACTCATCATAGCGGACTTCGGACTTGACGCCTTTCCGAGGTTTTCTTATATTGCCTGTTTCTTTCAGCTCGAAGCCAAAAAGAACACCTTGGAAAATGTACTCAACAACAATTTGAAAAGAAAACGAGAAGAGTTGAAACAGGTGCGGTGGATTGTCTTTTCTAGTGGCTACTGAGTTCTTTAATAAGAGAATTTCAGTGAAAGTTTAGTGTAAAAGAGTTGGTGGCAATGTATAGTGTTGTTATACTATTCCATTTCTGCCAAAATGTAGCCAAACTAGAGGGCATTCTCTGTTACAAGAGACAAAAAAAAATCAAACTTCCTTGAGAACTAGAAGGGTTTGGCTACAACCCCTTTTGGCCCCCTTCTATATCAGCGCTAGAGATTTATACTTAAGGAAAATGAAAATCGCCACTCATTATTTTGTTCTCCGGTTTGAATTCTTTTGCTTAGATTCGGAATGCGTTTATGATAAATTACTCAAAAGTTAGCCTGACATAATCAGTGCATTGTGACAGCGACGCTCCACGTAGATATGCGACGAGATATCACTTAATTTAAGGTTGTTAACTATAGTTTTCTCGGGTATTGGTCCTGCCGAAAAGGCCTCTGCGGGGAAGGAGCATGGGCTCATTTCCCGGACAGCGGTTGGTAATCGAGCCTACTTCAGTTTGGTAGTATTAAATAGTATTAATTATTAATTTTATCAACCCTGAGATGGAAATTGTGCATGGTGGTAAACTTGAATAACTTGCTTCGTTAATTTCCGCAGTCCCTCGAGGAAATCTCACTGGAGGACCGCAATTTACACCTGGAGACACTCAAGAGTGACTTACATACAGTGTTGGAGGTTATATCTCAAAGTTCAGCTCAACAAAAAGGTATAAAAAGTCCTTTCCAAGGTGCACAGGTGACCTTTGAATTCATTTCACTTCAAAGATCTTAGTAGGAATTCTCGTTACTGTCCAATTACACTCACAATTCTTATGGTCTTAGTTTAGAGAATTTGGTATTGGATCAACTAATCATCCCTTTGCTGGGGATTTTTCTCTTTTCTTATCTCTTTTCTGTTTGATATTGTATTTAATTCTTTAAGGAGAAATTCTGTCTCGGTCACTCATTGTAGTTAAGATCGTCGCTGACGACAACTAAGGTCCATTAGTTTTCAGTGTTGCGTGCTAGAGTGTGTAACTTTCTGTGACCAAAACGTGTTCATGTTCAGTTCGACCCCTAGCGTCATTGCTTAGAACAGTCCTGACAGTCGCATTTGTACGACCTTCTCTATGTAGAACTTGAAGAAGAAATAAGAAATCTCACCCATAGAAAGTCAGAGCTACAAACTTCGCTGGATGAATGGAAGGTACGGCAATTTAGTGTAATTTTTTGGTAGGAGGCGGGGAAAAGGTGTGATTTGATTTGCTCTTAATTGTAATTTTCACGGTTAACGATGAAGATAACTTGTGCCTTGCAAATGAGCTAACTCAACATGTACATCTTGACTTTCCCAGAGCGTTGAGAAGTTGAAAAGGGACGCTATCGATGATGATGCTAAACACATGGAGAAAATTGCTCACAAGAGGAGTTTGCTTATGAAGAAAGTAAGAATATTTGAGGCCAGTTTTTTAATTACTTTTAAAGATAATTAGATCTTTGAATTTAAAACTATTAGATGGGTAGTGTTTTTCGAGGGAGAAAGAACTACAGGAAGAGGTAATCATGCACAAAAAAGTGTGAATTGCAGCTTTATAATTGTTAATTGATAAATTTAATGCTGTACTTAGCGAGCTGGTGACGAGATTGGACAAACTTGGGAACTAGAGAGTTGCCATGAGATAACCATGATAGATTACCATAGGATAAGACCAAATTATTGAAATAAAATGACAAGGAAACTAGGTGCCTATTGTTAAAGGTTTGATTGTGATCTTACAGAAAGAAGATTGCACCAAAAAGATCCGTGAGCTAGGATCCCTTCCAGCGGATGCATTTGACAAGCACCAAAAAACTCCGGTTAAAGCGGTAAGTTGCAGTTGACAATAATTAAAGAGCTTAATTTAAATCTTTATGAAAGGAAGTATGGACGAAGATAAATTTTTGTCCGTCGGCGAGAGGCCTGTATAGGAAACAAAAACTCTTTGAAATCAAAATTGCTCTCGCAAGCGCACTAAGAGAAAAAAGTAATTACTATAGTTAACCCAAAAGTATATTTACGTGGCTTTAGCTCTGGTGCTTGAAAATAAAACTGCAAAATAAGCTCCCATTAGAAGTTTCAGCATTCCCCAACCGCAACAAATTTTGGTCCCGAAATACTCTAGACTTTTTTAAATTCAGAAAACAAAAATCTCGCCAAAGTCTCGTGCTACACGGCAATTTTATTTAAAATTTTTTTATTACCATTATTATTTTCCGTTTTTTCTCTAGTTGTGGAAGAAACTGCATCAGTGTAATGAGGAACTGAAGAAGTACAGCCATGTAAATAAGAAAGCGTTGGATCAGTTTGTTAACTTCTCTGAACAGAAGGAAAAGTTAATGAAACGAAAGGAAGAACTTGATAAAGGATACCAGGTACGCAATAACATTGCTACAATCTCGTTTACAATCGGATAAAGACTCTTTTATTTTGAACCATTTTTGTCCCTTCCGAGTTTGTTACCACTTATCTCCCTCCCTCCCAGGTCCCTGTTGAGTGTTCAGGGTCTTAACTGCCGGAACTCAGTTCGGTTTCTGAAACGTGATTGTTGATTCTCCTGCTGAACGGGATTTCAGTCCATAGCTGGGTACCCCTAACATTTCATCGAGTGTCCTTGACATCCAGATACCTTAAAGAGGGTCAGAAAGATCGTTAGACCTTTCTCGAAAACACATCACTCAAATCCTAATCACGGCTCGAGTCAGGACCTCTCGGTCTGGTTTCCAGCGCACTAACACCAATGAATCTTCCACTCCTAAAGGTCGTTATGTTTAGTCGTTGCATGCAGCTGTGGGTTTCGCATTTTATCTTTAAAACGCGTGAAAGAAGCATGACAGCAGTCCTTTTTGCGTCGTTTACTGGCAAATTTTGAGTTTTATATTTTACTTTTACTTTACCAGTCTATCGTGGACTTGATGGATGTTCTGGAGCTCCGTAAACACGAAGCAATTCTCTTCACGTTTAAACAGGTACCGTATTTCCTGAGCCTTAATTTGCGAATGACCCCTCCCCCCTTTCTCTCCCCACCTTTATCAAGGGAAAAACTAAATTTTGGAATTCATAAAACAACTTGGCATCCCTCCAAATGCTAGTAAGACGATGATGATTGTAGGATACTTTTATTTTCCTTTGTAAAATATAATTTGTCGGAAGTTGGGGTCAAAGACAGAAGGATCCTTCGAGATCTACAACAGAACTTCATCGAAAGTACCAAAAAGCTACACATTAGACGGTCACGTAATTGATAAAATTTTTAGAGTGGTTAACTCATTTTATAGGAACTAAAGACTATTATTGAACTTTGTGACTTCATGCTTATGTTTTATGTGTTTTACATAAACAGATGTCTCACAACTTTACTGAGGTTTTTAAACAGCTTGTTCCTCATGGGAAAGCTACTTTGGTGATGAAAACAGATCCGGTGGAACAAACGGTAAAGTTTGACGTTTTTCGTGTTTGGTGTATTAACGAAAAGACATGGTGGCAAGACAAAGCCGCCTGAAATCTGTTTGACTCTCGTGGTGACGTCCTTGCAATGTCCGCCCTTCACTTTTGCTTTGCTGTACTCATTCCCTTTGTTTGTTTTTCTGTTTTACACTTTGCTTTTCTTTTGATGTGTAAACATTTAATATAATCTCTTATCTTTCAGTATCTTTCGCCACCACCTCTCGAGTGGTAGTATATTGCCCTTGCGTCTATTCCCAAATGGATGTGAAAGTTTATTGGCAATGCAAAGTTACACAATTCAATTAAATGTAATTCGTACCTGACATCATTGTCAGTTAGAATAAGTAAAAAGGCAAAGAAGGAGAGACGTATATCGCAAGGTAACTGAATGACTCCGTAAATCGAATGGGACAATTGCTAGTTTCTTAATATAATTTTTTTTACTTGACTCCAGGAGGAGGAAGAAGACAGCGAGGCTTCTCAGTCACAGAGATCTGTGCCTCTTGTGGATCAGTTTACTGGAATAAGTATCAAGGTAAAGTGACCCGCTGTGTAAAATCATCTGAATGTGAACTTAACTTTCTTTTCTTTGACGTAGAACTTGTAGAATACCCATCGTCGGGAACTGTTTCCTTGTTCACAACCGCCGAGCAGTAGTTTGTACACAAAAATCTTCGACAAATTTTCAGTGATCCCAGTCAGAGTTTGACTCGAACCACTTCACACAACTCTGTAATAACCTTGTGATCCTGTCTCTCGCTAATCCTCTGACTCCCACGCAAGATTAACATGTAACCTTCCGCTAGTTCAATAGGCAAGTTACGAGAAAATACAAACTTATCAGCTTTAAAACTTTTTTCTTGATGTAACGCCAAATTCCCTCATTTTTGGGCAAGGAATATGTGCAAGCTCTAGGGGAGACTTCCCTAATTTGATATTTGGAGTCATAGAGTTACGGTATTGCCGCTCAAGTCTTCATAAACTCATCGGTGTCATTGGTGTGTTTGTAGGTGTCTTTTACCGGGAAATCCGCCGAAACTCGTGAGATGAATCAGCTATCCGGGGGACAGAAGTCTTTAGTAGCCTTAGCACTGATCTTCGCCATTCAAAAATGTGACCCGGCGCCTTTTTATTTATTCGATGAGATTGACCAGGCTCTGGATCCTCAGTTCAGAAAAGCTGTTGCAGGTACTTTTCAGGCTTTTGCTCTTTATTGTAGACCGAGACTAAAGATTGCTTTCTCACCTCCACTAATGGTCAGTTCTTTTGCCACAGCTGTCCCTTAAATAGACATACTGACAGGCAGACGGACAGACAGACTAACAGACAAACTATAGACAGACTGACTGACTGACTGACTGACAGTAAGACGAACAGAGACAGACGGACGGACAAACAGAAAGACGAATAGATGTAATTTATTTAAGCTGTAAAATTTTGTTACTGTGGGGTGGCAGTTAAGATATGTCTGTTTATGTCAAAACAAGAACTTTCCATCGGATTGTTTAGACGTTAGGGGTAGATTTGGAGAAGATACAAGCCTGTACAGCCTTTTCCTGAGGTTAGTTATGCCCAGAGAAGGCAGTTGATATGGTAGTGAGAAGTACACGTCAAATCGTGAGGGATAATAAATAGTCCCTCCCTCCTAATAAACAGAGTTTCTCGTATGGTTATCGTTATTTTAGTTACTCACAAGAGATTTTGGTTCTTTTGTCCAAAGAAATGCTCCGTAAATTGGCTGAGAAAGCTCAGTTTATCACTACCACATTCAGACCCGAGCTGTTGGAGTCCGCTGACAAGTTTTACGGCGTGAAATTCCGAAACAAAGTCAGTCATATCGACGCGATTACCGCTGAACAAGCCAAAGACTTTATCGAGGACGACGCACAGGAGAAGTAGATACAATTTCATGGTTCATAGTTGAGGGCAGTTCTTTGAAGAACACGCTCGATTTAGTGGACCAGCCCTCACAGATAGTTCACGCATTTTAAAAGTCATGCGTACACAAAACGAAATTGCTCTATCTAAAAGATAGGTGGACTTTCAGAAACTACCCTTCCAAGTAATGCCTTCCTCGTTACACTATTCAGAAGAGATTGCGCTATTATATTATAACAGAATTATTGGTTATAGTGCAAGGTTGTTGTTCATCTTGTCAATAAATGGGACTTTTCAACAACATTGTCTGTTTCCGTTTTCCAAAATTACCTTTTAGAAAGGCACCAGTCATTATTATCGCTTGGGGCGGGGGAGAGGGGGATGTGGGATTTTTTTGGGGATCATATGGTTTCAGGGAAAACGGAGGGAGAATATGTCGCCAACAGAGTGTCAAGGGGGGGACTTTAAAAAAATTGACCACCAATGAGCGGTGGGGGGGAGGGGGGTGTCATAAGATTATAACAGTACCTTAGGGAGGGATTTGGTAAATTTTATCGTGTCTTAACGAAATCTTCTGAACCCCCTTCCTCCCCCGTCCCTTAGCAGTCTCAATTTTAAAGAAAGTTATTTTCCTTCGAGGGAAGGATTGTGGGTCAAAGTACATCAAAATGGTTAATAGATGTGGGAAATCTGTTAAAATTCGAACGAAATGTGCTCACGCGGTTTTGTCATAACCATTAAATAGTTCAAGAGTGCGGTTTCCGCGAAATCAAAAATACTAACACAGGTGTTGTATAAGCATCTATGGATTACCTTTAACACCTATGGATCAATGTGAAGTTAAGGAAGCTTTTAACATTTACGGTTTAGAAAATTGATCTCACAAAAGATCTGCTTTGATCGGTTCTTGAACGTAAGGACACGACGAGAAAGTTATCTAAATTATAACGCCTCATATTCAACAATACATTCAAATATTTGAATGAATTTGCGACAGTCTCATCTGAAGATGTGCTAATTAATAAAACAAATAAAACAGAAAGAAAAAATAAAAGTTGATTTTCACTCGACCAAATGTGAATGAACGATAAATGCACAGAAACTAACTCTAATAGAGGTATTTTTGTAATTGTTATATTCATTGATTGACTAAGTGAAAGCGAAATCGTACGTAAAATATGCTGGTTAGCCAAATTTAGGAGAAGTGTCAGATTCAAATACATATTTCATTATGCGGTTTTCTTGTAACAAAGATGCTAAGCTAATATTGTCTTGCTAAGTTTCGTTTCTTACCCTAAAACAAAGAAATGTTATTGAAATGTTCTTATTTTTGTACGCGTTTTCAAAATGTTTTCAGTCGCGGTCTCTTTTCATTTCTTCTTCATGTCAACATGTTACTTATTCGAGGGTCAGCTAAAAAATTATGATATGACGCTACACATAATGTAGATGAGGGAAGAGTATTATTCACCAACCAACCAATCCGGTTGTCCGCAAGCCACCTGTTTAGGAAAAAATTTGCACTAAAGGTTCGTTCTTTATAACAATCAAAACGCTGCCAAAGAAATGCCGCTTTAACTCGACTAACCGTAAACCATCAAAAATTCCGGCTCCTGTCACGAAATTGTGCTCTGACTGTGCAAGGAAAAACCAAACCATGGCTGATATTTTGAAAAGGATTGGCGAAGATAAAGAAAAATCTACAGCTTTAGAAGACGCTTTTAAATCTTGTAGATATCCTGATTCATTGAGTATGACACTTCTGGCTGCCGATATTGGTATCACAGAAGAAGAAATAGAGGTACGCGATTTATTTGCTTTTTCTTAGGTTATTCTGCAAGGTATATCGCCTTAAACGAATCAGGCAGTAACTTTTAGCATAAAAAAATTTTTTGCTGAGATTTCGCTCCTGGCAAACCTTAAGAAAGCCATGTGAAGTTTTAAAGGAAATTAAATTTCGAGTCGTATATATTTTTTTTCGTCTGCCATTGAATTGCGCATATTTCGGGAAGCGATAGATTCAAATGAAACAAGAAATTTATGGTTTCGTGGCAACTCGTAGTCCAAACGTGAGAGGTAAATCGAGTGTTGTTTCTTGAGCTTGGACATTGCGAAATCATTGAAGTTAAACCAACAATTTTCATCAACCGATACTTACGGTGAGCTTCTTGAATGCATGATTTGCCACAAAATTCTCAAACAAATTGGGTTCCTTTTATAAAAGGCGCTGTAAAAAACAAAAGCTTTAAATTGCAAATAATTTTCTCGAAAATTTTTCGAATACGCGCTAATGTGCAAAAATAATAGAAACAAGCTGAAATCCAGCAATAGAAAATTTTGAAATTGTGCTAAAAATTGAAAGTGTATTGTATTTCGATATGGCGTTGAAATTATGGACTGAGAATTGTTTTTTATATACTTCTTTCTTCAAATTTTCTTATTTGCATTACAAAATATTAATTAAAATCATTTTCAATTAAACCGGCTGAGCAAAGATGTAATTAAAAATGGGCATCAAAGGTTTTTTCATATTTCGGTGTTTTCATTTATTACAATTTTCCTGTCAACAAAACACAGCAACTGAATTCTGTGGGTTTTTCTTTGTTCCAGAACTGGTTTGCAGCAAGATTGACAAAATGGAGGAAAGAGGAAGGATTTGTGCCTATCGCAGAGCGGGCGGCAATTTTAGCTCAGAGTATGAATAAAACTGGAAAGTAAGGCAGTCTTGATGGCATTCCGGAGGCAAGACTCTTTGAATGAAGGAAAAAGAATACATAGGCATACATTAACTTATCAAAGAGGCGGTGTTTGTGTCACTGTATTCGCAATGATGAAGCAGTATTTACTTTTTCGTAAAAAGAAGTTAATTTTTTAGGAATTTAGAAAACTCTAAATGACATGCAATTTTCAAGAAAATTGTAAGGGTGAAGGCGCGGGCGCCTTTAAGAATATTCCAGAGTTTTCTCGTCGTGCTGTATTCATAATTGGACGCAGACGAAACGCGTGAATATTAATTATTGTTTTACATGAAGATATAATGTTTACGTGGAATGAAGCCATCTGTTCGAAATTTGTATAATCTAGATTTACAGCAGCAGATCAAATGAATGAATGAACTGAAGATAAGTTATTAATCATCATGGCTGAAGTCAATAAAGACAGACTTGGTTGTCGGTATGGAATTATTACCCGCTCCTGTTTCATCTTGTGAGCCGGCCTCAAACCGTAGTTCAGATAAGCTTTCATTTAGCTTAATTATCTCAGTCTGTTTTATTCCACAACCGAGACAAGTATATTTCATTTTTCTCTGATTCACCTGCGTCACTCGCTTATTCTTTTGCGCAAATCAATGCACAGTAAACTGATTCACATCATCCTATCATGTGTACCTGCTTGAAATAGATTTAAGTTAAATGTATACGAAAGTAACCGAAATGCAAAACAAAAGGACTTTTCATTTGCATTAGCCTTGTAACGGCGCTAGGCTGGATTGGTTAGCTGTGAGACTTTAGTCCGTTCTGCTTTTAGAAAAAATCTTTTCTGGGGAGAGACAGGTAGTCAAATTAATGATCGTATGTTTTCCCTTATAAATTTATTTGAATGTTTTGTGTTTAAGCAATGAAAACGATTCGATTTTAACGGGTTATATTATACCAAGAACGGGGAAACAGGGAACAGGGAACAGGTAACAGGTAACAGGTAACAGGTAACAGGACAGGAAACTGGAAAGAAAAAACTCAAAACACAAAACACAAAACAGAAAACACAAAACAGGAGACAGGAAACAGAAAACAGAAAACAGGGAACAGAAAACAAGAAACGGAGAACGAGGAACGGGTAAAATACAGCGAAGAGCAGGGAACGGAGAACCGGAATCGAAAGTGCAGCGGAAATCCACATGACAATTTAAACTGGTGGACAACAACACGTTAAAGGCAGTCTGAGTACCAGTTTTAAGGAACTCAGTCGTCAAAGCAATTATCATGGACGATAAATAAAGATTTTATTAAGGGTTTTTTAGTTGATCTTTGACTTTCCTCTGATACAAATTGTAGGTGCCACAGATATCTGTTTCCAGTTGAATTAACATCCATTACTTCTACGCTCGAATATTGAAGGAAATGCATTTTCAGACTTTAAGATCATACTCATTATCACATCTATTTTGACTGAGGTAAAAAAACTTGAAAGGGAAACATACCTGCAGCATGACAAGATATACTTGCGCAAACATGAATAATGTACAGCCGCGACTCGTTCAGAATGTGATTTTACTTCAAACATAGACTGGAGACGGAAAGTGCGTTGACGAGAACAAAGCGCAAGGCTTAATGTATCTGGAGCTGAAAAAGTTCACTTGCCATCAGTTATTGAGCAACACGCTCAAACGTGTTTAGCAATGGGAGCAGAATTGATTTATCTGCATTACCTGAAGAACTTAAATTCTGTTTCTTTGCACGTAACATTTTTATGATGGCATTTTCAAAACATCGAGAATTACTGTAACCCATAATTTAAAGGAGCAAATGCACAGGAGCATCAGTTATCAATCTAATAAGTCTATGACACAAAAAGCAACAGGCTACTTATCTTTTCAGAAAATTACGACACCTTTAATTTGATGGATGCTGAACGTGAGGTCATTAGGGGTTCATTCAAGGATTAGCTCCTGATGATCGAAACCGAAATTTAATTAATATCGATTTCACTGTTATACTACCTGATCTCTGCATAAAAGTCAAAGCAGATCTAAAACAGGTGCTATAACTTGGTGACATCAACTATAAATCACCCAAAATAACAGGTAAATCAGCGTTTCATTCGCATGAAAAATCATCCGAATTTTTGTTTCAGGTATGTGAAAACGAACCCGAAAACAATACGAACCGTCGCATATTGTATCAGGGAAACGCCTTGTGAATGCGGACTGGAATATCGCACCATATAACCCGTCATACTAAATGAGATCACGTGATTATAAGTCTGGGTGAGTTTAATTTCAAAACTGATTTGGTTTACTTGAGCAACGTAGAACTCAATGCAAAGATGACCATGTCACGTTTGTACCTCTTGACTTCTTTGCCGCTTGGACATAACTTAAATAAATAGCTCAAAGGGCTACACAGTTTCGTCGATTCCTCTAAAAGATTTCAAAAGCCTGTTTCTAGAACAAGCAACCTTTAAACCTGGAATTTTATATCCGCTTTCAGGGTCACAACTGAAGATTTACCTCTAGGTATCTCATTAACTTGTCAACTCATCATATGATGAATTTGCATTGCATTATTTTACATGATACAAAACACACGTTAACAGTAATTTGAAGATGGCCTCAGCGGCAGTGGTTATGATTTCTTAGAGCCGTTTTTAGAAAATATAAAGGAAAGGCAATACCGGGACTGTATTTCCTTGGAAATAAGCACCCACCCTAGAAAATGCACCGACTCCTAGACACCTCCTCCCTGACTTTCTTAAATAGTAGGAATGCAAGGAAAATCTGTCTCTATTGCCGCTTTGCATAAAACCTTTTTAAGCCTCAACTAGATCAAAATCAGTACAGGGGATTAATAGGCGTCTCCCTCCCCTCGACTAAGCGCCTTCCTTCCATGAAGCGCTTCTCCATTAAGCCAAAATTTTGAATAAGCTCCCAGGTACTTATTCGATGAAATATAGTAACCACATAATCGAAACCTTGTTTAGATGTTATGGTAATCTTGAACTGATCCCTCGTAGCTTTTTTATTAGGTATGCAAAAGGGAGTTTATTTTGGTATGCAGAGTGTTAGGGATACGCTTGTTACTGAAGGCATTCATGCGCTTTCATCACCTTTTCTATCGTCGTTGTATATTTTATAGTTATAGCCTTTGACTTTAAAATATGAGGCGTTCAATAAACATGAATTTATGTCTCTTTAATGGGTACCAAAGTGTTAAGTTATATCTAAATCGCATTTGCTTCTTTTTCGGCTTCATTGTGGCTTAAATAACCTCAAAACTATTACAAAACTATTACGAAGAGCAAAACTATCACAAAGAGCCTGACGTTCATGGCAAAAAATTACGTTTACGTAAAAAGACGTGAGTCTCGAGAAATTGTCATGGACAGAACGAGAAGTGATTTAGAACAGTTTAAATTCATATTTCTGATGCTGGTCGAATCACATTCCCGGAGTCTTTAAGCCACCTCATAATTTACTTGCAGAGCGGACAAGCAGTTTGCTTGAAAATTTCAAACAGGTCTTATCCAAAAAAATTTGCACACTGATATCATCTAAAGATTGAAAATAATTTCTGAACGACAAGGGGACAACAAATATCATTATGAGTTCGTTTCCAATGGGCAACTTTTAATTATCGCGGATGTAAGTTCGCTTGTCAATTTGAATCTACCCGTAGCAAGAGATTTAGGTTGAAAGGATGCACAAAAAGGGTCCTAATTTTGCGTTTTTCAGTTTACGTGTTCCAGCTTGTCTCCCTATCCCATCTGTTGATTTAGTTCGAGGTCAAATACGTAAACGGATATGATGTTTTTTAAAGTTAGATTATAAATCAAGTTAAGACATGTTGCTTGTTCACTGACCCTCATTTAAAAGGTTGCGTCCATGTGTAAAATTACGCGATTTGATTCCATTTCTCGGAAATTGCAAAAAAAAAAAGAACATTTAATTTGATAGATGAAAGAATTCAGTAGTGTATAGAGAAACTTTAAATGCCGCCTCGTCGAGGATGCTGCTTACAGCTTGTATCAGTTTCCATGTGCTTTTTAATTTCTGATTAACGAAGAGAAAATTGCCGATCAGTCAAACCGAAACAGACGCCCACTCCAATAAGATTGATACCTGTCATTCAATGTTTAGAAGCACATTTGCCTTATAGCAACTTTTCTTTCCTTTCTGTGACAGTGTTCGTTTCTAAATGGTCGTGTTCACTTCAAAATTTGAGAGCGATGATGTTTTTTAGGAACAAAGGCGTGTTTCTTCTGAGTTGGCTCTGCTTTTACTTACCGAGCGTGCAAGGTATTTTTCTGCGTTCAGTTTCTCTACTTTAGCGATGTATTTCAATCTCTTTATTTGCTTTTAACAATCGCTAATTTTCCCGAGTCACCTTCAGTGTTATTTATTGTTAGAAAAAAAATTACACTTCTGCTTAGTGAGCTAAAAAATGGGTAAACAGAATGTGCGTCTTTAAGACCATAATTAAGATTGATATAATGAAGAGATGGTTTCCTTTTTTTCCATAAATCAACTTATTTTTGGGGAAAGATGAAAAAATGCGTTCATCCGGGATGCGCGTGGTTCCACCTTTCATTTTCTCTCTTCTCGGTATGTTCAAATTTCAATCAGAGTAGAAAATCCCTGCAGTTCACGGGTAGTATGTCGGGTCTTACTGCCTCTCTTAAAATATTCGAAGTCAACTTGTAGCTTTGACTTAACGAAGGTGTATTATGGAATGACCAAGTGCCTGGTCATGAGTCTGAGGTGTGGGGAAAAAAAATGTCTCCCCAACTATGGACCGAACTTAGTTTGATAAAAAAGTCTGGAATATTTCTCTTACTCAAATTATCAACAAATTTTTTTTCTTGTAAATTCCGTATGGTCGCACGACTAAATTATGCAGTTTGATCGGCTCACGCGAAATAAACTTTGGTTTACACACTTTTTGCATGTGTTACACCGGGAATAATAGATATTCCAGTGGAATTCTCGCCATAATGAGTAAATTCAAGTTTGCGAAAGAAAGATACAACCCCAGCCAAGTAAACTTTATTTGCACATCGCCAGAAAGTTTCGTTTTATGCTTCGTTATCCATCTTATGAACATACGAGATTTTATACACGGTATACATCAACTTTTAGTACCAATTGAATTTTGTAGTAATGAAAATTTAGGCACTGGAAGTCATTCACTGCCGAAATAATTGGCTATACTCCACTCTGCTTTTAACTGTAAGATGACACTTCAATTTCAAAGACCAGATGAACTTAATTAGATCAACGCAAAAACTTGGCATTTATTCCATCGATTCTTACTTAAAAAAAGTGAGGAGACTCACCTTTTCGGCTTATTCACCTACAGCAAGGGAAAAACGTAACCACTTATTAATCATTTTGGTCAAACACACATAGCAATTTGATCAAGGAACGCGTTAAATTTATAAACAGCCTCGCGCGTGGTTCGGCTTTCGACATCTAACACTCCTCGTGTCTTATTTATCTGTATGTAATGAATGGTTGACTTTTTTCCATAACCTTTCGTGGTCGTCGCCTTGATAGCTGTTATATATCAATATCTTTTGAGGCCTCTGTATGAAAAATTCCAGGCCACCTACGCACACTCAGAAGGGCGTGTCCCACACACGAAGGGTATCATTATTGACGACCCTTGCTGTTGGTTAAAGGCACGGTTTGTTCACTTCGTTTCTCTCTTTTTCGATTCCTAATGTTTTTGCTCTCATTTGGACCTATTTGCATTGTGACTTATGAGTTTGATCATTTCAGTTTACCCAGATTCAGCTCAAGCTTTTGATGTGAGACAATTTTAGCAATTATAAAGTATTGTGCATGCTTTCCGTGTCGTTATCTAGAATGGCTGACTCCTTCCAAACCCTCGTTTCTAGTGATCCACTACATCTACAAATTGATATGGTTTGACATTCAATAAATTCCACACTTTGTGTCCTAGAAAGGGGAATCATGGGTTACTTCTCCATTCTTCAAGCAAAATGGTTAATGAGCGAATAAACGGGTACTGTGAATTTCCGGTGATGGGCCAGAATTATAGGGAAAAAATGGTATATTACTTTGTTCCAATGATGACGGCTAACAGACCTAAGCAATAAATATTTGGAAAAAATACGAATAATTTATCAAAAAGAACGGCGGGGTTGTACGGGTGATTTTTTTCCTGTCTCGTAAAATGAGACAAAATTTGAGACATGCAATTTTATCGTAAACTGACTTGACCTCTTTCTTGGTATCTTGATATTCCGTATCATTAGTATCCGCTTACTATTCAATTCTGCAATAGACAAACAGCCACTGGAAAATCCCTACAAAACCTTGAAGAAATATTCAATAAATTCCACTGTAATCCTCGCGTTGCCGAGGAGTTATAAGTCAATTGCATCAGAAAGTTTTTAAATTTTATTCTTAGGAGTTGAGACAGGAAAACTTGCCATCAATCAGGAAGGAAGTTGCGGAGGCCATTGTCAGACAGTGACATTTAGCAGCCGTTTCTCCGGTGGAGCTCCGTATGTGTTCGCTTCTCTTAACCATGGAAACATCTCATCTATTGTCCACGATATTGCATTTGTTTGGGTTGAAGATGTCACTGCAGCTGATTTCAAAGCCTGTCTGGTGCAAGGAGGATTTAGCTCCAGAGGGAACACCACTATCGATTGGCTCGCGTTCCACGGTTCACAATCGGGAGTTTATCATGGAAAAGTCAGCTTCGGCCTGTTTACCACTGGAACAAAATGTGAACAAGTCACATTTCCTCAGGTAATGTATGAATGGAGTCTACTTCGGTTGATAAGTCTCGCCATGATGTTCACAAATTCATCAAGAGTATTAAAAAGTCTTCAGCTAATATGTAGTCTCCTTCGCAGCCGTTTGATGCGAGACATCACCACGATCAGAAGGCAACCACTTCCCTAGAAATTTTTGATAAGTGCGATGATAACCCTTTATTTTGCTGAGGTAGAAAGCTCGTCTAACCATATTAGAAGGTACCACAGAAATGAAATATGGCTGATAGATGGAGTTTTGCATATCAGGTCTTCTCACAGCTGCCTAAAGTGCAAGTAACTGTCAAACACACTGCTTCAAACCAATCCCAGGACGCCATGAGTGTTTGGATTGAAAGCCTCTCCAGAAGTCAGTTTGAAGTTTGTCTGAGGGAATCAAGGACGTTTGATGGACCTCATCGCAATCTTGTGGTGGTATGTGGGACCAGTTCGATGTTCGATATAAATCCAATAAAACTCACGTCAAGCATGTTGTAGCAGACAGGTTCAATCGAAAGTTAAATAAACTTTCTTCTCGTTCCAATAAAAGTTTTAGAAAATATTTCACCCTTTCAAATAATACTTTTTGAGCTTCGAACATTTGGTGTGGTTAGTTTACCTATACCCAAGGAAATTAAAATCAATGCCACAGCCAGACCATCAACATTGGCTATGTTTCACTACTCTGTTTTTATTATACTTGGAAGAGCATTTGTTGCGCCTGTCCAATTTCAGACCATTTCATGACATTCTTAACGCCTGAAATATCCGGGTTAAGCGAAGTTAACTTCGGCTAACTAACTACTATTTCATTTATTATTAACCAGTTTTAAAAACTAATAAACATTCATACGGATAAAATTGTGAGTGACGAGCTGGTTTGGTCATCAAGAAGTGAGTCACTTGTTAATTTTGAGCAAGGAAGAAAACAGATTGTAAAATTATTTTGTCAACGTCTTTATTTCAACTGAATCCTAGAACTGGATGGCATATGTGAATCATCCATCTTCGTGGGGAGCAGAAGAGTCTTCGGAAGTTGTGTTTTCTGAATATGAGACACCAAATTCAAGAAACAGTCATGCCCTATGCGAGGTATGTGCAGATAAGAGATGGCACTGCGTGCATTCATGTCTTCCCAGTAATATAGCGCCATTATCTTTAGTCTGTCAGGTACGTTTTGATCATCAGATCTGCATTTCTTCCACTGAATTGATTTTTTTTTTCAAATTTATTGCAGAACATCAACTTCACAAACCCATTTTACAAGCCACCAGTTGTTCTCACAACTGTACTCAATGGACGCAACAACCCTGTTAACGTTGGAAGTCAAGCAAAAGGTCCCTTAGTCAGTTGGCTGGAGGTATATCAACTGATAGTACACTTTCTTTATTGCTATGGTTGTAGAGGTTATGCAAAAAAATTAATGTTAACTTTACAGAGAGAAGAAGGCTGCATTTAACCCTTGATAAGTTTTATTTTCATCATTGACAAATGAAATTGAATGACTCCTCCAGCCATCCATTTATTCGTCTGCCCATCCATCATTTCATTCCCTCTACATTTATGCATGCATACATCCATGCGTGCGTGCTTACATGCATACATACACTCATGCATATACACCCATGTTTGTATGAAGGTATGGATGTATGCTTGTATACATGAATGAATGTATGCATGTATGCATGAAAGCATACATGAATGCATACATGCATGCATACATGCATGCATACATGCATCCAAGCATACATGAATGCATACATGCATCCATGTATCCATATGCATCCATCAACCTGTCAGTCTAGTTAAATAAGATATGGTGGCATGTATATGTCGCTCACTTATCACTTTCATACAATCTATAATGCAAGATGTATTTTTAAACTAGGTTGGTTAATTTCGAGTTCTGTCTTGGAGTAAAGGAGAGTGTTAACCACTTAATACGATTATTGACTGAATGAAGGAATTTTTATGAGAAGATCTTACCTTGTGCGACCTTTTTGTTTGATAGGAAGTAACCAAGTCTTACTTTCGAGTTTGTATTAAGGATGACGCAGGCTATGGTGGTCAGAGGGAAAATATCAATGTAAACTATTTAGTCATAGGAGGTAATTAACGTATAAAATCAACCATTTCTGTGTTTTTCTGTGTTTTCTTCTTCTTGTTGGTTTTCCAATATAGCTTTCTTTAATAACAGCGTTAAATGCTTGCTCTCTGCAGACCTCGAGCCCTGTAGGAATGTAAGCTGTGAATATCACAGTCATTGCGTTACCTTGGGTCCCCAGCAGGTCACATGTCGCTGTGAAAGTAGCTGCCCATCATTCGAAGAACAAGTCTGTGCCTCCAACGGCCGTACTTTCAGAAATCTCTGCTTACTGGAGAAAGAAATTTGTACAGCAAGAGGAAACTACTCTTATTATCATCCGGGAAGTTGCACAGGTATCAGAAGTATGATCCTAATTAGTTAACCGTGAGGTTGAAGGAAGAGGAAGACAGATTTTGACTGAATTTAACAGGAAAGGTAACTCAAGCCAGAGCGTCACTAAACAGACACACGTAGATATAGAACATAATTTTATGAAACTGATTTTTGATAAATTCAGTCCTTTTTTGGGCGGTAACCTGATGGAAGCTTCCTCTTGGTCTCCTGGTTGCTTCACAGGAACTTTGTTAGTACTCTGATTGATGATGAGAATCGAGCAACCACTGTGCATGTAGCATTTATTTCATTGTATTAACTCATAATGAAAATACTTATCGACCAAAGAGTGCAAGAGAATTTCTACATTTGTAACAATAACTTCGTCCTCTCACAGTACCATTTACTAGGCGGATTTGGCATGGATTAAATTGTTTCTGCTCATTTTCAGGTTTTCCACTTCAGAAAGGAAGACATAAGTTTCGGAACGTCCCTTCCTGGGCAGAAGATCAGTGTGAATCCATAACCTTCGCTCCTTTCATATTTTATCCTCACAAGAAAATCTACGTTCAACTTACTGTAAATCACTTTAATTATTCTGATCCCGCCATCGTGCATGAGGCCACTGCACCCTGGGTTGAGAGTGTTAACATCACGCAGTTCACAGCCTGTGTCACTCGAGCTGGTAGAAATGATTACCCCTCTGATAGCTTTGCCGATGTTGATTGGGTCGCATATCAGGGTGCTCCCTCTGGGGGTGTGGCTGGCGAAGAAAAGTTCTCCAGATGGTGGACTGGAACTAATTGTCAAACAATTACCCTTCCAAGCGTATGTTAACTGTTGTAATAATGGATTGTAAAGAGGGGGATACTCCTTTTTTTGGCCTGAATAGGTGTACCGCGTATTATAGGAGTCCTTTTTGGATTGGAACCCAAGCTTGATGGTTCTGGTGTACTCTTGTGTTTAGAAGAATTGTTTTATTTCATCGTAATTCTAAACATTCTTTCAGGACATTGCCTCCTAAATGGTCGATATGCTCTGGTTTGATTGTTTTCATCAGAATAGCGAAAATATGGATTTATTTTCCTTAACAGGTTTACGTGTTCAGAGTCTGACAGGTTCGGGGTGTACTCCCAAACGCGCTCCAAAGAGGGGGAAGGGGGGGGGAGGGAGGCTCCTGCGTCTCACAGGTCGGCCTCCAATTGGTATAAATCAACGCAAGATCACATTTATCATCTTATCTGGAGAATTCGTTCTACTTGAATATACACCTTACATCCCCGTCGAATTATTTTTTTCAGGGAAAGTTCTCCGCCTCGCCAACAGTAATTGTAACTGCTGAACACTACAGGTCAGGTTTAAAACATGACGCTACCAGCGTGTGGCTGGAAGATGTCTCAGCGAGTTCGTTTAAGATTTGTCTACGAGAGTTTCAAAACTTTGCAGGGGTTCATGATGACATCTCTGTGGTAAGCATTGAAATATAGGAGCAGGAAACTACAGGATATATCTTTTTATTTTTTTATTTGTTTTGCTTTTGTTTTGTTTTGTTTTGCTTTGTATTTTTTTTACTTTTCAGCACTATATTTCGGCTGGGCAAACCAGCCCTATTAAGGTATGAGTAGAATTATCGTGGAGTGGTAGTTTTTATGAAGCGATTTGTGTAACATCAAACATACGAATAACTAGGTTTATAAGGTAAGGTTTAATATAGTTTAGTCCAAACAGTTGAATAAGCCAATTGTTCGCGTTTTTGGAGATGCTCAGAATTTATTTGCCATTCAAGAAAGAAAAAGAAAGCGTCTTCAAGCTGACAGATTGAGTCTCTGTTACGAAAGTATTTTTCGGTGGGAATAAAAACTTTTCCTCAGCAGAATGAACACGGCAGGAAAGAAGAATCCTGCGAAGAATTTTGCATTTGCATTTCAACAATAAAACTCACATATCAGGCAGTTTGATTCTTTCCACGCTAAGTTCTCATTTTTCCTTTTCCCCGACCGGCCCTTTTGACTCATTTCAATGCTCGAATGGAACTCAATTTACCGTGAAAAAAACTGATAATTTTTCTCTCTTTTTTGTACCTTCCTACAGAACTGGCTGGCGTTTGATTCTCTTCAGAGACCGCTCTTTAGGGAACACAATGATGTCAGCTTTCAAAACAACGCTTCACCTGTTAAGAATCATAACTTTGCCTTCTGTAAGGTAATTTGAAGTTTCAATGGGGTACATAACAAGGCGAAGTCTAACCTGTGCTAGGCTTTCGCTTAGCGGAGACAAGTGAAAAGCGAGAGAGCGGAAAACGGAGGGAACACTGGAAAGCAAAATGGGGTTACTCTTAACAATCACCGATTCGTTTGTCTTCATTCGCTATGGGTAGAAATGGTTGATATAACTGAGAACCCTGTTTCCATCCTCCAATTTTTCTCTGTTAGCTAATGAAAAGACGATACAGTGAACAAATTGATTTTTCTTACGTTAATATTGACCATAAGGTTTTACGAGTTACTGACGTCTGAATCTAAACACACTTGCTCACCTTTGATTTTCTCGACCATAGAATGTGAGCTTCATTGGTAGTTACAGCAAATCCCCAACCGTGCTTTTGACAGCTAAGCATTCTACTTCTGGAGGAAATACTGCTGCAGAATGCAATGGTATAGTGAGCTGGATCGAGGTAATTTGAAACTGTGTAAGAATGAAAAGATACAATTGAACAGAGCACACAGAAACTGTTACTTTTTAATCATACAGAGGAACGATCGGACGAGAATAACATGTCATTTCGTGCCATTTTAATGCCGCAACTGACTTAGCTATACGTATTGCTGAATTAATCCAGGATATTGCAGTAAAAGACAAGGAGAGCTCCATGTGCAGATACCTATAAAATGATAAAATGACGAATTTTCAAGCAGTTCTGTCGTCTCTCTTGTAAGTATTGTAATTATTTAAGATGTATTTATATCCTTTGATTTTTGTTTTCACCAGTACATCTCCACCTCTGGCTTTAGAATATGTGTCAAGGAAGTCTTTGTCAAACGCTTTGATCCACTCACTGTATCATATGCAGTATTAGCAGGTAATCTTGTCAGGTGTTTTTATTTTAATCAGGGGGTGCGTTTCCGGTCGCATTTCTTGCGACACCTATTTTCTTTACCACCCCTCTTCCCTTCTCATCGCTTTGTAAGATTTTATAAACACTGCCTGGCGATGAAGAACAAGGTAGAAATGGAAATTATGTAAACTTTTGTGAATTGGTGTTTTGTAAATGGTATCCTAAATGACTGTGTTTTGGAGCGTGAGTTAGAGGTTTGCACCATAAGTTTACGATCAGCATTAGGTTTTAACTTTGAACGAACAAGGAAACAAGCAAGCCAAGGAAAACAAACAAATTAGTACCTAAACAAACAAACAAACAAACAAACAGAAAGAAAAGAAACAGAAACAATTTTACTTGAGTAAACAATACAAATCATACTGGAACAAAAAGCATGTCCATTATAATGTTTTCTTATAGAAAATGTGATTGAAATAAATACGTTTAACCTTTCCTCAAAAGACATATGTCAGGAAGAATGGGCCTATTATAAGGGATACTGCTACAGAAGAATTTCTTCCTGTGATTCCTGGGGTGGCAGCCAGGCAGCATGCGCCACTCTTGGGGCTAATCTTCCCAGCATACACAGTCAGGAAGAAAATGTATACATACAGAGTCTCCATGGCGGCGACCACTCTTGGCTCGGCCTTTCTGACAGGAACACCGAAGGTACATTCGTGTGGAGTGATGGATCACAGTTTGATTTCCATTACTGGGCGAGCCATCAACCAAACAATTTTCATGATGAGGACTGCGTCCATACTCTTGGTTTCCTTGCAAATCATAAGTATAAATGGAACGATGTCAATTGCACAGACTGTCATAAATTCACTTGCAAGAAAGGTACGTCTTCCGGATGATGGTAAAATTGTTTTTACTCGGAGCAAAGTTCTGTGAGAAAAATAGGAACACGTATACTTTCCTGGATTTTATAACGCACGGGTTTCAATACCTTTTCCCATACGCGGCTTCCGATGGTGTAATAGGCGGCTGCTCCCGGAGAAGGGGCCTTACGATCTCTTTCCCCCTAGGGTAGTCCAGGGGCATGCTCTTCAATGCTCTTCAAGGAAAAAAATTGAAATCTAGAAGCTCGGAATGTAATTCCAATATTCTTGGCCATCTGACTTTTACCAAAAAAAAGAAAAGTGCTAACTTTATATTTAATAATAATTATTTTTTCAAAACATCCTGGTGTTGCTAAACAGGTTTATAAGTGATGTAACTAATTTTAGATAGCCCAACCGAACTAACAGGGCTTTACGTTCTTTTTAAACTAGCTATACTAAAATGTGATGTCCCTGTTTAAATATTGATTAAATGATTAAATGGTCTAAGACAGTGTTTTATATCTAGTATTTTCGTTATGAACTCAGCCAGGTTTTGTCGTGTATTAGCTAGAATAAAGAGACTGGTTGTTTTCCTCCGTCAAGTAATCAATTTTAGTGAAATTAAAGTGATTTATAGACCTTGTGGTTTGATAAGTAGATGAAATAACAAGTTTAACTATTCTCATCTAGCTCTTTTATTTATCATTTCAGCCTTTTATGTTTACAAGGAAACATTTGGCTATATGTTCTTCCCTTTGATTTTAGAATTAAACCAAATGTTTTGCTTGTATTGTAAATAGGCAGCGCGTAGTGTTATGACATCAAATTCAAATCTTTTGTTGAACAGACGTTGACGAGTGTAGCTCTGGTTCATATTCATGTCATGCTCAAAGCCAATGTGTGAATGTTCCTGGTTCGTACAACTGCACCTGTTTGCCAGGATACGTAGAGGATGGAAAGGCGAAATGTGAAGGTAAAATTATCCGCAATAGTGGTAGTTGGTTGGCTCGTCCTTTCTCACTTCAGGGCGTGAAGCCTCAAGCTTATTTTTCTCAAGAGCTTCACATGGTTTATATCTAATCTGTTCTAAGGACTAACAGGTAATTCAGTTTCGCTCGTTGTGGGCTACTGGGTGTGAAATTAAAACCATTTCTCCAAGACCTAAGTTCGTTTAACCCCGAAGATTATAACTTGTGACAGTCATATCTTAATCACCTTGACCGAAGAATATGCTAAAATTTCTCGAAGTATATAGCAGCAAACTTAGGTGATAAATCACTCGGCCATTAACATTTTACCTTGAATTTCTCTTTTGCTTATTTCCAGTTGAACTTTCAAGGTTTAATGGTTTGGGTTTGTGGTAACTTATTATTTCTAGACACGGAAATACTCTACCTCAAAGTCTACACCCTTCGTCTCGTTCCATTCTCATGCTATGCCTCCGAGCGGGAAGGCTAAATGCTGTGCTCAGCCCGTGTGTCATGTCTCGAGCCAAATATTTTCCCATCCGGCCTCAACTGACTGAGTCAATTTACTTCATTTGGCTGTTCCTTTTGCGTTTGTTACTCTGTATTACCTCGCGTTGGACTGGGCGGCTTTTTTTGGCCCAGCTCGAGCGATCACTTGCGGACCTCATATCTCACGCACGCTGGGATTTTTACCATCATGCTTTTCAATAATGGCGCTTGTGAGGCCGTACTTGGTCCATGATAAGATTTCTTTTTCACCTCTTTAAGCCCTATCTTACTTATATTTTCCTATTTTCCGACAGCTCCACGCCTGACAGCAACAAGCTCTTGCGTGTTATCAACCTCAACAAATACATCTGGATACATCAGAATAACTCAAGGTGCCTCGCAATATAGCAACAATATGGATTGTCGATGGAATTTTTCTTCCAATGCAGTAATAGAACTTGTCTTCTTCAGTTTTCGTACTGAATCGTCTGCAGATTTCGTGTCTGTGTACGATGGTGGGTCGCTGTCGTCGCCTCTGATTAGAAAAATGAGTGGATCTTCTCTCCCGCCACCTATCACGAGTTCTTCTGTTAATCTTTACGTAAAGTTTTCGTCTGATGGCGCAAATACGTACGACGGTTTTGAAGCCACATATCGAGGTAAACCTTAACACAAGGTGGTTCAAGATTATAATTAAAAAACTAGCCCGTTCCAGGCGTTCAGTTAGTAAAATTAAGAGCAATAGTAAACGGCGTGAAAAATACGAGGGGGTTTGGGTCAGGTCGCATAACCCGGCCCAAGCCTCCCTCGTTTTTTCACTCCTCCGCTACTGTCACGCCGTTTATCATCGTAGTTTTACCAACTGAACGCCTGGAAAAAGCTTTTCAAACAGTAGGTCTTTGATGGATCGTAGCACAATTATTTTTCAATTAAATGTTCAGGTATGTTTCACCACTTTGAGACGAGGCTTTGACGTATGACGCTACCATAGCAACACGATTTACTCTCAGAAACACCCTTAGTTTTAAGCCTTATGTGCGTGTTACTCGATAAACAAGTTCTGTGAGTGCTAATAGATTTTTTAGGGAAAAAAAGTTAAGAAAAAAGGTTAGTCACACCATTAACTATTCAGAACCACCTACTGATTTATATAATGTAAGGTGGCTCTAGGCTGTAGAGCTGAATTTACCTACATCTAAAGTCATCCAATAAACGGTTACTTCATCTTATAGAAGAACAACGTCAGTTACCTTAAGTAATTTATGAACTTTGTACTTATTATTTCACTTCTGTTATCAGTTCTTACCGCTGGATCCTTACGTATAAGTGGAAATACTGCCGTTGGAAGGGTTGAAGTCTACTATGGTGGGCGTTGGGGGACAATTTGTGACGATGCGTGGGATATCAGTGATGCTAACGTAGTGTGTAGGCAGCTTGGCTACGCACGAGCGAAGCGAGCCTACAGTGGCGCCACCCACGGCCAAGGTACTGGTCCAATTTGGATGGACGACCTGGCGTGCTCAGGCAGTGAGTCTCATGTATATGACTGTAGACATCGTGGATGGGGAGACCATGATTGCACACACAGTAGTGACGTCAGTGTGGAGTGTTCGTCAATCCGTTTGGTGAATGGTGGCGCTAATTATGGCCGCGTGGAGGTTTATCACAGTGGGGAGTGGGGCACAGTGTGTGATGATAACTGGGATATGAATGATGCTAATGTGGTGTGCCGTGAGCTTGGGTTTCCCAGTGCATCATCAGCTCCTCATAGCGCGCGATACGGTCAGGGATCTGACCCCACCTGGATGGATAACGTAAACTGTCATGGAGGAGAAGCTACTATATTGAACTGTCCACATAGAGGCTGGGGAATCGAAAATTGTATTCATGATGAGGATGCCAGCGTAATATGTAACACTTAGAAAACGCTGAAAATATTTTGCGAGTTTTCACTATCTCTATGCGCTGAAACCAGATACATTATTATACTATGTAGAAGAGAAATATCACTTCTGAATGAGTAAAACATAGATTAAGAGTTAAAAATCAGAAGCTGTCTGCAAGTAGGAAGGGACAACATTTTCTTTGAATCGCAAATACTTTTGACTTAAATCTAAATTTTGGGTCCCAATTTCTTGAGTAAATTTTAAGTTAGAAACAAAGAGAACTTAACGTATTTGATTGTTTTCCTGAGGCTGAACATCCTTATGTTGATCAACAATCTGGTACGCTTTGAAAATAGCAACCTCATTATGTAAGCTTTCATGTCAATGTTTCCTTGTTATAAATTTTGTAAACATTAAAAATAATGATTTGTACAAGTTCTCAAGAATAATGCTTATGTTTTAATGGTAAATAAAATACTAGATATGGCAAAGTGGCACAAAGCCTTTTTTAAAGTTGATAACAGCTTTCTATCTTTTTTCAATTATCTCAGCGGTCTCTCCCTACTGCGTATGAAATGAACACCAGTGTGCGTTCGCCTTCCTTCTTGTCCCTTGTCCCTGTAACAGTGTTATGGTAGTAATGACAGTATTTATGTAGTTTTTCATATGTGTTTTACCTTGCTGTGATAGTTACTTGTGATGTGTCTCAGTTTTCACCCTTCCTGAGGGGACGAGGGGACGAGGGGACGAGGGGACGAGGGGACGAGGGGACGAGGGGACGAGGGGACGAGGGGACGAGGGGACGAGGCAACAACTGATGTCTACCCCTAAATAGTACCAATTTAAACACAAAAAATTGAAAAAACCTAAAAATAAAAATTGATTTTCGACATTTTAGAGGGCGTAAGTTCATTAAAATGTTCGGATGGGATGCTTTTTAGGGTATTTTATTGAGGAAAGTAAATCCAAAAAATTTTAGAGAGCTCCTCTGGTAGTCCAAGAAAGTTTGAGACATCTCTAAAATTGTGAGATCACCATAATATAATGTCCCCTGAAATGTAAGAAGAAAGCATCTTTGACCATCAGATATTGTTTCATATTCAAATAATTTCACCTGCTATCAGGTGGCGAGATGGATGAACTCGTTCTTGAACAAAACTCATTCTTAAATTATGTTAAAGGCCCGTAAGAGTTTTTATTCCCAGAGCATCACGCGTTGCTCTCCCGCCCGAACACTATAAATTTCAATATGCGCTGCTACTGAAACAACGATTACCGTATTTCTTCAACTATAAGCCAAGCGATTTTTCAGTAATTGACCCAAAAGTTTGGGAGATTTTTTCACAAGAAACGGGCTTTAGCTTATAGCCGAGGGTTTGGAATTCAAAAACAAGTACAAATTTAGTGTTCATGCGAAATGACCGTAAATTCCGTGACTGCAGCGCTCTTTACGTGACGTGCTGGAAAATTGACAGGCAGTCTTGCAGGCATCTTAAGCTTGCCAGAAAGAATAGTCGCCTGGTCTCGTCTCCAGCGTCGCACCATGGACTCGCTAAGTCCATAATCTCAAGCGACCTCCGAGCTGTTTTCTACAGCTTTAGCCTCCGCGAGAACTTTTATCCTGAAAGCCATAGTATACGAAGAGCGGCGTGCTTTTGGCATGATAAGAAAAATAACAGTGACGATAGAGATTCTCGGTTGAAACGTTAGTCAGGTTACAGTAACTGAGAGTAATATTTTAGAAAGTAATACCCAAGCGTAATCTAATAACCGAAACGGCTTACTGGTCTTATAAAATCATAAATAATTAAGGTAAGAGTGTTATAGTGGTAAGTTTAGATGATAAAACAAAGGATTATGTTGACAGGAATATCAGAGGTCAAGTAAATTCGTTACACGAGGTCACACAACTCAGGCTATATTCACGATGAAAATTTGCTTATTTAAGCGGTCGAACGAAAAAAATCAATTCTCGAAAACCAAAATATATTTTGACCAAAAAACTACACCACAATTATTAGGACATATTGGGCTACAAAATATGAAAGTAGGAGAGAAAGCGAATTTTGGAGACTTGCCGCTGTTTGTCTGATGCATGTTGACATTAGCTCTTAAATAGCTCAGTGGGTTACACAGTTTCGTCGATTCCTCTAAAAAATTTCAATAGCCTGTTTCTAGAACAAGCAACCTTTAAACCTGGAATTTTATATCCACTTTCAGGGTCACAACTGAAGGTTTACCTCTAGGTATCTCATTAACTTGTCAACTCATCATATGAGGCGCGTTTTTTCCATGAATTTGCATTGCATTGTTCTACATGATACAAAACACACGTTAACAGTAATTTGAAGATGGCCTCAGCGGAAGTGGTTATGATTTCCAAGAGCCGTTTTTAGAAAATATAAAGAAAAGGCAATACCGGGACTGTATTTCCTTGGAAATAAGCACCCACCCTAGAAAATGCACCGACTCCTAGACACCTCCTCCCTGACTTTCTTAAATAGTAGGAATGGAAGGAAAACCTGTCTCTGTTGCCGCTTTGCATAAAACCTTGTTAAACCTCAACTAGATTGAAATCAGTACAGGGGAATGATAAGCGTCTCCCTCCCCTCGACTAAGCGCCTTCCTTCCATGAAGCGCCTCTCCCTTAAGCCCAAATTTTGAATAAGCTCCCAGGAGCTTATTCGAGGAAATACAGTAACCACATTATCGAAACCTTGTTTAGATGTTATGGTAATCTTAAACTGATCCCTCGTAGCTTTTTTATTAGGTATGCAAAAGGGAGCTTATTTTGGTATGCAAAGTGTTAGGGATAGGCTCGTTCCTGTTAGTTTCGAAACGCGTCATGTTTGTTCCGGTCTATTATTTCTTCGTTGGTTAATGATTATTACTTAATAAGTTTTTATTTCAATCAGTTTCATTTAAGCACATGTACCAGATTTCATCGCTATAAGTTGCTGTCGACGCCACCAATTTTGTCTGCCATTCATGTACGATCCGCTATCGGCGATTCATCTACAATCATTAGGAGCTAAACCAAAGTAAGTTTTTCTTTATTTCTCATTTAAGATATTTCCTTTTTTTTTTAACGTACATCGATTTATTTCTCGCTTTCAGTTCCCATTATAATCGCTTCATTGTTAATTAGGCTAGTGTTACATTTGTCAGGGATATTTTCTTAGTTTAGTTTCTCGTGCATTTTCTTTTAGTTCAAACCACACAAATTCAGCTACAACGTTACTATCAATCATAACTACGCTATCTTCAATCTTACTTCGCCCTCCTCATCTGCGATTTCACACCGATCTCCTTATTTCGTTTGTAATTTTGATTACGTACTTCATTTGATTAAACCGTGATATATATTGTGCGTTCGGATTGTCTTCTCTGCTACACTAGTAACCTTTGAAGGTTATAGTTACTGAAGGTATTCATGCGCTTTCATCACCTTTTCTATCGTCGTTGTATATTTTATAGTTATAGCCCTTGACTTTAAAATGTGAGGCGTTCAATAAACACAAATTTATGTCTCTTTAATGGGTACCAAAGTGTTTAGTTATATCTAAATCGCATTTGCTTCTTTTTCGGCTGCATTGTGGCTTAAATAAACTCAAAACTACTATAGATATTTGGAAGACATCGCGAGTTTCGAGAAATTGTCACGGACAGAACGAGAAGTGATTTCGAACAGTTTAAATTCATATTTCTGATGCTGGTCAAATCACATTCCCGGAGTCTTTCAGCCACCACATAAATTTACTTGCGCAACGAACAAGCAGTTTGCTTGAAAATTGAAAGCAAGTCTCATCCAACAACAATTTGCACACTGAAATCATTTTAAAGATTGAGAATGATTTCTAAACGACTAGGGGAAAATAAATATCATTATGAGCTCGTTTCCAATGAGCAACTTTTCATCATCGCGGACGTAAGTTCGCTTGTCAATTTGAATCTACCAGTAGCAAGAGATTTAGGTTGAAAGGATACACAAAAACGGTCTTAATTTTGCGTTTTTCAGTTTATGTGTTCTGGCTTGTCTCACCATCTCATCTATTGATTTAGCTCAAGGTCAAGTACTTTAACGGATGTAATATCTTTTAAAGTCAGTTTCTAAATCAAGTTAAGACGTGTTGCTTGTTCACTGACCCCCATTTAAAAGGTTGCGTCCCTGTTTAAAATTACGCGATTCGATTCCATTTCTCGGATATTGCAAAATGAACATTCAATTTGATAGATGAAAGAATTCAGTAGTGTATAGATAAACTTTAAATGCTGCCTCGTCGAGGATGCTGCTTACAGCATGTATCAGTTTCCATGTGCTCTTTAATTTCTGTTTAACGAAGAGTAAAATTGCCGATCAGTCAAACCGAAACAGACGTCTACTCCAATAAGATTGATACCTGTCATTCAATGTCTGGAAGCACTTTTGCCTAATAGCAACTTTTCATTCCTTTCTGTGACAGTGTTCGTTTCTAAATGGTCATGTTCACTTCAAAATTTGAGAGCAATGATGTTTTTTAGGAACAAAGGCGTGTTTCTTTTGAGTTGGCTCTGCTTTTATTTACCGAGCGTGCAAGGTATTTTATTGCGTTCAATTTCTTTACTAAAGCGATGTATATCAATGTCTTTATTTGCTTTTGACAATCGCTAAGTTTCCCGAGTCATCTTCGGTGTTATTTACTGTTAGAAAAAAAATTATACTTCTGCTTAGTGGGCTAAAAAATGGGTAAACAGAATGTGCGTCTTTAAGGCCATGATTAAGATTGATATAATGGATAGTTGGTTTCTTTTATTTTTTCATAAATCAACTTATTTTTGGAGAAGGATGAAACAATGCGTTCACCCGGAAAGCATGTGATTCCACCTTTCATTTTCTCTCTTCTCGATATGTTCAAATTTCAATCAGAGTAAAAAATCCCTGCAGTTAGCGGGTAGTATGTTGGGTCTTACTGCCTCTCTTAAAATATTAAAAGTTCGGGCGTATTATGGGATGACCAAGTGCCTGATCATGAGTCTGAGGTGTGGGACGCACTGTGAGAAGAAGTCGAGCTTTTATAGAAAAAAAAATGTTTCCCCAACTATGGACCGAACTTAGTTTGATCAAAAAGTCTGGAATTTTTCTCTTTCTCAAATTATCAACAATTTTTTTTTCTGGTAAATTCCGCATGGTCGTACGACTAAATTATGCAATTTTATCGGCTCACGCGAAATAAGCTTTGGTTTACACACTTTTTGCACATGTTAGACCGGGAATAATAGATATTCCAGTGGAATTCTCGCCATAATGAGTAAATTCAAGTTTGGGAAAGAAAGATACAACCCCAACCAAGTAAACTTTATTTGTACATCGCCAGAAAGTTTCGTTTTATGCTTCGTTATCCATCTCATGAACATACGAGATTTTTGAATTTTAATCGAATTCGGCTGACACGTTTTTGAGATGAAATACGTGCACGTCAACTTGGACTATTGGAGTAGAGAATGGTTTGAAAACTGCTCTTGGTCAGCGCTTTTCTCGCGAGGCAATTTGACCTCTACTAAACCAGATCGTTATATTATAGATTAGATGTTAGATTATAATCGTTATCTAGAATAGCGGATTTGGAAAAAATGAAAATAATTTATCAAAAAGAACGGCGGGGTTGTACAGGTGATTTTTTCTTGTCTCGTAAAATGGGACAAAATTTGAGACATGCAATTTTATCGTAAACTGACTTGACCTCTGTCTTGGTATCTTGATATTCCGTATCATTAGTATCCGCTTACTATTCAATTCTGCAGTAGATAAACAGCCTCTGGAAAATCCCTACAAAACCTTATAGTAACATTCAATAAATTCCACAGTTATCCTCACGTAACCGAGTACTTATAGGTTAATTGCATTAGAAAATTTTTCAAATTTTATTCTTAGGAGTTGAGACAGGAAAACTTGCCATCAATCAGGAGGGAAGTTGCGGAGGCCATTGTCAGACAGTGACATTTAGCAGCCGTTTCTCCGGTGGAGCTCCGTATGTGTTCGCTTCTCTTAACCATGGAAATATCTCATCTATTGCCAACGATATTGCATTTGTTTGGGTTGAAGATGTCACTGCAGCTGATTTCAAAGCCTGTCTGGTGCAAGGAGGATTTAGCTCTAGAGGGAACACCACTATCGATTGGCTCGCGTTCCACGGTTCACAATCGGGAGTTTATCATGGAAAAGTCAGCTTCGGCCTGTTTACCACTGGAACAAAATGTGAACTGGTCACATTTCCTCAGGTAATGTATAAATGGAGTCTACTTCGGTTGATAAGTCTCGCCATGATGTTCACAAATTCATCAAGAGTATTAAAAGTCTTCAACTAATATGTAGTCTCCTTCGCAGCCGTTTGATGAGAGACATCACCACGATCAGAAGGCAACCACTTCCCCAGAAATTTTTGATAAGCGCGATGGTAACCCTTTATTTTGCTGAGGTAGAAAGCTCGTCTAACCATATTAGTGGGTACCATAGAAATGAAATATGCTGATAGATGGAGTTTTGCATATCAGGTCTTCTCACAGCTGCCTAAAGTGCAAGTAACTGTCAAACACACTGCTTCAAACCAATTACAGGACGCCATGAGTGTTTGGATTGAAAGCCTCTCCAGAAGTCAGTTTGAAGTTTGTCTGAGGGAATCAAGGACGTTTGATGGACCTCATAGTAACCTTGTGGTGGTATGTGGGACCAGGTCGATGTTCGATATAAACCCAATAAAACTCAGGTTAAGCATATTGTTGCAGGCATGTTCAATCAAAATTTTAATAAACTTTCTTCTCGTTCCAATAAAAGTTTTAGAAAATATTTCACCCTTTTAAACAGTAATTTTTGTGCTTCGAACATTTGGTGTGGTTAGTTTACCTATATCTTTGGAAATTAAAATCAATGCCACAGCCAGACCATCAACATTGGTTATGTTTCACTACTCTGTTTTCATTTTACTTGGATAAGCATTTGTTGCGCCTGTCCAATTTCAGACCATTTCATGACATCCTTCTGGGAAACAACGCCTGAAATATCCGAGTTAAGCGGAGTTAACTTCGGCTCGAGTGATCTACTACTTAACTCATTATTATCCAATTAACTAATGGATATTCATACGGATAAAATTATGAGAGACGAGCTAGTTTGGTCATCAAGAAGTGAGTCACTTGTGAATTTGGAGCAAGGAAGAAAACAGATTGTAAAATTATTTTGTCAACGTCTTTATTTCAACTGAATCCTAGAACTGGATGGCATATGTGAATCCTCCATCTTCGTGGGGAGCAGAAGAATCCTCGGAAGTTGTGTTTTCTGAATATGAGACACCAAATGCAAGAAACAGTTATGCCTTATGCGAGGTATGTGCAGATAAGAGATGGCACTGCGTGCATTCATGTCTTCCCAGTAATATAGCGCCATTATCTTTAGTATGTCAGGTACGTTTTGATCATCAGATCTGCATTTCTTCCACTAAATTGATTTTTTTTCTAATTTATTGCAGAACATCAACTTCACAAACCCATTTTACAAGCCACCAGTTGTTCTCACAACTGTACTCAATGGACGCAACAACCCTGTTAACGTTGGAAGTCAAGCAAAAGGTCCCTTAGTCAATTGGCTGGAGGTATATCAACCCATTGTACACTTTCGTAATTGCTATGGTTGTAGAGGTTATGCAAAAAAATTAATGTTAACTTTACAGCGAGAAGAAGACTGCATTTTATCCTTGATAAGTTTTATTTTCATCATCGACAAATGAAATTGAATGACTCCTCCAGCCATCCATTTATTTGTCTGCCCATCCATCATTTCATTCCCTCTACATTTATGCATGCATACATCCATGCGTGCGTGCTTACATGCATACATACACTCATGCATACACACCCATGTATGTATGAATGTATGGATGTGTGCTTGTATACATGCATGAATGTATGCATGTATACAAGCATGTATTGCATATATGCATGAAGCATACATGAATGGATACATGCATCCATGTATCCATATGCATCCATCAACCTGTCAGTCTAGTTCAATAAGATATGGTGGCATGTATATGTTGCTCATTTATCACTTTCATACAATCTATAATGCACGATGTATTTTCCGTCTTGGAGTAAAGGAGAGTGTTAACCATTCAATACGATTACTGACTGATGTTTCTCGGCTTCTCACAATAATTTTCATACCTCTTGACCCTTGACCCTCCTTCCACCTCATTTATTGGGATAAAGGAATTTTTATGAGAAAAACTTACCTTGTGCGACCTTTTTGTTTGATAGGAAGTAACCAAGTCTTACTTTCGAGTTTGTATTAAGGATGACGCAGGCTATGGTGGTCAGAGGGAAAATATAAATGTGAACTATTTAGTCATAGGAGGTAATTAACGTATAAAACAACCATTTCTGTGTTTTTCTGTGTTTTCTTCTTCTTGTTGGTTTTCCAATATAGCTTTCTTTAATAACAGCGTTAAATGCTTGCTCTCTGCAGACCTCGAGCCCTGTAGGAATGTAAGCTGTGAATATCACAGTCATTGCGTTGCCTTGGGTCCCCAGCAGGTCACATGTCGCTGTGAAAGTAGCTGCCCATCATTCGAAGAACAAGTCTGTGCCTCCAACGGCCGTACTTTCAGAAATCTCTGCTTACTGGAGAAAGAAATTTGTACAGCAAGAGGAAACTACTCTTATTATCATCCGGGAAGTTGCACAGGTATCAGGAGTATGATTCTAATTAGTTAACCGTGAGGTTGAAGGTAAAGAGAGGCAGATTTTGACCTGGATTTAACAAGAAAGGTAACTCAAGCGAGAGCGTCACTAAACAGACACACGTACATTTGGAACATAATGTTATGAAACTGGTTTTTGACAAATTCAGTCCTTTTTTGGGCGTCAACATGATGGAAACTTCCTCTGGGTCTCCTGGTTGCTTCAAAGGAACTTTGTTAGTACTCTGCTTGATGATGAGAAACGAGCAACCACTGTACATGTAGCATTTATTTCATTGTATTAACTCATAACGAAAATACTTATCGACCAAAGAGTGCAAGAAAATTTCTACATTTGTAACAATAACTTCGTCCTCTCACAGTACTATTTACTGAGTGGATTTGGCATGGACTAAATTGTTTCTGCTCATTTTCAGGTTTTCCACTTCAGAAAGGAAGACATAAGTTTCGGAACGTCCCTTCCTGGGCAGAGAATCAGTGTGAATCCATAACCTTCGCTCCTTTCATATTTTATCCTCACAAGAAAATCTACGTTCAACTTACTGTTAACCACTTTAATTATTCTGATCCTGCCATCGTGCACGAGGCCACTGCACCCTGGGTTGAGAGTGTTAACATCACGCAGTTCATAGCCTGTGTCACTCGAGCTGGTAGAAATGATTACCCCTCTGATAGCTTTGCCGACGTTGATTGGGTCGCATATCAGGGTGCTCCCTCTGGGGGTGTGGCTGGCGAAGAAAAGTTCTCCAGATGGTGGACTGGAACTAGTTGTCAAACAATTACCCTTCCAAGCGTATGTTAAATGTTGTACTGATGGATTTTAAAAATGGGGGGAGGGGGGACTCCTTTATTTGGCCTGAACAGGCTGTACCGCGTATCATAGGAGTCCTTTTTGGAATGGAACCCAAGCTTGATGGTTCTGGTGTACTCTTGTGTTTAAAAGAATTGCTTCATTTCACCATAATTCTAAACATACTGTCAGGACGTTGCCTCCTAAATGATCGATATGCTCTAAGTCGATTGTTTTCATCAGAATAGCGAAAATACGGATTTATTTTCCTTAACAGATTCAGGGTCTGACAGGTTCGGGGCGTACTCCTAAACGCGCTCCAAAGAGGCGGAGGGGGGGAAGGCTCCTGTGTCTCGCAGGTCGGCCTCCAATTGGCATAAATCAACGCAAGATCGCGTTTATCATCGAATCTGGAGAATTCATTCTGCTTGAATATACACCTTACATCCCCGTCGAATTATTTTTTCAGGGAAAGTTCCTCGCCTCGCCAACAGTAATTGTAACTGCTGAACACTACAGGTCAGGTTTAAAACATGACGCTACCAGCGTGTGGCTGGAAGATGTCTCAGCGAGTTCGTTTAAGATTTGTCTACGAGAGTTTCAAAACTTTGCAGGGGTTCATGATGACATCTCTGTGGTAAGCATTGAAATATAGGAGCAGGAAACTATAGGATATATATTTTTATTTTTTTATTTATTTTTTTTTTTGTTTTTTGTTTTGTTTTGTTTGGTTTTTACTTTAAAGTGCCATATTTCGGCTGGGCAAACCAGCCCTATTAAGGTATGAGTAGAATTATCGCGGGGTGGTAATTTTTATGAAGCGATTTGTGTAATATCAAACATACGAATAACTAGCTGGATTTGCATTGCGGTTTAATATAGTTTAATCCAAACAGTTGAATAAGCCGATTGTTGAAGTTTTTTGGAGATGCTCAGAATTTATTTGCCATTTAAGAAAGAAAAAGAAAGCGTCTTCAAGCCGACAGATTGAGTCTCTGTTACGAAAGTATTTTTCGGTGGGAATAAAAACTTTTCCTCAGCAGAATGAACACGGCAGGAAAGAAGAATTTCGCAAAGAATTCGGCATTTGCATTTAAAAAGTAAAACTCACATATCAGGCACTTTGATTCTTTCCACGCTAAGTTCTCATTTTTTCCTTTTCCCCGACCGGTCCTTTTGACTCATTTCAATGCTCAACTGAAACTCAATTTACCGTGAAAAAAACTGATGATTTTTCTCTCTTTTTTGTACCTTCCTACAGAACTGGCTGGCGTTTGATTCTCTTCAGAGACCGCTCTTTAGGGAACACAATGATGTCAGCTTTCAAAACAACGCTTCGCCTGTTAAGAATCATAACTTTGCCTTCTGTAAGGTAATTTGAAGTTTCAATGGGGTGCATAACAAGGCGAAGTCTAACCTGTGCTAGGCTTTCGCTTAGCGGAGACAAGTGAAAAGCGAGAGAGCGGAAAACGGAGGGAACACTGGAAAGCAAAATGGGGTTACTCTTGACAATCACTAATTCGCTTGTCTTCATTCGCTATGGGTAGAAATGGTTGATGTAACTGAGAACCCTGTTTCCATCCTCCAATTTTTCTCTGTTAGCTAATGAAAAGACGATACAGTGAACAAATTGATTTTTCTTAAGTTAATATTGACCATAAGGTTTTACGAGTTACTGACGTCTGAATCTAAACACACTTGCTCACCTTTGATTTTCTCGACCATAGGATGTGAGCTTCATTGGTAGTTACAGCAAATCCCCAACCGTACTTTTGACTGCTAAACATTCTACTTCTGAAGGAAATGCTGCTGCAGAATGCAATGGTATAGTGAGCTGGATAGAGGTAATTTGAAACTGTGTAAGAATGAATAGATAAAACTGAACGGAGCACACAGAAACTGTTACTTTTTAATCATACAGAGGAACGATCGGACGAGAATATCATATTATTTCATGCCATTTTAATGCCTCAACTTACTTAGCTATACGTATTGCTTAATTAATCCAGGATATCGCAGTAAAAGGCAAGGAGAGCTCCATGTGTGGATACCTATCAAATGATGAAATACCGAATTTTCAAGGAGTTCTGTCGTTTCTCTTGTAAGCCTTGTAATTCTTTAAGATGTATTTATATCCTTTGATTTTTGTTTTCACCAGTACATCTCCACCTCTGGCTTTAGAATATGTGTCAAGGAAGTCTTTGTCAACCGCTTTGATCCACTCACTGTATCATATGCTGTATTAACAGGTAAAATCTTGTTATTTTAATCAGAGGGTGCGGTCCGTTTCCGGACGCATTTCTTGCGACACTTGTTTTCTTTACCTCCCCTCTTCCCTTCTCATTGCTTTGTAAGATTTTATAAATACCGCCTGGCGATGAAGAACAAGGTAGAAATGGAAATTATGTAAACTTTTGTGAATTGGTGTTTTCTAAGTAGTATCCTAAATAACTGTGTTTTGGAGCGTGAGTTAGAGGTTTGCACCATAAGTTTACGATCAACGTTAGGTTTGAATTTTGAACGAACAAGGAAACAAGCAAGTCAAGGAAAACAAACAAATTAGTACCTTAACAAACAAACAAACAAACAAACAGAAAAAAAAGAAACAGAAACAATTTTACTTGAGTAAACCATACAAATCATACAAATCATACTGGAACAAAAAGCATGTGCATCATAATGTTTTCTTATAGAAAATGTGATTGAAATAAATGCGTTTAACCTTTCCTCAAAAGACATATGTCAGGAAGGATGGGCCTATTATAAGGGATACTGCTACAGAAGAATTTCTTCCTGTGATTCCTGGGGTGGCAGCCAGGCAGCATGCGCCACTCTTGGGGCTAATCTTCCCAGTATACACAGTCAGGAAGAAAATGTATACATACAGAGTCTCCATGGTGGCGACCACTCTTGGCTCGGCCTTTCTGACAGGAACACCGAAGGTACATTCGTGTGGAGTGATGGATCACAGTTTGATTTCCATTACTGGGCGAGCCATCAACCAAGCAATTTTCATGATGAGGACTGCGTCCATACTCTTGGTTTCCTTGCAAATCATAAGTATAGATGGAACAATGATAATTGTACAGACTGTCATAAATTCACTTGCAAGAAAGGTAGGTCTTCCGGATGATGGTAAAATTGTTTCTACTCGGAGCAAAGTTCTGTGAGAAAAAGAGGAACACGTATACTTTGCTGGATTTTATAACGCACGAGTTTCAATACCTTTTCCCATACGCGGCTTCCGATGGTGTAATAGGCGGCTGTTCCCGGAGAAGGGGCCTTACGATCTCTTTTCCCCCCTGGGATAGTCCGGAGGCATGCTCTCCAAGGAAAAAAAATTGAAATATAGAAGCTCTGAATGTAGTTCCAATATTCTGGCCATGAAAAAAGAGTGCTATTTATAATAACTTTCAGGTGATGTCAAATCTTTGCTAAACCCCTATTTGTTTTTTTTCTTCATATACTAATTTTGGCTGTCTTTTACCAAAACAAAATTGAAAAGTCTTTTTGCATGGAAAACTTAACTCCAAAGCGCACCCGATTCGTATCTACATTACTTATCCTTTTTTGGTTTAATTTCAAATTTACATCTGAGTATAAAAAACCAAATATATTTTCAAGCCCAATGGGGATTAATGTGTTTGTTACGCGCTAACAAAGATATTTTATGCATTATAATAAGGAATATTATTTTTTCAAAACAAACTATAGTTGCTAAACATAGTTTGATTATAGTACTCTGATGGAATTCTTAAAAATCTTTCTGACGTTTTGACTGAGAATTACAGCCCTTCCCCGAACAGTAACAGTTCTCTCCATTACGTTCTTTCGTTAGCAAACTAAATACACAGCTTTTTTAAATGATGCTAAATACCAGCTGAGAAGTGATACTAAAAACACAAAGATTCTGTTTACATTTTTCTTCGTAGACTACAATGAATGCAAGGAATTTGCTCATGAATGCTCGGTCAACGCCACTTGTGTGAATAGTCTTGGTTCGTACTCTTGCCAATGTCCAGCTGGATTTCGCCTTAACGGAAGAAGTTGCACAGGTTTATAAGTGATGTAACTAATAGATAGCCAACGTCTAACAGGGCTCTCTTTAAACTAGCTATACTAAATGTGATGTCCCTGTTTAAATATTGATTAAATGATTAAATGGTCTAAAACAGTGTTTTATATCTAATATTTTCGTTATGAACTCAGCCAGGTTTTGTCGTGTATTAGCTAGAATAAAGAGACTGGTTGTTTTTCTCCGTCAAGTATCAATTTTAGTGAAATTAAAGTGATCTATAGACCTTGTAGTTTGGTAAGTAAATGAAGTAACAAGTGTAACTATCCTAATCTAGCTCTTTTATTTATCATTTCAGCCTTTTATGTTTGCAAGGAAACATTTGGCTATATTTTCTTCCTTTTGATTATAGAATTAAACCAAATGTTTTGCTTGTATTGTAAATAGGCAGCGTGTAGTGTCATGACATGAAAATCAAATCTTTTGTTGAACAGACGTTGACGAGTGTAGCTCTGGTTCATCTTCATGTCATGCTCAAAGCCAATGTGTGAATGTTCCTGGTTCGTACAACTGCACCTGTTTGCCAGGATACGTAGGGGATGGAAAGGCGAAATGTGAAGGTAAAATAATCGGCAATAGTGATAGTTGGTTGGCTCGTCCTTTCTCACTTCAGGGCTAGAGCCTCAAGCTTATTTCTCTCAGTGAGCTTCACAAGGTTTATATCTAATCTGTTCTAAGGACTAACAGGTAATTTTCGCTCGTTGTGGGCTACTGGGTGTGAAATTAAAACCATTTCTGAAAGACCTAAGTTCGTTTAACCCCGAAGATTATAACTTATTTGTGACAATCACATCTTAATCACCTTGACCGAAGAATTTCTCGAAGTATATTGCAGCAAACTAAGATGTTAAATCACTCGGCCATTAACGTTTTACTTTGAATTTCTCTTTTGCTTGTTTTCAGTTAAACTTTCAAGGTTTAATGGTTTGGATTTGTGGTAATTTATTATTTCTAGACACGGAGATACTCTATCTCTAAGTTTACACCCTTCGTCTCGTTCCATTCTTATGCCGTGCCCCCGAGCGGGAAGGCTAAATGCTGTGCTCAGCCCGTATGTCATGTCTCGAGCCAAATATCTTCCCATCCGGCCTCAACTGACTGAGTCAATTTACTTCATTTGGCTGTTGCTTTTGCGTTTGTTACTCTGTATTACCTCACGTTGGACTGCGCGTCTTTTTCCGGCCCAGCTCGAGCGATCACTTGCGGACCTCATATGTCACGCACGCTGGGATTTTTTGCGAGGCCGTACTTGGTCCATGATAAGATTTCTTTTCCACCTCTTTAAGCCCTGTCTTACTTATATTTCCCTATTTTCCGACAGCTCCACGCCTGACAGCAACAAGCTCTTGCGTGTTATCAACCTCAACAAGTACATCTGGATACATCAGAATAACTCAAGCTGGCTCGCAATATAGCAACAATATGGATTGTCGATGGAATTTTTCTTCCAATGCAGTAATAGAACTTGTCTTCTTCAGTTTCCGTACTGAATCGTCTGCAGATTTCGTGTCTGTGTACGATGGTGGGTCGCTGTCGTCGCCTCTGATTAGAAAAATGAGTGGATCTTCTCTCCCGCCACCCATCACAAGTTCTTCTATTAATCTCTACGTAAAGTTTTCGTCTGATGGCGCAAATACGTCCGACGGTTTTGAAGCCACATATCGAGGTAAACCTTAACACAAGGTGGTTCAAGATTAGAATTAAAAACTAGCCCGTTCCAGGCGTTCAGTTAGTAAAATTAAGAGCAACAGTAAACGGCATGAAAAAAATGAGGGGAGTTTAGGTCGGGTTGCATAACCCGGCCCAAGCCTCCCTCGTTTTTTCACTCCTCCGCTACTATCACGCTGTTTACCATCGTAGTTTTACCAACTGAACGCCTGGAACAAGCTTTTCAAACATTAGTTCTTTGATGGATCGTAGGACAATTATTTTTCAATTAAATGTTCAGGTATTTTTCACCACTTTGAGACGAGGCTTTGACGTATGACGATACCATAGCAACACGATTTCCTCTTAGAAAAACCCTTAGTTTTAAGTCTTATGTGCGTGTTACACGATAAACAAGTTCTGTGAGTGCTAATAGTTTTTTTAGGGAAAAAAAGTTAAGAAAAAAGGTTAGTCAAACCATTAACTATTCAGAACCACCCGCTGATTTTTATAATGTAAGGTGGCTCTAGGCTGAAGAGCTGAATTTACTCTCATCTAAAGTCATCCGGTAAACGGTTATTTAATGTTATAGAAGAACAATGTCAGTTATCTTAAGTAATTTATGCACTTTGTACTTTTTCTTTCACTTCTGTTATTAGTTCTTACCGCTGGATCCTTACGTATAAGTGGAAACACTGCCGTTGGAAGGGTTGAAGTCTACTATGACGGGCAGTGGGGGACAATCTGTGACGATGCGTGGGATATCAGCGATGCTAACGTAGTGTGTAGGCAGCTTGGCTACGCACGGGCGAATCGAGCCTACAGTGGCGCCACCCACGGTCAAGGTACTGGTCCAATATGGATGGACGACCTGGCATGCTCAGGCAGTGAGTCTCATGTATATGACTGTAGACATCGTGGATGGGGAGACCATGATTGTACACACAGTAGAGACGCCAGCGTGGAGTGTTACACGCCAGTCCGTTTGGTAAATGGTGGTGCTAGTTATGGCCGCGTGGAGGTTTACCACAGTGGGCAGTGGGGCACAGTGTGTGATGATGACTGGGATATGAATGATGCTAATGTGGTGTGCCGTGAGCTTGGGTTTCCCAGTGCATCATCAGCTCCTCAAAGCGCGCGATACGGTCCGGGATCTGACCCCATCTGGATGGATGAGGTAAACTGTCATGGAGGAGAAGCTTCGTTAGTAAACTGTAGACATGCAGGCTGGGGAATCGAAAATTGTGGTCATGGTGAGGATGCCAGCGTAATATGTAACACTTAGAAGAAAACTCTGAAAATATTTTGCGAGTTTTCACTATCTCTATGCGCTGAAACCAGATACATTATTATACTATGTAGAAGAGAAAGATCACTTCTGAATGAGTGAAACAGATTTAGAGTTAATAATCAGAAGTTGTCTGCAAGTAGGTAGAGACAACATTTTCTTTGAATCGCAAATAATTTTGACTTAATTCTAAATTTTGGGTCCCAATTTCTTGAGTAAATTTTAAGTTAGAAATAAATTTTAAGTTAGAAATAAAGAGAACTTAACGTACCTGATTTTTTGCCTGAGGCTGATCATCCTTATGTTGATCAACAATCTGGTACGCTTTGAAAATAGCAACCTCATTATGTAAGCTTTTATTTCACTATTTCCTTATTATAAATTTTGTAAACATTAAAAATAATGATTTGTACAACGTTCTCAAGAATAATGCTTATGTTTTAATGGTAAATAAAATACTAGATATAGCAAAGTGGCACAAAGCCTTTTTTAAAGTTGATAACAGCTTTCTATCTTTTTTCAATTATCTCAGCGGTCTCTCCCTACTGCGTACGAAATGAACACCAGTGTGCGTTCGCCTTCTTTCTTGCTTGTCCTTGTAACAGTGTTATGGTAGTAATGACAGTATTTATGTGGTTTCATATGTGTTTTACCTTCCTGTGATAGTTACTTGTGATGTGTCTCAGTTTTCACCCTTCCTAAATCCTTTCTACTGATGTTGAGTGCGTCCGCTAGGTCCCTCCATGCTCAGTATGAAAGAGCAAGTAAGACTGGCGCGAATAGACAAACCTTTTTGGAATTCGAAGTCGTACTACAAATTGATTTTGGACTTGAATTTATGGGCGTAAGTTCAAAAATGTTCGGATGGGATGTCTTTTAGGCGTGACGTGATGTGGAAAGTAAATACAGGCGAAATTTTGGAGAGCCCTAAAGCAGCCCAAGAAATATGACACGATCCCTCTAAAATTGTGAATCACCATAATATAATGTCCTTGCTTATGAGAAGAAAGTATCTTTGACTATCAGATATTGCTTTATATTTAAATACTATTCACCAAGCCGCGAAAACAGTGATGTAACATAACGCAAAGCGATGATTTTAACTCTTGTATTCCTGCAATGATTACAAACTTTTCCAGCGCAAATTCCGCGTGCGTTACTCGGAAGTGAATAGCAGAGGATATTCGGAATTTGAGTAGCCGATCAGAGCGTGCCTTCAACGCTATCTATTATTTAAGTATATACTAAATATAGACAAGATAAAAAGACTGGTAAAAACCAAAACCAAGTAAGAGACAAAAAAAGCTTTAATACAAAAGCAGAAGCGGATATATTGAAGTACCAAACGCTTTAAGCGAGGGATAAAGTAACACTTATGTTGGAATAAATCACATCAATCCCTTCAATGCGATCTCTCCTTACCAAGAGGGCAGCACTCGGTAAGGTAAACAAAACAATGATGTACCCAGCCATTACTCTCTCTGTTTGGCTATTTTTCGTTAATTTCAGTAACTTTCAACTCCTGAGGCAAAGGTTTTACTTCCGGGTAACGCGGTTTTGAATTAGTCACATTTAGAATTGCAATTCCCTATCTCCTCTGACAATTAACTACTTTTTATCTAGCATGTGATTACGTTGTTTTAAAACTCATTATTTTCGAGTATTTAGGTTTATTTTTTTATGGCTTTATTTTTCTTCGGCAAGAAAAAAATAAAACTGCAACCTCTAACTTTTCCCATTTCGGAACAAGGCAAAAGAAACAAAAGCCAAAGTAATCACAAGGTGAACAAAAAAACATTACAGCTATAAAAAAAGCATGTTAGGCAAATTTTGAAACCCGCAAGTGAAAGAAAAGGCAGTGACTACATCGCGATGTTTTAGAAGTTTTTGTGAGTTTTACAGACCGATTGCACGGGGAAAGCACTAAGGTAAAACTAATGCAGTGCAGGTTTACTATCGAAACTTGTTAAAAAGTTACTCCTTGGTTTCAAGATTATTATGAAATAATTTTATGTTTATGTTTTACGTTTAAAGATTATCATGGAGGTTAAAATGCAAGAAAATAGGCACTCATGCCGGCAAGGAAAATAGCAATAGACGGGAAAATTGCATGACTGGCGTTCGGTTTTGTGGGTGAAGTTCCAGTCTTTGCTGCCATCGCTTCCTTTATCATGTTATGTTTGCCACTTAATACTCCGGCAACTGTGTGTTTTGACAGGTCAACGTTTGCATCCGTTCCGCGGGAAGCCCACACAATTGTTACTTCGGTATCGCTCTGATAATGATTGACAGAAAAAACATGTAGGTGATTAATGCAAACGAACAGACGAAGGAACGAAGGAACGAAGGAACGAAGGAACGAAGGAACGAAGGAACGAAGGAACGAAGGAACGAAGGAACGAAGGAACGAAGGAACGAAGGAACGAAGGAACGAAGGAACGAAGGAACGAAGGAACGAAGGAACGAAGGAAGGAAGGAAGGAACGAAGGAACGAAGGAACGAAGGAACGAAGGAACGAAGGAACGAAGGAACGAAGGAACGAAGGAACGAAGGAACGAAGGAACGAAGGAACGAAGGAACGAAGGAACGAAGGAACGAAGGAACGAAGGAACGAAGGAACGAAGGAACGAAGGAACGAAGGAACGAAGGAACGAAGGAACGAGGGAACGAGGGAACGAGGGAACGAGGGAACGAGGGAACGAGGGAACGAGGGAACGAGGGAACGAGGGAACGAGGGAACGAGGGAACGAGGGAACGAGGGAACGAGGGAACGAGGGAACGAGGGAACGAGGGAACGAGGGAACGAGGGAACGAGGGAACGAGGGAACGAGGAAACGAGGGAACGAGAAAACGAGGGAACGAGAAAACGAGAAACGAGGGAACGAGGGAACGAGAAAACGAGGGAACGAGGGAACGAGGGAACGAGGGAACGAGGGAACGAGGGAACGAGGGAACGAGGGAACGAGGGAACGAGGGAACGAGGGAACGAGGGAACGAGGGAACGAGGGGAGGGAACGAGGAACGAGGGAACGAGGGAACGAGGGAACGAGGGAACGAGGGAACGAGAAAACGAGGGGGGAACGAGGGAACGAGGGAACGAGGGAACGAGGGAACGAGGGGAACGAGGGAACGAGGGAACGAGGGGGAACGAGGGAAGAGGAACGAGGGAACGAGGGAACGAGGGAACGAGGGAAGGGAACGAGGGAACGAGGGAACGAGGAACGAGGGAACGAGGGAAAGGGAAGGGAACGAGGGAAAGGGAACGAGGAACGAGGGAACGAGGGAACGAGGGAACGAGGGAACGAGGGAACGGGAACGAGGGAACGAGGAAGGGAAGGGAACGAGGAACGAGGGAACGAGGGAACGACGGGAACGAGGGAACGAGGGAACGAGGGAACGAGGGAACGAGGGAACGAGGGAACGAGGGAACGAGGGAACGAGGGAACGAGGGAACGAGGGAACGAGGGAACGAGGGAACGAGGGAACGAGGGAACGAGGGAACGAGGGAACGAGGGAACGAGGGAACGAGGGAACGAGGGAACGAGGGAACGAAGGAACGAAGGAACGAGGGAACGAAAGGACGAATTTTAGAGCTTGCATTGTCTGGCAAAGAATCTTACCTGAAACTGCACATCATTAGCGGTGTCTCCTGTTTCAGCATCTCTGTAGAACTCCACCATTGTTCTCCCGTCTTTTTCATTCGCCTTTATGAGGAAGAAGCTTTGTTTCGGGTCTTTGGGTGGTTTTGATAAGGACGTGCTCCAGTAATCCTGTTGGCAAATTATGATCAAAGCTATTGTTTTCAAAGTGCATATTTGTAGATTTTGTTAAAAGTTAGCGTGTCCTACTTAGTTTTTTCTTTAAAATGAAAGTTCATTGCATGTTGTTATTCCCTATTTTGTCGCTCTTTCATTAGCAATACGTCAGCGAGTCATTGGCTCAATGAGTCATTCACGGAGTCAATCTATCGGTTTGCTGTGAGTCAGTTAGTCAGCCATTCGGTCAGTCAGTAAGTCACTCTGTCAGTCAGTCCGCCCGTCAGTCAATAAGTCAGTCAGCTATTGAGTCAGTCAGTCAGTCAGCCAGTCAGCCAGCCAGTCAATCAGTCGGTTGGTCCATCGGTAGGTTGGTCAGTTGGCCACGCCAGTCAGTAAATTAACCAACCAATCAGCTTGTCACTCAGTCCGTCAATCAATTCGTTCATTCATCCAGGCTTCCTTAATACCAACCCCGATATATCCAGCATTGGAGGCAAACCCAGCCACCGCTATATCGTAGTTTTTCATGCCTCTTCCATCAGGTGTTGTGGTAAATCCTACAGCACACCAACCGGTTGTCTTACAAGTCATCTTGAACATCAGCTTGCTGTTACTGTAGGTCCATTCGAGTTTGAATAAGCCATCAGGAGACATGACACTTGCATATTTTGGAGGAGCCATTGGAGTCGTGGGAGCCATCGATTCTTTCGTGGGAGCCACCGATTCTTTCGTGGGAGTCACCGATTCTTTCGTGGGAGCCACCGATTCTTTCGTGGGAGCCACCGACTCTTTTGTCGACATCGTTGTTGCTGATGGTTGGATGGTTGTTTTTGATGGCAACGGCGGAGGTTCCATCGCTAAAGAAATCAAGTTATATTTCCCATCTAATATTTTGGTCTTGTCGTGTTTTGACAAGCGATTATTGTTTGCATCACTGTTGACCTTCGAGGCAAATATTACTTTAACTTCAGTAGTATTCTGCACAAAGGAAAAACAAAAGTATTTTATCAAAAGATTTGGCAAAAAGATGTTTGATTGAGATATCTTAGGCGAGGTTTTAATTTGTCGAGGGCAGGGGGGGGGAAGCGTTCAATGGTGGTCTGTCAGGTCAGACATGTTCCCTAAGAACATCTTTCTTCCATATTTTCTGCGGAGTATTCTTTGGACAGGGAGGGAGGAATCTGAGAACACCGCCCCCATACCCCCTGAAAGACTTCCACCCTCCCTACCCCCCTCCCTATAAAAGCTTTTTAGACATGATATCTCTTTCAAACGACAAATATCTGTACATTCGGAAAGCAAATCCTGTCGTATCAACGCCTGGAAATTTCAGCAGACCCGACAAGAACTGTTACGCCTGATCTACTGGTATGGCTTCACTCAGTCTAAAACTTAAAGTGCTCATCTTAATCATGTGGTAATTCAACCTTACGAATCCTTTTCGAGCTACGAAAAACTCGGCTTTCTGGCACAAAAGAATATCAAATCGACCTAAATAAAAACTAGAAAAGGCGAATTTAGAGCACTTTTGTCATCTTCGCGCAACTAAATATCGTCATAAATACCTTAAATTGGACATCTTTGACATCTCCCGTCTCAGCATCCCTGTAAAACTCCACGGTAGTCTTCCCACCAGCCTCAGAGGCTGATATGAGTTTGTAATTTTGTGCTAAATCTTTCGTTGGCGGTCCCGGCCCTTGGCTCCAGTAATCCTGTCAAAACAAAGTCCAACCACCTCAGATTTTCCATGATGCTTCGAATTAAAAAAAATGGTTCCACTGAAAACTTCATCCTAAATCTCTGTTTATTAGAGATCTTGTCGATTGAGTATTGTAAAACCAAACTTAACGTACTCACGACAGCCAATGAGAAGAAAGAAAAAGATACAAGAAGGGCAATGATAACTCAAATAAATCATATATAGTCAGCTAAAAGCCCAGGAAAAAATAAGTGCCTGAGTCGTGATTGGTTTTGGTCTCGCATTAGATTGGTTGAAAGGGTGGCGAGTCAGATCGTTTCCTACAAAATTATCAGCCAGTGAGTAATGGGGAACTAGTTCACCAAACAAACCTAATTTTACGTCTAGAAATATTTTAAGTCGACCGTCAATTAGCAACATTGCCCACGGTAAATTTCATATGAACAACCAGACGATGTGTCATAATAATTGACGCTTACAGTGAAATAACCATACTAGAAACATTCCATCCTCACATTTGGAAAAAAATGTTATCACTTCGTCACGAGAGTGGATCAGAGGAAGATAACAGGATATTAGTTCACCACGAGAATTCGTACAAAATTCCTTCGGATTTCGCGTGGCAAAGCTCAATTTTAAAGCGACATAGAACTTGACATACAGCTAGTCTGTTTTTTAAATATATGTGACATGTCCAGACATGCAAGCAATCTGCCTCTTATTGTGACCAACGGGGGCGCGGGCGTCTTGAAGGCAAATATTTTTCGAATGATTATTTGTTTTTTCCTAGTCTGATATTTGATTGGAATGGAATCTATGGGTCTATCAAAATTTTCTCTGAAAGATAGGAACGAATTATTTCGCAGAAAAACATTTCTTACTGGGTCGTGGTCAAATAACGCAAACAACATATTTTGTTATCTCGCTCCTTCTTTCTGTCTTTTTGTTTGTATTTTGGTTGATAACTTAGCAAAAAAAACTCGCACTAATTTCCTTTCCCCCTTTATTTGTCCACTGGAAAGTAACATCTAATCTTGCAATAAAGAAACAAAAACCATTGTCACCCCGCGTAAATAAATACTGATCGGTCTTTAAGGATGTCGCGTCGGCAGTTTTATGAACTCTTTTGCTCAAGCCCCTCAATATCGCGTGGGGTTGAGATTATAACCAGAATAAGTAGGCACATATTTTTAAGTCAAAAAAGGCTTTCAAAGTTTTTAGAAGCCTTTTGGAAAGAGCCATGTCCGCTTCGAGACAGTAAGGGCAAACCAGAAGGGTCAGGATATTTTTGAATTTTTAATACAACGCAGTTAGATGTAGAGTCCTTCCAGATAATCCTATGGAAAAATCTTAATACGCGAGTTATGCATTGTTAAGAAAATGTAAAAGATGAGCTCCTAGGAAACATTAGAATAACAAAGGAATGGAGTATAATATATTCGCTTCTTATAATTTAATAAAGAAACCTTTTTTGTGCGACTTAAGGAGTCACAAACCAGCTTGCCGAACTTAACAGTACATTTTTCAGAGTTTAATAATTTTTTCACTTTTCTTTTTATTGTATTGAACTCAACTTAAAGGAAGACTTTCCGGAAAATGCACTAAGCCAAATAAAGACCAGGTGGAGACCTGAGAGCACCTTTAAACACAACCCCCTGGGGAAATATCAATTAACTGACAAAGATTGAGAACTTTAATGAACTCGCTCAGAACACGACTGAAGTCTAAGAAAGACTTAATGTCGGTTTTTTTTTAATATATGGTTTTCATTTGTTATTGATTTCAATACGGGCTGTAGGATTATTTTACTATTCGTGCGTGATCTCAATGCCTGCTAAAGCATTTTGGCAAAATATACGCAAACGTTTATTTGTTAAACAAAAATAATAAAAAAACGAACTGATTAGGAAAAATATTGCAGATTTACTCACTTCTACGTATCCAGCGCCAGAAGCATATCCTGTCACGGCTATATCATATCTAACCATGTTTTTGCCATCGGCTGTTTCACTAAACGCCACCGCGCAATAACCGGTTGTTTCACAAGTGAGAGTGAAAATCAACTGGCTGTTGTTGTATCTCCATTGCAGTTTATAGGCGCCGTCTAAAGATTTTAGGGTAGTATTCGAGATTGCACTGATCTCGCTAAAGGCAAGTGAGGTCAAAGCAAGTGCTACAAAAGCAAAGAGCACCATGTTTGACCCTTCTTAGCCTTGCGTGAGGGCGACCCCTTCATTCAACTCGAAGGCTATGAAGGTGACTATGATTGATTTGAAGATGTATTTACTTTAGCTTTCGAATTACGTCACATGAAAACAATGACGTTTGTCGGAGCGAAAGGAAATCCTGAACGTCTTGAAATTTTCAATTTTAGTACTTTATTTAGCAATGACGACCAAACCAATCTACAACATTCTGTGCATGACAAACTCATGCTTTTTGCTTCACTTGCAGACTTATATTTGCGTCAGAGTTGTTGACATTCATGTGTAAACAACATTGTCTTGTAAACTTGAACCGGATTAGCATTTGTTTCTAAAATGTTTTCAGCATTCCTTGACCGCAGAGCACTATTTCGAGACAAAAATTGCAGGATTATTTTTGGAACAAGCGGTGGGTGTGAAACTGGAGAACGCATTCATTTCCAATTTAGAATAGTTTACAATGCTCAAACGACATTAAGATTAGAAAAAAAAGTTGAAAATAAAGAAACACAGTAGTCGGCTATTTCAAGTCTTTAAATGTGTCGAGGTGGTTAAAAAACTCCAATGATTAATTTGATTTATTTGTTCCCTTGCGTTCTTCATCATTTTTCAAAAAGTTATGATATTTTTTTCATCACAAAGCTACAGTCTCTTAGAAAGACCCTGATTTTAGCTTTATCTACTTTATGGCAAAAAGTGTACGATCAGCTCAGCTATTTATCATCGGAATTGTAAACCGCAGGATTTCAAGATTCATCTTTCTGCCGAAAGAGAGTTGTAAAAAAGGTGCCCTGATGTGTTTGCGCACTGGGCTCGGCATCGAAAGTACTAGATTGGAGCCCCGGTCGAGGTTGCTGCGTTGCCTTCCTAAACAGAGTATTTCACCCTTACAAATGCCTCCCTCCGCCCAGGAAGCTATGATGAAATTGCAACTGCAAACTGTTCGTGAAACTTTACGCAGTTCTCAGGAAGAATTCGCAACTACCTGAAATATTTTCCATGGGTAGTGGAAAGACGCCTAGTCGCGGACTGCCGAGGAAACTAAGACAAACTAAGGAATGATGAGTCATTCGACGAGTGACACAACGGGGATTCACGTGACGTCATTTAACCACACTCTGCCTGAGTCTATTATTGTTCTAGACAATTCAAGAATTGCCCATATATGTTTTTTCAGGAGACAAAATGAATTAAAAGGATCTACTGCCAAGAGCTAGAAATTATGTGTTTATCTCTTGCTTTTACGTAGCATGCATTTGCAAGAGACATTTCCAGATTTATATTGATTTGAAGCACTTTTTGAAGCATGTTGTGTGCATAAATATCAGCTTCACTAATCCGCAAATAATAACTAGCGCTTTCATGGGGAAAGGACTATTTCAATATTTCGCTTACACATTCTCTGGACTAATCACAACTTTACTCAACTTAACTTTCTTAATCGATCAAATTTAAGACTGGAGCCTCCAGTCAGCTTTTCTCATCTAACATTACTTTTTTTATGTCTGCCGAATCAATCACAACAGCAGGGATGTTGCCGTGGATTTTAATTCTTTCTGTACTTACAAAATAAATCACACCTCTTTTCTCTCCCTTGCTACGATTCCAGCAATTGTTCATCGATGTTTAAATCTTTTGGTTCGGCCTCTCATTTCCATAAATACGAAATTCGTCCCTCTAGGAAGTCCAATAGTTGTAGCGTGATTTCTGTAGGATATTAGGGATTGCGTGACGTAACGAAATCTACCCATGATCCTCAAGTTTAGTTCCAAGATGGCATCTGTTCAAAGCGAATCGTACTACGGAGGTGTAGAAGGGTAAGTAGCCTCTTTTGACTATAATTCCGATATCTGGAATTGCATCTTGCTGGCATCGAATGAATTTTTGCAACACTCATCAGTACACGAGTCTTCGGCGCCTGCTAGACGAGAGGAAACGGAGCATGGCTGGATACATCAGATTCATTTTCCTTAGGCCACGTTTGTTCCAAGGCAGTAAATTTGTAAGTTCCTTGAGAACTGGATAGCTCTCAGAAACGCAAACCAGAAAAAATGACCAGCTCCCAGTTGACTTGTCAGCTTGATAGAGCACTGCAAAGGTATCACAGGGGCGCGGGTTCAAATCCCGTACAGGCTTGAATTTTTCCTGGCGTCCCACTACTGCTTAAGTAGTGGTGTGAAGATCACTCATGTGCAAAGTAAATTGTTATTCGAAGCTTTAAAAGGCATGTTGTGGAAGGGGACAAGGTACAATAATCTAAAGAAAGAGGGATGGAGATAATTCATTTTTATCTACAACTCTCTCTCCTTCCTCCCCCCCCCTCCCCCACCCTGTTGAACTTTTTAAAAGCATCTTCTTAAAAAATAAAATCCTATGGTTTTTTCTTGTCAGCATCTTTAAACCATGTCTAAAGAATCTAAGCTTCTGCAAAGGAATAAATCTGAACTCTTTTCACTGATAAGAAACCTGCCAACCTTAGGGGACACATTGATAAAAATTGGAATTGCATGAGTCTGATCAAAGACATGTTTGGGATGGGGAAAGTGTAAGAAAGTCCTTCTTCTCAGTGCTTGCTACAGATCACCTGTATTGGCAGGGTAGTTCAAAATGTTAAACAAATAGTTTCAAGTCATTTGGTTGATATTAAAGTGTGGAGGAAGTGGAGTAATTTGCTTTGAGGCCAACATCTAAGTATTAGAAACTGTGCTTAAATCCTTTTACAGATGTTTTTGTGATGTGAACAGTGCTTGGAAAATTAAAGTTTATTTTTATTTTTTTAATTTTTAACTTGGGATATGGTATTTCTAGGGTTCTGATTAGTTCCCTTAACTCCAGTTATCATCCGATATATTTTAGTCACCCTTTATGGAAATGCATTGTGCCAAGTGTATATTTTTTCAGAAAATATCCAAACATTCAGGATGTAATGAAATTTAATGAAAAAATTATTCCATTTGCTTTTATTTGAAATAGTCAACTTACACAATGCATCTTGGTGGTTATTTATTATCTCATATCTAACTTGCACTCATGGAATGATTGTTAATTAGATTTCAAAAGGAAGTGGAATAAGACCTAGGTGACTTTGATGCAATCATTTTCTCGCTGTAAAAGACAATCTGAAAGGATAATTTAGAAGTTTATCATAAATCACTTTGGACATATTTCTGTGCATTCTTTCACTTGACATCCTTGATTGCAGTGGTGGAACAGGCTCAACAGCCATTATACTTTCAAGTGATGGACAAATTGTTGGCCGCAGCTCAGGACAAGGCACAAATCATTGGGTATGGTCCAAAAATTTTTCATTTTAGTACCTTGAGTCACTTTCCAGGCTGGCTATTAGCAATTACAATTAAAAGGTTTGAATTGAAAAGTAATGTATGATTTGCCAAGGAAGGATTAAGCATCTGTTGCAAAAACTAAGCTTGTGGCTACCACATAAACAATCCCAAGCCCTGGTGTGTAAAAACCTGAATAATCTCATAATCAAACTGTAAATACCAATTTTTTCCTCTCCTGATTGTGCATATAATTATGTATCATTTACAAGATTAAAAATGATCCGGTGGAAAAAATTTGGAACACAGGACCACTTTAAGAGATGCTTGTGGGTTTATCTACTGCCATGTCCAGTAACCATGGTCTAATAAACAAAATTAATGCAATACAGTGTACATCTTTAAGGAATTAAAAAGTTAACTGCCAACATAAAAAGATACCTACCATAAAGACAAAATGAAGACAATTTTGAAAGTAATGCCTCCATAATGCAAGATGAAATACATGTTATTAATGCTGGGCTTTTAGATATGATTTTTTCAAAAGAAAATTAGTGAACAGTAAAAAGAGAAACAAACGAGATGTCAAATTAAGTTTAATCGCATCAACTAAGTTCAATCCCTTTATGATGTGAAAAATATCCATTAATTGGTCCTCAGAGATGGACTTACATGACTTATTTTGTTTTATCCAACTGACATTTTAAATTCAGCCTAATACACTTGTTGTTGCAAGCTGCAAAGCCACTAAGTATTGCTTTTCTACTCCCAATTTTTTGCTTGGCCACAGAATTTAAATTTAGTTTCATTTTGTGCATGAAAATCAAACATTTCCAACAGTTGATTGGTCTGGATGAATGCCTGAACAGAGTAAATGAGATGGTAACTGAAGCAAAAAGATCTGCAGGGATTGATGTCAATAAACCATTAGCTTCTCTGGTAAGTAAGTATGGTTAACTGAAGGACAACAATTTTTTTTCTAAAAAAAGTGTTTGAGATGAGCAGGTGCATTTAGTGATTTTCCCAACAATTGTTTCCAACCAGTTGTGGATAGTTTTAAACTTGCTTTTAACCCTTCAGCTCTCAAAATCTAATTGTGAATTCACCCCTCTAGCTGCTACACATTTCCTTGTAAAAAAAATAAAAGAATTTGGTGTAAGATCAGGATACAAATTTCTATCTGATGCATTTAAGCACTCTTATTACCTATTTGCTGGATAATGTTTGAAAATTATAGGGAGAAGTTTCAAGTGAATCATTTCTGAGAGTTGAAGAGTTAAAGTACTACTACTCTGTTCAAATCAAGCTGACTTCATCAAATTTTAGCATATTTTCTCTCATTATTTAAATTCCACTTTTTGCAAGATATTTTCCAATATTTGTTGCATTTAGATTTCATTTTTGGATGATTGGTGAAGAATCAATTTTTCTTTCCTTAATGTTTTTTTTCACATGGGTTTGTGAATGACCGGCATTTCTTGAAACTATTGCATTCAACACTTGGTTTCTTTAAATAAACATCCTTTTTCTTTTCAGGGACTATCTTTAAGTGGAATGGAAAAAGACGAAATACAGAAGAAAGCTATATCTACAATGTTTTCAAAATACCCAGGCTGTAGTGAAAAGTATCACATGTGTTGCGACACTGTTGGTGCTATTGCAACTGCATCTGATAAAGGTACCCTTTTTTTAAAATTCATATTATGCTTATAAATGCATCAATTGAACAGATTTGATAGATTAGACAGAGAACTGGAAACAGCAGGTAGTGTTTTCTTTGGTGATGGACAAACATAATGAATTCAATTCTTAGTTGATTAGGGTTGAAATAATATTCCATAGATTTTTAAAGACACAAGTTGGAAGGTTACTTTTCAAGTTGAGTGAGCCCCTTAGCCTAATGGTTTACACTAGCAGAGCTCAACATTTTTCCCCTGAGTGATTAGCATCCAATTTCTCATAAGAATATCATCCTTGAGTCAAATGTTTAGGTAACAAGAATAAAGTAAAATTAATAATCAAAAACTAAAGAAGCTCTTGATTGTTAAGCAAATTCTCCTTGTCAGCACCTTAGGAAATGTATAGAGAACAGTATAGAGAATATGGATACTGATGTTAGGGTGTAAAGGGCTGATTGGACACTATAATGTACCATGAAGTCACCAGAGGTTTTGTTCTTCCACCTGATTAACCCTCAGCTTTCTGTCAGTTTTCCTTAACAGTTCTAAGTTACCCATTCACTGATTCCATCCCTACTCCTCAGTAAAATAATATTTTCATGCATTTGAGTGACTTTGAAAACATTTTTTTGCAGGCGGCATTGTCTTGATATCAGGGACTGGCTCTAACTGTCAAATGTTGACACCAAATGGTCAAACATTTAACTGTGGTGGGTGGGGTCATATGATTGGTGATGAGGGATCAGGTAAATTTTAAAGGAATCAACTAACCTATGATTACTATTACCTTGTTATGTGCCAATCAATTTGAAGCTTCAACACTCAACAAAGGAGTTTATTTGTTTGTTTGTTTTTTTGTAGCATTTTGTATATCACACATGGCCATCAAAACAGTGTTTAATGCTGAAGATGGGCTGGTGCCCCCGCAGCATGACATCACTTACGTAAAGAAACTGGTTTTTGAACATTTCAAGGTATGAAAAAATACACAGGTTCTTTAACAGACCTATATCATTGTTTAAACCTCTACAGTATGAAGTTCTCTATACTGCTCTCTATACATTTCCTAAGGTGCTGACGAGGAGAATTTGTTTAACAATCAAGACATTTTTTAGTTGGTGATAATTTTCATTATTCTCATCACCATGACCTTAATGTTTAATTTACAGTAATATTGTAAAGAGGAATGAGATGTGAGTCACTCCAAGGGGTCAAAAGGGTGAAGGGGGTAAGGCAGTGCTGTGTTGGTGGGGGAGGGGAGGGGAGGGGGGGTATAACAAGCTAATTTGATTTTGTCATCTGAGTTGGTAATGTACATGTGAATTGACCACTGTAAAGAGTTTCTAAAGCTCATGTTTCGAGCGTTAGCCCCTTGTCAGAGACCTTATTTGCCCAGGGAAAAAAGGAAGGGGCCTTAAAAAGAATTGGAGTATTATAAAGAGCCTTGTTTTTAAAATCAACAAATTTTGGAGTTTTTGGGAACAAACCTTTTCACCCGAGAGAGAGTCGTACAGACAGATACCCAGGGGAGTTAAGAATCGCGAAGGAAAGGTTCCAATTAGGATTGATTTCAGCTTCTGAAATAGATCAAGAATAAAGGTTTTTTTGAGAGGGAAAAATTCATTGGAACCTGAGGTATGGATTTTCATTGTAACTGATCAATGGTACTGCTGCATTTCTATTACACTAGATAGACAATTTGTTTGGAATGTTGGATCACTTCTATGCAAAGTTTGACAAGGCGTACTATTCTGGGCTGTGTAAAGCTGTAGCAGTTGGTGAGGATAATTATATCATGGGGAAGATGTGGTTCTAAGAGTTTGTGAAAATTATTTCGAGGAAACTTTCAATTCATTCCGGCACGGGGATTAAACCCTGGCTCACTTTATTGGTTTTGTATTCGTTTACGTGATACCGTCAGGAAAATTGGTTTGGCATATCTTTTAAATAGCCTGGACAACTAACAAAATAAAGGCTTTTTCAAGGTAGTTAGAGTGATGGTTTGTATATTAAGCTCATGTATAATTAGCTTGTTTTTGATGGAGTTTAAGGCTTTAAAAACTGATTACTCGTGGAATATTTTCGCTATGAAGTTGCAGTCTATTAGAGTTCCGTTTGTGAATAAAATTCCATAACACTGAAGACTTGCTAGGGTGGTTTCAGATGATATGAGCTTGCCAAATCTTTTTATTACAGTAAACTGATTGTTAATTTTTAACTTACGGAGGACACATGCTGTTCTGTAAGCCCTTTATCAGTGGTAATGCCGAAGAGATCTATTGATTCTTCACCAGTCACGCGGCCCTTTTGACGCGCTTGTAGATCTCCAACCAATTTTTACGGTAGTCTCTCAGATATCGTGACCACAATGAAACATTTTGTACTTTTCTAACAATTTCTCTTATCCCACATGTTCTTTTCTTTGGATGTGCGATACAGGTGCATTAGAAGATAAAGACCCTCTGTGTCAGCATCTGTTCTTCCTAGCTGGCGAACTTTTAGGTAGACATGTGAAAGCTGTTATTCAGCACATGGATCAGGTAACTTTTTTTTTCGTTGAACATTCTTGGTACCTGCCTGGTTAATTTGGTAGTACACCACCTAAAATCGAGAGGATAGAAAATCAGATCTTGTTTAAGCCTTTTCTTGTGTCAGTGATCAACCGGGTGACTGTGCTGAAAAAGTATGTTAGCAATGGAAGTGAAGGACGTTTCTAAGCATTTTTTGAATCTCATAACGGACGTAACAGTCGGCCGGTTCCTCGGCCGGTTCAAACATCTTCGCATGTTTGAAAGTCGTAATGGTTAGGTCTTGCTAGGTGGCATGCTTTCAGGCTGTCAGAACCAAGTTGTCTCTCAGGGTTAAAACAACCACACTAAGCAATGACTCATGATGTTTTAAAAACGATAACTTTATTGAAAAATCTCAAAATAAAATTTAAAATCAATAGGATACCCTTAATTTAATAAGCTTTGCGTTCGAACAATCCTGTTTTCCTTTTCCATGCTTTTGTTTCCTTTTACCGATTTCTGCGAAAATTTTGGTGTTATCTACTTATTGTGCGTCATAAAGATTGTTTCGTATCTCTTTGTAAGTAATTTTGAGCGGGAAATTGACGCACGGCCGGCAAACACTTATCTGCTTGCGCATGCTCAACATTTCACCGCTGAGCTGATTGACGTTTCTTTTTATATCACTGTGGCATCAATTTTGGTCGCTATGCTCCTCCTCAACGAGCCAAAAGAGGTTTATGATATACTGAGAGTTCACATAAAGATTAGCGAATGTTTCATTTCATTCATAGGAATGTCAAGAAACTCTTTTAAGAAGTAGCAAGGGGCTTCAAATCATTTGTGTTGGTGCTGTCTGGCAAAGCTGGAATCTTCTTAAAGATGGTGAGAATAAAAGTCCATAAGTATATTTTAACCCTCTGTCTCCTTAGAGTCATCAGAACTTTATCTCTCTCAAACATTTTGGTACATTGTCAAAGAGAAACTGAACTAGAATTCAGAAGAATTTTCAAATAGGATATTTTTTCGGATTCAACACCAGATTCTGAGAACCAGCAAACCGTACTTAAGAATGCACTGTTGTGGATTAAATTTCGAGGAGTTTTTAGAGAGAGGTTATTGAATAGATATGTGAAGTTTGAGTAGCCTTTTGATTAGCCATATTGGGAGTTTATGATCTTCAAATTTATGGAAATTTTACGGAAATTTATGCAATCTCTATCCTTTTGTCTTCTCTCTGTAGGCTTTTTAACTGGCATCAGTTGCTCTCCAAGCAACACCGCTGTCCAAGTCAAACGCTTCTCACTGGTAAAGCTCCGCGAGAGTTCTGCTATTGGTGCGGCTGCGCTAGGCGCGAAAACCGCCGGCTATACTCTTCCCATAGATTATGACTCCATGGTAGAAGAATTCTTTAGCCACGAATTTTAATACTCAGAGGTTCTAAGTAGATTACTCTTAAAAATCAAAATACCATGATAGCTAGGGAATTTATCACTGAGAAGAAGTGACACTGATATAAAGTAGTTAGATCAGTACTATTAGAACTATCATTTGAGAGCATCATCGATCTAGTGGTTTCTAACTGAATAGCCAAACAGAAACCTTTGGAAGCATATAACCAATCATAGCAAACGTAAAGATCACAATGACCCAAACTGGACTCGTAGGTCTGTGCACGTGATAAGTGTAAATCGTGGGAAAATGTGTGCTGCTGTTTGTGTGGTTTCTGCTGTCAAACAAAATGTCAGGGAATGCTTTGAAAGATTTCCCTGATTACCGAGTATGGAAAAGACATAATTACAGGTGGTTCCGTCATGTTTTCCCGCGTATGCCGGTCCATGTGCCTGTATTCCTGGCGTCGGCTAAAAGCCATTCAGGCAAGCTAAACGTGTTGGATTTTTGCTTCCGGTAAAGCGCAACAGTGGCTATTCACCTTTCAGTTCTTTTCCATAGGCAGTAGTCAATTTTCGAAGCTTTCTCATGCATTCTCTCAGAAGAACGAACACGTTTCAGTTTTTTGCCCTGCTTTTTGAGACTAGCCCACACTTTATGACTTTCCGAGCAGGGTAACTGCATATGATGAGCTCTAAACTATCCATTGTTGATCTTCGAAATTTCAAATTGGTAAAAAACATTTGTTGCACAAGTCTGCTTCGAAGGGCGGCAAATGTGCTGTACAAAATTGTTGCCTATCAGGAATATTCAAATAGCGTGATTGAAAAAAAAATTCGCAGATAATTCCTCCCGCAGTTATTTTCCGAAAATCTTTTAATTATAAGTTATTATCCGCCGTAATCCTTGCAGAGGCAAAACTTTCGTAAATCTGGTCTCTTCTCAAGAATGCACCGTGGCTGTTCGCCATACAAGTTAATCCTGCTTATTTCGCCGGTTACTCGATATTTACCGTCCAGCACATTCACTGATGCTTCGTATAACCCGTTTCCTGGGACAGTCTGTATCTGTACTTGATATAAGCATTCATTAACTGGGACATCTCTTGAGAATATTGGCTTTCTTCCGTGCACGTCGTTGGAACCTAGGAATTGGGCGACTTTAATATTTGGAAGTTTTTGATAAGCTGATGAAACTTTGTCTATTTCCAGACGCGAACATAGGCTTAAACTTAAAGGATCAGACGCCGTTAAGTTGTTCACGTGATCAACGACCGCATGAGCTGCACGTTGCACGTGCATTGCATGCGTGTCGATCTCTTTCCACTGAATACATGGACAGTAATGTTCGGCGACTCCAGCTTTTTCGCAGTTACGTGATCGATTAATAGTGGTGAGCAAGCTCTCTCCCCTTGTTAAGTTAGCTGGAGCCTGGGGATAGCTAAGGACGTGTTTAAAGGTGGCATATAAATCGAAAGGTGACGTTACAATGTCAGTATTTTCTTTCAAGTTGTGGATCAATTCAGGATACTGCTGAAGAAACCAACGTGGAAATGTCAAAGACATAATCGGAAGGCGTTCTTCCAGCTTGCCCTGAAATGTAGCCCTTGTGTCGCCGTATCGAAAGCCATGATCTGACATCACAACCAGCAAAGTGTCGTTTAACAAGTTCTCTTCTGATAAATCCCTTAACAAGGCCGAGAAATCATCAGCGCAGTGATAAATAGATTTCAAATTATTGTGTGAAATGTCAGTGAGGAAAAACAAACCAAACTTGGGCCGCCCTCTGTAGGCCTCGAGGAAAGACTTCATGTAATCAAAATGAATCCTGTGTTGTTTTTTACTGTGGATACAATGCGCCGATGTCAGGTGAGCTGCTTCCCAAAAGAAACGTGAGAAATGATCGGTAGGTGGCTCTGTGAAGCCATGAAGTCGATAGTTAAACGCTCCGTACGCCGGGCAGTCCTCACTGAACAATGTTGCGTAACCCTTTTCTTTGAAGTCCTTAAATATATGTGGCCAGCGGTCTAGAGATGCAGTATCCGGGAACTGCCGTCGAGCTTCAGGAAGCTCTGATTCAAATTTACCTACAGTGGAGGCAACATGATGCGTTGAGTTAAAGTCAGCGGTATATAAGAATGATTGTTATCATAACTTAAAATTTTCGGACGTGATTGATCGGCTAATATTATTCGGAGCAAAAATTCGGTTAAAATTATCTCTTGCCTGTTTGAACCCGTTTTGTATTCGTACCTGTCATGAGCGCTGTTAGCGCAGGAGTGGTTCCATCACCGACGACAGAGTAACCTTTGAGAAACAATGAGTTGAGCTCCTCAGACATAAACTTGTATGCCTCAGGTAGAGCCCTTTGGAAGTGAGCTGCGGACAATGAATCAAATCCTATTACGACGACGCTTAGCGGAAGGCCTTCTTTGCTGTTAGCCTGTGTCAAGGATCTGGGGATGACTTGAGCGTGGTATTCCACGTGTTTTTTGCCATCTGCAGTGCTAAGCTGAACTCGGACGAATTCCGAGCCCAGTTGGAACTTTGTTTCATGTGTTTGAAGATTAACCGCATCTCCCGATACGAATCCCCAGTCTTTGTGATCAGGACGTAGAATGGGTTGATAAGTTATTGCTGTGATGTTATCGACTGCAAAAGCAAGAACTTCCATCAGTCAGCCCTAAAACAATACATTTAGCATATTTATTTCGGATATCTTTCAATTGTGTTGTAAGCTTAAAACCTAGTAAGAACGGGTCTGTCAACTCTTTCCTAAACCTGTGACCCTGTTTTCGACAAGGAGAATTGCCTCTCTTTCTGAGTTCATCGCACGTTCCCTGCAACTCCTCCTAAAAAATTTCTTCAGTTTAAGTTTGGTAATACCATTTATGCTTCGGTAGAAGTGAGAGGAAAGGCGCCGCGAGTGAAATGACTTAGCAGAGAACTCAAGACAGTTGTGAGGACAGGGCTCGAACATCGATCTCTTGATCTGGAGTCAGGGTCTCTCTATCTCTCTTTGATGCCCTGAGAGGGCAAGGGGGGAGAGATCTTGAGAGCGAACCTGGAGCTAGATTGCAGTGCACTAACTACCTCCACTTGGCTGCGCCTCCTTACCTTTACTGATTTCCTCCGTAAGTTCCAAGACTCCTCCCTCGTAGCGTGTCAGCTGGAAGCCTGGGCACTGAATTGGGGTTGGTCGGGAGATAAGCTGTATTATACTTTCGTCATTTGGGTCAAGCTCTGGCAAGCGGCATCCGTCAGAAAAAGACTGGAACTGATCCAATGGTACAGCACAGCTGCCATGTTGCAAAGTTTTATTACTTTGCGCGAAGTCACTCTTTACATAGAGGTCATGCTCAGTTGAAAACACTATTTTATCCGTCAACTCGCCTTTTAGGATGAATTTACCAGATTTCAAGGAATAAACGAAGCCCTTGCAACGGAGACCATATTTGTTGCAAACGATTTTCGCTTGTTCGGGGCTTTCGACTCGAAAACCTTGACAACTTTCATTTGCTTCACATTTCATGTCCCCACCTGGCATTTCCATTTTTTTCTCCTAAGTAAATAATTCAGGTGAGATATTAACCGGGATCATCGCTTAGAAGAGAAGATGGAGGACTTATGGGAATGGTAAATGCAGGTCAAAGGAAAGTAACAAGGGGAGGGGAGGGGGAGGGAGAGGGGGGAGGAGACAGAGCGGACGGGTTAAAGAAATAAAATCAAAAGCCTCAATCTAAAACGAATGATGCACGGGCATTTTCTTTTTCGATAATAAGAACACTTTTCTACAGCAAATGTGGAGTAAAAATTTGAGCTTTGAGGAACAAACGTCATCCGAAAAAAACATGAAAGTAAGTTCACGGAAGTGCTATGAAAATACTTCTAAGTACGCACTTTTCAATTTGTCCCATGAAAACAGGGGGTTTGGCAGAACCTTTGTGAGACTTCAAGGAAAGAATCTAAAACAAATGTTAAACAATTTTTTTTATCTTCAGACTGAATTACCTGAGTATACGAGTCTTCCTCTTCAGGTTCCACGTTAGTTTGTAATGACGGGTTTGCCATCGTCAACTCCGTTGGTATGACGTCATTGTTCTGACTCTGCGTCACATGACTCCTCACTGTCTCTGCAGTTGTCTCCTCCGTTGGTTTAACGTCATCGTCCTGACTCTGCGCTGCATGACTCCTCATTGGCTCTGTAGTTGTCTCCTCGGCTGGTTTAACGTCATCGTTCTGATTCTGCACTGCATGACTCCTTATGGGCTCTGTTGTTGTCTCCCCGAAGGGTTTAACGTCATCGTTCTGACTCTGCGCCGCATGACTCCTTATGGGCTCTGTTCTTTTCCCCACGGCTTGTTTAACGTCAATGTTTTGACTCTGCGCCACATGACTCCTCACTGTCTCTGCAGTTGTCTCCTCGGCTGGTTTAACGTCATCGTTCTGACTCTGCGCTGCATGACTCCTCTTTGGCTCTGCGGTTGTCACCTCGGCTGGTTTAACGTCATCGTTCTGACTCTGCGCCGCATGAGTCCTCACTGAATCTGCAGTTTTCACCTCAGCTGGTTTAAGGTCATCATTCTGACTCTGCACTGCATGACTCCTTATAGGCTCCGCTGTTATCTCCTCGGTTGGTTTAACGTCATCGTTCTGACTCTGCACTGCATGACTCCTTGTAGGCTCTGCTGTTGTCTCTGCGGATGGTTTAACGTCAATGTCATGAATGTTCTGGTTTAACGTTTGTTCACTCTGCACTACATGACTCCTTATAGGCATGAATTGTCGGCTGGTTTAACGTCATTGGCTGCGCCGCATGACTCCTCACTGAATCTGCAGTTTTCACCTCAGCTGGTTTAACGTCATTATTCTGACTCTGCACTGCATGACTCCTTATAGGCTCTGCTATTGTCCCCTCGGCTGGTTTAACGTCATTGTTCTGACTCTGCGCTACGTGACTCCTTATAGGCTCTGCTATTGTCACCTCGGCCGGTATGACGTCACCTGTATTCTCCTGGGTCACTTGACTCTAGTACAAAATCAGTTTAACCAGAGTAGGCAAGAAGTGAAATACTTTGAAATCCTTGCTCAAACAACAGATTGGAAACTGGAGGAGATGAACTGATCCTTGCAATTTGTTCTACAAAGAGCCTATCCTAAATAACCTTCCGCAAATTTTTTCATGAATTGAAATTAACGTCTAGCAGGTGTCAAAGAGGTTTGAATGAAAACGTTTCAATTCAAGTCTAAATTACTTGCATATGAACCATTACTCCTCGGGCCTCTCCGTTGTTGGGCAATATTAGTTTTGTGGTCATTTTTGTTGGTGGTATGATGTCATCTTTGTTATTGTTTTTCTCGTTAGTCACATAACGCTATTAGGAAATCACATTGTGCTGTGTGAACCCTTTGGACTGGAAACTCTTCAAATTTGTAATATCAATAAATGGCTCTCTTATGTTAGTGACGATCTTAACAGGAACTATATAAAATTTCTTAGACATTTTCTGCAAAACTTAAATATTCCATGAGTTTGAGGAAAAATGTACTGTAAGCTATTGCGACTTCAGCCTTACAACACTTCTAACCTCCAAAGTTATCGGTGAAACAGGCCTTGGCTCGTCAAATTTGTACGGTGTTAGCTCTGAAAGGCCAGTAATTGCCTTGTTCATCACTGGATCCTGTTGGTATATGCAGTGACAGTTAACAACCACTCGTCTCAGTGTTGGTGGCTGGTGGTGGATAATTATCAAGCCGCGAAGTGGCGGCGGCTCGCTGTGAGTGTGTTTACCTCGCTTCCTGCAGCGAGTACAAAATGCGCAAATCCCGCACGCGTTCCCCTTTCCATGTTCTTAGCATATACTAATGATTACATACTCTCCATCTTAAATGGACCCCGAAGATTTTATCTATTCCTGAAAAATTTGAAACTGTTCAACACTTAGTAGATTTTAAATTCGATCTATCGCATGATATATGATGAGCGAGAGGCCCATGTTGAGTATCAGCTTGGAAATCGAGAGCAAATTATCCAAGTGCTTTGGCATGAATGAACCAGTCGTTAACATGTATTTACACGAAAGGCTCATTCTCATATTAAATAACGATACAAGAAGGTCACGCCATATACTATCCACTTAACACAACTTCTTTCACGGAATTGATAGCGAGCAGCTTTTGTGAAAGGAAAACTTTCGGCACGTATTACTGATGCAATATCCCCGTGAAACAATTACGAACTCGTCTCAGTTGTATGCTATAAATTGTTTACCTTATTGAATCGAGGATGAAGGACACGAGGATTTGGGTTCCCAGAGGAGGAAAAAATTGTGTAAATATACAATATTCCGGCCAATAGGCAAAGAACGCTGACCTCTGGATGGCGACACAGCTGCCGCACCAAACAACGTTTTAGGACAAGCATCCTGAAGTAAATAAAAGTGAGTGAGGGAAAGGTTCAATTTTATGAGCACGATAACCTATTACATACGGGTGCTTATGACGAAGACGTTTCGATTTAGCTCAAGGCAGGTAATCTTCGTACTTAGGTGCATTGGCTATTCGAGTGTCTACCACATCGTCAAACGGATTAAGGTCCTCAAACACTGCAGGCAAGTTCGTGGATATGGGATACACATCCTGCAAAAACTTTACTTTATTTTTGCCTCTGTTCAAAGACAAAAACAAAACATACAATGGTGTCCTAAATCAGACAATAGTGTCTTAAATCAGGTACGAGTTTCTAAAATCGGACTCAAGTGTTCAAAATCAGACACCAGTGTCCAAAATCGCACTCTAGTGTCTAAATTTGGACACTAGAGTCCAAGATCAGACACTTTTTTTTTGACAAAAATTGGACACGTGTCCAAAAGGTGACTTTTCAAGCTCGGAAACTAGTATCCGAGCTCGGACACTAGTGTGTTATTTTCCCTAATTTCCTTCGGTGGGTCAACACCTCAAGAAAAAAAACAGTCTCCCCGCAAGGTTCCATCACCGGCGTTCCTGACTTCGCGGTCGAATTCTTTTGATGACTGTTTCATGTTTTTCTTACGATTTATTTCGTTTACCAGGTCGACACGAGAGCCAGACAAACGAATTCACTATGTACTGTTGCCAAAAGCTAGGCATAACATGTTGGTGATATCCCAGTATATCGCTGCTTCGCTAACAAAAAGACAACCAGACACCATTGTTTTTGGAATAGAAATTTTCACGATGAGAGATAATGGTTTAATGGTCAGGTCCGAAAAGCATGAATTGAATTATTTCAGTTAAATTTTTCTCGGGATTTCGCTTTCATCTACTCAGACAGAAAAATATCAACGTCAAAACAACCCCTTCAAAGCTGGATGATTCAGACGCTGAACCTGGCATTATTTACCAAAACGAAAAACGCTGGTTAGAAGAATCTATCAGTAACATTTATTACAGTTCTATTTCCCATTTGTTGTGAGAGAGTTGATACGAAAAAAAATATGTATATTAACATGGACTAAATTTTCCGCCGAGATATCGCGGTTACTTATGAAAAATTTTCAACCATTCATTACGAATAAAACCTACCTTCCTTGCGTGGAATTTATGTTCTTTAATGACAAGAAAACGTCCGGCTGACAAATCTACCCGGCCTATTCAAGGCTTTTTTCTGAGTGATATTTATCCTGTTTGTTAATTTTTCTCGTGAAGTGTCAGGGCTATAATTGAAACCATGGAAACTAAAAAGACTGTGGAAAAATGCAAATTATGTCGTACGTAACTTCAAAGTGTACCTCGTTGATTCAATGTTGACGTGGTTTCAACAAAGGTCAGTTAATCACCGACGGTTTACGGCCACCTATAAGACATCTTAATTACCACCGTGTTTTCAGCCTGTTAGCACACTCTTTTGTTTGGTTTTCGCCGTCTGATGGCCTCTTCTCCGGGCACAGCTGCCTACTACGCCATCGGCAGCCGTGTATGTTAACTGTTATTGAAACCTCGGATGTTACTCTTAATTTACAAGTTTGCGCTCACGAAAATCGGATCCTGCTGGGAAAGAAAAGCTTGTCCATAGTAAATTTCAGTATAGGAGTTATCTTATGCAGCAGGTGGCACTTATTTGCATTCCCATAATATTCATAATGGACAAACGGAATCTAATTCTGTTTGAGGCCCATGAAAGTAAGCCGGAAGATTGCCATGTAAAGAAATTTTTAGCGAAAGTACTCATATTAGGCAGCCTTCTACACATTTTGGTTCAAGTGAGATCTCGGAAAGCGTTTCGATGTTTGGATTTGTAAACGGTAAAACTCCGTTTTAGAATTCACGTCGAGTTTACTTAATAAACGAATGATTCGTAATATGCATTGAGAGAAATTCTGCTTCGTTGTTGTAATCCATGTTTGAACAATGTTCTGCACCGTATCTGCGGTTTAATGTTGTTTGTTTGTTTTTTTTTGAGACAGATGGAGTACAAGACACGACTTCCTTTCGCTTTGTCCCTGAAAAATGTGCGGACATTCCTACGTTTGCGTCGACGTTCATGACTGGATAAAATACGCTGTCAATTAAAAAGTAAAGCCATGTAAAAAATTCAAGTGTATTTATTCAACATTATTGTACTCTTTATTAAATCAGCTGTAGAGCTATGACGATATTAAAATTATTGAATCTGTTAAAATTATTCATTTATAACTACTTTGCGTTACTATTATTGATTCAAAGATATAATAAGAATTTCTAGCCGAGTATAAGCTGTACGTTATTTTCTTATTTTCACTATAGTTGCGCTATAGCTAAATTTCACTAATACAGTTATTCAATTAAAAGCTTCCCAAAATTACACAATTATACTGCTTCACTTAAAAACTATTCCCAACCAAAAATCTCCTATATGATCTTGCTGAATAGGGAATTCCACAAAATAGCGTTGAAGCATTTGTAGAAGTTTTGAAAGTAAAAGTTATTACAATCTTGAATTAAAATTACTTTAATGGCGTACGTAGAGAGAAACAGTTCGCTTGAACGAAACAGCACAGAAATCTTTAGAATTGGAATCAAATTTGTAACGTGTTAAATCATTGAAAACGATCACACATGTCTCAGGTAACTAACCAAATTAAATTGGTTAAAAGGGTTTGAACCATCCTTCAGAAATGGCGACGAAAAATGTAGCTATTGAATTGAAATAACGGGAAATTTGCGGTAGCATCTACAAAATGCACTCTTGTTATTTGAAAACTTCCACTCTTTTCTCCAGGTGTTGTTTAGCCGAGATAAACAATTTTGATTTTCCAAACTTACAGACATTTGTGACTGGTAGCCTGCGTGACAGACTTACGTTCAGTTAACAGAGATAAGAGATAAGGTCTGTAACGCATGCTAAGTAGCTAGGAGTGTTGGCGGCCAGTTTTCCTGTCGTATTAACATTTGTAAAAGAGTGGATACATGTTTAATTTTAACCACCATTTTTAATAATAAATTTCTTGGCCTTTTTACCGGCTCACGAGCCATATATAAAATACATCCCTAGAAGTACCAACCACTATTTCTAGATGACCTTTTCTAATTTCAAATCCACTTATGTAACGTGATTTAAGGTAAATTCTTTAATGTTTCTTAATTAAATTTTTCATATATTTCTTTTACTAAAGATTCGTGAATTTGTGAAACAATTGGACTACCGCCCGCGATTGACAATCTACCTTAAAATTTAGATGTGACTCTAACTTAATTGATTTTCATGTCGGGGAACTAGCATCTGAGAAACTGATCTTTGCACAAGCTATTGTTGCCCAGAAACGTAACAACTGAGTACTCGCGCCGTTCTCCGATTGGAAAGAAACTTGCACGCCCAACAACTCTTCAAAATAAGTTTCAACAACTACCTATTTCAAAATAAGTTGTTTTCACAGGGTTGACCTAGAATCTGTTCAAAACTGTTTGAGGATAATTTTCTCCCATTCAATTTGACAAAAAATTTCAGCGTAAGCTTTGATCTTAAATCAAATTTTATACTAATCCTGGGTTATCTTAACCCAGCTTTGAACAACCCGGCCCTGGTCATTTATCTGAAATAATCCAGAATGGGTGGAGATAAACTCTTCAGTTTAAGAACGTAAAATGGTAAATCTTGGTTCACAAGTCGAAAACAAATAACTCCAAGAAACATTTAGTTTTTTAGTTGAAAGAGTAGCACATCTCGGGAAAAGCAATTTGATTCAAATAATCGAGGAGAAGGAAGTTTTCCATCCAGAACATATCTGGCCGAGAAATCTTTCATTTAAGTTTGAAGATTTCCTTCTACATCGACTCTGATATCAAAACTTTGTAAACATTTTCAAAAAAAGTTGTAACATTCTTCAAATGTACCCATGCGTCACAAATTCTTTTCATTCTGAGCAAATGAAGCGCCTTTGCATTGAGTGTCGTAAAACCGAATCAAAGTAATCCCAACGGCCAATCAGAGCAAAGCGCAGCCTAAAGCGCGGGAAAACGCGGACGAACAAGCCGCGACTGGTTTAGCCTTGCACCTGATTGATTGAAAACGTGGCGCGATTTTTCTGAACCAATCACATGGCGATTTGAAGCAACACCAATGCAGAGTCGAATTATTTCCGACAATCGATTGAAACTTGCTCTTTGTAGAGAATACAGCTTAGAAGCTGTGACATCCAAAATAAATGGTGTGGAAACAAACCATATCTAAAACAACAGAACTTCTTTCTTGCGAGACACTTGTTTCCAGGCTGGCAGCTTGTAAAACTCTTCTCTCGGCATTGTAAACACTTCACGGAATTCCTCATCGGTGAGATACGTCTGAAAAAATACAACGTTAAGATAAAGAATTCTGAAAAACCACAAATCAAAAGCTTTCAATCTTCAAAGTAAACTAAAACGAGGAAAGATCCATATTTGACGACGGATGACATATTAATTTTTAAACAAACATTTTGTATGCAACTTTCATGAACTACCAAAGTTTCGACTGAACTCAACATAAATTTGCAAATTTGGTTACGTGAGAAAGTCTTATCTAAGTATGTGACGTTGGAGTGCAATTTCACCTAGAAAACGAAAACATTTCCTTAGGTAACCGTCAAAATGTTTTTAAATATATGCCAAATTTTGTGATTTCGAGTTGTTGATGTTCAGAGTACGGAGTGGAAATAAAAGCATCAAGACCGACACAGTTGTTGCGACATGCTTGTTTTCTTTGTTGTTGTCAATGCGGCTTACCTAACAACATACTGAAATGCTCACCTCGAGTTTCGTCTTATCCGCTTCTCGTGGCAACTTGTAGTTTGTCGTTTTGAGATCTTTATAAGCGTAAATCTACGAACAGGGAAAACAAAACGAAATAAATCAATCAGTGAGTTACACTTAATTTTGTGGTCTGATCGTCCGAGTGAGGGACTGGGTACTCCTGAGAAGGACGTTGTCGAGTGTAATGACTGACGTTTCCACAGCCTTTTGACGGAAGTCATCGTCAGAGTTAAGTGAAAAGTTGTTGTCAGTCGAATGTTGTATGTCCAGCCCGTGTAAACTGTTTGATCAGTTTTACCGTGATTTTATCGCCTATTAGACCCAGGTAGCGCAAGTCGATCGTTCCTGGACATCTGTTGAGATGCCAAAGAAAACTATTCACGAAATTTACGCAACAAACGAGCCGAACACAACGACCCGACACTACTTTTGTATCTAGGCTGAGTTTCTTTTTTGTCTCTGTGCAAAAAGATGAACGGATTACACCTTAGTCAAGCGCCCTCCATCTCACACAATCGTGCTCGGTTCCACGCCCCTCCCTTACAGTCCCCCTTCATCCCCAATACCACCTACCTGAGGTTTTTTGTCGACACTTCTCTCGAATTCTGCCATATCTAACGAGTCTTGCGAACCTACGGAAAAATAATTCGGGTGGTCATTGGAGTATATCGAGAGACTTTCGCGTGGTAATCGGAGTATATCAAGAAACCTTCGGTTGTTAATTGGTATGTTCGGAGTTTATAGCTTTTAGTCTCACTTTCCCGTTTCATGAAAAAGAGTGACACTTCGTTTTTTAACCAATAAGAAACGACCTCGCTTTGGCTCATGAGAAACAACAGTCAGTTTTCAATTGTTAAGGGAGGAGTCGGTGGCGCAACACATGCATATACTTACCTATTCTCCGTGGTGATTCATTCAGACTTGCCTTGAAATAAAAATTAAATCAAGCAGTGATTGAAGAGATACAAACTACAGGCACCACATTAGGCTTATACTGCTAGAATCTCAGCAATAAAAATAAAAACAAAAACAAAAACAAAAAAAACAGCAGCAACGATAAATTTAGTTTACAAAGTGAATTAGGCTTACGCTGCTAGAATCTCAGCAAATAAAAACAGCAACAACAACAGACCACCATTAATTTAAGTTTAAAAAGTGCTGACAATTTAAAAACTCAAACTGTACTTTAAAAAACGAGAGGTAACTGCAAAACTAAGAAGAAAAACTACCAAAACATTCAAAATAAAATTACTTTCACCTTTCGAAGATAGGTGAGCTTATCTGACTAAGCTTGATACAAAAGTGCAACCAATGCAATAAAAATGCGTTCCTACCTCTTGCCTGGCAGTGATCTCTCTGTATGAACTGCTGTTATCTAGATGCAGGGGTAAAAATAACAAGTTTGTAAAACCGTAACCCTTGGCCTCCAAAAAACAAAATTTAAAAACTAACCGTAACTTAGTTCAGGATCTACCATAAATGCTCCAAGAAAGAGCAAAAAAATTTCGAGCTCACTGCCACTACCCTTTAAACCCTATCATTTCCTTCTTATCTTCGAGTAAACGCGGCGTTCTTGTGAATGGGAGCAGCGTTTATTCCAGGACGGTGTGACGTCTTTTAACTTCTATCAGCGGCGTTTATTTGAGTAATTAGGGCATTGCAATAACAGTCACGGGGTTCATGAGCATCCATTTTTACAGTTCATGATAATACGACATTAACAGTTCCAATACTTACAGGCTCCAGTGTCTTTGTTCGAGGTAGAACTTGACTGATACCGAGATTGTTCCACCTAAAGAAATATTAAGGTCTTTAATTTCATTTTTTACCCCTTCGATCTTGAATTTTCAAATCCATACTTTTTCCTACAATGTATCTGCCACACATCTCTTGAAATTTTAGTTCCGAAAATTAGACAATTGGGCCCAGTAAGTGATGATTTATCTTTATTCTCATAACTTGTCTAAATGACAGTCTACTGATACCGAAAGGAGATATCATTAGGATTTAGAGCACAATTCAAATCGGCCGATACGTTTGTGCGCTTGTTGACCAAGATCAGATGTGTTCCGTTTAGGAAAATTTTATTTGTCTTTTTACATAAATTGCAAAACACCGAGGAATAAAAGTCGGTTTGGCATTTACATTTATAAAGTTTGATGGACATGGTCTCTACGGACTAGTATATACTTCATGTAACATTCTTGTTCATTCTCCCACGTTGTGGCGAGATGTTCCTGCTGGCGAGTTCGCTGGTCCAAGTCTGCTTGGTGGCCACTGGCTTACGGATACCGAAAAGTTTGTTCTTCTTTCTGAGGCGATTTGTTTTACATAAAGCCCAGTCTAGCATTTACTTGCAAAGATGGATATGGTTTCCATTCTGATACGCGACATTCTTATTCATTCTCCCACCTGAAGTTCTTGTGGGAGTTTGTTCTTCTTTCTGAGGGAGGGACGGGGAGCTTCCTCCTCTACAAAATGTACCACAAAAGTTAGTTGATAAACTTGGAAATATACGAAAGATACTGACCATTATTCTTACACGATTATGCCATTTCACCATGTTAAGGTAGCACAACGCAACGAACTTTTGGATCATTGATTTTTCTGCTTGTCGTAACGAACACTTCATTTTTTTGTTTATTTTTTTATACTCAAATAGAAAATGTGACGGTTTGCCTAATCAAACTTGAATGACTTATGTTAAAGAAAACATGCGAAAATAGATAGCTATGCATGATAGTTCGGAAATGGTGGCTAACTTGTAATATCACATAGAGAGCACATTTTGATTGAGTGTCGTAAAACCAAAATCACAGTTGTCACAACAGCCAATCAGAAGAGAGGAAACTATCGCGAGAAGCCAATGAGAACTCGTTGTACAAACAAGCAAACTGCCCAAAGCGCGGGAAAAACGCGGGCGACCAAGTCGCGATTGCTTTTAAGTTTTTGAACTGATTCGTTCAGGAACTGGCGCGAGTTTTCTGGACCAATCACAGAACGACATGAAGCAGAACCAAAGCATATCACGGATTACATCTCATAGAAACAATTCAAGCCCTTACCAGGATACTGATATCCATTGCGTGGACCTCCCTGGGAAAAAAGATGAAGAAATTAGGTTGGGTTAAAGAAAGATGTTACACGTCTTGTCACGAGCGTGGGACACAGAAGAAAAAAACAAAAACAAACAAACAAAAAAAAAACCTAAGTACCCACGAGGGCTCGAACCCCAGATTTGCGGATTTCTGCACGCGGATGCTCTACTACGGAGCTGCAGAGAGTCCCAAGGTGAGTCATACCATTAACCAGGAGTATAGCCAATTCTCAAGGAGCGCTATCCCACCGCAGGCACCCCGCTCCCCCACGTATTTTGCTAAGTATTCCTGATACTCACTCATACTCATACTTGCTTGTCCAAGAACACTACACAATAATCCATGGTTAAGCTTAATTTTTGAAACCTTCGTTCAGAAGTCCAGTATGCTGCACACTTGCATCTCCCACCAAAAAAAAATTTAAACAGTTTATTTTTTATCTCGCATTGACTTACTAGAAATCATAAATTGCAACCGTTGTAACAATAACCGAAAGAATTTAAGTTACGTTTCTGTAAAGCATGTTTGTGATTTAGTTTAGATAAGTAACTCACAGAGTCTGTTTCCAGTTCACCATTCTGAGCTGCTGCAAAGCTACAATCTGGATGCCAAATTTCAGATCCTGTAAACAAATTTGAGATAGATCATCATCTGTTCACACAAAGGGCCTCATCATATGAGCAAAGAGAACTTGACTGGCTTAGTCTTTGAGATCTTTTCTGATTATTTTCTCATTTCAAAACCAGTGTGAGACGAGAATGAGTTGTCAGCCTGACTGTGACTAAATGTTTAATAACTTTACAACAAAATCACCCCATCCCACCCCACTGATGTGGATGAAACTTGAAAGCCTGCCCCTTGATCACCCTGAGTAGGTTGAAGTCTCAGTTTAGAAATAGGCTGAAATTCTGCAAATGTGTATCAACCAAAGTTAAAATTGATCACAATTACTGGGTCAGCTCACTCACAGGACTCATAGAAAGAATCCTCAAGATATTGGATTAATTTTGGCTATAAAGCTTTCACAATAGCTCCTTACCTTGCAAAAACATCTCTTGACCCTCACCAAACACTCCATGACACCTTGCACAGCGTGAACAATGAGGGTGATAATGTTTTTCACCAGCCTGAAACAAACAAATCAGCCAGCATTTTTATTTTTAGAAAAAATAACTGAGGAATGGGGCCACAAGAAGAGGGGAGGGGGGAGGGGGAAACAGAATGGGGACTGAGAATAGGAAAAGAGAGCTGCACTAATGGTCCAAGGCTAATCAGTTAGGGAATAACTATCTGATGGCCCTCCACAAAATACTCAACAACTATCATCTGATTAAAGGAATACAAAACAATTTGTGAATCTTGTACAGTGAAGTATAGCTTTTTCAAACAAAATTTGTAATCCATCTTTATCTCATCCATCTTTGAAGCCAGCATCCCCCCCTGCCCTGGTTTATTCTGACCCCTGCCTCTTGTCATTGTTCAATTCTAACCCCCTGGACACGTGTTTATCCAACAAATTTGAACATGGCTGCATAGCTACTTTACCTGTAGGACCTTTCCAATAATATATCCGCCACAGCCAGCGCAAGTCACACCAAACTCTGCTTGATAATCTTTCTCACAGTAAGGCTTTCCATCCCTAAAAATAACAAAAAAACAACAGACTTGTAGACCTCTCATCCATCATAATTTAGTAACCAAAGAGAAGAAGTTATCCCAAGAAATGTAGAGAAGATGGTATGTCCAAGAATTGGGGACTCACTGGGAAAAAAATGTCACCTTTCCTTATGTGTTGGATTATCAACTGCTACAGGGCTGAGTTAAAGTGTTTCCAGTTGCAATGGTTGATCTCCATAGAACACAACTTATGACAAAACAGATTGACTCTAAACGTTGAGGCTCAGCACTGTATACAATTAAGTAACAACAGCCTGGTTCAATTTTTCAGGAAACTCCTGAAAATAAAATAGATATTATATGTGATTGAACTAACCTGCCCATGTACTCTCCAGCCAGCAAGCAGGCACATTTTGTACATGTAAAGCACCAAAGATGCCATTGTTTCTCCAGAGCTAACAATGACTGGCCACTGCGAATATCTTCTCCACAACCTGCACACCCTAAAGAGAAATTCACAGCATTAAAAATCAGAGGAAAACTAATTATCTCATAAATGTATACAAAGCGGTTTAAATTCAGTCTGACATCTTGGTATAAAATTTTTCTAATTTAGAAAAAAAAAACAACTTTGACTTGACTTTCCTTACCACAATTTTCAGTTGAACTTACTATCAAGTTTGCGTACTCTTGAATCATTGTTTATCTCCTTTGAACTGCATTGTTGGCAGAGGTAATGGTTACCCTTAGCAACAACTTTCTCTCCTGGAGGAAATGGATTTCTACAACAAATGCAAAAGATGGTGTTTGAATACATTGAATACACGGAAGAGATGGTGTGTCAGAGTGGTCTAAAGAAATATAGTTATATATGTCATCAAATGAAGGATTGCATGAACAGATAGAGTGTATTGTTTTATTATATTTGAAATACATTGTGATTACTATCATCTAAGGTGAGACATTTGCAATAGAAACTATAATTTTTTTGTCCACAACTGCAAAATAAGTTGGTTATTATGACACCAACAACCCCATGAGATTTTTGTTTTCATACTTGCCATCATCTGATTTTGTTAATCACTCATATGATTACAGACTGAATTATACTCCAATCAGTCTTACCATTACTAATATACCCTCATGCTTGACAATCTCTTTTATTTTCTTTTAAATTTAAATGGTCCCAGGTAAAGGTTGTTTTTTAAGTATAAATAATAAAAGAACATTAAAAAAAACCTCACCTGCAACCAGTGCAAACAAAGCAGCGCAAATGATATGCATTATTACCAATGTTGATTCCTTCTCCTTCCACAAATAGATGACAAATGAAGCATTTTGTGCCAAAGCGTTCCTGGAAGTCTTCAGGACAGTAATACTGGTTGCTTTCCACAAAAAATCCAATATTTTCCAAGTCCTTGCCACACACTGTTTTAATCAAATCAGAATGTTATCTCAATTGTTTTCATGATGAAGTGGTAGTAGAACTTGATAGTTATAACATTGAATTTTTGTATGGCAAATAATGGATGCATGTATCTCTAGTATGGCAAGAATTCTAAGTTGCAATAATGTAATAGTGAAGATGAGAGTAACCTTCGTGGTAATGAACACTACTTAGGTAGTAGTGAAAATAAAGCTTCCATTTTTTTTAAGGCCTTATTTTCACTATTGCTTAACCCTTTCACTCCCACAAGTGACTAAGACAGAATTTCTCCTTACAATAACAATACAATATCAAGCAGGCAGGTGATGAGAATAGAGAAGAATATCAATCATGGGATTATTAGTTGATCCAATATCAAATTCTCTGAACTAACATCATAAGAATTGTATGGCAGATAGTTAGGAGAATTACTAATCAGATCTTGGGAGTGAAAGGGTTAAGTAGTGTTTATCCTTGCAAAGATCACTCTAATCTTCATTTGTTAATCTGCTTTTGCGGATTGTCGTTTCGAGGGTATAGAGTTGGGCAAATATCAACTTGTATTTGCATCAGCAGAGAAGGTTTTTGTGAAGCCATTTCTATTATTGATTAGAAAAAAAAACAAAATATAATATACCATCAGAATATAATATACTATCTTTCCATCAAACAAATTATAGTGGGTAAACCTTTGAGTGCAGTTGTTTGTCTGCTTCAAAGTATCATTTACAATCAAATGGAAGAAACATTGTCAAATAAATTAACAGCAGCTACACTCAAGGATTGTTGATTGAAAAATATAGAGGACAGCAAATATAAGCTCATATTTGTGACTACAGAGGAGGTTTCATCAAAGCCATTTCTTTCCTGGCTCAAGCAAATGCTTCACCATTTTACTCACCAGTTCTGTGTGTATTTTGATTTTTTCGCAAGACAGTGCTTCTGGTTTTAATTTAGCTCATTAGGATCAGTTACATGCTAATTTCCAGATTGCAGTGATGCGCAACTAATCAGGGGGTGCTTTGCTTTTCAACAGCCTCTTTGGGCTGGCATCTTTTTGCCTTTCCCCACCCCCCTCCACCCACCACCTATATCTCCAAATCAAACATGGTGGGTTGAATAAATGATTGTAAGCTTCTTAACATTAACTTGCCCTTGTAAGACACTTACACTACAGGCTGAATTGGTTATTACACAAGGTAATTATGTCCCAGTTTATAAGAATACCAAATGGGGCCAATATCTTACAATTAAAATTATTTGCTTGATGAAAGTGGTTTTACTGTATGGGTGACTGGTCAGGCCAAATAAAAAAAGAATGTTAGAATTTGGAAACCAGTCTAGCCTTTGGCCATAGGAAGTGACAAAGAATTCACTCAGGCTGCCAACCTTTTGGCAAAGCATCTAAATTTGCACACAGTTGCATAGAAATAAACCTTAGAAATCTTCATTTCACACCAATGAATCTAAGCATAATTATTATACTCTTTTCTTTTAGAAAAAGGTGCACTGTTGTTGAGTTTTTTTAATGTTAAAGGCATGAAAAATGCCCTTAATTATTCTCTCCACACGAATCATTTTGTCTTCAATGACAAGCCTTCAAAAGAGGCGGAACATACAAAGAGAATTTTGATAAGAAATGTCTCTCTCACTGACACATATTTGCAATTGCTTAAAATTTTGCAATAGCGAAAAACCTTGTAAAAAGCCTTGTGTTTGAACCTGTTGTTTTTTTTTAATAAAAAACAATCAGTTCAGGAAGTCTGCTTCACAATCTGCGCAAGGGACTCAACATAACTACCTATCCTTCCCTATGGAACTGTTATCTTTCCCGCTTTGTAATTCAATCATCCCTTTCATCAAATGATTGATTAATCGATCAAGGTCTAGTGAAGACAATATCACTTGTGGCTTAATTAATTCTAAAAGATAGTGATATCAAATTACGACTAAATATTTTTACTTTAATGGTTTAACTTGTGGTTCGAAGCTAGGGTTCTTACTATCATCTCAGTAAATCTAATTGACGACTTTTTTCACTAAAAGGTTTACTTCTGGATTTTCGAGACTCGAATTTTCGCCAGATATTTCATAGTTTGGAAACAATGAACCTATTAACATTCGTTAAACCGTTAATATGCATTTCTCGGACCAGTTAACACGAACGTTAAACTTTTAGTTCAGCTTGTCTACACAAACTGGCACAGGCTCCAACACACTTAAAATTAACGACGAACTAAAAACGGCGAACAAATAATTACAATGTATTTAACAACGCTTAATGGCGCCAAACAATACCTGTAGTTTTATTTTGTTAGCTTTGAGGGTGGAAATATAAACAACGACTTGAGTTACATATGAATATGATGAATAATAATGAGCGCCCTTGCCAACGTTTCAATAGAGAAAATTCGATTTCATTGCCTTTTTACCTTAGGTCAAGATCTTGAAATGAAAAGTACAGCGGATCGGAAAATAAGGCGTCACATCTGATAATCGCCTTTAAAAGATTTACCACTCAGACGCTAGCCATTTGATTATTTATTTAAATATCAATTTGCCATACGAACCTTTTAAGACAATTTTTAAAGCAAGTAGTCATGTCAGGCCTTATGTGGTATCCGCAGGCACATATCGACGACAAACACTAAACGGTCATACGCGGTAGATACCTTAATTTCTGGACGAAACATATCAAATATTCTAATCCCGGAAAACAGTTGTTTGAAACGCCACAGATCGTCCATTTTTAAGACAAAAAAATGACGTGAATTTCAAACATGCAAATTGCTGTGCCGAATGAATAGCGATGACACGCGATACGCGATTGGAAGCAAAAATTACGCTCTAAATCTGCGTTCATTTCTGTTTTACTTACCCAAGCAAACCAGGCAGTCGGCATGAAAAAGTTGATCGTTCACTCGCAGCGATTCACCTGCGCAAACCTTCCTACATCGAAAACAGCGAAGCGAGGATTCCCTGTCTAAAAGATAAAGCATATCCGAAAGAAAACAACTCGAAATGCACTGAGCTCTAAACTTTAAAATCGCGAAGTATTCGAGGATTGTAAAAATTAATTATTGGCTTTGATTTACGATCTCACTTACCCATTGATGTTTTGATGTTATAATTCCTCTATAGGACAAACCCTGTGTATTTCTAAGAACACAATAAAATGTTATTAAACAAAGACAGCACGAGCGAGCCGTCGGCGGTCGTTCAATTTCAAATCCACCCCCAAATATACCATCCACAATGCCTTTCAGTCCTCAAGCGGAAACTACCCACCCGGCATATTTTGCGCGCTTGATAAGATTAATCGAGTTCCTTTCAGATCACGTAGTCAACAATCACAACGATTTTAGCCTCAAGACTCAAGCAAATTTTCGGCGGATTGATTCACTGTCAGTTGATTTTCCGTCTTGCATCGACTAAGTAAAGGAGGAAGCCTTAAATAAATCTGCTGGGATGTTGCTTGGTACATTTTTTTCCCAGGTAATTCGCTAGGATCTTTTCTCTTTTCACGTTTATTCAAGTATTTTTCCCCCTTTCACAACGGAGCGGAGCCGCACTTTAATTACGTGACATCAACGCAACAGGATAATTGCGGTTGGCGCAAGGCAGAATGTGCGTTTGAAAATAGTGGAAAACAAGGAGTATTATAGTTACTGCAAAACGAACGCAGTTTTCTTTAAAGTGTACTGAATAGAATCAAAACGCTTTGGATTCGTCGAGGGGCAATCAATTCTACTTAACTTTGTAAGGCGGAGATGGAGTAAAAGATAACGAAAAAGGAAATTGGATAAAAACAAGGCAAATTGAAGAAATGAGGTCGAGATTGATTCCTTACTCGTTGTGGCTTCCGAAACCACAATTTTTTGGCCTTTGAGACCTTTGTATACAATCAAGTTCCATAGCTTCCTAGAACGTTTAAGAAACCTGCACATAGGTGAGGTTCAAGAAAACGAAATTGTTATTTTTGTTTCTGACAATTTTGGTAGCTGGCTAATTATTTCATTCGCAAATAATTATTGAAATAAAATTCAAAGTTACTTTTCGTGGATGAGTGACGAATTAAACTTTACAGGTTAACTGCAGATAAAATCAGGGAGTTTGGCCAAAAATAAGATGAATCATTTAATTGACTGAGAAAACGTATCGAAGTCAAAAGAGTCAAAACCACAACAGCAGGAGTGCCGTGCGGTAGCGGACCACAGAGTGAATCTGATCCGAAGATGTACCATCGCAGTCGTGGAATTCCATTCAATCACAGCTGAGCGCCACAGAGTATAGGTTACGCGTACTCAATCGAACTCATCGCCTGAAGAAGACTACCAGTAAGTCGAAACGTCACGATCTACATCCGAAGTGATCACATCAAAAGAGAAAAATGATTACAATTCTCTTTTGAACGTGTTATTTACCACGATGACTAACTAAAACCTGTTTTACGATATGTGAGTTGAGCTATCAACGGGGCTCAAATAGAACCTGTGAGTTCCAGGAAAGAGAGATTCACGTTATATCAATTTACGTTTATGAAGATCTGTGACTTAAGAAAATTTGTTTCATTCGATTTCCAAGCTCCTTAAATCCTATATAGTAAATACACCATTGGATAGCCTTGCATTTTTAACCGTTTTATTCTCGATAGTTAATAAAAAACAAAGGAGAACAATATTTCGTGTTCACATTTCTAATCGATTTTCAATGATTATACTTTGTTGATGGTCTGTTGCACCCAGAACTTGAGATCCATCATATCAGCGTACACCCCATATCTTCCTTTGCGCGCGCATCCCTGTCCCCAGCTGATGACACCCATAAGATACCACTTGTCGTTCCTCACGCACACTAGCGGCCCTCCACTATCTCCTTGGCATGCGTCAATTTTTCCCTCACTGTAGCCTGCACAACGCATGCGGGTTGATATTTTGTATCCCAAGTCGTCGTACCCTTCTTGACAGGTTTCACGAGACACGAGAGGAACTTTCGCTTGCTGCAAAATCTGGAAATGGTGAGTAACACAAATGTTGAAAGTATGATAGTTAATTGATTACATAGTTGTTCTGAATTCGACTTTGTCACAGAAAGCCCTCATCTAAAATTTTTGTCCGAACGATTTTCAGCCAATTTTGTTGTTATTCAGCCTGGAATTCGCCTTGCACATCTTTCTACTAAACGACTGAGATATGTTCACAAGTTATTCATCGTAACATCGGCATGTTATTACGCTGGATGGACTAGTCTGTTTATCACAAACCTGCGCAATATTTCCATCCTCAGAGGTGTAGCCCCACCCAGTTACATAACAATTCGTTCCAGCATCGAAGTCCGATTTAGCTAAGCACACAGGCCTCACGTGATTGTTGTACTTAATGGGGTTCTTCAGTTTGACTAGTGCCACATCGTAGTCATGATTTGCAATCCTGTTATATTTGGGATGTGTGATGATCTCCTCAATTGTCGTATTTTGTTCAAATCCGTCCACTGCGTTAAGGTCATGTTCACCTTAAAGATTAGAATTAATGTCAGTATCTGGGCAACTGCGAACCTACCCCTCCCCTTTACCCAAAAACAGTCAACTGATAGCAACTTGGCGTTAATGTTGGGCTAGGGGAGGGGTTGGTGCGCAAATGCTCTGATACTGACATTAATCCTGAGATAATGATAGAAAAGAATTGCACTGCAAAAAAATAAATGGAAGTAACTTCTGGATCCTTTTAGTTGTCTCTTCTTTTCGGGGTGGTCCGTCGCGCCAATTGAAAAGAAAAAGATCAGTGAAAAAAATTGATGTCAGCGCGTCGCGACGATATCTGGAAGTGAGGCGCTCTAAGAGAGTTCTGCAGGGCGCTCAAACTGATTTTTTTTTATTCGCGCGGCAGACTTCGCCGAAAAGGGGGGAATGCTCATAGTCTAGGATCATTTCCCCTTTTCCCACAGACAGGATTGATCAGAACTAATTGTACGAGATAATGATCCAACAAAGGTCACCAACTATTGCTAACAGCTCGCTAGAACCCAGTCATTGGTGCTGTTTGGGTAGAAACACTGTTAGACAGCAAATCCAGTGTCCTAACCCCACAAAATGAAAATGAAAACAAATCTCCTCTACCTGCAACAATGCTGTACTTCCTTGGGTCATCGCCATTACCAAAGCAATGAGCAGCGGTAACTATCCAATGCGGGGTCACTATTGAGCCACCACACCAGTGAGGGCCAGGATGTCCCTTGTAGTCCATCGTCACCTGCCATGGCCAAGCCCCAGGCCTTGCGTTTGTGCCGCCCACAATTCTGCTACCGACCGCTTTCCTGCCACATTCCACGCTTCCTAGGTAAGGGAAAAGTGTAATGTTTATTTTCTCGCCTAGAGATCATCTGAGGAAGAGTTCGTTTGTTTCCCGTGAAACTGAAAAGGACCAGAGAGAGAACTTAACATCGCGTGTCAAGATGGTGGAATGTAGAGAAATTTGACTTCCCAGTGGTTGAGATTCGATCCCCAGCCATCTGCTAAACATTCTGTGACAGGATCGTAAATCCTAAGGAGTTGGTCGCCCTCGTTCCAATAAGCGCCCTCCCTTTAAGGTTTTTATTTTTATCAAGCGCCCCCATCCTAATAAGCAACCTTATTCTCTTTCAGTGATAGCACTGTTAAAGTACGTCTGCATTGAGATCAAGCGTGGTTCACCCTCCTTTAATTGCTCTCTTAAGGCCTCATTGCCAAAACAGTGGTCTTGCCGCTCCTGTTATTATTCCTTTTCAAATAAACATCAAGGCTTTGTTTTCCACATTTTGCTGTTCCTCAAAAAAAAAAAAAAAAAAAAAATAAAACCAAAAAATTAAAGAAGGGCACCCTATCCCTAATAGGCGCCCTGTTTCGAATAAGTATCCTCCCTAGAGGTACCACAGGGAATTAAGCGCCCCGGGTGTTAAATCAAATCATTCCGGTAACTAAAGATCGATCACGGGGTTGACTGGGGAACACATGAAACTGTTGGCTGTTGTGACATTTGAACTGTCATCTTACCCTGGTCAATAGGCTGCTCTGTACGAGGAATTGTTGTCGGTGGTATAGTTGGTGGTGTGACTAGAAATTGAAGAAAACGAATGAAAAATAAATATATTGAACCTGGGAATCTTTTCATGGTAAGGTGCTGAGCAGGAGAGCTTTTTTATGTGATACTGGTCACCAAGAAACGTCACGCCATATAAAGATGGTGACACAAAATCTATCGCGCAGTTATTGCTTAATGTCAGAAAAAAAATAAATAAGGATTTGCTTCCGCAAGGATTCACTTAATCCTCAGTGCTAACGTGCAAAATCCCAGCAGTTACCGTTAACTGAGTACTTTAAACTCACTCTAAAGTATTGGGCTAAAGCAGCCATGAGAGCCTTTCAGTATTCTTCACCATTTGGTCAACAGCTGAGAGTTCACCCGGTCATTTAACTGTAGCTTGAAGAGACCTCTTTATCATTGAGCCTCTCTGTTTATCCAGTAAGCTTATTATACGCAGTACCCACAATAACGTGAACTATTTGCTTGCTTTGGGTCTAGAGTTCAAAAGTAACCTGGCTAATACCCAGTTTGTTCATTTATGTGCTTGTTTGTTTGTTTGTTTGTTCAATAACTCGAAGTGGTCTATAAATTGCCGTTCATACCTACGCACACCACACAGGTTCTTGCACAGAAGCGCCTCACTGAGCTTCCAATAACAGGGTCGTTACATCGATTCTTGATTACGTGGCAGTAGGAGACACGGTCGAAGCATGCTGTGAAGAAAAAACAACGATGAGTTCTCAAAAGTATGCAGTCGCTTCGTACTCACTGTCATTTTGTACTCGAAGTCAGTCGATTCGTACCCAGTTTGAGTCGTAAATTAGCCACCGTTAAGGGTAAAAACGCTGACGTTTCGAGCGTTGGCCCTTCGTCAGGACTCTGAGGACGGGTCAACGCTCTAAAAGTCACCTTTTTTACCCTTTACGGCGGCTAATTTACGTTTCCAAATCAGTTGTTAACACTAAATTACCTGTTATACTCTCCCACCGACGCAACACCGCAGTTTCTTTAGAAACTTACCCCCCTTTATCCAGTTTGAGTCGGTTCGTTCTCAAACCGCTGACAGGTTCGTACCTGTCTTAATATACTTTTATTGAAATACCTTACGCGCGAGCGCGTGAGCAGATGTTGATCGTTGTATACGACAATTTAGTACAGTCAAGTGATAGAGATGCAAGGGAAATTCTGTTGGGTATACTTGTGACCATCTAAACAGAAACAACTGAATTGTTGCCTAGCGCAAGGTAAATGTGCTTTTTCGGTTCCAGGCCTTACATTTGGTGGTTGAGTATCAAATATGGACGTTACGTAATTAGAACTTATTTAACGCAGGCGATAATGATATTTAAGATAAGAAACTGGCCTTATTTTAAACATACTTTACACGGAAAACATACTTTATTGATATGTCAGTTGAGTCGTTTCGTACGGTACAAAACGACTCAACGGACTGGGTACGAATGGTCCTAGCTTGGTGCGAAACGACTGGGTACGAAACGACTGGGTACGAAACGACTGGGTAACCTAAAATAAATTTGAAAGTAACGGGACGATATGAATTCGAACTGGTGAGGAGCAACTTGAAAGGAGTAAACTGTCAGGGGAGTATTACCCTATGGACAATCTCAGACGGAGGTACACTCTAGAATAAACAACTTATAAAGGGAAAATAATGAAGATGTCGTGCTTGGAACTGTTGGAAGTTACCAATTTTTGGAGACCATGAGGCATTTAGGGACAGTTTTAAAGGAAAAGTTATGAAAATGTGCCGCTTGAAACTGTCGGGAGGATGCATGCCATTTGATAGAGACAGCTTGGCAATGAGGACAATTTGAGTGGCGGATCATTTGGTAGGGGACGCTTAATAATCTGAAAAGTTTGCATGGATACCCTTGAAGACCTGACTTAGAGCTGAGATGACTAGAAAATGATACTGTAGAAAGCCTTTGAAGAACAACGTATGTAACTGGAAGGCTCTTGCAATTACCACAGGTGAATATTTTATTTGGTGGTGACTTGTGAAAAGACTTCCCGATTCCCTTCGTAAGAACAGTGATCATGAGCACCCTTCAAGAAATAACTTCTGTAGAATTCTTACTCTGTTGAGCTATTCTTTCTACGATATGTTCTGTCACCTTACCAGATACACGTTTGCTATTTCATACACCTCCTAAGTTTTGAATTTTTCTTAGGGTATCTTTTATTTTCCTTCTTTCCCGGGAATTTTCGATGATACGCCTTTAAACAGGAGCTCTGTCCACTATTTCTGGTGACTCTGGGAAGGAGTAACTTAAACAAAGACATATAATTCAAGTAGATTTTAAGGACGCCAGGCGTTTAAAGCCCTTGAATGATCAAAAATTACCTTTCGGACAGAGGTCACAGGTCTTCTTACAACTGACTTTCACGAAGTCTGAATAGTCTTCGTGTTTACAGTAAGGCTTGTAGACGTGACAATAGTTTATCAAATCTTTGCAAGCTGTGAAGAAACAAGGAAAATCAAGATAATTACTTCTTTTCACCCGAGAAAATCTTGCAGTTACTGTTCACGACAAAGCGTGAGCATTTTGGACAACAAAGTTCCTTTTTGGTTTTCGTTGCCCCTTTGGGAGGGTAGGTGCCGGCTGTACACAGTCTAGATATCAGTTTAGACTGTTAGATACCAGTTTTCCGTGTTTGTTGCCGGGCGCAGAAATGAGCATTAAGAACCTAAATCAAACTGAGTAAGTCGCTGTGTGAGAGTACGCGATTATGTTGCGCGCATGCGCAGGATGTAATCCTTTATTGTTAATAAATACTTAACTTATACCATCGTTTGCATCTAGCTTTCATCTGGGAAATATGTTATTTCGCTGTGTATCCTGCATGTAGCGATTTATCTTTTTAAGCCTGTTTTATTTAACACGTATTCAAATCGATCGCTGACGGCTCCTACTCTGAGCAAATGTGTTTCTTGTACACATATTAATAATATTCTTCCAGTCTAAGAGAAGCAAAACAGAATTTAGACTGGCGTTCAGTTATACGTGCAGACCTGCTCTCTTGGTCCTTAGGTTGTTTTCATCATCGGAGGTCTTTAACTCTGCCGAATAAAGAAACAATAATGAATACCTCACGAAATAATATTGACACGTTTTCTGTGTGAATGTTAGTGTTTGAATAAGATATTTACATGAATCAATTGTTCTTTCCTGACACTCCTTAAATAAAGCAGAGCAAACGAAACCCCCGTTTAGTTTGTGTCAGCAATCGACCATTGAAAAATTTTTTCACATCCTCGTCGGGATAACAAAAGAGGAGATACATTTGTTTGGATAAATTTGGCCATTGTCTTTTTCTCTTCTTACTTAGGTTAAAAAATGAACAAAGCTTTTGCTTGTTCGTGGTACGAGTCGGACGAGAGGCGAGGAGTGAAAAAACGGAAGACGCCTTTATTTTTTTCGAGTCTACTATAAGCTCCAGATGATGAAAACAAAACCTCATTGGTCTGTTAAACGATAATTTGGACTCATTCGACCTCGCCAACCTCGGGCTCTTATCTCTTAACAAGTAACTAATTTAGTTTCACGATAAAAATCTGTATTTCAGAAACGTAAGCTTCACAACTAACCTGTCTGAAGTTCATGAATACGTTTTGGGGCAGAACGGATTAACAATAAAGAAAGACTATAAAATCTCAATCTGCTCCTATCAATTACCAGTTTTTATGTGACATATTCTTCTCTGAAATTCTTTTTTGAGTTTGAGGCCTTTGGCTCACCTCCAATGCATCCACACGAAAAGGACCATGGCAAAATGCTACGAGAAGGCACCACAATAAGTTTATAGTTTGTCAGCTAAGTTGGTGACCTACCATGCTCAATTACTCCATGCTGTAGCCTTATCTCTCTTTCTTGACTGAAGTAAGTACAGTAAACGAGGAAGATCAGAGATGAAATTGAAAACAACATTTTGCATGTTACCTCTCTGTGCTACCCTGGTGAATTTTTTCAGAAGATTAAAACACTATAACTTCATACAAGTCTCCGTTCAAATATACTCAAATCTTGCAGATTTTCTATTAAAGGCGTGCAACGTTAAATAAAATGTTGCCAGTGTTTGAAAATGAAAGATGTTTTCATTATTAAAGACAAACAGGCAGTTGATTTTGTGTATAGAGCTGCCAAAAAAGTCAAACAGAAATTCCCGATTACATATTCAAATGTGTGTTTTGGCGGCCTTCTACCTGCGCAACTGAAGATTTTTCATTTGATCGTAAAGTGTGGTTCTCTGAGAAAAACTTAAGTCGGTGACATTGAGTGGCTTCTCAACAAACTGACCGGAAGCGTGGGACGTCAAGTAAGGACCTATCTGTCAATCAAGGAAGTGAAATGAGTGGTTAATTGTTAACGTTCTGTAAAATTATGAGAGATTTTATCACGTTTGTGTAGCAAGTTCTTCATCTTATTCTTGGCAGTTATTCTTAATCGAATATAAATTTTTCATTCAATAAAAGAATAAGGAAAGTTCCGTTTATGTATGAAATATTATGCTGATAACATGTTTTTGGGCCTAAAGAATTGGCTAAATGTGCATGACCAATATTGAAATTTTTGATCATAATGCTCCTACTTTTACAAATACGCGATTCAATTTATTATTCGATTTCAAAATTTCAAAGATGGAATACTGATGTAAGTCAAACAAACTGTTGTGTGACATTTACACAATTAAAACAAGTTAATTCAACGCAATTGTCTTGATCAAAGCACTATTGAGAAAACTTTCGATCATGGAAACAAAGAGCGCGGTTATTAATAAAACCTTAATTCCCAACATTACCGCTTCTTTCCTTTGTTTACATTGTACTTTTAGCATCAAAATGCCTCTTTATACACAGTGATCGATCGAATTTCTCTCGTGAGCCGAAGGGAGGGAAGGGGGGGGGGTGTACTTTCCACGATGGGTTTTAAATAGGGTTGCTTCACTCGAAAGAGGAACCACATTCTGTTGGCGCTTCAAAATTTTTTTTTTAAGAAACAATAATAATGATAAGTCTTTATTATTTTTTCATAGGATAAAATTACACATCCTGTGCTACAAAACAGTTGTCTAAAAAATATATTCTCAAAACCGCCAAAAGGCGAGCCAAAACTCGCCTCGTTAATCACATATCCTAAATTATATTTAAATGTTAGTCGTATTTACAAGGGAAGACAAAGGAAGAAATAGCACGCTCAGCACTGAGTTTCGGGTGCACACACTGTCTTGCATCAAAGGCATGTTTTGGAAGAGAATTGGTTGTATCGGTTGGTAGAAGGAACAATTCTACCCTAGTTAATGGCTCTACTATCCCCGCGCATTTCAGGTATGCAACTCTTCATGTGACCGAAGCATCGTACATGCAGTTTGTGCTTAGAACAAAAGACCTTGGGATAATTACTTACCATCCAAACCTACTCATTAATAGTACTATGAACTTTTTGGACTTGGCCTATCTCACTTAACTTTCGATGATAAAAAAAATGATCAACTACGTCCTTATGATAACTAATGTTCATTTAGTAACTAAAATACTTGACGTACACATAACAGTTCAGCTTATGGACTGTAAAGTATAACAACTGAAACAACGGCTGTCCAACGATCAGTATCATGAAAACCATTGTTGAAGAAAGAGGGTCATCTATTCTGTTCACAAAGCGAGGAAGCTCGGGGACACGCTCATCGACAAGTACAAAGTAGTACATAAGAATGACTAGGACGTATGTTAATGAAAACACATACGAATAAATGAAATGAAGCAATCTGATTGGTGCAAAACTGAAAATTGCCTCAGCAACCATAAAAATAGTGATGGACAGGAACTTAGCAAATTCTAATACGTTAAATTGTTCTTCCAGTGTGACATAACAAAGGATGACAACTAATATGCTGTTTCCCACCAGAGTTTGTAAGACCCAGAGTACTGCATGGTAACACGGTAATCTTTCTTCGCGACGCGGGAGTTCTCTGTGCGACTCGTCTTCCTCGTTTGCGGTCCATAACAGCTCGGATTCATTCTCGTGTTCATCTTCAGCAAAGTAGCTTTTTTCTGTTTTCTTAGGGATTTCTTTGTTCTCTTCACCTTTGCATGTTTTAACAGCGTAGTAGATCAGGAGGAATGTGGCGAGAACGAAATATAGGCAACTTAACGAGATACTCCAGTTATCCAACTGCAACAACCATAAATAGCTAGGCGTGGCAAACGTGCTTTCCACAGTGATAATCAAAGACCACGCGGTAATAACCAGACGATATATGATAAACAACGATGGTGGAAACCACTGGAAAAGATTCAAGAAAATGAATTGTTATTGTAAATTGAAACTTTCTGTATAAAGCTAAAGGAATATTGTCCTCTATCTACCGCAGGTTTACATTCTCGACAACAATTGTCGGATCTCATCGTGAGAGCCGATCGAATCCGAAAAGCTGTCGGGTCGCAGCTCCGCCAGAGACATCTCGTTTCCTTTCATTTTACGTCAAACTGTAAGGATCTCTGATTGGTTCAAACGCGAGCGGGGAATCTGACACACAAGAGCGAGGCACGCCAAAGCGCATAGAAATCATTCAAACGTGATAAAAAACATCCATTTCCTTCCTGCGCTATCGTCTGCATCTTTATGGCTTTCCAGTGATAAGATTAGTTATTCGGTTGCCTATGACGTGTGTTCGAATTTTGTTAAAAAAAAGAAAGAATTGAAGAGTGGAAAAAAGAGTATTTTCCGTTCCTGGAGAATTTTCGGCTCTCTTTGTCTTGAACATTATCGAGAACAATGAAAGAAATCACATGCACAAATAAATCCGTAGAAATGTCGAAGGCTGTCTTGATCTCTTCGAGATTCGGTTAGACTGCATCAGCATACGAATTTAATAAAACAGCGGGCCTGAAAAATACTCTCGACCAAAAGATTTCGAACTGCGCAGCTTAAGGTTATTGGAAGGATTTTATGTAAATTTCCAGTTTTAGAACATTCTATACTAGCCTAGTAAACTAGAAGGTGAGGATCAGGGAATGTCACCAAATTGTCGATTGAAACAAGAATTCCTCGACCGCTGAAACTACTTCGCTGATTGAATTACCGAACACCTGAGAAAGAATGCGTGTCTAAAACATTTGCAGTCAATGATTCCCTCAAAGCTACAACCCAAGGGACCTACTCACAGTCTGGAATCTCTCTCTTTACTGTACTCACTATGGATAGTGCAATAATTGAACTAAAAATCTGACAATTCGTTTTTAAAAGCAAACTATAAAAGGTAAATAGAGAGCCTATCAAAACTTTTTAAATAATTGTGGTGTCCACACTGAACAATCCTGAAACCTCCCTGATGTAATTAAAATCGATTTCGCTTTTAAGTTGCATGCAATTGTTTGTCTGTTTTCAACCTACTGTACAAACTTACCGGTGATTCGGCAAATAGCTCTGGACTTGAAAACCACAGGAAAAGACTCTTGACTCGAAATTCCTCAGTCAATACAATTCTTAACCACTTTCTGAAGTCAGCCATCGTTGGGAGTTTCTAGTTAAGTAAATCATTGAGGCGTTGATGTTCACGTTATGCATATTAGGATGAAGATTGGCAGGGAGATTGAAAGTTGATAAAAGAACTCTACGCTCGACTGAAGTCAACACAAACGAGACTTGGGAACTCATGAAAGAAAAAAAGAATATTTAATTAGCGGTCTTTTAACTAACTTGGCAGCTGAAAGCCATATCTATACGTTGAAATCGAGAAATTTCGTTTAGGTTTACTCATGAAAGGAGTCTTGTAACTTTGTAGAGGTTTACTGACAAAGACTAATTCTGTCACAGACTTTGCCGCGTTAAATTCCCAGCTGTTCAGTTTAAATACCCTTCAAATGCTCAAGCTTGAATGAGCATTCAATTTACATTGTTAGCGCTTGAAAGATCATTAAGTTATGGATTCCCGCCCAAAGGTAAAATATGCAGATTAGCTTCAGACTTAATAAACACAAAGTATGTTCTCTCTGACGTTAGAGGACGTTGCTTTGAAGTAGTTCGGTATGGGATGTTGTAAAGCCCTTGGGGAAGAATGTGGCATACGAAAGCTTGGATTACGATACAATGACTCCAGAGCTTTCACTGATGCTCCGGTAAGTTAGTTTTCTTAGTTATAAGCTCATTTTCAAAGGCTTTCAGAAATTAGTGAAGTGGGGCAAAGTTAAGCGCACTCAACGAAATGTTAAAATGAGCGGAAGTCATGAACTGATGTGCGATTTGAAAACAAAACTTTTACTTCTTTTCGCCGCAACGTGCCAGAATTCTTACGACATTCATCAAGATGAATCTGGGCTCTCCGTTTAAGAGAATTTCAGTGTTTGTGTTTTAGATATACTGACTTACAATGATGGCTAAACTTCGCTTTAGTAATCTCAATTTTCGCACCACAAGGACAAAATAGCCGCAGGTGCTATGATCTCGAAAGTCAAATAATAGAAAATTGAACTAAAAAATAAGTTGAACAAATAGGTTTTCATACTCCATGTTAGGTGGCTTACAAAGTTGTGTTGCCTCGACCTTTTCGAGAACTATTCTGAGGATTTGCATACATAATAATAATAATAATAATTAATTAGATTTGTTTGTGGCGTCGAAAACGCGGAAATTTTCATCGGAACAGGTCAAAATGCGATCGATCCGTAGGGATAAAGCTTTTATCTCGACGAATATACTTTTTGCGGACAAATGGGAAAGAATTCCGTGACCGAACGTTAATCAGTTTTCTCCAGGAAAACGCGGTAATTTTATTCAGTTGCATCATGATTTTATGGTTGGCTTGCCTTGAATAATAGGTCCCTCATGCTTCAATTCTCTTCATTAGTAAAAGAATTTAAAATGTTTTTCTTACCCACTGCGCTTAAAACCGTTGGATGCGTTCTGTCTTGTTATGTCGCTTCACGAAGCTTCTTAAAAGCTAACCTTTAAAAGTCTCCTCAAACGTTTCAACTGTTGACTCAGTAAACATGGAGTAGTGAGTGAATATTCGATTTAACTGGTTTGAAGAACAAAATGCCCTCACGCAATTAAAATGTTTTCCTTCCTTTCGGCACTTCACTTAGGCAGAGTTTCTAAAAATAAAAATAGCTGCCCTTTAAGTTTGTTGTTCTCTTCGATTTCAAAATTTCGTGTTATGAAACAGTTCAGATCAACTTTAAAAAAATTGCGCGCTGCCTTAAGGGTGCATGGAAGTCTAGCTGGGCTTGAGTCCGAATGCGTCAAAACAATGCATGCACCTTTGTCCAAAGTCCTTAGAATAGTTCTAATGTTAGTAACACGCGCTTGCCATCGATTTCCTGCCGTGGTAATCAAAACGCAATGTTTGAATAACATATGCAGAGAAACGTTTGAAAATTACGAGCCGAAAACGACAAAAGCAAAAGCTTTTCCAGATAATGTTCTGTGAGGTTTTTTGAGATTTCTTTGGGTTTACTTCTACTGAACGGCAAACAATGGACCATTTAATGCGTAAAATGAGTTCTTTTAAAAATTTCCATAAGCTTGTCGCTATCAAGAGCAACAGAAGAGCGATTGAATTTTTTAGCGAGAACCTCTGTCATCTCTTTACAAAACTTTTTGTTTATTTGTTTTTCATTCTTAAAAGCGTCAAGAGCAATAATTTGGTTGGGAAGAAAATGCATATGAAACGATATAGGAAATCAGTTTAGACGCGAGATTCGACGGGGATTTATTGTTCTCTTGATATAAGACATTTTCGGCGACTTATTTTACGAAGTAACCTGTTCTATATTGCTGAAAGGCCTCAGCACAAATGTTCAATTCGGGTACCTATTGTCCTTATTGACTTAAAGGGAGGGCCAAACGGGAAAAAACATTTGGTCCGAAATCTTGACTGAGAACCAAATATGTTCCCTCCGGCCCGACCACACAATCAAAAAGTACTTCATTATAATTGTGACCACCAAACCTTTAAAATTGTGAAACTATGTAACGGAAGACTGCGCGCTGTACTATAGCAGAAAAGATTCTTCAAACTTTTCATTTACTTTTCGCCGTGACAGAACAAGAATCTCACAATTCATCGAACATAACAGAAGTGAACATTTTTTCCCGATAACATTTATTCGAAACAGAACCTCGTTAGCGTGGCGTAGGATAGATTTTTGAGGATCGGTTTACGTCAAACCATCAGCTTCCATTTTGGTTTTTTCTAAAGAAGTGCGTGAGCGGGGTGATATTGGTCTTGTGATAAAAAGAAAAGTTTCTTTCACTATCAACACCTCTTGAACGCTTTTATACCAGTTTGGTTCATATTTTGTTTTTTTATGATATTTGTGCAAGAACATACACAGAACCACAAACGCAATATTCTGAAATTATTCTTATAACTTTGAAGAAAGAGATTTGAATTTGATAAATGACATTCATCATAGTATCCTTTGCTTAATTTTCTGATCAAAAATCTATTTCAGCAGTTTTCCATGATTCCATAGTCAACATTCATATTCCACGAGTTTCCGGACCTAGACAGTAATGAAAACGAGATCCAGAACTGTCTTTTTACGTTTTTGTTTTTTTTCTTACACACAGGGCCTACCAAGACCACTGTTCGCCTTCCTCCGCTTAATCTACGCTGCTCTGGCGGTAGCCGACCTGGTCTGGATCGGCCTGGATGATCCGAGCGGAACCTGGGTCATTCATTTGCAGAATTGGAGTCGAGTGGTGACCGCATTATATTTCCTGACTGGTTCACTAACCGCATTCCATCGTTCGGCATGCGGATCCAAAGAGAACGATAGCTACGACATAATCCATTCGGATTTTCCAGATCACACTGGCGATTCGAATTCTTGCGCTTTAAAACCGGGCGAAAAAGACGAAAGCATTGAAGTGGATCCATATGAAAACCATCTCTCATGGCATCACGAGGTGCTCTGGGTCCTACACACCCTCGCTTCCAACAGCACTTTTGTCTGCACGGTTGCGTACTTCGCCTTTTTCTTTGACGAGCGTTCCTCCTATGTTTGGATCTTCTACATACCCAGGCACTCTCTCTACGTGTTCCTGATGATTGTCGACACACTGGCCAGTTACATTCCCGTGAGGTTGTTGCACGTTGTGTATGCCTACATATTCGGTGCCGCATACGTTATGTTCACTCTTGTGTTCATCTTAACGGAAGTGAAGGTCGATCTGCGTCTGAATCCCAGCATGTATCCTTCGCTGGAGTCTGGTGATGAGCCACTGATCTACACAGCATACCTATCAATATTCTTAATTGCTGGCTTTCCTGTGGCTCAAATAATCTACTTTCTCATTCATAAATTCCGCACTTGGTATATTTCAAGATGAATAATTATTTGACAGAACTGTTAAATTCTGGACGAAGATTTCTCTCTTTAAGCTCTTTGATAGTTTGATCCAAAATCAGTAAATCAAGCAATTAAGCAAGTACTTCAATTTAGGAAAGCGAGGCTGGTGTGTGTCATAACGAAGACAAAAGCAATTTGGAATATATTACATTTCAGCATTTAGAAAGATATACTTCTTGTACAGATTTCTTATCAAGCTTGATTTTGGAATGTGACACTTTTTATGACAGATGATGCACTCTCAGTTATTTAAACAAATATGTGCTTCATAAGTGGTCCAGGCAACGGATGAAATAAAAAAAAAAACTTAACATCAGTTAACGTTAGTATTTACATTCTCCATTCTGTTCTCTCTATATTTTCTTTGGTCATGACAAGGAGAATTTGTTTAACAATCTGGAGCTTATTGGATTGGTGATCATCTCCGTTATTCTCATGACTTTTCATTTGATTTAAGAGTAATACTGTGAGGAGAAATTCTAAACCAGCCACTCTTAGGGCTCAAAAGATTACGTCAATAGGCCATTTTATAGTCATACACTTAGTTGTCAAGCCTGTGATTTAGAGTAAGGCTGACGGTGACCTTGTTGTGATAGAGACCAGTATCTAGTTAGCATGATAACAAAGTAATTTACCTTTGAAAAGTAGCAAGGTTTGTATTATAACAAGGTCACCCTTAGCCTCACTCTTGTTCAAAGGCTTGGCAAGCAAGCACACAACTGTGAAATGGACTATAGGGATAATTCAAGTGTGGAAAAAGGTACAGGGTAGGTTCTCTACCCATTACTTGTCAACATTTCCGAACTAGTTGTCTCCCACAACAAGATGTACTCAACTAGGATAAGTTCAACCTTTTTATTTTTTAATAATTTTTCTCAAACACTTTACTTACACAGATGAAGGAAGGTTTATCTTTACTGAAGTAAAATGCTACAATATGCCCAAATTAAGTATTAGCAAGAGAAACACACCAGGCTTTAGGATTTTTTCTATTTAAAAACCAAAGTGATGAAAATGAGCTATCAAAATAAAGGAAAATTATCTTGAAGTGTCCATATGAGCTTAAAGCAAAACCACATGCCCATGTTATTTAATTCAAGTGCAGGAAAACGCATGTGACCAAGTAACTGTTAGGTTTAGAGCTCTCTGATTGGTTGAGAGGTTGGCAAGAGCTTTATAGACCAATCAAAAGGTGGCAAAGCAAAAACAATGGAATCATGGACCATTTTTTACTTTCAACTGAAAATTTCACAATTTCGTCTTTGTCTTTGGTGTTTAAAATTAGTTTGCGCTTATTTGCTGCTCTTTAAATTCTAACAATGAAAAATCAGACTGGAAGAAGCTTAAGTTTTGAAATCAAACCTGCTGCCTAATGCAAGGCCGGGTAGCCAAGGTCCTTAATTTGCCAAAAACTATTTTCCAGAGCAGGCCTTTTGCCATCCCTGTAAATACCTTCTCTTCTTTCTTTTCTTTCTTTACTGTACGTTTTGCCAGACTTCCATTCCTATTATTTTTGTATCACCAAATTACATTATGTAAACATGACAACAATTAAGGCACTGCTAACAGATTGTGTAATGTCTAACAGAGTCTACATTTGTGGTAATGCAATTTTATTTAACAGAAATCCAACTGCTGTTAAATAATTTCTGGCCAATGTTGTTACACTACATATTATTCAAACTAAACTAGACTCTGATTTTGAAGTCAATTAAAACTTTATCCTAACTTTATTTTTAATAGCAAACCTACAACAATTTATTCCACAATAAAGGAAATAGCCTTTAACTGGGCACTGTGCCATTCACAACTGCATTTAATAAATGAACTGATAACTCTATAACAGGCATTTTGAAACTAGAGTAAAAAAAAAATTATTCTTGAAGTTTTTTAAGGGAGTTTACAGCTTAGGATTGGCAAAACACAGACTACAGCCTAAACAAAGATATTAGTTGCATAATAAGCTGACAGACTTGCTTGCTTAGTTGCTGTACCTTAAATAAGTGGCCAGAGTTTTCAGGAAACTGATTTCAAAATGTTGTTGAAGGGAAATCATCAGACAAAAGTGTACAATATTTTGTGTATAAAAAACTTTTGAGGTTTCCTTTTGGAACATTTACTTAGTGAGTTCATTTGAGAGCCAGTCCAGTCCTTCATACAGCCCTGTTCCCTGAGTTGCACATGTACCTTGGACATACCACTAAAAATACAAGAAAATATGTTGATATACTGTGTAAACTGACCAATCATGACCAACTTATGCCACTTGAGTCCTACAGCTAAAAAATTACAGCAAAATTCTTACTAACCTTTCTTGATTTGACACTGTGGAGTCCTAGCTTTTCTGTTATTTCAGAGGTAGAGTAAGCATTTGGCAAGTCCTGCTTATTTGCAAACACCAGTAGTATAGCATCAGACAATTCCTCTTCCTGAAGCTGTGTAGATATGAACAACAATTTATGTTAACCAGATGAATAAAGGGGTGAGTTTCTAAAGAAACTGTGGTGCTGTGTCGGTGGGAGAGTATAGCAGGTAATTTAGTGTTAACAACTGGGTTGAAAACGTAAATTAGCCACTGTAAAGGGTAAAAAAGCTGGTGTTTCGAGCGTTAGCCCTTCGTCAGAGCTTCAATTGCTCTGACGAAGGGCTAATGCTCGAAACGTCAGCTTTTTTACCCTTTATGGTGGCTAATTTACATTTTCAACCCAGTTGTTAACACTAAATTACCTGCTATGTTAACCAGAGCCAAATCGTTAACAAATAAATCATTACCAGTCAATATCTACATGAAGATGCAAAGGATTGATACTGCTTCTGCACATCAGATGAACCCAGTGTGTTGACTAGTCCAAAAAATGTAACTCCTTAGAATTCCAATAAAACTGTACCTCAGACAACATGTCAGGTAAATTTGAATTGGTAATGGCTTACCATTTTTTGTAGTTCATCATTAGCTTCTGCTATTCTTTCCCTGTCATTACTGTCCACAACAAATATCAGTCCCTGGAAGATTAAAAACAAATAAAACAAGAATATCATTATTAATACCTTTTGAGGCTGTTTTTCTTGGATAACAAGTGTTTCAAACTAATTTGATTTCTACTTTTGTGAACCATCCTAAAAAAAAGCCAAAAGGAAAATATCGTCCAACAGGTTGATTGAAGTGGATTGCTCTGTGGAAATGCTGAAGCTCAGTAAGTCATTGTTTATCCCTTCAGCAACTTACAGTTGATAACCAAAAAAGATTGTTTCATTTTGAAGGGATAATGTTGGATAATCCAGCCAACAAATTTCCACAATAACAAAATTCCTCCCACCAGCTAGAGGTCATTTTTCTACATGACAATTTGTCATCTACCCATTGAATAGCTGGGCAAGATGAACAGAAATCAATATGGGTATTGAGCCAGAATCTTCACCTGTGTGTTTGTGAAGTAGTGTCTCCACAAAGGCCGAATCTTGTCTTGGCCGCCCACATCCCATACTGTAAATGAGATATTCTTGTATTCCACAGTCTCAACATTGAAACCTTCGAAACAAAGACAAATACAAGCTTGTGACACATGAACAAACACCTTTTAGTTCTGCAGTTGCATCTTGCTTCATTTTATGAGTAAGAACCTGAGAAACCAATTTGTAGTTTATAGAAAATAAACTCTCAAAGTGAAAGAGCTCACTCACTCAGCGGGTTGCTGTTTAATTTTTACCCCAACACCCTCAACCATGTTACAAAAAAGGTTTTCATTGAGAATTCAAGACTGGAGAATTTTTTAAACTACTGTGCAGAACTCTCCAGTTTAATTTTTGAGGTTTTAATGATCCTTTAACCCTTTTACTCCCAGACCAAATTTGTAATTCTCCATACTGTCAATCATACAATTCTTATAATGTTAGTTCAGAGAATTTAGTATTAAATCAACTATTGTATTAATATTGTGAGGAGAAATTCTGTCTTAGTCACTTATGGGAGTTAAAGGGTTACTTATCCTCCAGCTGTAGAGAATGTTCTCCTGTAACTTGACAATATTTTCTTATTTCTTCAGTTTATTTTTAATAACCTGCAGATTATGTGTTCTTACCTATAGTAGGGATGGTTGTAACAATTTCTCCCAGTTTAAGTTTGTACAAGATTGTTGTTTTACCAGCTGCATCAAGACCCACTGTAAGACAGAAGAACAACAATGTGAACTCTGAACAAGGTTAGAACCAGAGGAAAAAGAGGATGGGGTTTGTTGTTGATAACTGGAACTGGACAGAAGGTAGGAAGTGGAAGAAGATGGGTATCATACAAAATCCTGGGCCATGTGTGAGTGAGAGAAACAACCTGTATCACGAGATACAGCAGTGGAAATGTGACTCCCTAAAAGTGATCTGTGGATGAATTATCTAGAAATTTATATTTTGAACAATATATTTGCATGAACTGTACACGTACCTTTCCTTACCATTTATTGAAAATTCTACTCGTGACAATTTTGGAGATGGTTGCATTTTATTGCTAATTATGTTTGTCATAAGGAAAGGGAGGAAATTTTTCTTTCGGGTATTTAAGCACCTTTCAAAGTTATACATCAAAAGGTTAAAAGGACATTGAAATACATTTTCTATGAACGAGGTTACGTGTATCACCACCGGCATAATTGGTACAGAATGATGTGAATAATTTGCCAAGAAAATGGTCGATTTTATGGGCACTATTCGTAAAGGGAAATTATCTGGCTTTTCTTTACGCAAAAACGTCTAAACTTTTATTCAATCATCTACATTTAATTCGAGAATACAGCTGTGTGGTGTACTTCTAACACGAAACTTGTGTAATCGAGATTCCATCGTATCACAAACTAAACGGATAAAGATGGAAGTTCTCAAAACATTTTAATCTACTCTTACCCATTAGAATCCTCATTGGAACCTTGCCGAAAAGCCTGGAGAACAAACTTGAAATTGTAAGCCCCATGATCGCGAAATGACCGGCAAAATTCTACAGCACTTCACTTCTTTATTTTCGCGTGGATTCAGTGACAAGAACTAGGCCACGTCAAAAGCTCTACTGCGCTTGCGTAATGGAGCATTTCCGCTCGTCGCTCGTTTCCAGGACTTTCTTTCTTCCGGCGACTTCCGTTAACGGAAACTGCGCCTGCAGTTTTTGAACAGCCCACACAAATTTATGCTCACAAGTCCAAACTTTGTCTGCGCAACAGTTGTATTCAAACATGGCGCTCGTAAGGTCCCTTGCAAGCGTCCGAGGCAAGGTAAGTCTTTTAGCCCTTAAAAGGATAAATTCTTTGAAACTTGAATTTTTATTTGATGAACTTTCCTTTTATTTTCCAGGGTGTCTTTTCAGCGATTTGCCGCAATACCTTTAGCACAACCCCGAGGGCCTCGGCAACGGTGAGTTTGTATAGGTCTACTAGCTAGACTGGCCAAGTGACATACCCCACTAATTGACTGTGCTTGAATCAAAGATTATTAGCCACTGATTTTCGTCAACCCATCTCTTATCCACCTAGAAAAAAAGACAATGACAATATCGTGCGGTAAATTGTGTAAAACGAGAAAAAAATTTCTTGATGCATTTTGTTTAGTACGTCTGTTCGCCTTCTTTAATCACGTGAAGAGTAATGTTCGACTCGTGCTTTAACCTATCATATTCAGCCCGTTTTATTTCTGGTCGATTTTTCTGATCATGTCATGATCACTCAAAATTGGTGCTTTTTTATACATATGTATGTGTTATTTTTAGTACATTCCTTTACATAAGATCTTATGTGGTTTGTTGTACAAGGTGAAAGAGATAAACAATCCAAAACAGACAATGATTACTTAAAGTCAATGTGCAACAAACTGTAGAACAACAAAAATGAACCATGTTCTTAACTTAAGAAAAAAACAAAGTAAGGCAAAAACAAGTTGAGAGAGAAACATTCTTTAATTTGCAAGGAGACTACTTGTAGATATTTGTAAGTTCTAATGTGACACTATCACTTGTATCATAGAGACAATGAGTTTGTCATAGAGCAGGGTGCTCTTTAAATTCTTTGTATTACCTGAGTTTCCTAGTTTTGGCTGTGATTTGCAAATCTAATGAGTCGTTTTAATATCTTCCTAGAGGTGGAGATACGTCATGCTTGAATTTTTCAATAACTTTGATGCATGTCATGTTAATTAACTTTAAACCTCACAGGAGTTACGTAACCCAGAACTGTCAAGGAATCTATTAATATTCATTTTCGTTCAAAACTGCATGTGTTATAATTTTCTTGTCAGTTACAGTTTAGTTGTTGTGTATTAAAGGTCTTGTCTTCAGTGGAGTCGTTTCCTGTTTGAAGAACACAACAATGTATTATAAATGTAAATCTATCAAAACTGACCACATACTGTAAACTTATGTAACCTGAAGTGCAGCATTAAATGTTATGCACTTAACAGTGAAGGGTTGTATTGTGAATGGTACAGTGATTGTTTTTTAACAGATGACTGTCAGAGATGCCCTAAACTCTGCCATGGAGGAAGAGATTAAAAGGGACGATAGAGTTTTCTTGTTGGGTGAAGAAGTGGCCATGTATGATGGTGCTTACAAGGTGGCTATGTATTAACAATTGTTTTCAGTCTTGCGCAATCTTGTTGTTTTGTCTGCAAAGATAATCACAACAGTCTCAGGTACAGGTCAAGGTGTCAGGAACGTCCCATTTTACTGTGCAATACTAGCCATGTATTTCATTTTATATAATAAGCTCAGTTATGCACGCATTCTGATTGGTTTTCACTTATGATCTATTAGAGGACAGATGTATAGATGATGTCATCATTTAAACTTTTTTTCTGTATATTTTAATTCTTTATTATATAAAACAAATAGATTCCAAGTTGCCGTGCGTCTGTTCAGAAATAGATCACAGGATGTCAAAATGTGGTAAGAACATCAGTGACACACTCAGCTGCACCTTGTGTGCCACTTTTTTGTTCTTACCACATTTTGACGTCATCTGTGATCTATTACTGAACAGACGCATGGCAACTTGGAATCTATTTGTTAATTAGCAAGAAGGTAATTTTCTCTCAGAGAAACCAACAATAGAAAAAAAATATGTCGACAGCCTATCTTTACAGTCTGCATCCTAATTCTAATCTTAGAGAACTTTTACATGGTTTAACATTGATAAAAAAATTTGTTTCATTGATGATTTTTGTTAAGATTATGGTTTATTACGTGAGTAGGTGTCCTTGCACTTCCATGTTTCTTTCTTAGCAATTATAATTGTACTTCCCTGTTTTATGGTCATTGGTGCTATACTCTGATAATTTTTCTCAGTTTAATCATTGGGTTCAGGGTCTTTACCTCTTTAACTCCCCAGACCTGGTTGTTTTTTCTTCACTTAAGCTGCTACTCATTTCTTTGTAAATTAGTTACAAGAATGTGGTCTTAGATCCAAGATGACTTCTACCTGATAATTTTGGATGTTCTCATGACCTATTTGCTGGATTATGTATGGGTATTATAGGGAGAAGTTGCATGTTAATCACTTCTGGGAGTTAGAGTGTTAATCTCCTTGGGCTGTATACTGAACTAGTGTGCTTTTTCTAGTCACTTATGGTTTGTAAAGCTAAATCACTGAGGGGAATGTTGTCTAGCATGTGATTTCAAAAACTTCTTCAACAGGTAAGCAGAGGGTTGTGGAAAAAGTTTGGTGATAAGAGAATAATAGACACTCCCATCACTGAGGTAAGTTACACTGTCACAGTATAAAAGTATAATTTAGCCATAGAATAAAAGAGATAACTATGCACATGGCATGTCTTTAGGGACTTCTAAAATTTGACCTATGTATTGTAATTCATTGCAGATGGGCTTTGCTGGTATTGCTGTGGGGGCAGCTATGGTTAGTAAACATCTCTCATACATTTTACTTGCACAGCATGATGTATGAATGACTGTGAATAAATGAAAATGATGTGTGTGAACTACAGAAATAAATAAATATGAAGGCACTCTTTGCAGTAGTGGACTCTACATAAGCAGTGGTGAAACTAAGGCTTGACAAAAATTCAGGCCTGTACAAGATTTGAATCTATGGCCTCTGAAATACCGCTGCAATGCTTTACTAGCTGAGCTAACAAGCCAACTAAGAGCAGAAATCTGAATTAAGCATTTTTCTACCAGCTATACATTGTATAACCGATTTGTAATGTTTTCCCTTGTTCATGTTTGATGTTAGGCTGGCCTTAGACCTATCTGTGAGTTCATGACTTTTAATTTTGCAATGCAAGCTATTGATCAGGTCAGTGTACAAATAACACATAAATAATTGGTTAAAAAAACAGTCTAGTTGCATTATTTCACATCTATAAGACATGGCACTAGATTCTTTTGGACAAGGTGGTAAGATGTTGCTTATTCTCCTGATGTAGGGTTCATGCCAAAAGCTTGTAACAAAGTTATGTATGAACAGTGTATATGTTGAACTAAAAAAAAGTTTGTACTCAAGCCAAGTGGCCCAACCTGCTGAACCTTTTCCTGGTTTCTGCAGCATAAAGTGACTAGAAGTATCACCACTACCCCCCTCCTCCCTGGATGGGATGCTAGTACATTGCAAGGTCCCCCCCCCTTAAGCACTTCACCAGGCTTCCCTGATAAGTTGCTGATACCCACAATGACCAGGCCTGCCATGGTATCGAACCCAGACCTCTCAACCTGGAGTCCAGCACACTAATCACTAGACTACAGCATCTCCCTCATGTAAACTAAATAGTAACTGAAACATTTGGGTGTAAAAAAAATCCCACCAGTAAAATAACACACTTTGTATCCATGCAAAGTATCAAACCTTTCCTCTCTGTTGCACAGGTGATAAATTCAGCAGCCAAAACATTCTACATGTCTGCTGGGCAGGTAAATGACAAAGAATAGTACTATGTGTATTGTCAAAGAGCCTTGTTAATTTTTGTGAGGTCTTAAACCCTTTTATTCCTGAGATCTCGATGGCACTCCCTCTGATAATGTTGGTTCTCAAACAATTTTATGTTGGATCAAATAATTATTATCCCTTTTGTTGGTAATTTCTTTATTCTCGTTATTTTTCTGCTTGATATTGTTTTGATAATTTAAGGAGAAATCACATTTTAGTCACTCCTGGGAGTGAAAGGGTTAAGTAATATGTGTTGAACTTTGAACACTTGTATGAATATGTGCCTTATGTTACAGAAACTGAAGATTGTAATTCTCTATTGCTACAGTCTTATTGTCCTCAGTGTGAAAAAAAAGTAAAGCCTGATCATGCATGGCATAGATTTACCTAATATATTTGACACCTCTCTTAGCTTGTTGAAATTGCAGGAAGCAGATCACAGCTGTAGGGATAATACAAAATTATTATCAAGGCCTGAATAAAAATCTATCCAAGTGGACAAGTTATTGTTTTATTTGGTCTCTATCAAACCTAGGTCCCAGTCCCTGTAGTTTTCAGAGGTCCAAATGGTGCAGCTGCAGGAGTGGCTGCTCAGCATTCACAGTGTTATGCTGCTTGGTATGGTCACTGTCCTGGCCTGAAGGTCAGAAGTAATTCTTGAAAGATTAATTTTTACAGCAAACACTCTGATAAACCTCCCCCTGCTTCCTTCTCCCTGTGCATCTGGAGATTCAAGTTTCTGATGAGCAACTCACTATCCCCAAAGTACCTCCTCGTACCCCTTCCTCCAATCAAAAACTTAAAAAGAATAGTTCATTTGGGCTAGTTAACATTTTGGCACAAATCAAATTGTATTTTAAAGCAGATATTTGCTGTTTATGGTTTTCAAGAAACATGATTACTCACATTTTGACCCTGAATGAGTCTTTGCAAAGCTCCACTCTTAAGCCCTAAAAATTGAATCATGTAAGCTCCTTGTGTATCGTCATGAGTGTGAGACAAAGAAAAAATCGAAATACGGATGAGGAATCAAACCTCAGACCCTCAAATTCTGCACTTCAGTGCTCCTCCACTGATCACAAGCTACGCTCTACAGAGAGTACAACTTTACAATGAGTCAGGCCATTACTAGTTAATTACTGTTAATCTAAAGGTTATGGTTGGCTGCCTCATGGGTTTCCGATTTTTTCATTTGACCCACGCTTGACGAGACGAAAGAAATTAAAATTGAAATTGAAAGTAATTTCATTACTAAGCTCAAAATCTACTATCGTTTTTATTTGATTAAGGCTTCCATTCTGCTTGCTTTTTTTAATTTGTGAACAACTCATCAATAGTCATGAAGTTGGGAAACGAATAAGAGTTTTTCTTCTCTCTTATATTCCAGGTGGTATCCCCTTATTCAGCTGAAGATGCTAAAGGTTTGCTGAAGTCAGCCATCAGAGATAATGATCCAGGTATCCTGATATGGTAAAGTGTCTTGTTTATGAACACTACACAGTGACCCTGGAGGCCATCACCCTGATCATCAGATCAAGCAAAGTTACAGCTGTATTAGAATACTGTTTGGCAGCCATGTTACTTATCATTTAGATTGATGCTAGATTTTCTTATAATCTGCACGGTACAATCAGTTCGAGTCGTTTCTTACGAAGATATATAAATATGCAAAGGAAAAATTGATCAGTATTTACTCTTACATGTTTTTTGACCAGCCTAAGGTTATTGCTTATTTCCTTCACAACTTCAGTGGTGGTGCTTGAAAATGAAGTCATGTACGGTGTGCAGTTTGATATGTCAGAGGAAGCATTAGACCCTGAGTTTGTAATTCCCTTTGGAAAAGCTAAAATAGAGAGAACAGGTGAGTCATCCCTTTTTTCCTTGGACTTGTGCACTAGAAGTTCATTGGGTTCCTTTATCTCAATGATTATCAATGATTTTAATGATCTAATAATTAGTTTTGTTGTTGTCATATTGTAGGAAGTCATATAACCATCGTAGCTCACTCAAGGTCTGTTCAGATTTCTCTGGAGGCTGCGAAACAGCTTGAGGCAGAGAATATTGACTGCGAGGTATGTGCACCGAAGTCTTGAGGCTACAATGACGAAGATGATGACGATTACATTGACGACGACGACGATGGCGACTGTGTGAGCCACAATGATAATGATAACGATTTTATTGACATTAACGATGGATGACTCATGATGACGACTCCAATTTCATGTACGATGACGATGACGATTACATTGATGATGATGACGATGACAATTAAATGATGACAAAGATGAAGTTGATGTCGACCATGACGGTGATAACGACATCGACGAGACCCCATTACTGAGATGCACGAGTACCTTCCAAAGTGTTGTTAAAACCCCTCCATTGGTCTTTTTTAGGTGATAAATTTGCGGAGCATCCGCCCTATGGACATGGGATGTATTACAAATTCTCTCAAGAAAACCAACCATTTGATTACAGTGGAGGGTGGCTGGCCTCAGTTTGGTGTTGGGGCAGAAATTGCTGCTACTATCACAGAAAGTAAGTGTATTTCTGCTTACGTCACTTTCGTTATCTACTATAGAGCCAGATAACCCAGCAGTGTATGTTTTGAATAGCCACATCCCAGCTATGGACTCGTATTTCTTCCAGTGGAAGAACGACGCTCTTTGTTGCTTGATAAATTAATAAAAAATCGCGCGCATTCGATTGAGTGTCGTAAAAAAGCAAAGCAATCACAACAGCCAATCATTTCAAGGAATTATCACCCGGAGCTAATGGGAACTCAAAGTAAAAACAACCAAACTACCTGAAGCGCTGGAAAAACGCGGCGACCAAGTTGCGATTGGTGTTAGTTTTGAATCTGATTGGTCGAGAAAGTGGCGAAAGTTTTCTGAACCAGTCATATAGCGCAAAACCAACGCTATCCCGGAGTACTTTCGACACTCAATTGAAAATTTCTCTCTAATTGTTTGCTGCCCACAAAGATGTGAACGTGGTGTTCAAAATAGTTTAGATATTACTTTTTTCGACCACCACTATCTATTTTTTTTCTCTTCTTATTTAGGCGAGGCATTTGACTATCTGGATGGACCCATCTACCGAGTTACTGGGGCGGACATTCCTATGCCGTATGCTCATCTCTTAGAATCAAACACAATTCCTCAGGTTCAAAACGTCGTCCTTACCGTGAAGAAATCTCTCAATCTAGCTTAAAAATATAAAATGAAACTACAATACTACAGTACTTCATATTTTACTAACTGCTAAGAACAGAGTCGTATTATCTTGAATTTTCAAATCCTAGCTATAAATATTCAATAGCATTATGTAATGTTTTCATGACCTTTGTTTTACTTATTGGTACCTATGTGAGGGTGGTACCTGAAACTTTTATCATTCTTGATGAATCGATTTTTATTTTTTTTCAATTGAGTATTATAAGACACTAAAATGTAGGTTACTGTAAGCCTCGTTTGTAGGGATTGAAAACCTGAAGGATAACGGTCATGTTATTGAATAATTAATGATCAATCAGTGTGTTCGTTACACATTGGGGATCGGAGAATTCTCCGGCCACTATTAGGAGTTCTTCGTCTTAATTTCGACAACCGGAGATTGATTTGTTTTGTTTTTTTTTGTTTCATTTTGCAGACGTGGAGAATTTTCTCCTGTTACTTTGGAGCAATTTTCAATTGAGAGTCGAAAGTTTCTCGGGGCCGTTTTGGTTTTGCATTACTCAGCTCTGTGATTGGTCTAAAAGCTCGCGCCTTTTTATCAACCAATCAGATTTAAAAACTGAAGCCGGTCGCGAATTGGCCACCAGTGTTTTCCCGCGCTTTAAGCAGTTTGCAGTTTTAATTGTGAGTTCTCATTTGGCGATGAGGACATAAACCTTCGTTCTTATTGGTGGCTGGGGTTACTTTGGTTTTGTTTTTTATGAACTCAATTGAAAACTGCTCTAACTAAGGATATATTTGTTACGGTGTCCACTTCCCGTGCAGGTTTAGTCTAATCTTTGATGATAGGTTTTTTTATATCTGAGAAACCATGAAAAAAAAAATATCGTGCATGTTCTGACAAAAGGTAAAATCTAACTACCACTGGCTGTCAGGTTACTTATGTTACTAAACAACCGACTTTAAGTTGCTTTGCAACACACGTTACGAAGGAGTGATTTGTTTTTAGCATCACTAGAGTTGGCTGGGGTTGGGGGGGGGGGTGGTATTTAACGTTTCTTGAGTCTGGTTTACACTTAGCTCTTGATATGGGAAAAAAATAAATTTTATGCGTGTATGTATTTGTAGAAACGCGAGATATTTCTAGAGTACTAGGGAGAGCTGTAACATTTACTGAAGTTCAGTCTCAAGATAATTGAAAAGTTCTGAAAGATACTTCCCCTCGAACAGCGAAGTCCAAGGGGTTCGGGATGGGAAACTAGCGGCATTCCGGCTGTGCTGGTATTTTTAAGAGGTGGCGGTGTTACTTTACATGTAAGGTGAGATGGTGTCTTTGTTTTATGAGAAACGATCTTTACCCATCCCACCGCCCAGCCCCTCCCCTCTGTTCAATCCCTCTCCCCCCTGTAAATTTCCCCTCCCCCTATTTAAGTCCCTCTTGCTACTTGCCAGTGAAGTTTTATTTTATTTTTTATTTGACAATTTTCTAAAGGCAGGTAAATTTACAATAGGATAAGGTTGTCCCCTACTAGGTAAATTACCTTTCCCTATCCCATACAAACAGACCAAATCGAGACCCAATCCACTTACAAGCCCCCATGCTAAGAAATAACAAAATATATAATCATCAACGAAAGGGGAAAAGAAGAAAACTAGTTGATTAACATGCACAAGAATTAAGAGCATTGAAGCGACATTTTACGCAAACTATTTTAAAAGAACGGATGTCTCGATTGAAAACTTTGCCAAGTCTTAGATAAAAGAAAGATTTTAGTTGTTTGACAAAAGACGGTGGTTCCTTTTCAGCTCTTATATCATCTGGTAAGGCGTTCCATATGTTACAGATTCTTACGAAAAGGGAATCTCTATATAGTGAGGTGGAATCAAACCAGGGGTGTAGCCTCAGCGCGACAACGAGGCTAATTCTTCAGCAAGGTATCTCGTGACTTTTTCGTGACAAGTTCATCAGTCGGAAACCGCACTATGGCATCTCACTTTGCACTGTCAGTTTTCCTCGCTTTGCTCTTTCCCTGCATTTATGTAGATGCTGACACTCCTGCTAACTGTACCTATGAAGAGATAAGTGGATCATGGCTTTTTTCGATCGGAGAAGGAGGCCACGACAACACCATCGACTGCTCCTCCTTCAAACCTGTCTCTGAGCTTCAAGTGACTTTGTTGTTTCCTGATGTCGCAGTTGATTCCGAAGAAAATGTCGGCTTTTGGACGTTGATCTACAATCAAGGCTTTGAAGTGAATATAAACGGAGTGGTATATTTCGCGTTTTCAGCTTACGAGAAGAGTGGTAAAAAAGTAACCAGTTTTTGCGACAAAACTTTAAACGGATGGAGTCATGCCGCAAAGGGTTATCATGCCGGAGATTGGGCTTGTTACAGCGGTAAGATTTTATAAATTTGAGGATTTTTTTCAGGAAGGCATTTATGATCATTATTTAATGGAATGTGAATATGCATCCCACGCTTAAAATTTAATCGGGACCCGTAAATTTCAAGTGCATCGAAAATGAATCAAGACATACTCGAAAGCGAAAGGGAAGTTCAGACTTCCGGTCTTGTTGCTTGTTGTCTTTGCGGCTGAGCAGCGTTTGCTGAACATGCATGGCTGCGCACGCATGAGTCCTGTCATTTCCTTAACGAAGACTGGAAAGGGGGATTGAAGTGAATGACCCTCTAATAAAAAGTGACCAATTCGTAGTTGTTCTCGCCGAATTCTTCTCGTGTATTAGTACCATTCGAAAACATAGAGTATTTCCTCTCTTTCAATCTTTGTGCCTCAGCGAACCAAAAAAAGGAATTTTCCAAGGCTCCACTTGCGATTTCTTTGCATAAACCTCTTTTCTTGGCTGATTAACCGTGCATGATATGCCTTATCAATTTAAAGCTTCAACTTCCCCCCTCCTCCTCCTTCCAGCGTTTGAACTTTTGAAGATTGGTTCGTTCATATTCCTACCCCCCCCACCCCTTCAAGAAAAAAATTGCATTCAGATGGCCTACTTAAGCACAATATTTTTATTGAACAGTTGTTTGTACTATCAATGAATGTTGTAGAATTTAGCAAAGGATGGTGTTAGTTTTTGGCACTGTTATTTGGTTCTTTGCTTAAAAACATCACTCTATAATGTGAAAATTTTCTCCTGAGCCATTTGCTCATGACTCTTCACCCTTTAACTCCTCAATATTTTAGATTAAAGCAAGTGTATTCTGTTGGTTTGAATTCCCCTCCCAAGGTAGAGAAGGTTCCATTCCCTATCCCAAGAGCACATCACCTGAGGCAATGGGGGTGGGGATGTTGGCTCTTAAAATTGATGCTTGCAGAAATTTGTAGGGAGAATTCATGTACTGATTGCTCCTTGGAGTTAAAAGATATGGAAGGGTTTGAGGACAAGTTACACCTTTTGCAACTCTAATTTTCTTGTTTTACTGCCAAAGAAGGTGTAAGGTGTAACTCTTTACAGGCTCACAAGGAATGATGAAAAAAGTATGTTTATAATGTGATTTTCTAAGGGAGTGAGGGTCAGACAATGAATGTTATTGTTATTTTTTGGTTTCTGTCATAGGGAAAAAAGTTCTGGGGAAGGTCCCACCTAAAATACATGACTCAACACAGCTTTCAAGTGATAATAAAAAGTTCATCCCTAATCAGGAATTTGTTGACCAAATAAACAATGTTCAGAGCTCTTGGAAAGCTGTGGTGTATGAGGATTATAGTGGGATGACTGTGGCACAGTTAATTGCTCGTGCAGGTGGACCAAATAGACTTAATTTTCCTAAACCAAGGTATGCAACTTCTCTCAATTTTGTTTTCATTCATTATTTTCTGTGAATATTGCCTCTTCAAATAAGTACTTTTGACTGTACAGGCTCTGCTTTTCGGACATTGTCATGACATTCCCCTTTCCTCAAAAATTTTATGTCCAAATTAAATGAGAATGCAGGTTAATCCTGCAGTGTACTAGGATCTTGGTTAACTTTTCAAACCTGAAAATCTCACAACTGTATCAGAAATTTGCTTATATGAACACTTCATAGCAGTAAGGGTAAAAAATTGTTCTTTGTTTGTCATGGAAGTCAAACTGAAATTTCCGTGTTTAACTATAGAAAGTGTACATGTAGCTTAGCAATTTTAAACATACATCTACCATTGTAATTATGGATACAATTTAACAGGCATGCAGACTTGACTCAGAAATTGCTTGCTTTGATTTGGCCTTCAGTTCTCCACAGTGTAACCTTGACAACATTAAAATCCATGACATGGACTGCAAAATAAAACTTGCCAAATAATATTATTATTCTTATGTTATTCCTCCATAACCCTAAGGAATGGGATATGAAGGTGCATGGTTTCTTTTTTTTTAAGGACAACAAAGTCACACATTGCATGATGGAATTGTCAGGTATAGCACTGTGAAATATACAACAGCTTTCCTGTATTCTGATTGGCCTTTTTTCAATAAATTAAATGAATACACTACACTTGATTTACTGTGTCTTTCAGCCAACCAACAGAGGCAGATCTGTTAAAAGCTAAAGCACTCCCAGAAGAGTTTGACTGGAGAAATGTTGATGGGAAAAACTATGTCAGTCCAATCAGAAATCAAGGTAGTTGTGGCAGCTGCTATGCCTTTGCTACTATGGCCATGTTTGAGGCTCGTGTTCGAGTCTTGTCAAATGCAACTAAAACACCAGTGTTCTCACCTCAAGATATTGTCAGCTGTTGTGAATATGCACAAGGTTGTGAAGGAGGTATGTTTGCAATGCTTTGTGCAGCTTATAAATAAAAATTATTGGAGTGCAGCAATGCATAGAAGAAAATGTGTGAGAAATTTAAAAAAGAGAGGCATGAGGAATTATGCTCCAGACACCATGTAAGATTACACCCTAACCTTAGTATGCCTATTCTTCATAGTGTTCTCTATAAATTTCCTAAGGTGATGACAAGGAGAATTTGTGTAACAATCAAGAGCTTCTTTAGTTGATGATTATTTCCTTAATTCTCACAACCTTAATGTGTGATTCAGGTGTGATATTGTAGGGAGAGATGAAATGCTAGTCACTCTTAGAGGTCAAAGTGTTAATAGTATTTAGAAAAAATTTACCATGGCTACTCACCTCAGTTTGAGAGGCATGCAACCTTCAAAAATTCTCTAAACATTTTGACTTAGCTTGGGATGCCCCCTTGGTAACCTGTTCTCATGCTCTGATGATGTTGCTGCCTTGGTTTCAGTTGACATGAAGGGGATGACTTTTTCTTTCTAGGTTTCCCTTATCTTGTTAGCAAGTATGCCCAAGACTTTGGTTTGGTGGATGAAGAATGCTACCCATATGAAGGCAAAGACTTACCCTGTAATGAGAAGAAGTGCTCAAGGCAGTTTGGGACTGGGTACCACTATATTGGAGGGTTCTATGGAGGATGTAGTGAGGAGCTTATGAGGATTGAATTGGTGAAGAATGGCCCCATAAGTGTGGCCTTTGAGGTTTACAATGACTTTTTTAATTATAAAGGTGGAATATACCATCACACAGGTGAGATTTTAGAACAACCTTGTCACTTGTAAACTATACCATGTTTATGTGCTGATCAATTGAAGTTTCAACATCCCCCGTACATGGGCAACCCACAGGTGTTTGAGTGGTTTCTGTGCCTAGGTGGTATGGAATTTGAACCTTGCTGGGTGGGGTGGACCTGTAAGTGTCAAGTCTTTCCAGGGTAATACACATGTTTTAGTGAAAGATTTCAAAGGTAAAAAGTCTGCTTTTGTGATTCAGTGGCATGGAAAGATAATTTTTACATCATAGAATGATACTTTACAAAGCGAAAAAAAAGAAAACCAACAGTGACACCTAAAACTAATACATGACTTTGCTAAATTCTACAACATTTGTTGATCATGCAAAGAGTGATTCAATTTGAATGCAATTTTGGCCAGGTAACCTTTTAGTAGTTGATAAGTTTGTTTGCTGTGCAGTTTCCACATAAAGTTCAATTTGATCAGCAATTTCTTCTGGCAGTCGTAGGTTTAAACAACTTCAGCTAAGAACAATAAGAATGAGGTGAACAAAGCAACTGAGCAATAATGACAGCAACCATTTAAAAATTAAAGTCCATAATGACCTTCAGTTTTTTTGCTCTAAAATGTTGCTTTCAAAACATATCCTGCTCTGAGCTCTCTCTGAAGGTGGTCAAATAACTTGTTTAGGTTTTGTGTTGAGCACTACATAAGGAATTGGATAGCGATATAAAACCATTATTCACCAAAGTATGGGTAAATATCCACCACTATTCACTTATGCTGAGGTGAATGTTTTAGTACCTAACAGAAACCAAAATAAATGGTACTTGCTAATCACTTCCGAACAAGCTAATCAGTGTGAATGAAAAGCACCATTTACTTGTGGGGTATGTACTAAATATAATTATTCCCTACATCTCACAGGTCTTACAGACAAATTTAATCCCTTTGAGATAACCAATCATGCTGTATTGGCCGTGGGATATGGAGCTGATAAAAAGACTGGTGAGAAGTTCTGGATTGTGAAAAACAGTTGGGGAAAGGCATGGGGCGAAAGTGGTTACTTCCGTATCCGACGAGGGACCGATGAATGTTCGATTGAAAGCATCGCTGTCTCGGCTCAACCGGTAATGGAATGAGGCTCAATTATTGTAATTGTAAAAATTTGATGTAATCGGCTGTGATCGTTAACGATGCAGTAAAGCCAAAATTTTGATGTCAATGGATTTCCTACGAATCCAGTTTAGATCTGTTAACTTTCAAAATAGTAGTAACCTTTTAGAGATGATTCTGATGGAAATTCAGATTTACTTATTGACATTTGATTAAGGCAGAATAAAGTTATTTTTTCTAACACAACTTAGATAACATTTTATATTTAACAGTGGGTGTCGAGGAAGGGAATCCAAGGGGAGGGGGGAGGGGGGATAAATTGGTGGGATTTGCCATGAGTGTAACTTAACTTAAAAAAAAGGGTCTCGATGAAAGCTTCGTGAGATCTCTGAAAGACAATTTGCTTGTTGGTGTTTCATCTCCACCAAAAATCAAACTTTTGACTCAACATCCAACTTTGCCGTTGAGCTAAAATATAACTCAAAAGTTATTTACATCGGACTACAGCCAGTGACTCAACATCCGTTTTAAGAGCGTTAGGCATTTGGAAAGGGAACGTCCATGAAATCGCATGTATATCCTCCAGAACAGAGCAGGGAACGAAAGGTACGAAGCTTTCATTTGCAAGTTTTGTCAAAACTACTTTGCAACGGCCATACTCGATAGTCCATTGTACCAAGTTTTAAAAACACCTGCGCATTGCTCAATTAAAAAAAGAAGAGTCGAAGACACCGTTAGGTGCAAATAGAAGCATTACATTTCGAAATTCAGAAGGGTAAAAGAAATAAAAAGAAAGAGAGAAAATAAAAGAGACTCAAACTCCACGATTGGGATCCCCGCGGTGTCTATCGCTATTTTCGAAAAACATCAGTTGAAGGTGCAGTGAATTACGGAAAATCATTATTTTCTTTCGCAAGCTGAAATTCCCGTTGTTAGTTTTATTTTCTTTCGCAATTCCAACTATGGTGATAAAAAAAGAACATATTGACTTGGAAAGAAGGAAATACGATCTTCAAGGTTGCTGAGAGGTCTTGATCGAGTTGGTCTGTATAACCCTAATCCTATTTTCGAGCAAGAGAAAGCATTTTAGAAAACTGTAGAGGGGAAATACCTTAGTGTGGCATTGAAATTTTGAGGGAAGCCCTGTTTAAAGATATTACCATCGATGATAAAGTGATTGGGACACTCAACTAGAGCTGTCAATGTTGAATAAATTACCCCCTCCCCCTCCCCCCCCCCCGGCCCCAACCCAATCGACTCTAGCTACGCCTCTTTTCCCCCCCCTTATGACCTCTTGTTATTATCCCAGTAGACCTAATTAACATTGTTATTTCTTTAAATAATGATAAAACTACGAAAAGGGAAAAGACCATTGCGAGGAAACTGTATCTGGTAAGTTCTTAAAACAATTCTTAATCAGAATTTCATGAAGACATGTAATTTGAAGTGGAATTCAATAAGGTTTTAAAAATACCATTATAGCAAAAGGAAAGATATCCAGCTGTTTAAAGAGACAGAAAAAAAGTCATTACGATTTGAAACTGAATTAAGAAACCCCATTGCCATCTACCTTCAAAACTCGTTTCTAAAGTGCGTGAACGTCATATAGCTTAAATTTATCAACAAAGTCTGGCAAAACAACAAGTCTGCATTATGTATTGGTTGTGAGAGAGTGGATTTGTATGGATAAGAATTCATATATTGTATTTGGGTCAGAAACAAATTTAAATTACCAGTAAGTTTATGACCAACTTTAACTAGGTTATTGTGACAAAAAGAAAAACGCAGCAAGATGATAAAACGTAACACGTAAGTTTTTACCTGGTTAATGAGAACAAGAAAACGCTGTTTTGAATGTAGAGCCATATGCTACGGAAAACTATGGAAAACTTTCTTCTTTCATATGTCCGAGTACAGGGATTGCGTTAAAAGCCGCGGTTACTGGCGGTCTACCGCCGCCTATAAGATCTCTTATCGCCTTCTGTTTACCTTGCGAGCAAGCTCTCGCAATGGGATTTCGCCCTCTGACGGTTCCCTTTTCGGGCACATTCGCCTATTTCACCATCAGAAGCCGCTTATGAAAAATGTATTGAAACCCCTGTCAGTACACATCAATTTTAAGATTTGACAGCGTCTTGTTTTTATAATTAAAGGACTCGATTAACACACGCCCATCGGAGGCCGGAAAACCAATAAGTCTTTTTTACTTTGTTGAGTGTGTTATTAAATCAATGCAACTACTGAGAGTAGAATGAGGCAAAATTTAAATAATTGATTTTTTTATATGTAATTTTGTAAGGTTAGTTTAAATATTCATTAGAAAATGTAAACATTACTGTTGTTGTAGTTTTTCTGCTTTTGTAATAGTTATGAAAGCAGATGTTTTCAGTTTGCGTATTTAAAATTCGATGATAACTTTAGGATTCACTCCAACATGGAAGAGAACAGCGAAGTTATCAACGGATCCCAAGTGTTGTGGTGTTTTGGAGTACCTACCAACCTCTTAGTGGAAGATCCGACGAATTCAATCATCCTGATAGTTTTTAACACTTTGACTTCAGTTACTGCTTTACTAGGTAATTTTATGGTGCTTATAACACTTTGGCGTACTCCAAGTTTACATTCGCCCTCAAACACTCTGCTGTGCGGTCTCGCACTGTCTGATCTTTGCATTGGGTTTTTATCTGGGCCAATAAATGCTGGATTCAATATTATGCGTTTAAGGAACTCGGTCCACCTAAAATCGTGCGCGCTGATGCACACAATAATTTTATTTACTACATATTTAACACCAATTACTCTCTGTACTCTGACAGCAATGAGCATTGATCGCTATTTAGCGTTACACTTGCATCTTCGGTATGAGCAAGTTGTCACAGAGAGAAAAACAACTGGACTCCTCATATTGGTGTGGTTCTTTAGTGGCCTATATCCACTGATATCAAGTCTTGACGAGAAACCTGTGACCAGTTCATTAATTGCATCCACAATAGCGATTTGCCTTCTTGCAGTTTCCTTTACCTGGGTAAAGATCTACCAAGTTGTGCGACGTCATCAGGCGCAGATTCAGGATCAGATGAATGCACAGGCACAACAATTTAACATGGCCAAGTTCAAGAAATCTGCTGTGAATGCCTTGTTTATCTTGCTCCTTCACCTCGTCTGTTTCCTTCCTCTTCTCGTTGCCAAAATTGCTCTGGCTGTTCGAGTAAATCTTTTAAATGTTCGTATACTTAATTTCACTTATATTCTAGTTTTTCTAAATTCATCATTGAATCCACTGGTTTACTGCTGGCGTCAACGTGATCTTCGTGCTGCAGTTAAAGAAACTGTTAAGAAGTTATGTTGTTGCAGGAAACGCTAGACGAAACCTAGTCACCAAATGGCAATATTAACTGCAGTTACGTTGCATTTACATGATGTACTCTTCGGTACACACTTAAAATTTACTGCTTTTAATTCGTCGAATTTATATGACGAGCTCATGACGGTCAATTTTCATGAAAATCGAGTTGTATTACCCAATAAAACCAATTGTTATACTAAGCTTTGGAGTAATTCGATGGAAAAAATGTTGCGCAAGGAACTCAGTTTGTTGGATACTGAAGAAGAACCAAAAGGGGATCTGTAAACCGGATAAAAATATTTGCAAAACGCAGAAATAATGAAGTTTTTGCGCATTTTTAATCAAAAAACGGATGTTCAAATTGGGAAGTTGAGTAAACATAACTGGCCGTGATAAAAGCCATAAATAATTGCAAGCGGGTTCATACCGTGTCCTGAGCTAAAAAAACGGAGTTCGAGGTTTCGACAAAGATTAATAAAAATGTATATTGATTTTTCCCTTAACTTGTACTAATTTTAAATAAAAGACAGTTTAATTAATACGTTGAAGAAACATATCAGGTTTACGAATTGTTTTTTTATCAACAACCAAGCAAAGTAATTTAGTTTTCCACAGACGCAAATTTGGTCCCCTCTTTGATGAGGAAAAACACCTGGCTCTCTTTCATATGAACTTTAATGTACCTGGCTCTCTCTAAGTTAACCTTCTAGCTAAGAGCGCGGTGTACACGGTATTATGGGTATTTTTGAACTCCAATAGGAGTACTCAGCGTATCGCTTCTTAACCACCAAGCACAGCATACCTTGTTCCCTATTCCTCCTCGCAACTGTTTCAAACGAAATATATGTTGCATCAGAAACAGAAGAAAAATTTAACTCGATTTTTCTGGAGAGCGCTGAGCAAAAAAGCGCCATAAATTGACCTTCTAAGAGGCGCTGTTTGGACTGTCAAGAAGAGGCATGAAAAAAGAGAAAAAAAGAACAAAAATATTAATCGAAAGAATGTCACGAAGTCCCCTATGGTTCCATCGACTAAGGAAACGAGTGCTGGTTAAAACACAGGAATAATAAAACTGTTACCATTTTGGAATAAGATCTGTGGAAGATGCGTATTTGAAGTAAATGATAAACAAAGTCTTTAAAAAGCCATTAACTTTTTTCATAACAAAATATGATTTTTACTCAGTTGATGTCTCCTAGCGTATCACTGACATAACTTTGAATTTTAAACGCCTCTGGCAGGTTCCATATTAGCAATTCTTCCTCAGTCTAACACTGCTGTTTGCATTATACCTGTACATTTTTTTAACATTTCCAGTTGGAATCATCACAGATCTATTTCTAAGTTAGGGAAATTCATCTGTTTATTTATAACAACTAGCGATCATTAACCGTGGTTAGTCCTGAGTACCCTTTAAAAGTGCGCCTCATTCCAGTATTGGCTGAGCTGAGACAGCAATGCTCTCAATCGAACATTCGTCGGTTCCTCGTCTGATACGGAAGAAGCCACTCTCGCCCCAGTTCTCCCCCCAGCTGTTTTTCACAATCCAGAACTTTTCACCTGTCTCTTTATCAGCTCCATATCCAACGATTGCCACCACGTGGTTAGTTATTTCAAAAGGGTTAAATTTGTCCGTCAGACCTGTGTCATAAAGAGAGCAGTAAGACAAAACACAAGATCAGTTGGTTGTATGAAACAGAGTATATAAAGTAATGGCAATATTGCAACTTGTAAGTATTGCTTCTTATTGGGGATAAACTTGTTTGTATGCTGCAGTCTGGAACTGACTTTCCACCTTGGCTAAAGATATGTCCACACTGCATCTCAGATGAATGACTGTGAATAAGTGGTTAACAGCAAAACCATCAAAGGAACCTGATGAAAGGTTGCTGAGGGTGGGGGGGGGGGGAGGGGGAGGGTGGGTTGCCTTGTGGCATGGCTGCCTATTACACCATTGACAGCCACTTATGGATAATCATTGAAACAAAAGCTCACGACCAGGTTGTAATGTAATTGTTGAATTGTTCTTGATGGGTTATGGCGATATTAGTGATGACAAAGGTATAGAGAGTGACAACAATGATGCTTCTGATGATGAGGAGAATGAGAGTTGACGTCAACAGCTTAACTGTACCATAATTGAATCAAACCAAGAAAGTTAAAAACAAAACAAAACATAACAGAACTAAGAAACCAAGCCACAAGCATTACTGCAATATCAATACCACTCCTGGTCACTAGCAATGATGCAGACACCTTGTGGTTTGCAAACTGCACTCTGGACCAAAAGTTCCACTTTCAATTCTGGCTGTTACAGCTGTCACACCTCTGATCATGTGAGAATGCTGTTACAGCCAAGAGACTTGCTTTAAGGCTGACAAAACCAAGTTCTCTCTAATTTAGAAGTTATAAACAACTACTTATGTGGGCTATTCACAGTTATTTAAAAGCTTGTAACTTTCTTGTAAAGGCTCAAATAAAATTAGTAAATCTACAGGATATATGTGATTAAATAAGCTTTGTGTTTGCAAAGTCTTGAGTTTTCCTTTTCACTATTTTAATACCTCCCACAAATTTCTACAAAGTGAATTTTGCATGACACTGGTTTTATCTTGTGTTGAAGTACAGGATATCAAATGGCTGGGCAACATTGACCCATTTGCAACACTTGCCCTATCTTTGACCACTATGTTTTCCTACCAAAGGTCATTGTCTTTTTTTTTCTCTCTCCTGGCCCAGAAGTAAAAATGATTAATGGCAGAATGTCCAGGGCACATGACAAAATATTGGCAGGTTACCTATGGTGGACTAGCTCCTCCTGCCTTAACCCTTTACATGCTAACATCAGTATGCATATTCTCCATACTGTTATTAATACATTTCCTAAAGTGCTAACAAGGAGAATTTGTTTACTGATCAAAAAGTTCTTTCATTGGTGATCATTTCCTTTATTCTCATGACCGTAATGTGTGATTCAGCAGTGATATTGTAGAGAGAAATTAGATGCTAATCATTCTCAGGATTTAAAGGGCTAATGAGTGCTGGTAGCACTCCTGGCTGCTCCATGCTACAAAGAATTAATTAACCTGTTGGTGACAAATGGAAACATTTCTCACCTGTATGATGGTATATTCCTCCTTTATAATACCTGAAGTCATCATATACCTCAAAAGAGACAGCTATGGGGCCATTCTTCACCAATTCAATCCTCATTAGCTCCTCATTACATCCTCCATAAAACCCACCAATATAGTGGTACCCAGTCCCAAACTGCCTTGAGCACCTCTTTTCCTTACATTGCACTTCCTTGCCTTCATAAGGGAAACATTCTTCATCCACCAAACCAAAGTCTTTAGCATACTTGCTAATGAGATATGGGAAACCTTCAAAATAAACAGAAATTAATATATTGCAATAAATCAGAATTTAGCAGTAGCAAATTCATTCAGTGGGTTCCCTATGTATTGATTCAAAGGCTCATAACAATCTTCAGGTCTCTAGCCTACTTGCTTAATATGAAATAAGGGAAACTACAGAGAAGTTTTACATCCTCTTTTTCCTTGGTGCAAAAATGGAAATTTTGGCTTTTATATATTGTTGGGGGGAATACTTGAGGACCCTGTGGAAAAAACCTTCAAAGTGAGTATGAGAAATAACAACTAATTCAACCCACCAGTGACAGCAGGGTCTGAAACAAACCAGAGATACAATAATGGGAAGGCTGCTTCACAAAGCACATTTTTTAAACTGAATTTAACTGTTTACACTGTTACATCAGTATTCATATTCTCCCCACTCTTTTCTACACATTTCCTTTGGTACTGACTGAATGAATGATTAAGCAGTATTACTGTTAGGAGAAACTAGATTCCTATCACTCTTAAGTTTTAAATGGTTATTAGACCATCAAGAAATCACTAGATGCAAGTAGTTTCTTGGTTATCTTTTCAATACAAACATAATGTAATTCACCAGTTTCACAGTTCAGAGGAGGTGAAATACAACTTTCTCTCCTCCACAGCTTGGGTTTCCAGTCTGATCAAGTCCTCCTTTCTCCATGATGATTGCTCTTTTCTTAAACATACATATTCATCATCCCCCACCCCTTATTTGAATCCCTCTTAAAATTTCATTTAACAATCTAGTTCCAAGCAACCCTCTTCCTATTATTAATATTCCCTGTTCTTGTCAATTGAATAGAAAAATGGAAGTTTTAATTCTTGGTGTTTGTCTTGATATCCTTTTTTTTGACATCATCCTTCCCACTCATCAAGGAATTGCTTACTCCCCATTCCCTAAAGCTTAAAAACTGAAACTTATACCCCACTAATTCCACATCCCCATCAAATAAGACTTCCTTTTCCCCATCCCTGTTGCCTGTTCTTTGCCCATGTCAGCAATTTTTCATGTCCTAAGTTCTTTCCTAAACTTTCTCTCAGCTAGTATACCATAAATTATCTGCTGGTGGATTGGCACAAAGCACAAACAGATATTCAATACCTACCCCCTTCACAACCTTGAGAATATTCAGAGCAGCTTACAATATCTTGAGTAGAGAACACTGGCGTTGCACTTCCATTTGACATGATACGTACACGAGCCTCGAACATGGCCATAGTACCAAAAGCATAACAGCTGCCACAACTACCTTGATTTCTGATAGGACTGACATAGTTTTTCCCATCAACATTTCTCCAATCAAACTCTTCTGGGAGCACTTGAGCTTTCAATAGATCTGCTTCTTTCACTTTGCTGTAATGATATATATTCACCAAATTGAAGAGTATGCAACAACCACTATACAACTCTTCTTTATTTTTTGTCCACTTCAGGAATTAACTTTCAAAATAGTAAAAGAGAGAGTAATGTCTTTTTTCAAAAATGATTTTATCCATCCAATGCCCATTTTGGCTTTTCTGGTATCTCCTGATGTTTTGATTTTCCGTTAAGTCTATAACCTTAGAGTCCCAACACTCTTCAACCCCTTAAGAGTGAAAAGCATGTATTTTCTCCAATCAGTATCATGACCCCTGAATCAAACATTGTAAGTAAGAATAAAGGAAATTATTGAAAACTCAAGAATCTCTTGATTGTTACAAAAATTCTCCTTGTCAATGCCACAGGAAATGTGTAGGGAGCAGTATAAAGAGTGTGCATACTGATATCAGGTTGGAAAGGGTTAACCCTTTAACTCCCATGAATGACCAAGACAAAAATTCTCCTTAAGGAATCAATACAATATTAACCAAATAAGTGATTAGAACAAAGAAAAATATCAATTTGGGGATAATTGGTTGATCCAATACTAAATTCTCTGGACTAACTTTGTAAGAATTGTGTGGTTGACAGTATGGAGGATTAAAAATTTGAGCTGGGAGTTAAAAGGTTAATAAATCAAAATCATTAGCTAAAGAAAATCAATGAAAATACCAAGAAAGGCAGAAAGTAAGGTAAGTGAGTTACCTTGGTTTTGGGAAATTCTGCCTCTTTAGCCCACCACCACGGGAAATTAACTGTGCTGTTGTCATCCCACTATATTCCTCATACACCACAGCTTTCCAAGAACTTTGTGCACTGTTTATTTGGTCAATAAACTCCCGATTAGGAATAAACTCATGATTTACAGCATTTTGTTGAGGTTTAAAGTTTTCTGTTTTGGGTGGAACCTTTCCTGAAGTTTTTTTCCCTATTGAAAGCAAACGAACGTAAATCAATTGAAGTAAGTGTTATTGTTTTCTTATGATCTATCAAAAGGTATAAAATCTGAAAAACTGGCGGTTCTTGTTCTGAAACCCAAACCAGATGCTGAAAATTGATACTGACGCAAAAACTGAAAAACTAAACTTTTAGAGCGCAGGAAACGAAAAACGCGATCTAAATTATGACCAAACCCTCCGTGCCAGGACTCGCGCGTACACAGCCATGTTTAGCAACAAGATCGGAAGTCTGGACTTTCCTTTCGTTTTTAGAGTATAAGGCTTGATTCATTTTCGATGTTATTGAAATTCAATTCTAAAAGCATGGGACCCATATTCACATTCCATTGAATAATGATCATAAATGACTTTTTGAAAAAATCTTTTAACGATGAAAAATTGCGATAAAACATTTCGTAAAAGCATATTAAAAATATGTTGACGACGTTTCGACGTTTCGACGTTTGGCTAATGTCATTATCAAGTCAAAGAGTGAAAGATAAAAAATATTTAAATGCTAAAAAAACAATAGGTAATGGAATGTTTTACGCGAATGGAATCAGTCTGCGTGTTGAAACAAGGAGTGCGCTGCTTGCTGAAAAGCATCTCATAGACAAGACAGACAAATTTTCCTTGCCACTTTTTCAGAATGCGGAATTGGCTTTCTTCGAGGGGGCTTGTATCCCCATGGGCTGTCGAAAAATGTTTACCGATCGTAGGGTTTTCATGTTCAACAATACGTTGATGAAGGTGTCGAGCTGTAAAGCCGACGTAATCTGAAACACACAGATCACATGTAAAATAAGAGTAAACAACGCATTGCTGATTTACGATTGGAGGCTTGATTTCTGTGGGCTTGAGGTCTTTTTACAATTTTCTGCTGATAAACACCGGTTGTAGTGTAGTGCCAATCTCGCAATTTTTTATTGTTAAATATTTAAAAAACCGCTTCTTTTAAAAAAATCCTCAAATTTATAAAATCTTACCGCTGTAACAAGCCCAATTTCCAGCATGATAACCCTTTGCGGCATGACTCCATCCATTTAAGGTTTTGTCGCAAAAACTGATCACTTTTTCACCACTCTTCTCGTAAGATGAAAAGGCGAAATACACCACTCCATTTATATTTACTTCAAAGCCTTGGTTGTAGATCAACGTCCAAAAGCCGACATTTCCATCGGAATCAACTGCGACGTCAGGAAACAACAAAGTCACGTGAAGCTCAGACACAGGTTTGAACGAGGAGCAGTCGACGGTGTTGTCGTGGCCTCCTTCTCCGATCGAAAAAAGCCATGATCCACTTATTTCTTCATAGGTACAGTTAGCAGGAGTGTCAGCATCGACATAGATGCAAAAAGAGAGAAAAATGAGATTCGCTATCACCACGATCTGAGATGCCATGACATAACAACAGAGAGAGAGCCGGACGCTTGTCACGCGACATGGCCTCGTTCTCAGGGAAGAGCGAGCTCCCGGCCTCCAGAGTAGCACGAGGGAGGGCTGGGTACCTGAGTCAATTGCTACTAGTCTCTTAGTCTCTTAGTCTCTTAGACCCCCTACCCCATTAAATTCGTAGAGATCTAGTTTCACTACAATTGTCGCCTTAGGAAACATTTTGTAGTCTCTCATCATACCACGCATCAGACTACTCTGATAACCTCCTTTTATTTAAAATTAAATCAAATTTAGTGTTATGCTAACCTCCAATATCATTATCTACTAACGTTGACTTGCAGATAGATGCAAACTAACATAAACGAGTTTGTTGTAACTCTTAAATGAGACAGAAATGCTATTTAGACATTAAGACAAAGGAAAATCTGAACAATGATATTGCAAAGTTGTCAAGCTACTTCGCTGTAATGTTTACAGTTTTTCTCATGATTTTCTTCATTCTTTCCGACTAAAATGATATTGATAGTTGAAACAATGAATTCTTTATTATCTGTTATTGAATACATTTATCATAGAATCAATAATAATTTGCAAACGGAGGCTATATATGTTGTTAATAAGCAGCTCTCAACGGTTTTACCCGTGTAGAAGATACACTTAGTGGATATCAGAACATAGCTTGAATGAGGATTCTACAGGGTAGCCCTGCTCTCCCCTGCGGTCTGTTCACGTTATGTATACAACAGATGCAAAGCAATGAAAGGTTTGTCAGCAAATGTAGTTCCCATATCGACCGTTCTTTCTTATTTAAAACTCTTTCATCTATTATCATTTTCTATAAAGTAGGCAATGAAAGGTTTGCTGAGATTTGTGAGCAAATGTAGTTACCATAACGACTGTTCTTTCTTATTAAAAACTCAATTAATCATCTGCTATCATTTTTTGTAAGAAAATTCATGTTTTTCCCTGACTGGTACAGGGAGAACTACCATTTGAATCAGAAGACCAGTGACATCAAAGCAAGATCATATTTTTTAATGAAGTTATCAACTTTGCAAGAAATTTTTTCCTGTCTGATCTGGCCCAGGTTGTTCAAATCTGGGTTAAGATAACCCAGGGTTAGCATGGAATTTGATTTCAGGTCTGAAAGCTTTAAAAGAAAATTCAGTTCAAATCTTTTTGATTGCAATTTGATCATTGGATGTTCTAAAAAGAACAGAGAAAATTTTCTCTAAAAGGCTTTGGAAAAAAGAAATATAGAAACCTGCATTAAAATTTAACCTTGGGCTAATCGGCCTTTGAACAACTGGGCCCTGACCGGGAAAAGTTGGAGGGTAATCTTGCTTTAAATAAACCTACTGCGTTCAACTAAACTATTATGACTACTGATGGAAATCTTCATTTCACAGTTAACCCTTTGTTAATAATAACACATATTGATATTTTTGCTGAGTGTTCACTGACTACAGTAAGGGAAATCTAGTTACATGTAAGTGATAAATTTATTCCAGAGCCATCAGTTGCTATTAACAGGGCACCTCCCCCTTGCGATTTAAACGTATCCTACAACGTGCAGGTGTCTAGAATAAACAGTCCTATAGGCTCAACGTATCATCCTAATGATATCAAATTATGTTTACCCATAACAATAAAATAAGTTAAAAGGATCACTAATTATTAATTACTTGTTACAGATTACTAAGAAGGTTAGGGTTAAACTGGTGTTTACTTGATATCATTTTAACGATCAATGACTACAACTTTGTATCATATTCCAGATGATCTTCTTCAACAATGTCTTCTTCTCCTTCGTGGCCTTCTTCTAAATTAAAGTTGAAAGGAAAACAAACTTTAAGAGAAAGCTCAATAATGCTAATCGAATAAGCTGGAAAACTAATAGTAAAATGGACAGTTATTATTTATTTTGTTGTTTGTTTGACCAGATAGAAAAAGTTGTGAATAACCTTGTTCTTGGTGAGGTATTTGCTGCATTTCCAGCATTTCAGCTCCTTGCTGATCTAAATACACATAGAAATGAGTGAGCAAATAAGCTTCCTGACACAAGAACAAAAGCAAAACGATCTTTTAACGACATTTTATGAGATACATTTTCGAATGAATTCAATGATCTCGATAATTATAAAAACATTGTAATCAACAATGATGTCATCACATACCCTCCTTGTGAAGCTGTTGGTCAGTTCCAATTTGATTGTCTCCATGCTGCTCTTGTGCATCTTGATAAATGGATAAATACAAGAGTGTAAGACTCATCTTTCCCCAAAACAAGAATCTACAGCTAGCCACTCTACTTAGAAGACAGGCACTTTCGAGACATGTGTTGGACACAAGGGTAGTTAAATGCAAAAAAAAAAGTAATCTTAGCCATACAAGCGCTGAGTGATTCTATTTCAGCGAAAGGTAACTTAAAAAAAACTAATTAAAAATGCTACTAAAGCTACGTTTTTAGTGCATTTCCCCGTCAAAGTTCTTTGCGCTGTTTTTATGCCCAAAAACAGTCGGGTGTCTTAAACGAAGGGAACTTTAATTGATATCTACTTGGTTTGGTACAATGAACGAGCAAATTGTTGTTCAAACACCTTGATCTGGGTGTGGCAGTCCAAGAATCTGCATTTCCATCGCTTCTCCTTCATGTTGATCTGGGAAAAAAAGATAAAAAATGAATTGAAGGACAACATCAAGAAAATAAAAATGGAAATGAAAATGATTCCTGAGGAAAATACAGTGACACAAAGAACTCAGTAAAATGCTCATACCTTCTTGTTGCCCGTTATCGTCAATCTCTCGTGGATCTTGTTGTTCTTATCAAACAAGGCATGAGTAAATCAACAGATTAATATTACTGCAATATGATATCAATGATCTGGATAATTATAAAAACATTGTAATCAACAATGATGTCATTACATACCCTCCTTGTGAAGCTGTTGGCCAATTCCAATTTGATTGTCTCCATGCTGCTCTTGTGCATCTTGATAAATGGATAAATAGAAGAGTGTAAGACTCATCTTTCCCCAAAACACGGATCTATAGTTAGTCATTCTACTTAGAAGACAGGCACTTTCGAGAGGTGTTGGACACAAGGGTAATTAAGTACAAATAAAAGTAATCTTAGCCTTACAAGCGCAGAGTGATTCTATTTCAGCCAACGGTTTCTTAAAAAAAAAAAACTAATTCAAAATGCGACTGAAGCTATGTTTTAGTGCATTTCCCCATCAAAGTTCTTTGCGCTGTTTTTTGCCCAGAAACAATTGGGTGACTTAAGCGAAGGGAACTTCAATTGATATCTATTTGGTTTGGGACAGTGAACGAGCAAATTCTATTTTAAACACCTTGATCTGGATGTGGCAATCCAAGAATCTGCATTTCCAACTTCTCCTTCTTCTTGATCTGGGGAAACAAAGATAAAAAACGAACTGGAGGACAACATCAGGAAAATAAAAATGTAAATGAAAACGATTCCTGAGGAGGATACAGTGACAAAAAACTCAGTAAAATGGTGTTACCTTCTTGTTGTCCGTTATTGGATCTACTTATCAAACAAGGCATGAGTAAATCAACAGATTGATACTACTACAATATGATATCCATCTCAAACGTGGCGTTAGTCACAGAAAGAACATTTTACTATTAAGAACAACGTTTTCAATTTTAGTCTATAAACTATGTAATAGAAAGAATGGAAAAATGGGCATAACTACTCTCTTGATGTTCACTGCAGTGAAAAGTACTCCGTATGAAGCTTCTCAGCATTGCTATTTTGCTTCCCAGATACTCTTGCGCCTGGAGAGGAGAGAAAATTGTCAATAACGACGTCCACAGAGTGACAAGTGTCAATGATCTCAATCGATTGCTTGCTTGACGTCTTTATAATCATCACACTCTTGGTAGTGTAAAGCAACCGGGATGATTCAGGCCAGTACTTGGACGAAGTATAAGCTAACTTTCTCAGGCAGGTTAAAACTACTCGTTTAAACAGCTGAATGGAAACAGTCACTGTCAGAGTGTCTAGCTTAAGAGGACCCCTGTCAGTGCGTTAAAGAACCCACCGTGTTAAGCGCCAGACCGCCGGGTCTTGCCTCAAATAATTTAGATTTAAGAGATAATGAAGAAATGTTATTCTTTACCTTTGGTGTTGCTAACGTGTATAGAATCGGGTTTATCGCTGAATTGATGGGCAGAGCAAACACGGCAATCCAAGCAGCTAAGTCTCTCTGTGGCTCGAAATTCTTCTCCAAAAGCGACCTCATACCAAACACGATGATTGGCATCCAGCAAAGACAGTCAGTGAAGATGATGAAGAACACTCTCTTGGCCAGACCGGTCTCCCTCCTTGCGTTGGCTGATTGGTTTTTAACTCGCACTCTGCTTATGAATATGGCGAGGTAGGCAACTGTGATGAATATGACGAGGAAGAAATTGAGGCCAACAAATACAGAAACAGAGTACTCCCAGCCTTCCGTTTTGTGACGAGAGAGCTGTAAGGGAAGGCAGACTACACTTTTTCCGTAATAGTTGTGATATGTTGTAAGATCTTCGAAGTATCTCAAGCCAAACATCGGAAAGAAAGCCAGGAGGAAGCCGACTAGCCATATGATGGTGCAAAGGATGTGGGTCATCTTCCGCGAAAGTGCTCCACCTCTGAACGGGAACACAATGTTCTTGAGTCGATCTGCAGATATCAAAGCCATCAGCATCAAGGAGACCTCACTGGATAGCAAAGAGGTAGCACCAGTTATCTGGCAAGCCAAACTGGACCGCCACTGGAAGTCATGTAAGTAATACTCTCCTCTCCACAACAGATCTTTGACACCAAGTGTGATTAGGTATGCTCCCATTAAACCATCGGAGACTGCCAAGTGCAACAACATGATTGATTGTACCGTGTTTGTATCCTTAAAGACTGAACGCCATGTGATGACAAACACAGACCCAGCTAGGGAAAGGGAGCCGATTGCCCATATGCTCTTCCTCGGGGTTGGGCT